GGGGAGGGGGGAGGAGTGGTGGGGGGAGGTGGTATATAGAGATAGATAGAGATAGAGGGAGGGTTGATGAATGAATGGCAGATGTTCAAGTGTAACTTCGTGGGCAACACACATGTATTCATAATAGGGGATCACTTCCCAGAAGCCTAGGGAGGATGAACGAACAGATACTTGACCTTCGTACATTCTATCCAAGGGACTCTGGCCTCTTGCTGCGAGGGAGTGCTTTTGATTTCCGACGGGATCATGTTGAGAACAGCCCACTGCATGAGTAGAACAGCTTGGACCTATCATGATATCTGGCACCTGGGTGTGTAGTTTGTTCACAACGGAACATCATGCGTCCCCAGTACCTGCTGAGATGTTCAACGCGCTTAAGCTGCAGTCGTGGGCTTGGTCGTTTTCATGGCGGAGAGATATGGCACTTTCACGCATTTCACTCATCAATGGCTAGACCTGATCGCTGAGCTGTGAGGGGTTTTCGCTACCGTTGGCGATATAGAGGGCGTTGTGATCATAGCCGTCTTCTGCATTATGACGATAGTACTCCCAGCGACTCCCCCCTCCCTCTGCGACTAGGCTCGAGTCTGATATCGTCGCTACACAAACCATCTTCCCCGTCTACTCGCCTTGCATCTTCACCATCACATCTCATCCCACTCCCTCGTTATCGCAGTCATGCAAGTCGTCGGCTTCATCCACAGCGATCGCCCCCAGCCGACGTCAAGGCAAACCAGGATGCAGCGTGAATGGAGGTTTGAGAGGCGACAATCCTTTCGCCAGCCTCGGTGGCAAGTGGCCAATGGCGAAAGTGGGCCCTCCGCCGTTGTCGTGTCTGCACGAACAAGGTTGCTTCCCGTCGCTGCGGGTGAGAGCGTTGGTTGCTTGGCACGCTTGTTCCTAGGTTGCGTCTTGCGCGTTCTCCAGCTGCGCTATCGTGAGCCAGCCAGGGATCTCCGCGAAGATTCTCGACGGGCAACCTCCTCCACCCACCCACTCCTTCCTTACCTTCTGGATATACCACCCACGCTCGTTTTTGTGCTGCTGTCTGTGTCTACATACACCACACTATGCGCCGCGCGATCCGGAGTTTTTGCAAGTGAATGCGACACGAGACCCACAGCAGCAACGCGATAAGCGATCATGGGGAAGAAGGATGATTCCAGCTATGCCATCGTCTTTGACGCGGGCTCCTCCGGCACACGAGTCTACGTATACAAGTGGAAGAAGGCGGAGGCGGTTCTGAAAAAGGGCAAAGAGAAGCATCTCACGCGACTGCCAGACATCGACACGGAGAAGGACTGGCGCAAGAAAGTCCACCCTGGCATCTCGACATTCGGCGAGAAGCCTGAGGCTGTGGGACCGGATCATCTGAAAGAGCTGTTGGAGTTTGCTGCGGATATCGTGCCCGAGAATGAAGTGGAGAATACTCCCATCTTCCTCCTCGCGACGGCGGGCATGCGATTACTCCCAGGTCATCAGCGCGCGGATGTGCTGAGCCACGTGTGCTCGTATTTCCAGCAGAACTCCAACTTTCAACTCCCCGACTGCGATCTTCATGTGCAAGTGATTCCTGGCGAGACGGAAGGTCTTTATGGCTGGATCGCGGCGAATTACTTGCTTGGGGGGTTCGATAAGCCGGACAAGCATGATCATGGGAAGGAGCATCATACGTATGGATTCTTGGATATGGGTGGTGCGAGCGCGCAGATTGCCTTTGCTCCTAATGCGACGGAGGCGGAGAAGCACGCGAATGATCTTAAGCTCCTGCGGTTGAGGAGGGTGGATGGCGAGTCGTTGGAATACAAGGTGTTTGTCACGACTTGGTTGGGTTTTGGTGCGAATGAGGCACGGAGAAGATATGTGGAGCATTTGCTGGATGCATCCCCGAGCGAGCACGAACTACCGGATCCGTGTCTGCCGGTGGGGATTACAGTCAAGAAGTCTGGAGAAGAGATCAAGCCTGGATCAATGGAACTGAAGGGTAAAGAGCCGTACCTCCTTGGGACTGGCGATTTCACGCAATGTTTGAAGAGCACGTATCCGTTGTTGGAGAAAGAGAAGGAATGTGCAGATCCGCCGTGTCTACTGAATGGCATTCACACCCCTGCGATCGACTTCGATGTGAATCACTTCGTTGGTGTATCGGAGTACTGGCACACCACGCACGAGATTTTCGCCATGGCCCACAAGGACAAGGCATACGACTTCCACACCTACCAGAAGCAGGTGACAGAGTTTTGTTCGAGAGATTGGGAGGATATCGAGCAAGATGTTGCAAAAGAGAAGTGGGGCCATAAAGTAGATGAGAAGACGGTGGAGGAGGTGTGCTTCAAGGCGAGTTGGTTGATAAACATGCTTCACGAAGGCATTGGCATTCCAAGAGTTGGCATTGAGGCGGGCAAGGATGGATCGAATAAAACAAAAGAGATCGTGGACAACGCAAAAGCCCGAGGCTTCTTGGATCCATTCCAAGCTGTGGACAAGATCGACTCGAAAGAAGTCAGCTGGACACTGGGCAAAGTGGTCCTCTATGCCTCCTCACAGATGCCTCCAGCAGACGACGGCGTGATGGCAGTAGGCTTCGGCAGCAACATCAAAGGCACTTCCCTCCCGGACGACTTCCAATACCCCGGCGGCCGGATATCTCCCCTTCCCAACCTAAACGAAACCCACCCCGAAGACGAAAGCAACGACTGGCACGACAAAATCCTCGCCAGCAGCTACTCCCGCCGCATCCCCGGCATCCTCATCTTCCTCCTAATCCTCGCCTTGGCCGTCTACCTCCTCTGCGGCCGCGAACGGCGCCTCTCCCTCTACCACAAACTCCTCACCCTCCTGGGCCGCCCCCCTCGCTCCCCACGCTTCAAACGCCGCGCCAAACCCCCCGGCTTCCTCAGCGCCAAGCTCTTCGGTAGCACGAGTGGCTCCCCCACCTACGACCGCATCCTCGAAGAAGGCGACCCGGCCGACGACTTCGAACTCGCCGAAGTCTCCTCCACCGACAGCGCCGACAACGCCTCCCAGCGCTACACCGACGCCACGCCCGCCATCCGCAGCGGCCGCACCTCCGGCATGGTGACGCCCTCCCTCCGCGGCCTCTCCCCAGACATCTCGCGCTCCTCGCCCAAAACGCTAGGATACTTCGACAACCCTCTCCCGCCGGGCTCCTCGCATGGCTTGGGCATCGCACCCGCCACGACGCCTTTTGAGCGCGGGGGCTTGATGAGTCGGAGCGAGAGTAAGGAGCGGTTGGGGCTGGGACTGGGACTGGGCAGTCGGAGCCGCAGGACGAGTCCGACGCGGAAGAGTCCGTTGATGACGCCTTTTTTGAAGGAGAGTGTCGAGTAGATTTGATGGAAGGTAATGTTTAATGAAGAATTTTGTCTAGTGGTTTGGTTGGTCTTGGGTTGTTATAGCGTTGGTGTTTTTGGGGTTGGAATCACCTTTGGATTGGTAAGGTAGACTTTGTTGTAGATATTCGAGAAGGAGAAGACTTGAGCAAGAATCTCTTGAAACTCAAACCATGACATTTCATTCACTTTCATTGTCTTTCATTACCATATCCATGCATGCATATCAATCAATCAATCTATCGACAAGAATCTTATTATGAAACACAAAACGCTCGCTCGCTCGCTCTCTAGTCATTCATGTCCCGTAATGCCTTTTCAGATAACTGTCGTCTCAGTATTCTCTCACGTCTCCCCCTTCTTCCGTTCCAAACACAAAAACCCTTCATCCCCAAACCCCTCATCCTTCCTTACAACGCCAAAACCCCCACCGCCCCAAAAACCACCGCCGCCACCGCACCACCCACCGGCCTCCCCGTCGCCCTCACCGCAAACGCACTACTGCTCGAACTGCCCCCAGACGCACCCGTCGCCGACCCGGACGCAGCGCCCGAGCCAGAAGGCGCCGCTGTCGTCAGACCGCTATCACTCCCGGGCCTGTTAGCGCCCTCGGCGGGTCTGATTACCAACCCCTGGATCTCGCCACCGTTAGTCGCGTAGACGGGGGTGTCGACGGATGTCTGCGTCACGGGCACGATGCTGCCCGTGGGAGCGTTCGAGACGCCGGCGGAAATGAGGGCTTCTGCGCCGCTGGGCGGGTCGGGGATATTGAAATCGGTGCTGAAGCCGTCGTTGGAGATGAGGCCTGCGCTGCAGCGGGGCGGTTGGAGGTTCGTGGCGGTTTCGTTTTGCGTGGTGATGAGGGTGATGTTGAGCTTGCTGTACTGCGACTGCAGGGTGTCGAAGTCCGGGAGGAGGGAGGCGGTGCCGTTGGCGTTGAGGTTGATGAGGCCGAAGTTGGAGGTTTCTTGCGTCCATTCGTAGACGAGGCCGCCGGAGAGGACGGTCATTTGGGGCCCGTAGAGGACGGGGACTTCGTCGAAGTAGCGCGGGGTGGGCTTGTTGCAGCCGTATTCGGAGAAGAAGACGGGGATGGTGGTGTTGCCGAACATTTGGACGAGTACGTTGTAGCCGGAGATGGTGAAGCTGCTGGAGGCGCCGCACCAGGAGTAGGAGTTCAGGCCGAAGAAGTCGGAGCGGGACATGTCCTCGCCGCTGTCCGAGTTGTTGCATTGGAGGTATGCCCAGGTGTCTTCGAGGACTTCTTGGACTTGGGCGGCGGAGTAGCCGACTGGGATGATGCGGTTGGCGTGGGCTGCGATGTAGTTCTTGAGATCCCGCTGCACTGCTCTTATGTAGGGCGGCGGGTCCTGGGCGGTGGAGAGGTCGTTGATGATTTCGTTGCCGGCGAAGAAGCCCAGAGTGTTGGGGTAGGCTTTGAAGGCTTCGACGACGGTGAAGATGTGGGTGAGGTAGTCGGTGTTGTAAGTACCGCTTGGGTTGGAGCGATCGATGGATTGACCGGATAGAGGGGAGTTGACATCGATCAGCCTAGAAACAGTCAGTCCACCTTCACGCCTCCAATTGGACCCTCCCAACATACATATAAATGCCCACGGAGTTGAAGATGGAAGCACACTCATCATGATTGAGCGTCGGATCCACATTATACGAGCGAATAGTGTTAATGCCCATCTCCTGCATCAACGCGGCATCCCGCAAGCACGACGTCGCATTGCTGAGCGGATCGCCCTCTCCAGTGCCATATGCGCCTTGTCCGCCGGGTTGGTAGTCCACACCAATGATCATAAACCGCTCATTCGAGGACGAATCGACGAACTCTTGATTCCGCACGACGACGGGGTTGACGGCGAGAGCGGTGGCTGCGAGAGCGAGGGTGGTGGGGATAGCGAGCTGTGAGGGCGAGGCATGTGGTGTTAGCAGGGATTCTTGGGTCTTGGAGGAAGCTTGGTTGAGCGAGACTCACGGACTTCATGCTGTGCACCGGAGGACAAAGCTTCTTGGTGGAGCTTCGTTGGACGCTGTGTATCTGCTGGGTGGTTATGCGCGCCCGTTTTGCGGAACCAAAATGCGATAAAAACGAAGGTGTGTCTCTCCAACGGTCGACGAGGAAACGACGGTGGTGGTGGTCTTTCTGCAAGGGCAAGTCGAGAAGGAAAGGAAGAGGTCAGAAGCAAAGCCGGTCGAGATGCATGCTGTACGAACCTGCAGCAGTAGCAGTAGCAAGCGGCAAGCAGCGGCACGCCACGCCTAGCCTATCTCCGCCTGCCTGCCTCTATCAGAAACAGCCTGTGAGACGTTTGGCGTTGGTCGTCTCGTTTCGGCAGCTTGCCAAGCATACCAAACCCCGCCCCCACGCTCGTCTCAGACCGTTATCTGGTCCTGGCTCATCAAACAAAATGCTTGAAAGATTGCTTGTTGTTTCATCATTGCCCCGTGCACTTTCGTCACTTTCCTTCACTTCTTCAACATACAACAACAGCTATTACTGCACTGGTGGCTATTTTGATGCAGAGTCTAGATGGCTGGCGGCACAGCTGACTTCTGCTTTCGACCGTCAGCAGGATCAATGCTCTATGCAGGTGTCGCAATCATCTGCCCTGGTGGTTGGGGAAACGCCAAACTTTAAATCCAACCTCCATCGCTCCACTAAGACATCTCTACCGCGGAAACTAAGACAACAACTTGTCGTTACCATGCTTCACTCGAGCGAATTGTAGGCTCACGCCGAGAGGACCCAATCTGGCTGGAGACACCCTTCTCGATGCCCACAACATACCCTACGAGAGGCCGAAGTGAGCCGCCTAGAGCTGTCGAGCCACCGCCGTCCAACAATCGTCGTCGTTCTTCTCACAGGCGCGGAACCTCCTTTCTTTCACTCTCTTCATGGCAGCTTGATATCCCCATTGTCTGGTCAATCTCAGTTGCGAGGTCGCGATGTCTTCGAGTCCGCTTGTTCCCACTCGCACCGTCATTCAGAAGACTACGCATTTCCTTCTCCTCTTACAACTCACAAAGTCATCATGATATCGGCGGGTCTGTGATTGTACAGGGTCTTCGTTATGGTGGAGGAACGTACCGTATACACAAGGAACGTAAAGAAAGACTTCCTCTCCCAAGCCACGAATGAGAGCGAGTACTGTGTTCACAGCGGCCACCAATAAGATGATTGACCAAGAGACTAGGGACTGCGAGAGAAAGACCTGGTTTGTTCAATAACTCTTTGCTTTTCGTTATTTATCTTCTTATCTCATCTAACTCTAGACTAGACGAATCAAAACGATGGGTATCATTTCACACCTCTCGCTCACAACAACACAACGACACCACGCATCTACTCAAACTCCCCCCTCAACTTAACCGCCCTCTCATGCAACGCCTCCCTCCTCCTCGCCGCCTTGCTCGCAAAGAAACTCTCCCGCTTCACCCTCCGCTCCTGGCTCATCGCCACCTCAGCATTCATCTGATCCCGCTTGACAAACGTCTCGATATCATACGGGCTCGCCCGCACCTTCAACGCATACGCCACCGTCGCATAGCTCTCCGCGGCCTCCTGGTTAGCCGCCTCGGCGTCCCGTGCGGTATTCTCCGCCGCAGACGCCGTGCTGGCAGAGCGTTCCTCCGCCGCAGAGATTTCCTCCCCAGAAGCCGCCGGCGAGCGTTTCAGCAGCGCAATAAACGCATCCCTCGCCTCCTCCGCCACACCCGCCAACTCCCCCGCCTCGCGCTTCAACTTCATCGCCTTCTTCGCCAGCTCGTCCGCCTTGGAGTTTTCGGATTTCCAGAAATCCTCGTCCTCGGCCGCCGCGCGCCGGACGTACAGCCCGCGCTTGGTCACGGCGAGGGCGTGCGCTGCGTCGTCGCCGGCGTCGACGGCGTCGCGTTTCCATTTGGCGGCGCTTTCGTTGGTTTCCGTTGTGACTTTTTCGCCTTTGGAGAGCCATTTGGCGACGTCTTCTTCGGACCGGCCGATGAATGTGCGGAAGGTGTTGGCGAAGGCTTCGGCGACGGGGGCCATGTCTGTTTGGCAGTGTCGTCAGTATGGTTGTCCTTCGCCGATATAGTATGGCTGAGGCTTACCACCATCACGCTCCACAGGCTGAGCTGTTGGGGCAGCAACGACTGCCGCTGCAAGCAGCAGAGTGCCGGTGATGTACTTCATATCGAGAAGGAAAGTGATGTGCTTGACGACCGAGCGTCTTCAAAGGAACATCCGCCCTGCAGATATGTCCCTTCGAAAGTAGTAGAGACTGATGATGATTATAAGAGAGGGTTCGTCAAAACCCGATGGGGGAGCAGGGGCCTGCTACTTGAAGAGAGACGTTCGCTGTTGTGCCAACCAAACGACGAACGAAGCAAACTTTCATCACCACTCGCCTCTTAATCATAGGCGAATGCAACAACACCACGCTCCACTCCTGACGCATCGCGTCGCCCTATAGACGAGCGGTCTCACGTCCGCCACAGAAAATCCCCCAAGAAACCCCGAAGCGAACGAAGCATCATTGTCGGCTTCAATCAGCAGTGTGATAACCTTGCAGTCAGCAAAAAAACAGACTTTGGATGATGCGACTGCTGATCTTCGGTGTCCGTCCAAACTCATATCTTGGGCGACTCCATACCTGCTAGGGAAGGTGTTGGTCGAGGATCTGCACGCGTAAACTCCCGAGTCACATCATATGCTATGGTGGATAGTCTCGGTGGGTTGGCCTGACGCAGTGATCTGCGGTTCGTGCGGTGCAATTGCGTGGAACATGCCGATGGATCATTTGCCGTGGTGAGTGAGGCCATCCTCTGGCATGTGAATGGATGTGGGATTTCTACTTGTTGTTCGATGATCAGAATCCGCTGGTCTTTCCCATCATCATCACGGCATATTTTTTCTTTCTCTTCACCAGCATTCTCCCTACTAGTCAGTAGCACCATCGCCAACCAGCCTCATCAAGCCCACCATCTCCCACCCCAGTCAGCACCTCGGCACCCATCAAGATCTGCATTAGCCAAAAAACGGCAAAGGCGTCCAACCAACTCCCTCATCTATCATAGCCCCAGCAAGAGCCAAGAACGTGCGCCATCCCCCACCAAAAGGCAACACAACGCGAAACGCAAAGACGGGTGTTATCTTGGCTTCAGTGGCTTCAAAGCCGTCGACGCAACGTGGCTTGCGCCTCTGAGAACTCTAAGGTTAAAAGGTAAAGCCTAGCGATGAGTTTGTAAACCCGACGAATAGGCTTGCAGATGATGGAAGATGTGGCCCTCCTCTCCAGTAGATGGCGTGCGTCTGGTTTTCAGCCTCGGTGTAAAGAGGAGAGATCCAGGGTCCTTGCGTGCTTGGGGTGGTGTGTCGTCCGGTCAAAGTTTCCGTTCGGTGTGAGGTGATCGGCAGGTAAGGCTCGCCAAGACAGAACTTTAATCGAGACGTCAATTGCTCCTTGCTCCTTCCGATCGGCGAGCTGTTTGGCTTGCGTGTACAGTGCGAACTACCGATACAAACTATGATGATGAACTACGAAAAAGTACCAATGAACCATGTGATGTGATGACAGGCAATGAGACCCCTCGTGCGTCCAACGTGTAATGTCTCGCGACAACCATTCACAATCCCACCAACGCCATGCTTTTCTGCAGTGAAAGCACAAAATTCAATCCTTCAACTGCGCTCTCAGTCCAACATTCTCCCTCTTCAACCGGCTCGTCTCCCTCCTCAGTTTAGCCGCCTCATCCTGACTCTCCTTGAGCTTCTTCTTGAGCTCTTCCACCCCCTCTCCACCTCTGACCGCCTTCATGATTTTGCCGAGCTCGTCGTTGAACCGCGTGTATAGCGCCTCGTTCTCCGCGTTAGCTTCGCGATAAAGCTCGTCCAGCTTCTTGCACTTGTTCTCCGACACGCTAAGCGAGGACGAGAGGTCTGACTGAATGCTGCCGATGCGGCTGTTCAGTTCGTCGACCTGCTTGGGCAACTGACCCTCCATGCGGAGGACACGCTGCGCCAGGTTCATGTTGCTTGGTTGGGATGTGGATCCCCGAGCAGCAATCGTCTTGCTACCTCGCACAGGAGACTGTCGAACACTGGTCGAGGAAGTCAGCTCGTCTCCTATCTTGCTGAGCTCGTCCTGCAGTGAGTTCTGTGCGTCCACAATCGAGCTTTGCTCATTTTGAAGACGCTCACGCAGCTTCTGCGGCGACTGCATGCGTAGCTTCCTAGACGGCGTTGAAGGTACTGGAGTCTCTGTGCCAACCGTCTTGCTACGATCTCTTGTCGTCTTTTCTGGTTGCGGCGATGGTTTCTTGACGATGTTGCCAGCCCCTGGGCGCTCGGAGAGGCCAGTGCGTCCAGGCGTAGCTGGCAGATGCTTTGACGTCGAGCTAGTCTTTGGGGTCAAGCTTGGAATGTTTGACAATGGCCGGCTGGAGATGACCACCTCATCAGGAACACCTCCACTCGTCTTGGGCCGTGGCTGTTCAGTATACCCAATCGCTCTGTTTGGTCCAGGCGATAGCTCTCCTCTAAAGGACGATGGTAACCGAGAGCGAGGTGAGCCGTGAGAAGGACTGCCAAATCTACCGCTATTCATCTTTGTTGAGGGAGTCATCGGAGGGGGCGACATTGGAAGCTCCTTCTCTTCGGTCTTGCTCTGTTTCAGTGGTGGTCTCCGAGGCGGTGATGGTGAGCGGTTTGGTGAGTTCTCTACACTCTGCAGGACTGACAGCGAGCTACGCCGTTTCTTCCTGGGTGGACCTGTAGGGATGAAACTTGGATGTTCTCCAATGGTCGACAGACCGAGATTGTGGCTCGAAGGTGTCCGGCCAAGCGCTGGCATTGACGGCATTTCGCCAAAGCCGTGGGCTTTCGTACTGTCCTGCGACAAGGGACGATTCCCTCGTGCAACACCCTCGTCTATGGACTGAGATCGACCGAGCGAGCCCTTCGAAACGCTATTGTGAGGGCTGGCATCGGTTCGACTTGTCTTGCTAAGACTCCGCCAGACAGAAGCGACTTTTGACTCCTGCTCGGATTTGCTATTCTCTCGAGATAGGGTGCTGAAGCCGAACTTCCGTCGTAGTGAAGAGGTGTTGCTCGTGATGGAAGATGAGTTTACCGACCGTGCTCTCTTGTGCGAATTGACGGAGCCACTTCCATGATTCTGTCGAGGTTCTTCAATTGGCTCGCCAAAGTATGTGTCAGTGTCGTCCACGAACCGGTCAAAGAGGGCAATGTAGTCGTGTGGGTTACCCTCGCTGACCAAGACCTCTGCGAAGCAAGCTGTCAACGTGCCTCGATCTCCATCGTTGCCAGTTCCGTCGAGCAAGTCCGCAAGCAGCTTCATGATCCCCTTGAAAGCACGTTGGTTCTGCGGCGCAAGCTTCCCCAGTGCTGACTTGAAGTACTCGTCAAAGTCTCTTGGAAACAGCGATTCGGCTTTTGACTGGATGTCTCGCAGAATTGAAGTAGGCATGACTTCTCCAATGCTGTCCTTCCACGCCATGTTCAAGAACTTCTCGAACGCGGCAAATAGTACATCGAGTGGAGCCTGGGCAGCCAACACCATCATGTTCGGATCTTCAAGCAAACTGTTGTAAAGCTCGTTCACAAGGAGGTCGTCTGCAACGAGTCGCATTTTGAGGTTCTTGCCCACAATGTTGCCTTTTCGGGCTTGGAGTGCCAGTACATAGGCAGACAGTGTGTCTTCGAGCTTCTTCAGATGCACAGAAGGAGGTTCACTTGATGTCGAGGAGAATGAGATCGCAGTCTGGTCTCGAGATGACGGTCGGGACTCTCGACTGGGGGGTTTGTTCGATGTAGTCGCTGGTATCCGTGACAGCGAGGGTTGTGCAGAGAGGGGAAGAGCTGGCAGGTCTCTTGATTCTTTCCTGAGCAGGTTTCGTGGCTCATCACCAGGACCGACGCTTGACAAGAAACTGGAGAGCAGCTTCTTGGGCGACTTTGGACGATGTATGCGTTCGCGAGGTGCAAGCTGCGTGCGGTCTCCGTCGCCGTCTTGCAGAACGATTTGCAAATCTAGCGACTGCAAGACATCCAGGTTCCGACCTAGCATGCAAGCTGTCATGGCAGGCTGTTCGATTGCAAAGCGGCCGCTTATCAACGATGCCAGCTTTCTACGGATCGCAGGCACTAGGTCTGGCGTTTCGATGTGCTCACGTCCAAGACCGCCATCGATCGAATCTATCGCCATGCGCCACAGTCCTTCTCGCCCAGGAGTTAGGTTGACGATAGTCCGAATGCCGCTTTGGCCAGCAACTGGTCGCTCATCATGTCGCTCAGCATCCACAACGATTCGTATGGCAGCATTGCTGCCTCTGGCGTTGACGTGTTCGACGTTGGCATCCTCAAACACTGCACTGAGCAAGCTCAGACTGTCTGATGCGACGTCAGTAGCACGGAAGTCCCAGCTGGCTGATTCACGCTCTGCTTCTGAGAAACGACTCTCTACTCTCGCCTTGCAGACCTCCTCGATGAATCGAGAGACCTTTCCATCGTACATGTTCTCCAGGCGTACAATCTGACAAGAATCTAGAATTGCCTCTCTTGCAGCTAGAGCACCCATTGCCAGCTCAAAGAAGGTAAGCAGCTGCAACGCCTGGCCATCGTGACTCTCTGTCAGTTGCACAGCATCGAGTTGTAACCGACGTACGAACTGCAGGTCTCCAGCAGTGTCAGATAGACTTTCCACTGATCTTGCTGGGAGCGATCCGCTCTCTAGCTCAGTCACCAGGGAACGGGCGGTCGTCTTGCCCTTGCCCGACTTTTCCACAACCACAATACCATCCGTGAAGAGGAGCAGTATTCCACGAACTCCATCGCATCGTTCGAGGCTGTGTGGTGGACATAATTCGACGAAGTCAGCTCCCGTGATCAGACGTCCTTTGATGTCGATATCTGCGGGCCAGCCCAGGGTTCGTGCGCGCAATCGCTCAACAACGGCAGTAGCTTCGGTGCCTTCGTTTTCCGCACATGTCTCTGTGATGATATCGCGGGCTTTGAGCAATGGTCTGAGGGCTGGATGACGGGCAGGAAGCTGCTTGGTAATGCTGTCGATGTAGAGATTGTAGCGTGGGAGTCGCTGGACCGGTTCGATAAGTAGTGATATAAGCTTTTGTTCACCAACGTCCTGCAACTCGCTAGTCAACGAATCGCCATTGCGAAGAAGCACGCGCAATGTTTGCGAGGCGCGTGCGTGGCTGCTGAGGTAGTCTTTGTAGAGATCCGAGAACCTTGGAAACCATTCGAGTAGGCATTGTGCAATTGGATAGACTCCTTGCAAGTCAGATCCTGGCTCCGGTGTTACAGGTGTGTTGGGATCAATTTCTTGCGAATTCTCGATGTCGTCTTCCGCTGCAGCTTCCGTACTCTCGACAACACTCTTAATAGCATCCAAGAAACCCGAATTGATTTCCAAGATCTGAGTAATGCTGGGTGGAAAGATCTGGGCCAACTGCTGTTGCAGACTCTCTTTCAAGTCTGCTCCGAGCCTCCCGGACAGTCCCTGCAACTCCTCCAGACGCCCCACATAGCTTTGTTCAGTGTTCAGCAGTTCCTGGAGTTCCTTGCGGACGTTCTCCTTCTGTTGCTTGGTGAAAGAAGTGCTTCGTCCAATGGCATTGGCCTTGGATGGCGCACGCTTCAGCTTTGAAGTTGGCAGGAAAGTAACGTCGCCCAAGCTCTCAATCAGATCCGCATATCGTCCATATCTCTGCACAAGGAGTTCATGATCGTCCAGATCCTCGGATCTAGCCGAATCGGATCGATCTGCAATAGTGCCCGCGGGAAGAAGAACGTCGATGTCCAACCAGGATAACCGCTGCTCACAGAATGCCTCTGAGATGTCGCCAACCACATCGTCAACATTCTCCACCTTGTTCATGCGAGTCGCCAAGATGGCGATATGATCGTCCCCAAACAACGCACCAGGCGAAGGCGTCTTGACCTGCGATGCCCATGTCTTCTTCACGGCCTCCGACAGCTCCTCGAAGTACTTCTTCAAGCCAAAGGCCAAACCGCGGCAGACCTCATCACCCTGCTCTTCACGTGGCAAGTTGCTGACAGCCGAGTAGAATGGCGAGTTCGGGGAAACGGAGAGGCGCGAATAGGAAGCGAGGCCGGCAGGTGTGAAGACGTGAACCTGTATGCGCGAGCTGGTCGCGCCAATGGTGGACGCGGGGCCATGGAAGACGAGCACGGGGGAGTTGCTGAGAAGCGGATCGGTGGTGTGAAAGAGGGCCAGCTCTCCTGACAATGCAGGCGGGCCTGGGATGACCGTGGCCATGGGCAGCGCGGGGTGGTATGGGTGCGGCGGAAGACTATGGCGCGTGAAGGAGAGGCGGAGGTGGTGTAGCTGTGGTCCGGTATTGACTGCTCATGATCTCGTGTTCGTCGCGTCGTTAAGGTCGTGGAAGCATCCTGACTTGGGTCGCGTCGAGGCAGTAAACACAACCAGTGCACGCCCCAGAGCACAAAGTCAGGCCTTCCTTCCTCCTCGCCAGATGCAGCTGCAGTCTGGGAAGCTGCGACTTGATTGAGGACTGGGATCCCCGTCCAAGCGCGAACTCTAAATCGCGCCCAAGCGCGGGCCAACGTGACATGGGTCAAATCGCACAGCAGGCGACACAACCGGTCACGACAGCAACACTTTCAACAAATTTTACCGCCGTCGTGACAGCTTGGGCGACCGAGCAAACATGGCACAGTCCAGCGGCATCCCAATCTCAATACTGCCTGAGAACGACTTGCAACACTTCCGCCTCCTCGAGCTGCCCGCTGAACTGCTAGCATTGGTTTCGTCGGAGTCGCCGCCGCTGTGGGTACAGCTGAAGTTGAGGGTCATGCTGCCGTGACATTCTAATGAATAACACAGATTGCAGCTCAAGTCGGTTGAGACCATTGATGGAACAGCCAAAGACGCCAATGCCGTGCTGTGCACTCCAGACAAGACATACGAAATTCGGCAGGTCAACACTTCGAACAGTGTTTACTTGACACAACCATGCACCAACGGAGACGGAGGTGGCTCGAACGACGCGCTTGAGGCTATAGCAAAGTGTGATTCAACCCTTGAGCTGACCCCACTGCCCAAACGACCTGCGACATCCTACATCAAGAAAGCCTTGCCTGTCTACGCTTCCACTGGAAACTATGGATCCACAAGATCGGTGTCGAAGGCCGAGCTGTTCTCCAACATTCCCCTGAGTCAGGCCGAATCCGAAGACGGGTGGAAAGAATTGGCTTGCTTTGAGTCCATCGACCCATCAGGGTCCTTCATCCCTAGCGCTAAGGTCAAGGCACAAGTCTGGGAGGCCGCTTTTACAGCAGCAATAGCAGAAGGCGCGAATCTGCAAGACCCATTCATCGCGGACGATATCCCTGTCTTCGGCATGGATTTGAAGCAAGACTGGCCGCTCGAGCTGCTTTCAGGGGTGTTTGCCGGCATATCCTCCAGTACAGCAGGTGGAAATCTGGCCATTGACGAAGACAAATGCATTCGCTTCGTTGGTCTGAGTCAATTGGAAGCGAGATCTGCTGGACGAGCTACAGACCTGGCCGCCTTCCTCCAAGCATGGAAAGATACCGTACCAGAGGCCTGGCGAACCAAGTGCGAGATGCCCGTCTTGAAAGGCTCGTACAATCTATCAGACGGCGGAAAATCAATCACCTTCATCGACGGCCAAACCTCCACTGACAGCTCCAAGGGCGCAGCTGAGGAAGCCAAATCCGCACTGGGAGCAAAACGAAAATGGCACGAGAAGTTCAAATCATCAAAACGGACTTCTTGACCTCGTATCTACATCTATATCAAACCAAAACCCATCATCACTACATCCCATTTTCAACCAACTACATCGGCATCCTCCTCATCTCATCCAAACTCCAATACCTCCTCATATTCTCCGCCCCCAGCGTCCTAACCTCCTCATCCAAATGCGTCCACAACACCTCCCCAAAAGAATCCATGACCCGCTTCAACTCCCTCAACTCCAACTCCCTCTCGCCGCCCCTCACCCCATCCACATACTCCTCCAACCGCTCAATCCCCTCATGAATCCCCTTATGCTGCTCCAAATGCCTGCCCCCATTTTCCTTGAACACATCCATCCGCTTCGCGAGCACCGGGAAGATGTGCTGCTCCTCGATGGTGTGGTGGATCGTGAGGTGGTGCGTGAATTGCTGGATGGTGTTGAGGAATTGTTTGATGGACATTCCTTGGGGGCGTTTGTTGGAGGAGGCCGCGCTGTAGAGCGTGTTCCAGGTGCGGCGGAAGTTTTCGTGCTGTGTGGAATTTGTCAGTTAGTTGCTTTTGAGATGGATCGGTGTGTGTTTTGGGAGGGTAGAAGGGGAGGGAGGAGACGTACAAACATATCCATATGCTCGCTCATGTGGTTGAATTGTCTGAATTCCTGCGGGCTCAATTTCGGCAAGGTCTCAGTCTCTTGCTGTTCTCCTTCCGTCTTCTTCGACCCCGTAGAGACTTTCGTCGGCTGAGGACATTTCGGAACTCCCTCGTCTTCCATCTTCTCGAAAGGCTGAGGCTGCTGTGCTTCTCCCATCTCGTCACTGCTTTGCGTGCTCAAATCTCTCCTCTTCTCTGCTGTAACGAATGATCTAATCCGCAATGTCTTGTTGCTGCCGTTGTTATTGTATCGCAGAAGAAACAAACGTCGACGTAGCACAACCCTCCCTAACATATATACCCAACCTCAAACCCCAACACTCCCAAAGTTCAAAGTTCATACAAATAGTCAAATCTCGAACCCCCTCGACGCCTCTTTCCGCAGTACTTATGCAACCAAAAACCTTCACACACACAGATATCCTTCACCTTACTGGTTCTAGTATACGCCTTCCCCAAACTCTAACAAAGCAAGCCCTCCAATAATCAATTATATCCCGCGCGTGGCCCCGAATCCGAAACATTTAAGGGCGATTACCAAACCCTCGGCGCTCGCTGGTCTTCCACAAGGGAACAAAGATGGGCCGAATGTCCGCTTGAGAGAGAAATGGAGTAAAATCCATCCGAAGCAGCGCGATTTTTAGTTCCATAAGAGCGTATTTTCCACGTTGCTTCGGGGCCGCATCGACTGCAATGCAATGCGCGGTCTGGATGTCTTTTGTTGTTGACAAACACTTCTTCTCATTCGCTTCTCTTCCATTCACAGACTACATACATTACACAGCTTCAGTACCATGCTATCATTTGGGTTTGGGTATCCTCTAGTCTTTTTTTCGCTGATGAATCTAATGACGCTCTGGGGAAAAAAGCGTGCAGAGCATCCAATAATCCAAATGCGCATCTCTCTCTGGTCTGATCCAAACTCTCGCAAAGAACGATCAAAAAGTACGGTTCAGCAGCCGCTCGCTCAAAGTTAAGAACAGCAGCAAGCAAAAACAGGGGGTATAGAACAAGCTCGAAGGCGATGCCAATATATTCTGATGGGGTTGGGGTTGATCTGTCCCGATTGTAGTCGATACCTCCAGAGAAGATGAAAAAGGTGGGTGCGTTGATGCGATTCTTGCTGCAAAGAGCCTTCCGAAAACGCCTCGCTATGCCATAATACCGTCAGAGTCGTCGTATCCATGTCGAGAGAAATACTCGATTAGATCGTTCTAGGATCCTCGTTCTGGGTACCCTCCAGGGCCAGAGCCTTGTGTTGAGTCGCCCTCGATTGTCTTACGCCAGTGTTGCGGTAGGCAAACGCAGACCAGAGGGAAGGCTTTGACCTCGCCTTCATCCGCGGTATCGGGAGGCGCACTGAGCCCACTGTCACGTTGGACCTTTCCTTCAGGCCTCCAGTCTTCCGCTCTCTGTCGAACTCTCACACCAGTCGCCCACCCATCGTCCCAGATGCCAATCACTTTGATCAAGTCCCCTCGTTCCAGCTGGAACTCGTCCGCCGCTCGTGGCTCGTACGCCCAAAGAGTCGATACAAGGTCGCCAGGGCGAATCTCGTCTTGGGAGTAATAGTCCTTGAAGAAGCCGAGCTGCTCGCTCTGCCCTGGAGACTCAGGCGATGTATATTCGGCGCCAGAGCTTGGGGAGGTGTCTGGTTCTGCAACACCCGCAACTGCAAGTTGTGAGCCGCTCGAAAGCGAGCCACTGCGCTTCGGTGGTGGCGCGAGCCTTGACTCTGGAGTATCTTCTTCCTCAGAAGTATCTTTGGCATAGGCGGCCATGGTGTACGGGGTGTCGTGTTCCGAGCTGGCATCTCCCTCCAACGCCGTCATTCTCGCCACACGGCCACCAGGCAAAATCGCAAGACCCGCGCGTTCTTGATAATCGCGTGCCCCATCGCTGTACCCGGTCATTTCCGGCTGGGCTCGTCCTGGTGCAGGTTGATTGAAGACACTAGTGGCCGGACTATGGTCTCTACGTCGTTTCAATACAAGGCAGCCGACAATGATGAGGCCCAGGAGTGCAACAGCACCAAGGACAGATCCAACTGCGATACCAGCAACCTGGCCTTTGCTGAGTCCAGTGTTTGTGTTTGCTTCGGCCGTTTGAAACCCGCTCGGAGTCGCCGTAGTCGTGGCTGTCGCAGACACAGTCAAAGTGACGGGAGTCGCCAGTGATGCTGCAGCGACCACTGGCAAAGTCACATCCTGGCACCTTTCTGTCGTGTTCGAGAACACGCAACATGAGTCGGTGCCGTTTTGCGAGCTGGTCGAACAGAACTGACAAAGTCCGACAAGATTGTTTGTGAATCCACAGTCGTCAGGCTGATTGTCGGTGGCCTGGATGCATGATTGAGTGAGCGAATTGGCAGGCAGGGCGCAATTCGTAAAGTCCGCCCGAATCTGCGTGAGGACATCGGAATTTCGTGAGGTGCCGCAGATGTTACTTGCGACGATTTCTTGTTCGTTCTGAGCAAACTCGGCACAGGAGTCGGCACAGAGTGGTCGTGTGGCATCGCCAGTTAGACCACAATAGCTGACGGAATTTTGGACCACAGTATTACACAATACGCTCGTTGTATATCTGGCGTAGAAGTCTGTAGTGTTATTGAGGTTCACATTAGAGCAGCCCAGTAATTCCTGGTATCTAATCCCTGTCAGCTCGCGTGTTTTCGAGGTATTGGTGGGCACGTACTGTCGCTGCGTGTAATTACGAGCAATGTAGTCCCGCAAACTGCTGTCGAAGGATGCAGTATCCGTGACATCGTAAAGAAATGGAAAGAGGCTGGCGACGGTATTGTCTGTTGTGATTGAAGCGGCGCTGAAGCTCGGGCACTCGGTAGAATCGGTGAGCGGGATGCAGTTCTGCGCCATTGCGGTTTGTGTGGTGCCTGCGAGCAATGCGCATATGGCTATCGAAGGTGTAATATTCCCTCGCCGCCGCCTCCTGTGGTGGCGAACGACATGTCTGGGTGGATCTGCAGGTCGCATGTGCTGGCGGTGTTGCTGCCCTCGGGATGTCGAGCTGGTCAAGCTGCAGTGCGCGTTCGGCGGGTCGAGATCGCCATTGGAGCGAGTGTCGCTGCCCCTTTGGATCATTCTTCGCCTGCGACTCAGGACACAGGGTCTCGTCGTCGCAGCGGTGGTCGCTGAGGCCCGACGGGGGACAGTAGTGCGGTGCCGGGTCGGCGGTGGATTGTTTGGATCGGTCGGTACGGGCCTCACAAGCTGAGGAGGGTCGACGCGTGCGGACGGGCGTGGAGCATGCTGCGAGGTGAAAGGCCGGGTGTGGGCGTTGCGCTGGTGGCGATGGAACGAGCGACAGTCGATGGCACACCCTGGGACTGGGGGTGTCGTCGACGAAATGGCCAGGCAGGCGTGCGGTGGAGGTTGACCCAAGGGAAAGCGCAGCGTGCAGCAGCGACGACGAGAAACGGGAGTCGTCGTTCGGCGTGGGCGCGGGTTGTCGCTACCGCCCACAGCTCATCAAACCGCTGGTCCCTGCCACTCATTCGCCGCCTGCAATTGGCTCGGGCCCTCAACGGCGACGCGGGCCGGACGCTTTAGCAAGCTAATGAAATTGGATGTTGTTGCTGTGAGCTTCGCCTTTCACTTCATCACGAGCACATGAAACACGATATCAATTGATGATGGAGAGCTGCTGAAAGAAGAAGACCTCGAGCACCTCTTCCCTGCCATCTCCACGACCGCCATCTCTTGTACTCCCAGACACGGCGACAACCAAGGCAAGGTCCCAAACAGTGAAACGGCGCCTGTGCTTCTCTCACTTGTTTGTGAATCCATGCAAAACGGCGGGTCTGTGTCCACGTGAGACCAAGCCTCTCCACCATCCGGCTGTTCAGCAAGTAACAACTTCATCCGGCGAGGCTGCAAGGGTGTTCAAGATCTCACGATGGATTATCATGTTCGCCATGAGGTGAGGTCAACACACTCATGCAAGGGAGCACTCCGCATTGTTCACCGCTACGTCTTCATGCAAGGGCGGATCTGTGTTCCTCGTGGATGCAAACAATGCGTTTCGCCATGACAATCCATCCTTGTGTTGCTACAGAGTCTTACAGCTTCCATCTCGATCCGTTCGAGTCAGACCAGACCTATAACGCGCCTCTCTAAGCTTTGCTTCTCGGCTCGATCGGCTTGGGTCGCTCCGGAGTATCAATTTGAGCCGACATCTTGGTCAGATACACATCACTTCCCTTGAACGATGGCGTCTTCTGGTCCAGGAAGAGGATGCTGAGCGGAAAGCCGTACTCGAATGGCGACGCCGATTCGATCTCCTCGATCTCCGCCTTCGACAGCTTGATACTTAGGCCTTCGATGTTGCCTTTGAGATGCTCGACCTTTCGTCCGCCCACGATGGGGAAAACGTTCGGTGTCTTGTGCATCACGTATGCAAGTCTGAATCAATCGTCAGCGTTGTCTTTGGCACCACAACGACGACCCGGCACTCACGCGATTCCCGTGATGACAGTCCCCTTCTCATTGGCAATCTTCTCAAGCACCTTGCTGATGGCAATGTCTCTCTCTGAGATCTGGAACATCTTGCGTCCATCCGTGGCTTTCCTCTGCTCCTCGCTCTTAAAGTTGCCTCCCCCAAGAGCTCCCCATGGCGCGAGACCCATCCCCTCTGCTTCACACATCGGAATGATGTCCCTCTCGAAGTCTCGAATGGAAGCGCTCCACTGGCCCTGGTAGACAACGAAAGGACGCATGCCGTGGTCTCGAGCCCATTGGTTAGCCTTGCTGACGATCCACGCTGGAGTATCGCTGACACCTGCACATAGTCCGTCAGACCATTGAACCACACCAACCTGATCTGGAACTCACCAAGATAGAGAACCTTCCCCTGATCGGCCAGAGTATTGAGGGACCTCATAATCTCCTCCACAGGCGTCGTGTAATCCCACCAATGGACATACAGCACATCGATATAGCTCGTCTTGAGTTTCTTCAGACTGGCCTCGACACTCATCACCATCGACTTTGTATTATTGCCCGTGTAATTGCTCTGCAGAGCCTTTGGGTCTGAGCCAGTGCGGTATCCCGAGGTGTACTACTCGGATGTAAGTCTGGGCCTCAATCTCTCCATCCTTCTTCCAATCACACACCTTCGTCGCAACTGATCCCTAACCCCCCTCTTCTCCATCCACTCCCCAATCCACGCCTCACTCTGCTCATTCTGATAATTATTCGCCGTATCAATAAAATTTCCCCCTTGCGCATAGAAATAATCCAAAATCTCGAAAGTCGTCTCTTTGGAACATTCGCCTATACAACATCAACACACAGCACACACGACGTCCGGGAAGGTAAGGAAGGTATACCCATAAAACTACTCCAAGCATCCCCAAAATTCATCGCTCCCAGACACAACGGCGAGACTCTGACACCCGCATTGGGGGCTAAGAGGCGGTGGTAGCCTAGGACGGAGGCGGGTCCATTGGCGGCGGGTCGGATCTCTGCGATGGAGTCTGTTTCGGTGAGTTTCGAGGCCATGGCGTGTATGTGAGAATTCACGAGTGAGTACTGCAAGAGACTGAGGTAGATTTCAACAACCGCGACAAAAGTACAAAGAGATCTAAACCGTCTCCTACGTCTCTTATATACCTCACCTCACATCATACAACCCCCTCTTCTCTTCCTCCGTATCTCCACAATCGTATATCCTTCATGCATAGAGGATTTTCTCGCATTCACACACCCGAACTCTGATCGACGACATAATGCAACGAGAGCCACACACATATGCGCTCCTCCGGCCCTAAATGCACAATGCAGAGGATAAGGCAAAGCCCTGGAATCCTTATCCCGGGCTCACTATCCCGAGAGCTGCATAAGATGCTCCATCGCACCTGTGCTTTGCGGGAGATGTGGTAAGCTGGTCCGTTTGTTTGGAAGGGGCCTTTTTCGCTAAAGGCTGAGATCAGCTGGGCGAGGCTGATTATTAGCCGGCAAGTCCTGTCGTGCGTGTATCTTCTGGTTGTTGTTGTTGTTGTTGTTGTTTGTGCACGGCTTTCAGCGCATAAATGTGCAGCGGGATAGGTGGGACCTTTGCGGCCGCTTGAATGAAGGATGGCTCAAGGGAGATTTGAGTGCTTGCAGATGATGGTATACAAGCGGCCGCAGATATGATCGACAGTGGGTATGCTTGCACAATTCCCATGCACAAGCCCAGCTGAATTGAGCAGCTGACGTACGGGGAGAGTGCATAAAGGCGAAATCCTCCTGCAGGTACGCGGCGTTTAGCACAAGCTCCCCCATTGAATGCAGCACATGCATCTGTGCTCAATCTTGGCAAGGTTCATAGTCCAACGCACAGGCTGCACTATCATCGAATCCGATTCACCCTCACATACGACGCATCCAACCACGACAAGCCCTGTGCGCGGAGATGGTCTCTGACGTCGGAGATAATCTCATCGCACCAGTCCACTTTGGCGTGGTCGCCTTGTTTCTGATACCATTTCATGGCGAATTGCAGCGGACAGCAGATCGAAAGGGCGCCGCCGACGTAGCTGGGGAAAGAGGCGCTCGATCCGATGTGGTGTAAGGAGTCGGAGCAGACGAAAGGCACGGTCTGGCAGAGGGAGTCTGTGCATTCGTAGACTCGCTTTTTGAGGAATGTTTGATTGGCTGTGGTGATGCACAGCGCGGCTGGCCGGGCTATTGAGAGGTCGTAGATTGCTTCACGGAGGGCCAAGAGGACAGTCCAGTAGTAGCCGTGGCGGACCGTGTCGATATTGCTGGAGAATTCGAGACATTTGGTGAAAGGTGTGTTGAGGTGGCCGTATTGCTCGAAGTACATTGGGAAGTGCTTGATATCCATGGTTCGGTAAGGTGACTTGGTTGGAAGGTCTTTATAGCACTGGAGCAGCCAATCTTGCAGTCGCTTTTCGAGATCTACGAGTTGGGCATATGTCTCGGTGATTGTAGGTACCCATCGACCTCGAGTTGCAACGATTCGGTCGGCTTCCTCGAGAAGGGCTGGGACTTCACAGGCGAGGGTATGCATTCTGGCGGCAGGCCGGTCTGCTTCGATTTCTTGCATCCGCTTCAGCCATTCGGGTTGCCCGAACACGAATGACTTTCTCGACTGAAGCGCGTCCATGAGCGCGACATGCCGGAAGTTGCACACCAGGTTTCTGGAGAACTGGGAGTCAAGTCTGTGTGGACCACGCATTGCAAGTAGTCCGCACAAGCCTCGACAATGAACGACCCAGCGATTGTCGCCATTTGTGATATCTAGAAACATCGCGCATGCCCCCAGAATGTCGATCGCACCCAAAAGGCTATCATTCGTGGCCGCGTTGGGTTTCCTCAGGCCATCGTTCAGGAGTTGAAGGGCAGCTTCATGTCTGCGCTTGCCCTCGATCTTGTAACGCTTGTCTTTTGTGTTGAGACCATGTTGCACCAGAAGAAGCGTGTCGACTGCCGCAGCCATAGCATCGCCCCTGGGAACCAGCCAGTCATCGATAATCTCTGATACCTGCTGTCGGTCGACAAATGCCGGTGGGAATTGCGCGTCAAGAAACGCTGCTTTTAATTGAACTCTGTAAGATGAAGTACTACTGATGGTCGCATCGCCAGGAAGTCCGATGGAGAACATGAAAGCCCAGAACATGCGGCGGTGATCATCAATCTGATCTTGGCTCAAAGTTTTTGGCTCAGGAGTGCATCCGGAACAAGTAGGTACGCCAAATCGACATTTCGACCGGTCCTTGCTGGGCTTTGCAATGCGGTTGGTGTGCCATGGGGTCCCTTGATGCCGTTCGTCTGAGCTCGTTGATGTGCTTGGGCTGCTGTACACCACCAGAGTCGATGACTTCTCAAAGTCCTCGTCCACTGTGTCTGGATATCTGCTCTCACTGCTGCTGCTTGTCATCAGTGAGTCCGGCCCATTGTTGGAGGAGGGGTCCATTGTCCAAATGTATGATTGAGGTATATGAGTTCCATTGATATGTCGGACGGAGCGTCCATGGGCCTGCTAGTGTTCTGATGGCCTTTCAAAAGTGCTATCGTCTCCAGACTGCACAGCTCCGTCTCGCCAACAATACCGACATGGCACTTGTCGCGGCGGAGGCGGCATATCAGAGACTTTGTCAAGCGGCAACAAATGTCCGTGTGTAGAAAGGCGCGGCAGCTGAAGTCGCTCGCGAAGGTTGACGGCCCGTGAGATTTGGTCCGTGCATACCCTGGAACATTTAGCATGGCGGGGCAGGAATTAAATGATTGTGTGCAACAAAACCCTCGACACCGACTCCCTCTACCATTGAACCGACGATAGCCTGGCGGACACCAGATCTTCAACAGCTCGAGCCAACTGTTTCCAATCGCTACTTTCCTGCTGCTCCTCGAAGCGGTCACCGCAACAACGCGTGAGTCACGAGACCGTCTCAGGGATGAGTGCCAACGGCATTGAGTCAAAGATGGAGGATTTAAAGGTCGATGGCACGGCACCATCTGCCGCAGAGAAGAAGCAGAAGCCACAGAAGCAGGACAAGGAGCGTAAAGACCAAAAGAAAGCAAGCAAGCCACAGCAAATGCCTGCGAAGAAGAAGACGGACGGCCCAGAGCTGATAGGCATCACGGAGCCCAAGACGGGTGATCTGTCGGAATGGTACCAGCAGGTCATCCTCAAGGGTGACATGCTCGAGTTCACCGACATCCCCGGCTGCTACATCTACCAGCCTGCGTCATATCGGATATGGGAGTTCATCCAGGACTTCTTCAACGAGCGCATTCGCAAGATGGGTGTGAAGAACTGCTACTTCCCCCTCTTCATTTCCGAAGCGAACCTGCAGCGTGAGAAGGACCACATCGAAGGCTTTGCGGCTGAGGTTGCGTGGGTGACGGAAGGAGGCAAGTCGAAGTTGGAGAAGCGGTTGGCTGTGCGCCCAACGTCGGAGACGGCCATGTACAGCTTCTACAGCAAGAAGATTCGATCACACAGAGACTTGCCGCTCAAGATGAACCAGTGGAATAACGTCGTGCGTTGGGAGTTCAAGCATGCGGTTCCATTCTTGCGATCAAGAGAGTTCCTCTGGCAGGAAGGTCACACCGCTCATCTGACAGAGGAGGAGGCTGGAAAGGAGGTCATGGAGATCCTCGATCACTACGCCTCTATCTACGAAGACTTGCTCGCTGTTCCAGTGGTCAAGGGCCAAAAGACGAAGAACGAGCAGTTCCCAGGCGCATACTACACAAAGACAATCGAAGGCTTCATCCCAGCGGTAGGGCGAGGCATTCAAGCAGCGACATCCCATTGTCTCGGCCAGCACTTCGCCAAGATGTTCGACATCACTATCGAAGACCCCAAGCAAGAAGTCAAGGAAGGCGAGAAGCGCAACAAGATCCACGTCTGGCAAAACAGCTGGGGTTTCACCACTCGCTCCATCGGCGTTATGGTCCTCATCCACGGCGACGACAAAGGTCTCGTCATCCCACCCCGCGTTGCCGATGTCCAAGTCGTCATCGTCCCCGTCGGCGTCACCGCAAAGACAAGCCCAGAAGCCAGGGAGAAACTCTACAACGAGATCGAAGGCCTCCGCACCGTTCTCGAAGACGCAAGCGTCCGTGTCGAGACCGACATGCGCGAAGGCTACTCCCCAGGCTACAAATTCAACGACTGGGAGCTGAAGGGTGTGCCGCTCCGTCTCGAATTCGGTCCTAAGGACTCTGAAAAGGGCGTCGTGACCACCTCCCGCCGCGACCGAGACGGCAAAGACACCATCCCTATCCCAGACGTCGCAAAGAAGGTCCCCGAACTACTCGAAACGATCCAAAAGGACATGCTCACGAAAGCATCCGACGAGTACGCCGCGCACCGCAAGATCGTCCGCCAATGGAGCGACTTCGTCCCCACGCTCAACGACAAGAACGTCATCCTCGTCCCGCACTGTCTCGGTGGACCCTGCGAGGACGAAATCAAGGACGATTCGAAGGGCAACGTCGAAGGCCAGGAAGTCGATGCCCGAGCCCCATCGATGGGTGCCAAGTCGCTGTGCATCCCTCACGATCAGCCAGAGCCAATTGCGGAGGGTACCAAGTGTATCAATCCCAAGTGCGGCCAGGCGGCGGAGAAGTGGGTGATGTTTGGACGTAGTTACTAAGCTTTCTGGAGTTGTTCTTGATACGGGATGAAGCGTTGGCGTGGTTGATGTGAATGATGAGGGGACACGGGTGCATGCGACAGGGGGACCCGTCAGGGGCGGCGGCGTTGATGAGGAGAGGAGCAGGGGATGTGAAGACGGTGTCCCACATGAGCGCTGTGTAAACCATAGTTCGAAGAGCACCAGATGATTACCCCAATGCATGCATGATATGAAGCGATGATGAATGTGTTCCTGAGGTCTCAATTATCGTTTGCGCCTATCAAATGCTCGCCTTGACAAGAGATATAAATCTAGCTCAGAAAACAACACGCCACTAGACATACGAACGAGAAATATCGCTAATGTGGGTATCTTCTCCAAGAACAAGAAAAAAAGATTCCATGACCATGACCACAACACACCCAAAGAAGATGCCGCGCGCCAGATGCTGTTCCAGTCCAGTCCAGTCCAGTCCAGTCCAGGATATCAACATGGTTACATGATGCCAAGAACAAGAACCACTCCTCTTTCCCTCTCAAGACCCAGAATCTCAAGCTCTTAATCCTCCCCCTCCCCCTCGCCCTCCCTACGGCCCGCATCCTCCCCATCATACAGCGCATCCATACTAGCGCTCTTCCTCAACCTCTTCATCTCCACCGCCCTCCTCACCTCCACGCCCTCCAACCGCCTCCTCAACAAAAACGCCTGCCTTAAAAACTCCCCGATCCTCGCCTCCTCCTCCGCGACGCCGATCTTACTCGTCATGTATGCGAAGTACTCGCCTTGCGTCTCACATTCCAAAAGCTCCTTGGCGTGCTGCTGGAGGAGCGTGAGGGCGACGTTGAAGAGGAAAGTTTTCTGGTGGGGGAGGCAGAGCCAGACGTCCCAGATGCGGAGGAGGATGGATTCGGGGAGGACGGAGGCGAAGGCCGTGAGGAACCAGGAGAGGGGCACGGTGTGTTGCGGGGAGATGTCGAGGGCGATGAGGTGTTCGCTGAGTTTGGGGAGGAGTTCGCGCACGTATTGGCGGAGGACGATGTTGTCGGAGATGGGGGCGGAGAGGGCGGTTTCTTTGGAGAAGTAGTCGAGGGGGAAGAAGTGGTCGACCATGTTGCAGAGGACCCAGAAGGCGTCGCTTTCGTCCGGGATCGCCAGGAGGAGGTAGCCTGCGATCATGTTGAGGCCTTGGGTGTAGCCTAGACCCGGGTATTTGTTTACGAAGGCGATGAGGACTTTTTTGAGGCGGTCGTAGCCTTTTTCCGCATAGTAGTCGTATTTGCTGGTGAGTGTGCGAGGGACGTCTTTGAGGATGGCGTCAATTTCTTCGGGGTCGGGGTTGTCGTTCATGGTGAGGTAGTGTTTGTACGCATCCGGCTGCATGATAGAATAGGTGTCCGAGAGTTCCATCCAGATGGGGTGGCGGAGGCGCATTGGGATGCCGCCGACGACAAGCCTTGTGAGCATTTCCAGTTTCTGCTTGCCACTATTCCCTTCATGGCCCCATCGTGAAGCCCCTACGAGCTCGCCACTCTTAGCTTCTTCTCCAGCTTGCTCTCGGGACTTCATCAATCGCACGAGGAACTTGTTCCACTCAGACTCCTGGGGATCCTTCGACGATGGTTGTGACAAGGTCGGCGGTAACTGATCCTTATCATGCCTCGTACTCATCTCCACGGGCTCTCTGGGCTCCCGACTGGCACGTGAATCCCGGCGTGCACTGGCTCCAATTCCACTAATCCCCTTAATGGTTCCAGTCAACGTAGAAGTCCATCCCGCGCTTTCATTGCTGTTAACACTAAGCACATCAATCGACTTCGGTCTATCCGCCCTAGACCTGATAGGCGGCGGCTGCACCGAAGCCGATCTCGAAGACGACGCAGTCCTCACCGAAGCCGCCGTTGGCTTCAAGCTGTCCTTGCGCTTCCCATTGCCCCCAAACAGCTTCGTCAACCCCCGAATCGTCCCAACACTACTGTCCACCACCGGCTCCGGCATCGTCGAATCACTGCTTTCCGAAGTATTAGTCGGCGCCAAATCCTCACTCGCCGCCGCCGCAAGCGACAGCCTCCTCCGCTCCGCCTGCTTAACACGATTCGCCGTCTCCGCAATGCGATTCGCAGGAATTTTCCACTCCTGTGCCAACCGCGTGAGCGCCGTCACATGCGCGTCCCGCTCCGCCAAAAGCGCGGAAAGATGCCTCACGAGTTCCACGGCGCCGCGATGGTCGATGATCCTGCGGAGGTTTTCTGTCGATGCCGCGGAGAGGGATTGTGGATGACTCGGCGGGCCGTCCTGCTCGTCGAACATGGACGGTCCGGAGTCCAAGAGGCCATTGAGGACGGGTTCGCTGGCACCTGGCGCGGCGTTGTCGGGGATGGTCGTCAGGTCATCATTGCTCAAGGGTTCGCTGGCATTGGCCTGGGGTTGTAGAGGGGGACTCGCCGAGTCTGCAGGGTCGGGGAAGGATGTCAGGGAATTGGTGTCATCGGCCTGGATCAGCGGAGCGCGGCTGGACCGCCTGCTCAGATCGCCGCTCATGGTATGGTGGTGCGTCCTCACTCATTCACATGGTCGTGGTGATGTTGTTGTGTTGGTGGCGAGGATGTTTGCTGCAGAAGTGAGGTGCTCTAGTGGCGGCGGCACGGCGTTCGCGAAGCCGACGCGACTTTGACATCATCATCACGACGCTGGCAGGATTCCATCGATATCAAAGAGAACACAAACCCATACACGCGAACGATCTGAAAGAATCAAACGGGTTCTCGTGAGCTGTTTCGTTCCATGAACTACCGAGAAAGCCAGACCTGCGTACCCATCCTCGTCATGAGTGTCCAAACGCCTCGCTAAATCATACATCGATAGAAAGCAAAAGTACCGAATGCAGTCTGATCTGAATCGCGAACCCCATAGAAAACGCATACGAAACACAGTCTGATATCGCGCCCTTCTAGCCGGCGTGGGGACCATCGGGTGGGTTCCAGCCGTCATGCTGATGCTGCCCTCCGTTCACTCCAGCGTTCCCCCCATATGGCCACTGTATGGCTTGAACTTGAGCCTGGTGCAGCTGTGCCAATAGCTGTCTACGATGCTCGCCGTGATGTCCATGCAGATGCCCCAATAACTGCTCCTGTTGTTGCCGTACGTGCTCCTGGGCTCGTTGTCGTTGCCGCAAAAGTCGCTGCTGCTGCGCAAGTCGAAGTTCACGGGCTCGCTGGAGACGATCAGGCAGCTGTCCTCCCCTAGCCTGTGCAGCACCGTCTTGAAGGACTGCTGCACGCGGCTGCGCCGGCGGTGGGTGTGGAGCCATTACAGCCGGTGGAGGAGGCTCGTTAGCAAAAGGATCCGCGCCAGGAAGATAGTCGTCAAGTATGTCGAACGGATCGCGAGCGCGAGCACGGTTTGCTGCTGGTTGTTGTGCTTGTTCCAAAGGCTGTGCTGCGGGCGCGTTCCAAGCAGGATTTGCTGCGCGTAGTGCTTGTGCTTGCAACATTGGGGGACGAAGATCGAAGACGGGTATGAAGCCTTGCATTCTAGGCACAGGTGGTCTCGCTGGTGCCGGATGGGCCGGGACATTGCCAGGCGGCATATTGGCTGGCTGACGACGAAGACGAGGATCTCTTGCACGAAGACGAGGATCTGCTGCCGGGTCTGCTTGACGATCGTGCTCTTGCTCGAAAAGCCGGTCGAGTCGGGCCACTTCGTTGTGGCGTGCGCCTCGAAGGCCTCGCTGCCGCCGACGAATGTCCAACAACTCCTCAGCGATATCTATCTCATCCTCAAAATCCTCGTCATCGTCAGCATCATCTTGGGCCAGGTATCGTCCGAAGCGTGGCATTCTGGCAAACAAACCTCCATAGTCATGTCCTGGTGGTAGGGGTATGCCGCCCGGCGCCATTGCTCCTCTCTGGATCCGGTCTTTGGTGGCCTTCTGGACAGCATCACTAACTTTGATCTCAAGGTCCTTTTCCGAAACATCAGGATTCTCGGCCATGGCAGCTGCTCTTGCGGCGGCCTCAGCTTCCTTGACTTCTCGCTCATGCCTGCGAAAAACGGTAAAGGTCAGTGTCTGAAGCTAAGAAATTCTGCAGGAAATCGTACCTCTCCTCGACGTTGTCATACAGCGGGCACTTCTTTTGTGAGGCGTTCACAGGTCCGCCGCGACCACCGCCCTGGTCGAAGTGATCGTAGCTCTTAAGCGACTCTGAGCAGACATAGCACTGTAAGTTGCCGCACGATGGGCAGCTCTATAAGAGTGTGGTCAGCATGATGTTCTCACAGATCTTCATCAGCTTAAAGTAGAGGCCCTCCAATGCCAGATTGGAGAGGAGGTAGTCGTAAGGTCAGGTCTCCAACAGACGACGCTCACTTACCATTTTATTGCAGCCATATTCCTTGATGAACTGCTTCTTGCATTTGTTGCAAGATCGTATCATCGCTGCAGTCATAGCTTCTTCAATCTTGTGTCGAGCATTGATCTTGTTGTCCTTGGCGTACTCTTCGCAGGATAGCGGGATGTGCGAGAGGGCTTTGCAGCGTCGGCAGCTGACCTTCTCGCACAAGGGGTTCATGCATCTGAATTCGAAATCCTCTTCGACCGGGGGAAGGATTGCTTTGTAGTCGCAGAATGGGCATTCTTCCAAGTCGTCCAGGCCAGCATCACGAATGTCCTTCTCTTGTTGCAATTGCTCCAGCTTTGTGAGCAGACCCTTGTCAGAGAGCTGGTGAAGTTGAGCATAAGCAAAGCCGGCGCCACAGCCAGCAGTGCAAAGCACTCGGCAGCGTGAATCGCCAACTTCAGATTTGATGTACGTCTTTGTACAATCAAAGCACGTGAAGTGGGCAACGTCGCCGTTGCAGTGGATCTGACGGTTCATGGGAAGCTCCTCAAAACATGCTTGGCACTCTGCTGTCTCCCCTGCCTCGATTGCCCGTTGCAGGTTCTCTTGTTCGGCGATCCTCTTAGCATTCTCTGCACGACGTTCAGCCACGACTCGCTCTGCTTGCTTACGAGCAGCCTTGAGTTCGTCGGACAGAGCGTCCCATCCAGAATTAGATGCGATGATATCAGCATCCGCGAGCATGCCTTTTGGGGGACGGCCTCTCCACCCAACGACTTGCTTGCCTTCTTTGGATTTGGTGAGGGCGATGAAAGTTGGGTAGAGATGCCGATGAATTGCTACTTGCTCTGCGATCAAGTTGTGAGTTGCTTCCGGGAATTCGGCCTTCAGCATGGCGGTGATAGTGCCTTTGAGGTGGGTGGGAACGACTTCACGATTTGGGCCCTCCCAGCGCTTGAGGTCGATGTCGTCTTCTTCTTCATCGCGCTTGCGCTTCTTCCCCTTGTCCCGCTTTGGATAGCTGTCTTTGGAGAGTAGCTGATTGACGATATGCTCGACTCGGTCAGATCCTGGAATATTGTCGATAGCATCGTACATCACACGAACGTGATCGTGGCAGACGTCTGGAAAGACTGCTAGGATATGCTGGAGGCAGTCATCGAATGTGAATAGCACGCCAGCAGGAAGAGCGGCTTGCTCTTCACGGGTATGTGGTTGTTCACTTGGGGCGCCGATGGATCTGGCTCGATCACCTGGGCTGTCGCGTCGAGTATTTAGCATGCTGTCGGTCCATCAAACTACGATAACCAAACAGTCTTCGCGGGCAGCAGAACTGGAAAGTACATACCTATTAGGAATGAAGACCTGTTCGCCATCGATGATGAGATATTCGCCGTCAAGGTGGTTGTCAAGCGGCGGTGAGGTCGGCGTGATCTGAGGTACGATGGGCTCATCTGGGAAGGTACCAGGCAGTCCTGCATTGAAGTCGATGAAGTCGTCCATGGCGAAGTCGTTAGCTCCAGGAGTGGCCTGTTGGTGCTCCGCAGGCGTGCGAACTGGTCTCGGCGGGTCAGGTATAGCCTCATCGGAAGACTCGTCGCTGACCAAGTCGATCACCACAGATCGCCGCCGAGCGGATGGTGATGCCATGGTGTGTGCGGAGAGTTGCTGAGAGGAGAAAATAGCCTGAAAGTATGTGGTGGATAGAAAATCGAGCGGGTTGGGCCGAAAGAATCGTGGTGGGGTCAATTAAGTCAATGAGAGTTGGAAAGTCGCTTTATCACTTCGCGGCGCTCGTCATGTGTCGGCCGTGAGGGTGCTTCCAGCGTGTCGGCGCCAGTGAAGGGCTGTGTCTGGAGTGTTCACGCCGTCCCCGAGACAAGCAGAGCAATGGCGGCCACGGGGAGAGCGGTCGGGAGGGTGGAAACGAGGGCGGTGAAGTGATGGATCAAGGCAGAGAGCGTGGATGCGAGACAGCGAAGTGGATGTATGCGTGTAGTAGTTGCACGTCCGGCGGCGTCGGCGTTGATCAGTGCAGGCGGCAAGGCTGGCCCGGTGTTCGAAGAGCAAGAGCAAGAGCGGCACGGCTCTCAGACCAGGAAGGCGCCACTGCGCGAGTGACGGCCTTTTATCTTCTATTCACTGCTGCCGCCAGCGGCCTCGTTGCTGGTGGCCGTCACAGGCTGAGTCCGACTCCAGTGCAAGCCAGTGGCCGCCCTCCAAGGCAGAGGCCAGCGACTGCAACACGCGCGGTTGCTCGCACCAATTCGACGGGATCTATCTCAGCAAAGGTGGAGAAGCCAGAAGTCTGAGAATGTGACAGGGCCACCGCAGATGCGTTGCTGGCAGAGGCGACCTGTAATTTCATCGTCAAGAGTCACATTGGTCTCTCGGTCTATTAAATATTTATGCCAGATTACATTTATTATCATAAAATAGTCAGATGCTGTCTCTCGTTAGCGGACACTAGAGGTAGCTCCCGTTGGCCATCGGGTCCCAGCTCTTTATACATGAATTCCAATGCCGATCCTCGGAAAAGCTCCGTCCGTAGCTTTACGCCCTGTGCTCTCACATGCGATCATGTAGGCTATACAAGCTGTGACTTGCGGCGATGCACTTCACGTCTAGCCCATGCTGTTGACATTCTGATATCTCACATGTCACTGCAGCTCTCGAAACTTACAACAGTTGGCCATCTTCCATCGCTGGGCCCGTGAATAGACTATACAGCGTACCCCTTCGACCTCCGTTCAATATGGGCAGCATTGGACTCCCGGACAAGGATTCTCCGGACATTCACTTGGCCGTTGCAACCAAAGAAGAGCTTCTCGCCCAACAAAATGCCAACAGTGAGGAATGGCGCGGTGTTCTCCCGGCAGAGGCATACGTCCGACGCGAGACCTACCTCTACAGCCAGGAGCTCACGAAAGATGATGGTATGACACCTTGGGTGCTTGTATACCAGCCAGATCGTAATGGGCCAAGGCAAATTTTGTGTGGATGTGAATCGATCAGGAAGAGGGCACTTATTGCAAGAGATGGAGAGATTGAGGATGTGACTAGTCACGGCGTCTGCTCCGTCTTCTGTTCACCAGACAAGAGAGGAAGGGGGTACGCCGGCAGAATGATGAAGGACATGGCTCAAACAATGGAGCATTGGCAAGCAGAAAACGGCAAGTCAAGCCCTTTCAGTATTCTCTTCTCAGACATCGGCAAAGACTTCTACGCCTTACGAGGATGGCAGGCTTTCCCTTCTGCGCATGTCAGTGTTCCTGCGCTTCCAACAACGACTCCGGCGAGCGTGCGGCTCTTGAAAAGCGAAGACATCGCTGAGCTGTGTGCCCTCGATGAGAAGCTCATACGCCAGCGTCTATCCAAACTTAATTCTTCAAATCGCATTGCCGTGGCTATAGTGCCGGACCATGCAACAATTGCATGGCATCATGCCCGGGATGACTTCGTCGCGAACGAGCTCTATGGGAAAACTCCAACTGTAAAAGGAGTCATGATTGGCGACAAGCCTGGCTCCCGTATCTGGATGTACTTCACGCGCGTGTGGACATATCTCCAAGAAGATAGTCCCAACACCCTTCATGTATTGCGATTGGTCATCGAAGACGAATCGCTGTCAGACTTCTCACCCGCCTCACCTGCAGCCGCTGATAAGCTAGAGGACACTGAGGTGGTACATGCGATAGCTGCATGTCTCCAGGTCGCACAATCTGAGGCCGCCCTCTGGGATATGAAGGAAGTCACAATCTGGAACCCAACATCTGCAACGTTAGCTGCAGCTCGGTCACTTGATCCGAAAGCCGCAGTGGTGGAGCGCGAGCACGAGAGCATCGCCAGCCTTAACTGGTACGGCGACGGCTCTTTGAAGGATATTGATTGGGTCTGCAATGAGAAATACGGATGGTGCTAGCTATAGCATATTCGGTCGAGCTGAAGGGCAGAGAATAGATCGATCTGCGATGCTAACCGGTCGGTATCGTATTTAAAGTTATCTGCGACAGGAGGAGCAGCCAGGCGTGTGAAGATGAAACGTGCAATGCCATGTTCCCTGCACCGTGTCGCCACAACCACCTGATGATGAGATGGAACTCCAGCACCGTGATAATGCCCCCAGCGCTGCTTGTCGCAGACGAGTGGCACGAGGTGTGGTCGTTATTGAGATCGCCGAGCAGCGGAGACCTGGTTTGCAGGCCTGCTTGGTTCACGCAGAGGTGCAGCATGCTTGAAACAAGACACAGCATCAACAAGATTTTTATTCGCGGTCGCACACGCTCCAGCATAGGCAGTAGAAAGCAGGCGTGTCAGCGTATCAGCGTGAAATCGAAATACTGTTTTAATGAATGTGTTTCTTTGCTCGTTGTCGTTCATTCGCAGAGTCCTCCGTGGCTCGTCAACGCAAAGCCCAAAGCCCAAGGCGACCCCACTCACCACCACACCTCATTGCCTGGCAACGCCGGCGTGCTATCTCCAGACTCCCATCACTCGCGACGCCCGACTGCTCCTCTTCGTGTTTCTCACTGCCGCCGCACCCCTTTCCACCGCGAGTTGGGCTTATTGCTGCAGCGTTGGGTGAATTCACTGCTCGGGCCGTCGCCACTGGAGTGGCTGAGCAAGGCAAGCGCGCAGCATCGGCCACCCATACGCCTCTCCCCATCGCCGTTTAGCGACGTCAGAAGCGGCCTGACCTGGTGGTACATCACTCAGGCACGCCGGCACCACCACCGCCAGCACCGCAACGCCCAGCGACCGCCGACACGCTCGACACTGCTGCTGCTTCCTCGCCCGCTGCCGCCTGTGCCCCGCCGTTGGTGAGCCTGATCTTCTGGCGTGAGCGGCATCCGCAACCACACCACCACCGAGCACGCTTCGCTGCCGTGTTTGGAATCTTCGAGACGGGACACCGCTGGCTGCTAAAGGAGAGCCCTCTGCATTCCTGCTGCTGCTGCCCAGTCGTCCATACGGAGGCACGTGCGAGTGTCTACGCAAGCTCTGCAGACCGCGCCCAGCTGAGCTCCAATATCACCCTCTTCCGGCTATCCGCCATCACATCCCAGGTCGCACGTGCCGGTGCCTGAGGGACCTCAACGTTACTACTTCGGCGCTCAATCCACACCGAGCAGGTCGACCTCTCCATATCTTATACAGGCACGACCTGTCCCATCGCCCTCGCCGGGCTTCACCACCGCCACCATGAACGAAGATGCCGCGATTGAGGACATCCTCCGCAAGATCGACCGCGAGAAGGCCATTATCAATGCGGCCAACCAGATGCGGCAGGCCACTAACAATGCCTCTGTCAATTCACGCGTAGAGTCCAACATTCGAGATGCCAGACGGAACATCCAGTACTTCGAGCAGACGCTCCAGGACCTGCAGGCGCGCAAGATGGGCAATGGCATGAGCAACTTGTCTGTCTCTGGGAATGGAGGCCCAACCCCGCCTCAACATGGCCGGGGTGGCTCTACCGGCTCTGGCATGAACAATGACTATGGCCATGGTGGAGGCGCAGACTATGGCAATCCACGGGCACCGGGATACAGTGCTGGTGGAGGCGACGGGCTCATGCCGCCCAGAGCACCATACGCACCTCCTGGGCCAGCCGACCGCTCACCGAGAGGACGTCCGAACTACAGCAAGCTGGGTAAGTGAGCAAACGGTGAATGTGAGAGTCGTGCTGACTGTAATCCAGATCTAATCAAATACGACACGCAACACCTTGGTCCACGAATCCAACTGATGTTGTCCCAACTCGAGTTCAAGCTCTCCGTCGAAAAGCAGTACAAAGATGGTATCGAGAAGATGGTCCGGTTATACCAGATGGAAGGTGACCGCAAGAGCAAGAGCGAAGCCGAGCTGAGAAGAATGGAGAGCAATCAAAAGATTCAACTGCTGCAAAGAGCACTGCGCAGATATGAAGGACTGCATGTGGATATCGAGAATGGTGCTGATGCTGCCGACGATGACAGTCTCGACACCCCAAGTCAGCGAAAGCCTCTGACCGGACATCTCTCCGTGAAGATTCACGCCGTTGCAGATGTCGACCACGCAGCATCTGGCAGGTTTACAAGAGGTCCAGACACATTTGTGATCATGAAGGTCGAAGATGCATTTAAGGGTAGGACCAAGGCCACCAAGACCGATCGATGGACCGACGAGACTCATGAATTCGACGTGGACAAGGCGAACGAGATTGAATTCACCGTCTACGACAAGTCGAGCGGCGACCACCCTACGCCCATTGGCCTTTTGTGGATAAGATTGTCTGATCTTGTGGACGAGATTCGACGAAAGAGGATCGAGACGGAGTTCAACCAGGCAGGATGGATTACCGCAGACAAGATGGATGGCTCGCAACCCCGACCAGATCTTCAATTCTCGCCGCCACCAAGCTCTGGCCATGGAGCTGCAGGTCAGGGTGGCGGCGCCACTGCCGCAGCCGCAGGAGGTCCTGCAGGCTCTGGCTTGGCTGCTCAGACAGGACCAATCTATATCGATGCTTGGTTTTCCTTGGAACCTGTAGGCCGAATCCAGCTCACTCTCAGCTTCATCAAGCAGGTGAAGGACCGACGGCCCTTCGATGTTGGTCTCAACCGAAAAGGTGCCGTTCGTCAGAAGAAGGAAGATGTTGTCGAACAGTATGGCCACAAGTTTACTGTGCAGACCTTCTACAACATTATGCGCTGCGCACTGTGCGGCGACTTCCTCAAATACACTGCGGGAATGCAGTGCGCGGACTGCAAGTACACCTGCCACCAGAAATGCTATCCGAAAGTCGTTACGAAATGTATCAGCAAGTCGAACGCAGAGACGGATCCGGACGAGGAGAAGATCAACCATCGCATCCCGCATCGCTTCGATGCGTTCTCGAACATGGGTGCCAATTGGTGTTGCCATTGTGGCTACATGCTTCCTCTTGGCAAGCGCCAGTCGAGAAAATGCTCAGAGTGCAAGCTGACTTGCCACGCTGCTTGCGTGCATTTTGTGCCTGACTTTTGCGGCATCAGCATGGATCGCGCAAACGAGATCTTGGCCGAGTTGAAGAAGACCAAGGCGATACGAACGCTGCCCAAGACTCTGAGGCCACCATCAGCCTCCACGTCCGGCCGCCCAACGCCGCCCCCTTCGCAGCAAAGCTTTGCTCCTGCCCCGGGACATCAAGATCAAGTCGCACAGAGAGATGACAGCGCTAGGCCCCAGGACAGGTTCTCGTACGGCAAAGATCGCATGTCTGATTCGTATGACCAGGCGCCGCCTCGGACCTCCTCGTTTGGACCGCCTGGCGTCTCCTTGGACGCTGCGAAGGCGTCGATGGGCGGTCGATCTTCACCACCTTCTCCTGAAGCCAGCATGCACCGTCCACCAGCTCAGCGCACGCAGTCTTCTCAGTCAGCTGCAGCTGCCGCAGCGTCGGCTGCTATCACTGGCAAGCGCACGTCTGCACAAGATCAGCAACAGAGGCCGCCCTACAGCAGGGGATCTACAGATTATGCCCAGCAGCAACAACAACAGTCACCTGGCAAATACGCCGACGGCTACAAGGAGAGCAAGAGTGACGCGCCGCAGTCGCAACAACCGGCGTATAACCCCGCCGACTATGCGGCAGTTAGTGGCTATCCTCAACAGCCTGCCTACCAACAGCGACCTCCTCCTCAGCAAGCGCCTGCTCCACCGGTCAAGCAGTACCAGCCTCAACAGCAAGTGCCGCAAGTGCAGGTACCACAATCACCTCCACAGGTGTCACTGCCAACGTCTCAACCACCAAATGTGTCTATTACTCACCCGGTGGTGGAAGAGCGAAAGCCAGCCCCACCAGCAAACACACCAGGCACGGGTCGTCGCATTGGTCTCGATCATTTCAACTTCCTGGCTGTGTTGGGTAAGGGTAATTTCGGTAAGGTCATGCTGGCAGAGACAAAGACCACCAAGCAGCTGTACGCCATCAAAGTGCTCAAGAAGGAGTTCATCATCGAGAATGACGAAGTCGAGAGCACACGATCCGAGAAGCGCGTCTTCTTGATCGCCAACAAGGAGCGACATCCATTTTTGCTCAATCTGCATGCTTGCTTCCAGACCGAGACGAGGATCTACTTCGTTATGGAGTACATCAGCGGTGGTGACTTGATGTTGCACATCCAGAGGGGTCAGTTCGGTACCAAGCGAGCGCAATTCTACGCCGCCGAGGTCTGCCTGGCGTTGAAGTACTTCCACGAGAACGGGGTCATCTACCGTGACTTGAAGCTCGACAACATCCTGTTGACACTGGATGGTCACATCGTAATTGGTGACTACGGTCTTTGCAAGGAAGACATGTGGTACGGATCCACCACGAGCACCTTCTGCGGTACGCCCGAATTCATGGCCCCTGAGATCCTCTTGGACAAGAAGTACGGCCGCGCCGTTGATTGGTGGGCCTTTGGTGTCTTGATCTACCAGATGCTCCTTCAACAATCGCCTTTCCGTGGTGAGGACGAGGATGAAATCTACGATGCCATTCTCGCCGACGAGCCTTTATACCCGATCCACATGCCGCGCGACAGTGTGTCCATCTTGCAGAAGCTTCTCACCCGCGAGCCAGAGCTTCGCCTTGGATCTGGTCCGACCGACGCTCAGGAGATCATGAGCCATGCATTCTTCAGGAATGTGAACTGGGAGGATATATATTACAAGCGCGTGCCAGCACCGTTCCTGCCGACCGTCAAGGGACGCGCCGACACAAGCAATTTCGATTCTGAATTCACCAGCGTGACGCCTGTGCTCACGCCTGTACAGTCTGGTAAGTTCAATCCGTGCATAAGGGTTCTTGAGCTTTTACTAACAATCTCACAGTGCTTTCGCAGGCCATGCAAGAGGAGTTCCGCGGCTTTTCGTACTCTGCGGATTTCAACTAATACTTGAGTTGACCCGACAACTCAACCTTACTACTACTTGGGAAGGAGGAAACAAATTCGCACCTTTCGTTTCATGCCGACATTTGGGACGGCTTGTTGTCGATTTGCTGAAATTGGGGTTCCAGCTTAGGGGGGAAAGCAGAAAAAGCGACAATCATTGTGATACCCAGGAGTCGAAGTCGTGTTCTGATGCAGGTGGTTGTTGTTGTTGTCGCCCGGATTTCTGCATTTGCGGCTCTGATTGGATTGCTGCATTTGCCGCAAGTCGAATTTTCTTGAGATGGGGCAGGGCGTTGAGACAGGACGAGGGTGTGGTGGGTGTTGAGGAAGACGACGACGTTCGATGAGTTGAGATGTGATGAACGTGACGATGATGGTGGCTTTTTTTGATGGATAGAAAGAACAAGTATTTACCTTAGCTGACAGCGATAGATCATGCGCTTGTTGTTGTCTTTCAAGTCCTTGCGGTCTTCATTCTCTGCGTCGAATTTGAGATAGTCTTGGTCGTTTTCCCGCGGAAGAGGATGTGATGTATCAAGTCCCAGCAACACTTCATCTCTTTGCTGACGATCTATCAACAGACAGACGTCGCCGTTTTCAACAACTTACTCATTTGAAGCAGTGAGCAACATGTCTACAGATGTTTTATATGGATACCCTAGAGGATAGCATATACGACGAGATGTCCATGTCTGGATCTACCAAAGCCCGACAAGATTATGTGAACGGCATTTGTGAGCTCAGATGCTTATCATGTGCTCGTTCGGGGCGCGTTTGCAAGCGTAGTTTCACTTTAAGCATTTTGGAGGCATGTGAATTCGCGTACCTTCCTTGTTGGGTTTCGCGAGCTAGCGTTTCGTTTGCTCGATTCTAGAAGCTCTTCTCTCCTCCGACTTCCACAACACATGCAGCTTGCACATTTGCAACCACACAGCAATACACACAAAAACGATCCAACCCTCAAAACAACATCCATCGACTATGGCTCTCGTCGACAACGTCAGCGCTCGCCACCAAGAGCTCATCGCGGGCATCATCAAGAATCTGGGCAACGCTGAGGTGAGTAGACCGTCAGGCGCAAGAAGCATAAGAGCTGACCAGCAAACAGATCAATTGGGAAGCCGTCGCTAAAGACGCCAATTTCAGTTCTGCCAAGTACGCCAAAGACGAGTATCGCAAGGTCCGCAAGACCCTCGACAGTGTCGACGGCAGTGGTGCTACGGCCAATGGCGCTGCTGCTAAGAAGAAGGCATCTCCCAAGAAGCGCAAGAACGGTGGACATGCCTGCAATTGTGCATCTTCCCTTTTGACCTGGCTGATGTTTGACTAGACGACGAAGATGAGACAGGCACTCCGAAGACCAAGAAGGAGAGCAAGAAGAATGCTTCTAGCTCCGAGGAGGATGGCGAGAAGGACTCCGAGGACGTCAAAGCAGAGGCAGACAGCGATGATGGCGACATGGTTTAAGTTTCTCCTTCACTAGCAGGTACCGTCCCTGAACTTCACATGTGCTACATGTGAAGTTTTTTGGCAGCGTTTGTCTCATCTACTTAAGCTCCGTGAATTCCAGAACAGAACATCTTCTTCTACATTGACACCTCTGACGCAAAGTCTCTAAACATACCCCCTAACTACACTCAAATCCAACACTCGACACACTCAGCAACTCACACCAACATGACTCTCAACCTCACCGCGCGCGAGCAAGAGCTGCTCTGCGCCGTCATCGATGTCATGAAAGCCGACGTACGATTCCCCCTCTCCCTTCATATCAACCCACTAACCCCGTCCTTTCAGATCGACTGGAAGGCCGTCGCACCAAAGGCAAACTACAACACAGCCAAGCAAGCCCGTGACAAGTGGCCATCGGTCCGCAACAAGATCACCGCCGTCGTCAAAGCCACCGACGGCGAAGACGGTGCCGGCACTCCTGCGACAGGCGGCAAGAAGAAGGCGACTCCCAAGAAGCGCAAGACCAGTACGCAAGATCATGTGTGATTTATCGTTGAGGATGAGGCTAATGAGGTTTCTAGGCGAGGACGAGACGCCCTCGAAGAGCAAGAAGGCCAAGAAGGATAGTCCGCTGGCTGAGGAGGACGATGAGGAGGGTACGGGTCTCATCAAGCCGGAGGATGAGAGCGATGAGGGTGGTTTGAACTAGGCTGCATGACGATGATGAGCAGATCACGGATTTCACTAGGAGTGAGGAGAACGTTCTCGTGTGGAATGCTTCACTTGAAAACGTGCTCACTCTTCGATGCCAGTGACGAGCGAAGCTGGCGTTTATCTACCTAGTCTTCTGGTTCTTTTACTTTCCAAAATTCTGAACTGAACTTTCTTCCACCACACAACCTCATCCTCCACCGACAGAACAATCCTCAACCAATCCACAACCCAACCGTCACACCAATCCAACATGTCACTCACACTCAACGCCCGCCAGCAGGCTCTCCTCATCGCCGTGGTCCGAAACACGACGGCTGACGTTGGTTTCCCCTTCCCACTACCCTCAAACATTCGCTAACATATCCCCGCTCCTCCAAGATCGACTGGGACAAGGTCGCCGCCGAAACCGACTACGGAACGGCGAAGAGTGCGCGAGACAACTGGTCGCACACCCGCAAGAAAATCGAAAACACCTTCAGCGGCGCCAGCGCTGCCGGTGGCACTCCTGTGAAGAAGGGCATCGCGCGTAAGCGCAAGGCTGGCGGTGAGTTTGAAGTGGCGGCGCTGGCATGTGAGGGGGCTTTTTTGCTGATGGTTCTTTTCTTTGTGAATAGATGAGGAGACTCCCGCGAAGAAGAAGTGTAAGAAGAAGGTTGGGAAGGAGATGAGCCCCGCTGATGAGGACGATGTGGAGGAGAAGAAGGTCGTTAAGGATGAGGCTTGAACGAGCTGATGAGCTATGGCGTGTGCTCAGGGGAGTGATATCCATGATATGGCTAGCGAATGCATCGAAACGTCGAGAGGAGGCCTCTTCATCGGGTAGCTGGGCGATTTGGTATACCTGCGATTGAGTAGCACTGAGTACCAAGGCTTCTCGTGCTCGAACATGCCTTTGACTGCCCTCTGATCAACGCCATATCGTGTCTTCCTCGAGCGAGAAACTGAAAGAAAAGAGCTAATCGTACAAATTTCAGACGCTACACCATCTACGACCTCAGTCCCAGATCAAACACATACGCAACACCCATAGCACCCAAACTCGCCAGCGCCGCCATAAAAAAATTGACCCCATTGTTCGTCAACAAATCCGTCCCCATCTGCACCCTCGTCCCATCCGGCAGCACCTTGACCCTCTGGCCCCCAGCCCCCTCAACAACCTTCCCACTCCTCTTATCCGTAACAGTAACCTGCACCACCGCGCCCAGAACCGAATCAATCACGCTCCCCGCGAGCCCAGCAGCCACGAGCAAACCCGCCGTCCTGACATCCAGAACCTCCCTGGGCGGAGCGAGATATATCGCCGCGCCAGCGACGAGAGTCAATAGGAGACTCCCCAGCGCACCGTAAGCCAGCCCATCGACAGAAACACCTCCATTCGTCCCCTTGGGCACCTTCCTCCAAGGCGCCGTGATCATGAACGGATCCCCGCGCGACAGAATCCCCAGCTCCGAACTGAACGTATCGGCCGCCACGGCCGCGTACTGCGCGATGATGCCGATCGGGAGGAGCTTCTCCAGAGCAGGGAGGTACGGTCCAGATGATAAAGCTATGTTCGAAGAGATGAACGGCGTGCTGTTCAAAAGCCAGGCATGCAGGAGGATAAGGACACACGCAAAGCCAGAATTAGCGAAGACCTGTGCGGAACGCCTTGCGCCCTCACCACCTGTACCGCCCGTGGAGGACTGCGTTAGATGCGCTTTCGCGTGATGGCCGATCTATACATCCATCTCAAAGGTTAGCACATGTACTCCCATCAACGCCGCTACCCGCTCCTATCCGGCCCCATCGTACAACCCAGCACGAGGGTGGTGATACATACCCTCGTAACCCCCGTCCCAAACAAAAAGAATACCATCAAAAGCCAGAAAAACGCCGGCCACGGATGCACCATATGCACACCCGCGACGAAGATTCCCGCGAGGATGCCTGCCGGGGTGAGTTTTTTGCGGGCGCTGGCGTACGTGACGAGGCCGATTGTGGCGGTGATTTGGGAGGTGTGGGTTTTGGCGAAGGTGGGTAGGTCCATGGTTTTGGAAGGGGTTTGAGAGGGTTGAGGGGGTTTGTGCTGGAGGTGGGAGATTCGTTTGGTAGGAGGTGAAGTTGAGGCTCGGAAGGCTGCCGAGGAGGAGGACCCACTTCGTAAACCATCCCTTCCTCGTTGATGGGGAGATATGTCGCTCGCAACATCATCATCAAGGGCAACATTTGCACCGGTAGCAAGACTCCATGAGAGATGAACGGGATGTTGTGAAACGGTATGAAAATTCATCATCATACAAAACGAACTTCCTCGTAGTATAGGTATCCACAACATCGAAGAGAAGTACAATCGTAACTATCCAGAAGGGTATCCTCATCCCGACTTCATCAATCCACCAAACCACATAATCTCTTAATTCGTCCGCATAATCTCCCAAAGCGTCCGTCAAATCGTTAAAAAGAGGTACACATACTGACACTGCGCCATCGCTCACTTCATCAAAATCCTCAACATCTGCCGTCAAGAAAACCAACTTTTAAAACCCTCTCCAGACACTCAAGTAAAATGCGCCTTACTGACATGATGACTGACAGCCGCCTCATCCCCCTCAAACAATCCACAAACAGGACACTTCGTGCTCGCCGATGTCCTCGCATAGTTTTGGGAAGCGGGTCGTGAGCTCTCCTGAGGCGGGGTTTGCTGGATCGAAAGCTGGGAAAAGCGTTGGTGGTCTGGGACGAGATTGCTGCTGGGTCGGGAGGTTTGGTCGTAGGGCGATTGTCGGCCTACGCTTACTTGGCTGGAGTTCGAGACGACTTGTTGCCAGTCTGCGATGTTGGAGCCTTGGCCGCCGTAGCTGTTTGAGCGGCCGTAGTCGGATCCGGGGGCGCTTAGGGAGCTGTTGCGGTGGTCGCGGTCAGCGGGGTGTTGTTGTGTCGGGGGTGGATAGGCTTGGTATTCGTGGACGCGGTACTGGTTTCCTGGTGGTTTTGTGTCGGGTTGGGCGAGGTTGGGGGATGGTTGTGGTGAGGGTGTGCCGGTGCTGAAGCTGCTGTCGCCGGGGAGTTCGGATCGGAACTCTTGTTGCGGTTTGAATTGACCTGGTTGGAGGCCTGGCGAATGTTGTGTGTATTGAAATGATGCAGGCAATTCGTTGATCATGGGCATGGGCGCTCCAGGAGCAGCTTGCCCGTACTCTGGCCCTCCATAACCTGATTGTTGATATACAGGCAGATACTGGCTCGCTCTGCTGTGCTGGCTGTGCTGGCTCTGTTGTCGTGCAATCGCCACGTCATGATAGTTGCCAAACCCTTTCTTGTCCAAACGTGGTGTCCTCGGCGGCGCAAATCCAGACATCATGGACGGACTTGGGCTGCCGGGAGGGCTCGACGTCGGCTGACTCCCATCGGTATCACTCTGTCCGCTAGGTTTCGACGTCTTCAATCGCCCGTTTTCAAACATCGCATGCAGCTTGCCTTCGTCTAGCAATTCTGCCTTGCGCGCCAGTCTCTGAATCATCTTGCCCGTCGCCTCTTTCGTCTCTTTCTTGACAAAGCTCGCCAATGCCAGATTGCACACGATCTCCACATCTTCCCTCAAGTACAGCCCGTCCTGTGGTGTATCGACCCCGAGTTCCCTCGTCTTGCGCGGCTCGCCTGGCTGATTGCCCCCAATGCTGTACTTATTGCGCAAGTCGACTCCGAACGGCGCGTATACATGCGATTGCAGTCCGTAGGGTTGATTGTGGAAGACGCCTTTGAATGCGATCTTCTTCCGGAGGCCGAAACCCCAGGTGATGATCTCGCTGATCTCGTACCATTGTGAGAAGTACTCGTCGTTGGGCGCATCTGTTCACGTCAGCTACGACGGCGTCGCAAGCATGATCATGTCTCACCTCGAGGCGCCTCGATAGATTTGACACCCGTCACGAGCGGATTCAGCTCGATGACTTCCTCATGGCTGTGGAGCAGCTCGATCGCAAGCTGACGGGGGACGTTGCTCGGCAGCGGCGTGATCTTGGTATAGACGATACGCTTGCCCATTGCGCCCGTGGAGCTGGAAGACGCTTTGGAGCGGGAGTCCGGCATACAACGAAGAGGGTGGGTAGTGTTCTAGAAGAGAGAGAAAGATTGGGAGCCTTACGTGTCTGACGACTGATGATGGATTACTGCATCCGCCTGCAAGCAGATCTACATGGCCAGCCACGAGGAGAGTGGTGCTGCGCCCACGCCATGCGCTGCAGTGAGTGGCCGACGGCTGGGAGGTACAGCTGAAGCTGACAACGAACGGTACGTGCTTGACAGTAGCGAGAAGCGGAGCGATCCTGGGCCGAGACTACCACAAAAATAGAGTTGTCATTCTGTGGAATTGTTGTCTAACTCCGCATACTTCGCCACGGCTCTCGAAACAAATTGCCATCGCAGGCAAGAAACCTCGAGCTGCGGGTGTTACATATCCCGGGTTGATCGCTGACATGGACGCGTTTGGATCGGGAGATGGAGAGTGTATCGATTGAGCTGGTGTAGGGCTGGCAAAGCTCAGCTACGAGAGCCAAGACAGCAGTTCGTCGGCCGCGCCATCACTCAGACTTGCTAGGAGATCATTCCACGGACTTCATGCTTGCCAAGAGAGCAAACGGTATTTCATGATCGTGATAGAGTCTGCTGTCTGTACTCATGAATCAATCCGTCGGTCGAGCCCATCCCTTCTGAAGAAACTCATTGTAGGCTTCTTGCCCATTTTCGCTTCAATTCTCCTTTCCACCCGCATGTGAGTGCCATGCGCCTCACTTTTGCACGAGCATGTCTCTGCACCCTACAATCCGCACCTCGTAGTCCTCCAACTCGTGGCACAAAACAAAACGGCAGTGGTCCTCTCCCGCGACCAGGATTGCTACCTGTATGGCGTCGTAGCGGAGACTCGATCCTCGAAATATTCCGACAATGTTTTGCATTTGGCTTTTGAGATTCGCAAAGTAATTTGCGCTTAAGTTCCCGCTAGACAAAGTACAATGCACTGTGCGCAAGGCGGCGAGCTTCTTTGGGGTCAGGCCCCGTAGGAACTGGATAGCGTTGTGTGTGCTAAGACACTGGAAAATGTTGGCCCCATAGAAGACGGGGAGTGCCTCATCACGAATCTGTCTGCACGCTCGAAGCAGGGCCGGCTCGGGTATCCACCGTCGAGTGTAGGTGATCTCGGGATCATAGCCGTTGGGATCCTTGTCATTGACCAGCGCAAGAGTGTAGACAGAGTTACGAATCTCCACCGGCAGATCTAGGAAGCATGTCTTTACATCTGAGGCGCGCCCTATCGCCGCCCTGTATGAAGTCAGCATCCTTTTTTTTTTTTTCATGAAGTGGCAAAGGAGAACAACGCACGGGCGTGAGGAGCGCTGATGTCTTCGAGGGGCCGTGGGGCGGCGCTTCGCCATGTTGTTGCTGCCAGAGAGTGCCAGTCAGAGGTGGGCGCAATGTCAAGATGATCAAGGCAGAGCCAATTGAAGCTGATCGGAAGTTGAAATGAAGCAGGGCGGCAGGTGAACCGGAAGTTGCCGTGCCGCAATTAGGCAGGAGCAGCTTCACATGCTAAAGTATCATCTTCATCACTTTCTGCTCAGCGACAGGCTTTTTGGCCGAACCCTTGCTCTCGTCCGCTCGCGGCTTTCGCTGCTTGAAGTCCCTCTTCTGTTGTTCAACATTTCCAGCATCCGCAGCGCCTCCCCTCTCCATCTTCGCCTTCTTCTTACTCTCCATACCCTCCAGCATCTTCGCCCGCTCAATGTCCTCCACAAACGCCTTGTTCTCTTTCCTGGTCTTGCGAATCTCCTGCTGTGTCCTCGCTGCCCTCTCGGCATTCTCGTTGGCGATCTGCTCCGTCAGATGATTCCACTTGAAACCTTTCAAGTACTTCATGTTCCACAGATCGTCGCGATAGAAATTGCCCTTCTTGCCCCCAATGATGTTGCCGTTCAGTGTCTCCGCAGCGATCTTGGCCTCGTTCTTGCTCTTGAACTCTACCCAGCCATCTGTGAATGACTTCTTCTTGTTGCCGCCGCTCTTGACCCGTTTCGCGTGTGCCGCATGGTCTTCGGGGGTGAGGAAAATCCTACCCAGACCTTTTCGTGCATGTGGTTCGAGGAAGTGCTTGAGCGTTTGTGGTTTCATGAATGGAGGTACTCGGGAGATGTAGACAACACCAGACTTCCTGACAGCCTTTTCAGCTACCTCCAACTCTTTCTCTGCCTTCGATTTCGAGGACTTGTTGGGCTTTATTCTGTCGTGATCTGATCGCTCGATGTCCCGCTCTCGTTCCTCCACGTCTACATCGTCCTCGAAATCGTCGCCGGTGATGTTGTCGAAGTTGAATCGATCATCCTGCACTTTTCCGACTGCCTTCGAGACTTCCTCCTCATCGTCCAGCGCATCGAAAGAAGCTTCAGATTCCGACTCGACTTTGCGCCTCTTGTTCGAATTTCCTGCGATGGCACCTCTTCCTGCCTCATCCTCAGAATTATAGCCATTCTCGAGCTCCTCCTCACTATCATCTCCGTCGAGGAACTCGTTGCGCTTGCGGATCGACATTTTGGGATGGTATAGATTTTCTCTAACCATGCGCAGAAGGTCGCAGTCTTAACCGTTAGGTCGATCCTACGCTAGTGGATGTACCCGAGAATCCCTGTGAGATCACAAGAGCGCCTGCGCGTCATCCTCGTGTGTAACTTTATTTGGCCCAGCTTTCCAGCGCGTCGGGACACACAACGACCTCCATCCATTGTGAACACTATGAATCCCTCGATACTTTGAGAGGTTCACCACGAGAATCAACTTTGATAACAGCATCAAGAGCTGTGTATCTATGAGGATCGGCCATTCAACCCGACCTTACATTGCCACCCTGCCTCCATCCGGGACAACTCGAAACGTCTGCACAGCCTTGTAGATGTCTTCTAAAAGCCGCAAGTTACTGCTCCCGTGAGTCGAGACTCTGCCAATGAAAGGTTTCTCATCCGTCTCACACACAAGACCTTCGTCAGGAAGATGCCCCGTCTGGAAATATCTTCTGATCGCGCTCGCCGTACACACAGAAGGTGCACTGAACGAGCAATGCCCCTCGTTGTCCTGCTGGAGCACGACAGATCCAGGGAACTTGGCTGCCATCTTCTTCGCATTCCGAAGCGGCGTGACGGGATCATACGTGTTGCCGATCCAGAGGATGGGATGAGATGTATTTCCGGTAATGGGTCCTGAAGGGACCCAACTGGCTGTGGCGTTCCATCCTGTGCATCCAAGGAGGTACTGAGCCCATACTTCGCCAAGCGCTGAGCTTTGATTTCGCAATCTCGACGCGATTTCGATGAAGTCCGGCTCTGATATGTTGGACTTGCTCCGAGCTTCACTGCAGAGGATGGCTAAGGAAGGACCTTCTACATCCCAGTCAGGCAATATGCAGTCTGATGAATACGGTCCAGCATCTTCACACGCCTTTGTCCTGTAACTAGGCCTGCGTCCGTTCGACTTTCGCTCGGCAAAGACACTACCGTTGCGTCTGGCTACATCATCCAGTAGAGTCGCTAAAGTCGGAAAGAAGGCTAAAGGTTGGTACATCGCCCTTCCCACGAGCTCTTTGATGTTGCTATAGGTGATGATCTCAGGTCCTCGCTCAAAGTTACCAGGAACGGGCAGTGGGTTCTCCATGATCTCGTCCATTGCCCGGTGATAAGCGTCTCGTATGGCGACTTCGCCACCTTCTCGCCAAAATCTACATTTTTCAGGGCCGGCCTTGGAACAGTAGTGAAAGAAGCTTTCGAGAATCTTGTCAGTATCGTGTAAGTTGTCGAAACGGTCGGCCGAATAGTATGCATCGCTGTTGACGACCCCGTCGAGGATGATTCTAGAGACACGATGTGGCTGCATCGCAGCAAAGGTCGCACCAAGCAGTGTCCCATAGGAGAATCCCCAAAACAGCAGGGGCTCCTCGCCCCTGACGTGGCGAGTACGCTGCAAGATAGACGCCTCAGCATCCCGACCATGGCAGCGATCATGTTCCTTTTGGGCCCTTCGACCTTCCTTCTCTCGCCACTCACCATGTCGCTCGACGATTTCGACCATATCGGCTACGACAGCAGGGGTATTGATGTGGTTGCCAAAATTCTCGAAGCCAGGCATTGCGTTGAGCGTATTGGAACATCCTACCGACCGTGTGCGAGCTCGCTGATATAGCATATGCATGTTGGCCTCGCGACTACCAGGCAAGCCTTCTGTCTCAACTTGCAAGTTCCATGCTTGACGCGAGATACTATCAGGGAAGCAAGTGATGGTCGGCGTGGTATGGTTGATGCCACGAGGGTCGAAGCCGATCATGTCGAAGTACTTGTCATCCGGAAGCGAATGGGCAGGGTCCCTTTCGGCATCCGCAAGATTCTGGAGGGAAACCCCTGCTTCGAGGAGCCTCTCCACGCCGGAACCTCCAGGCCCACCGGGATTAATCAGGATCGGACCGCCATACCGAGGATCTGTGACTGGGACTTTGGCAGGCAACCTGATCAAAGCAACGGCGATGACAGGTCCGTCCGCATCGGTGCTGTTGTAGTCGAGGAGCAATTCCAAACGCGCACATTGGAACTTGTCGTAGCAGTCATGGTAGACCAGATGTTTCTCTGGCACAATATCGAACCATTGGAAAGCGTCCGAGCTGCCTATCACATGCTGCGGCAGCGGCAGCGGGGGCGGCAAGAGATGCGAGGCAAGGGTTCGTCGAAGGGTTCCAGGGAAGCTGGACTTTGGCAGGAAGAACAGCAACGCTGCAATGCCGTTGACCAGGAAGATGAGTCGTCGATGTCGGGACTGCCATGCTTGCATCCTCCTTCCAGCACTTCCGTTCGTCCGTTTCTCCGTCATCGAGTCTCTCATCATGGCCATCTGAACGAAATATGTTGGCATACAGAACGGAACCGAACTGGACGTTGAAATCTCTCAATTCGGAACTCGGCATGCTGAAGAGGGTGTGAAGGATTCCATAGCCGCGATAAGCAGGAGCTTACTTGGTGAGTAAGATAGCGAATTCTCAGGACTGCAAACCCGCCAACTGTTGGGGACGAAGTGCTCGGCCTCGAGCTCACCTTCCGGAAGTGATAAATTATCCGCTTGTGATTGGAGCCGCGAGCTACGACCTGCAAAGCATCTGCATCCTCCCTCTTGGCCGTCACCCGTTCACTTCATCTCAATGCATTCCGAACTTTGAAGCTATGGGGCTTTATGCATGCAGATAATCTGGTTGCGGGTGTCTATCAGATAGGCCACCAGGAGCGGCGGCGGCGACTGCGTTGTTCAAAAGAATGCTGGGGAGCGATACAGGATGGTTTCTGCGATTGAAGTCGAGTCCGTACCTTTGCTCGCCATGGCCGACGCTATAGACTCGAACAAGAAGATGGCCGCGGCGGAAGACATTCCGATGGATGCCATGGAAGGCAAGAATCCTCACCCAGGCGTAGTCGAGACTCTCGACGTCGAGGAAGGGTTTAGCAAGCCCGCCGTCTGGACGGACGGTGACGGTCAAAATGCCGGTGTAGCTCGCATCGAAGCCATGAAGATCGTCCAGGGAAGGACTGGACGCTGGGCTATGTGGATCGGCGTTGTGGTTATGCTTACCTACTAGTAAGTACAGTCAGTCTATTGCCGCGTTGCAACATACCGAGAACTCACCAATCTTGTAGTCAATTCGACAACGCTCTGCTGTACAACTACCGCACATACGCGGCATCCACATTCAATCAAATCTCGCTCATAGCGACCCTAAACACCGCTGCAACAATCGTCTTTGCCGTGACCAAACCACCCATAGCCAAACTCTCCAACGTCTTCGGCCGTGGCGAGACGTATCTCTTCTGCGCCCTCTGCTACATCATCGGCTACATAATGTGCGCTTCGTCCAGCAGCTTCGGTGTTTACGCCGGATCAGTCATCATCTCCCAAGTCGGCCAGACGGGTTTCAACATCCTCAACGACACTATCATTGCGGACATCACGAGCATGCGCAAGCGTGCTCTGGCCCTGTCGCTCATCTTCACCCCGTTTCTGATCACGCCTTGGATCAGCGGGATTATCGTCCAGGATGTCGTGCGGCCTGGCGGGATTGGTTGGCGATGGGGCGTTGGCATGTTTGCGATTATCCTCCCGGTTTGTGTTCCAATCCTCGTCGGTCCGATGCTGTATTATCAACGCAAGGCTCGGAAAAAAAATATTGTCCTGACGGAGAAGATGACGCCGCTGCAGCTGGCCTCTCAGATCGACCTGGTCGGTTCATTCCTCCTCGTCGCTGGCTTTGGCATGTTCCTCATCCCGTTCTCGCTGGCGGGAAGCACGCCGTCTAAATGGAGCACTGGCTGGATCATCGCCTTGATAGTCCTGGGTGCCGCTTGCATTGGACTGCTTCTGGTCTATGAAGGCAAGGTCGCTGCACACCCTATCCTCCCGCCACGCTACTTCACAAGCTTGACCATCATCATCTGCAGTGTTATCGGGGGTCTGGATGCATTCGGTGTGGGAGTGACCCATACGTACCTCTACACGTGGGCAACGGTCGCTCGAGGCTTTGGTCCGCGAGACGCCACCTACTTCACGTACGTCAATGGAGTCGTGTCCGCATTCGTCTCGATCATCGGCGGCCTCATAGTCATGAAGTATCGACGATACAAGTGGCTGCTCGTCCTTGGAAGTGGCGTCCGATTGATCGGGTACGGCCTGATGATCCGACTACGAGGAGCCAACAACTCAGTCGTCGAGCTATACATCGTGCAAGCCGTCCAAGGAGCCGGCAGCGGCCTCATCGATATCCTCATCGTCGTTGCCGCGCAGATTGTCGTTCCCCATGCCGAGCTGGCGCAGGTGACCTCGTTCGTCCTCCTGCTCAGCTTCATAGGATCGTCCATCAGCTCGGCGGTGGCGGGCGGCATCTACTCTGGCACTTTCAAATCGGCGCTGCGGAACCACCTTGGTCCATCCGTGTCGGAAAGTACTATTGACCAGATCTTCAACTCCATCACCCAAGGCATCCCCCCTGCGGGGTCCACCGAGAGACAGCAAGTATCTGCCGCGTACTCGGACGTCCTACGGTACATGACCTACGCCGCGTTAGGAGTTGCCGTGTTGATTTTCGTGTTGTCTTTCTTCGTTCCCAGCCATGAGCTCAAAGACGGGCACAATCTGGCAGATGATGATGACGCGATGGCAAAGGAGCATGTCACCCATGCCGTCAAGTAGAGCATAGAACTCACCTGGTGGCTTTTCGGATCTGTCTCAGGTTTTAGAGGGCTCGGGTTTCGGGATTGTGTTCTGCTATTCATTAATGATATCTCGCACTTTACCTATGATCTCTTCTGCCAAGTCCTCGACCCTGGCGTTGGCGTCAACTCTGACTACGATCTTCTCAGTCCAGTCGCGTGAGGGTTTTGGAATTCCAGCGCTTGCGAGTGATCCGAAGCTAGTCATTGTCGTTGGGTCCAAAGGCCTCAATATGGGCAGATCCTCTTCGTCATCTTCGCTCTCTTCGTCCAACGGTACGAATATCACGCCAATCGAATACTCGCCAACACACCTCCTAATGCAGTTCTCCTGCCACGCCTCCAACTTCGGATGCGTCGACACCAGCAAAGCAGGATTCGCGTTACGCAGTGCACCTTCCTGCGCCAGCGGCACAATCGGCGGTCTATTGACATACTTTGACACTCCCGACGACACGACACTACTGGCAACACTCGCATCATCCGAGCCTGAAAACTCCGAACCGTCTGAACTCGCAGAACCACGTCGACTCGTCGACGTCGTAGACGAGCTGCCGAAACCACTGAACCCCGCCCCTGCCGGACGAGACTCCTCCGTGAAGAGCAGACCCGTGCGTGTCATTTTCGATAACCACATCCGCTGATAGCGGGTTTCGTTGGCTCCAGAGGCTGCGCCGACTGTTGCGGCTTTGGCGGCTGTTTCGTGCATGCTGTCGCCTTGGTAGAGCGGACATGCTAGCGCTGAGGATACTGTCTTTGCGACTTGGAGTTTACCTGAGACTGCGGTGGAGGCGGCGATGATGGTGATGAATTTGGTGGGTTTCTTGTTGGCCTCTGGAGATGAGTCGGGCTGGTCGGGTAATCGGTGCACCATGACCTGTGGGGTGGCTGGTCGAGAGATGTGGTCCTCCATGGTTCTCCTGCTGCCAACGAAGTGAGAGCTCAAGAGCCTTTGAGAGCGTTGGTAGGAGATGCAGTTGATGAAAGACATCCACGGAATCTGCCCGACGAGAGAGTGAAGTCGTGACCTCAGCCCGCGCAACTCTTGTCTAGCCATATCTGGTCAAGATCTCCGACAGTCCTGAGACAACCACTGCCTCTCCTCCTCCTTTTCGTCCTCCTTGTGTCAACAATACCAGAGCGCTTCGAGATATTCTGGCGAGTCCTTCATCAACATCGAGCCTGCATAATCAACAGCACAGATATGCTGTGCATGAGGACTCGCCTCGCTTCCTAGGTGAATAACAAGCTCTCCCAAAGCGAGACGTGCCTGAACGAACGATCGACGGTAAGGGTTGACATCACAAACAAATGCGGCTGAACGTTCCACAGTAGCAAGTAAAGATTTTCCACAATCAAGTACTCTCTCACCAGACCTTCCAAGACCAAGATTTCCAGACTGCAAGATGCTCACAAAAGTCCTCACCGCGTTCCTGCTCCCTCTCCTAGTCGTCGCCTACACTGATCCTCTCCTCAACAACAAGACTACACCGGCCTTGAACATCACAGCGATCAGTGCTGCGCATGGCTCGTCAGTCCTTGAATGTTGGCAGCTTGAACAGTTCTCAGTCAGTAATACTCCAGGAACTGTGGGAGCATTGGCTGTGAACTTGGGAAATGCCAGCAACGCAACCTACTCGATCATACAAGGAAGAACGGATGCTGGCCTACACAACGCCCCTGTGCCTCAGTATGCATCCCCCTCAATCGAATTTAATACGAATGTGCTCACGTGTACAGACTCGTCTACTTCGCCACAGGCCTAATCCGCCTTTCCATCCCCAACACCACCCAGGAGGCTTGGGTCACGGGTGGCAAGTACGGATTGATATTCGCCCAGGACACGCCGGACAAGAGTCAATATGGCCATCTCACGGAGTATGTTGCGGACGAAGATACTATTGCGCTCACGGTTCCTTTGGCGCCGGGCCAGGAGCTGAAGCACAAGGTTCTGCATTCTGGGGGGTGTACGTGGAGGGAAGTGGCTGGGTTGTGAGTCCAGGATTGAGCAATGTTTCAGAAGCTAGAAAAGTTACCATCTATTATGCTCCGGCGTATAGATTTGGAAGACATTGGTAGGCCCGAAATTCTGATGGACGCCGCCTCCAGGAATATAAACCCTTCCATCTTTCACCGCCGCGTACGTCCCATGCACAGGCAGCGGCATTTGCCGTAGAGTGCTCCAGCTATCCGAGTCGATATCGTACACCTCAGTCACATTGAAGACACCGCTCTCGACTTCAGGGTTTCCTTCGCCTCCAAACGTACACACCTTCTTTCCAACCGCTCCAAACGACAACCCTCCACGCGGCGTCGGCATTCGTCCTTTCTTGAGGCTCCATCCAGCTTCAAGATCGTCCAGGTCCAGAGCAAAGACCGTATCCCTACGTCCGCCGTTCGGTGCTGTAGTTGCGTTGATTCTGCCTCCTAGTACGTAGAAGATGTCATCTACGAGCGCTGCTGCGACGTGGTCTCTGCCTTCTGGGAGTCTGGACGCTGCAGCTGGTGGATCATCCCAAGTATCGGTCCTGGTGTCGTATACAGATACTGTATCGATTGTGTCGTAAATGCCACCAATGAATAAGTCCAGCTCACGAAGACCACCGGCCAGATATACCTTACTTCCGTGAGTCACGACCGCGGCGCTACCTCGAGAATGTTGGCTAGGAATCGGAGCCAGGTCTCTCCAGGTGTTCGTTCGCGAGCAATACACATAAGAAGCGTTGTTGTCTGCAATCCAATTGCCACCTTGAAGAGACAAGCCACCGAGAATATAGAGCTTGTTGTCCACCACCGCCACGTTGCCGTGATTGATTGCGGTCGGCAGCGAAGCGATACTTCGCCATTCGCGAGTGTCAATATCGTAGGCTTGCACCATGGAGGTTGTTGTGGCTCCCAAGGGATTGTCTGGGAGGGTCTGGTTGATGATTCCACCCAGTAGGTAGATGGAGCCGTCTAGATAGGCGGCGGTGTTTTCTTGGCGAGGCTGTATTGGTATCTTCGTTGTATTCGTCCATCCTGGCCTATGAGGAGAGTGATTCCACGGTCTTGGAGGGTGAGCGCTGGCCAGACCTATTTGATGGGCTAGGCCGGCGAGGATGGTGCAGTATTGCAACAGCATTATTACCTGAATTGTCCAGAGATTGTTGAGAGCGAAGAATCGAACACGTGTTGATGTATGTTAAGAAATCCTCTGCCTGCTGAGCAAGCAACTAGTTCTATGTCGAAGGATTCTGTGTCTTGTCCCTGCATCTTCTAGTGCAGATCATATTCCTCCTCACACTAAAGTAGATGCGCGAACGACCGTCTGAACTTTGTTCGCGGTTTTCCAGCTGCACGTTTGGTGGCCAAGGGTATAGACCTCATCATCGAGGACAATTTCGAATTCAGAACGGAATATCGTTTGGGACCTCGGGATCTTGACCTGCCATCGACCTTGTAACATATCCTTTTGCCCCGTCAAGACGGTATCGCGTCACTATCGAAAGTCCCAACTCGCAATGCGCTGTCCTGGCCATCGATCTTCGACATGGTGTAGTCTCCTTCAACGTGAACGCACCAACAGATCCCTGGCGTTTGATCTGTCTTTCCTTTCCAGTTCCAGACGGCGACCGTCACGTTCGTCGAGTTGGTCCAGTAATTGTAGGAGTCGCACATGGCGACGCAGGTGTCGAGAGACGATTGGTAAGCGGTGAATAGATTCTGATAATCTTCGAGGGAGGAGTTGAGGAACGTGTTGCAGGTGCGAGTGTACTTCAGGTGGGAGAGTGGGCTGATCCAGTCTTGTCCAGCTTGTGATGAGCATTCTGAGACGACAGCAGATCCAGTTGGCGAGCCAGATGCTGTTATAGTCGTCGTTATAGTCGGAGCGTTGCTGCTAGTTGTTGCAGCTTTGCAGTGTGTCTTGGAGGCCAGTATGCCCGCAAGAATCGCGGCGATGATGGCCCCAAGAAGCGCAAGCAGCAGACATATTGTCGAGATTCTGAGTCCGAAAAGGCGCTTTGACTTTTCGATATCGTTCCATTGCTTCACATCATCGACTCGTCCAGTCTTTTCATCATGCCAAGTGGTCGAAGAAGAGGCGGTCTTCATGTGTGTCTCGAGCCCAGGCTGTAGAACTTCAAGACCAGGTTGAGCCACATGAAGGCCATCTTCCGGCGCACGTCTTCCAAGATACGCAGCCATCGTTAGTTTCCCGTGATAGAAATTGGAGAAAGCTGAGAAATGGAGCGGGCGACCTTTCGATGGGTATCTGTATGTCGTCTCGATGCGCTGCTGTGCCCCATGGCATTAATTATAGTAAGCGCCGATGCTACACCTCAAACCACTAGCGATAGCACCATGTAGGCCTCTGCATTGATCTTTCGTCTGCCGAGCACATCGTCGCTTCATGATGGTTGCGCTCCAGAAAGACTACGAGACGGCCAAATGCCTGAGGAGAAGCATGGGCTTCCTTCCCCTTACTAACTGAAAATTTCGTTACGTTTGGCGACATGTTCTGATAGGCTCATGCGCCTATTGCTCCAGGGACAAAGCATTTGCATCGGGATAGTCGACCGGTGGGTCTTGCTGGTTGTTGTTGGATGAAGCCGAGAAGGAGGATATTGGAAGCAAAAGAGGAGGTTGATGTTTGGGACTTGACAACGGAGTGGACTCCGTGTCACTTCAACCAATCATACAGCGGCGGTATCAGATGAATTCTTGAACTCCAATTCTGAGCTCTTTCACATGCGAGCTCTAATGTTCGCTCTTCAACGCTGCCTCCGATTCACAACACCCCGTCTCACCATATCACGACCGACCGATACCATGGCCCAGAAACGGCCCTTCAACGAAGGCAAAAGACACTTCAAGAAGAGCAAGAAGCAGAAGACCTCGACCGCGACTGAAGGCTCAAATGAGGAGGTTCTTCTGGCCGATATTCGAAGTCTCCTGAAAGATGTCAAGCTATCCGACACTGAGGCAGTGACGGGCGAAGAGGTGGCCAAACAACTGCCTGAGATACATGCCGAAGTAGACGTGACTATCTCGGAGCTGTCGTCTACGGGAGACGGACTGGCTCTGGAGGATGGCCAAGTATACGTTATTCCATTTGCTACTCCTGGCGATGTTGTCACTGCTCGAGTCTACAAGCATTTCGAAGAAGAATCTTACTCTCTTGCCGACTTCGTCAAGGTTGTGAAAGCTGGAGAGCACAGGACAGAAAAGCCCAAGTGCCAATACTTCACGAAATGCTCAGGCTGCCAATTCCAGCACATGCCTTACTCATATCAGCTTGTTCACAAGCGATCGATCGTAGAGAAAGCCTACCGCAACTTCTCAAATCTACCTGCCTCCGCAGTGCCTACAGTCGGTGACACCATCGGATCGCCTTTACAGTATGGATACCGCACGAAGTTGACACCACATTTCGACGGCCCGCCGGGAGGAAGAAGAGACAAGAGACATGGGATCAAGGTGACTTGGCCAGAGGTACCACCTATAGGGTTTATGTTGAAGGGCACGAGGAAGACGATGGACATTGAAGACTGTCCAATCGGAACAGATGCTGTCAGGATTGGGATGAAGAAGGAGAGGAAGAGGGTTTCAGACAATATCGACTCGTATCAAAAAGGAGCCACACTTCTGCTGAGAGAAAACACGGAACGCATTGAAAAAGTTGCAGGCATGATTGAAGAAGACAAGGAGACCGAGTCGAAGGACGAAGTGATTGAGGATCGTGGCAGCTTCGTCCACCGCAAGACTTGCATAACCGATCACAAGGCTGTGTCGACAGAGTACGTCGACGACTATAGACTGGACAACCCGGCTGGCGCATTCTTCCAGAACAACAACTCTGTCCTCCCTGTTGTGACACAGTACATCCGGGACCACATTCTGGAAGACTCGCTTCAATCAAAAGAAGTGGCAAATGGATCTTCTGGATCAAGTCCCAAGATCAAGAACATGATCGATGCATACTGCGGATCTGGCTTCTTCACCATCACCCTCTCAAGCATGTTCAGCAACAGCATAGGGATCGATATATCTGGACAATCAATCGACTTTGCCAGCAAGAACGCCGAACTGAATAATTTGCCAAAGGAAGGCACACACTTCATCGCTGCTGATGCAACCCATCTATTTGCGTCAGTTGACACGGAGAAGTTCCCACCGGCGGAGACGGTAGTGGTGATCGACCCACCACGAAAAGGCTGCGATGAAGGCTTCATTCGCCAATTGCTGTCGTATGGACCGGCGAGAATATGCTACGTCTCTTGCAATGTGCACACTCAGGCAAGAGACGTTGGATGGATCGTGGGCGGATTGCCAGGCAGTGAGAAGCTAGAAGGACAGTACGAAATTGAGAGTCTCAGGGGATTCGACTTCTTCCCTCAGACGAGCCATGTGGAAGGTGTTGCGATATTGAGGAGGAAGGCAGAACAGGGAACCTCCAGCAATGGAGCGTCAGTCTCTAACACCGAATAAGGCAGCAAAACGGGATAGCCGCAGACAGAAAATCCCGATCTCTATCTACAACATTCACGGCCATTGCAAGCGCTACCACGATATGTGCGACGGGCTCGTCAGCTGACGTTTGCTGTTGGAGATCCAACTTCGAGCACCCGCCGCCGACTTGCAAATAGTATCTCGAGATCTTCACCTCGGATACTACAGCAGTTTCATATGCCTCTCAAGCTCATTCGTAAAGCGAAAGACATCATCAGGGATTGTCGTACTTGGTGGAGAAGGCACCGTGGCACCGAGCGCTTCAGCAAGTCTCAGCGACGTATCAAGCATACGGACACAGTTGGTTCGGTGCAGCCAGATATCTCGCAGCCCTACAAACCGCTCAGAAGCAATGTGACGAACCGAAGATTTCGATTACTTTCTCCAGATGTTGGCACAATCGCCATCCGTCGACATATGGCAAATGGAGGCAGAGACGCCGGTATCGACATGATACCACTGCCCTTGGAAGGTGTTCACCGCCACTAGAAATTTGTGAATGCATGTGGTGTTGACGACATGATCATTGAGACGAGCATCCGGCTGATTCTGGCAGCTGGAAGTGGCTGCTCCAAGCATCCACGTGACAAAGTCATGGTGACACACCTGGCTTGAGACAAGCACACCGTGCTTGCTGCACACGCCATATATTAATGAGCAACACCTATGTTCACAAAGATGCCTGTATTCTCGCGCGAAGAGAACTTTGGCCAGCTCAAGCACCACGAACCGGTCCATCACCCTGTCAGCCCCTGAAGAAAGCATGTCCGACCACGCACGCCACGAAGCCACAAGAGCGAGAATGCTACTCCGACAGCGAGAGCAAATGCTCCAAACCGAATCACGAAAAACCGCGGAAAGCAAGAGGACCATCCTCGAGCGTCTCAAGCCAGAAGCCGCTGGTCGATACATTCGGAACCTAATCCAGCAGAAGAAGACGGCAGACACCGAGCCGGAAGCGTGCACCATTAGCCCAGAGGAGACTACATCCGACAGCTCCTCAGCGACGATCACATCGAAGCATCTGGGACCCAGCGATGGGTCCTCCAGCACCACCACAGTGACGATCACAGAGGATCTCCCGCCGAACGAGCCAAGTCTCAAACGCAAGCGGACTGACGACGAGGAAGAAGTCGACGAGGTGGCGGAGCGGGTGAAGAGGCTCAAGATGGAGCGAAAATCACTGTGGGAGAGCTTCGACGACTCGCAGTTCAATATGCACAGCGGTCTGCTCTACGATGCCAAGTTGTGGGAGTGGTATTGGTGACTGTATCTGGGTTCAGGGGTCATCTCGGGGTTTTCGGAGGCGATTTTGCTTGAAATGCGGTGCTGATGGTACAGTTATAGAGAACAAATACAGACTAGACAAATCGCAGGAAGCTGTTGGGAATGTGTCCTTTGTTCTCCTGCTCCTGATAGCGTGCGTTCCAGATTGACGGAAAGGAATACGTCCTTCGCCTTTGATGGAATTGAAGAGACAGCTTTGTCAAAGGAATGAACAGTCCAGAAGGATATCGAGCTACTAATCGAAACGCACAAAGAAAAAGACCATTACTTACCTCGACCTCCCCTCCATCGTTCTGATCTCTTCCCATGGCAGCAACAACAAGAAGAACAACACCTACCGCAACCATGTCGTCCTCGCCCTACAACCTCCGCAAATCCTCCCTCCCCTCCGCAAAAGCCCGTAACCTCTCGACCTACATGCAAGACCTCTACACCGAAGGCCGCACCGCCAGCCCCCGCAAGAGACACAAACTCGCCAACGAACTCATAGCCATCATGGAACGAAGACGAGCCCGTTCGCCCTCAATCTCCGACGCGACGATCATGGTAGCCAACGAGATCGTCTCCGTGGGGCGTCCGCCGGAGTGGCACATCGCGCGCCATCAGATGGATCTGTTCCAGGAGTGGGAGGAGGCGATGGGGATCACGAGGGAGGACTTCGAGAGGGATGTGGAGTTTATTCCCTGGTTGGGGATTGAGGACGCGGTGCCGAAGATGATGGGGCAGTTTGGGGTTGTTGATATGGTGGGGCCGATTCAGGGGAGGAGTTTGACGGCGAAGAGGCTGGATGGGAAGGAGATGGGGCCGGAGCGGGTTCCTAGCGTGGAGGAGATGAGTTGGAGGGAGTGGAGGCGGTTGTCGAGGGCGTGTAATCTGTTGCTGGAGGCGGTGGATGGGCTTCCTTGGGGGTGGGAGATGGAGGATGCGGAGTGGGAGGCGTTCTCCAGGGCTGGGGAGTTGTTCAATGGGGATCAATCAAGGGATCTCAGGGAGCTGAGTGCTTTGTATAAATGGGAGAATGCTTGAAGTTCATGTTTGGATGGGAATTGAGCGGAGGACTCGAACGGATGGATGAAGAGGAACATCACAGCCGGTTCGAAGACGATGGCGTCGTCGTCTGTGAGGTTTGATCAGATAAGAGAGCTTCTCTTCCTACAACCAACACCTCTCTCTTCATCACATGCAACACGCCGAACGCGCGTACCGCCATCGCGTGCTGTACGCGCAAAGGGATCGTCGTCTTGCAGATGACATACCACCCATAGATGATGAGATGACGTCCTGTCCAGTCCCGGGCTCCTCGGAGCACATCCACGGATGAGTGACAGAACTACTGCTCACCTCACCTCACCTCAACATCATCAATGCCGGACTTCCGCACTGCTACTCACGATTGCACAGCAGAGCTCTCTTTAACTTTTCCTGCCTTCATGCAGACTGGGCACTTCGCGGCACAAACGGACATCTTCGATCCCCATCGTCATCGGCCTGGCTCTTCCGGCATACTCCTTGTCGAGACTTGGATGTTTGCGCTTGGTGTGTAGGCGGTCAAGAAGGATACGCCGCAGTCGAGCCTCGTTCTTGGCTAGTTTCGATGACTGTTGTGGATTTCATGTCCATACGTGGCAGTGGTGAGCGGAATACGAAATTCTCTTCTTCGTGCATCGAGATGGGGACCTGAGTACGAGAGGAAGGTGGAGTATCCCAGCACAGCCCGCCCACGAAGGATGGAGTTGTGGTACAGGGATGGGATTGTGGCTTTAATAATAAACGAGATGTAGAGGATAATTCAGTCGAGAAAGCATGAAAGTAATAGAAAAAGATAGTCGATATCCCTTTCGATAATCGAATAAGATTTTGAGTTCTACAAACAGAACAGTCGTTCTTCGAACATTCCAATTCGCTTGCAGTTGCTTTCGTGACACACACATGTGCCACCCCCCGGTCAGAAAATCACACCCTAGCAGTTCGTGTGACGTCGATGCACTTTCTCGCCGACTTGAACCCAATCTGCTTTACATTTGGGACCGCAATCGGCACGACCATTTGCCCGCGGGAGGATGCATTGACTGCTGACTGCATGAGAGATTGTCGATTGGTGGTGACGGTCATTGACAGGAAAGCAGTTGGCGTTGATTGTCGTTTGGGACGCCGGTGTTGGGATTCGCAGCACGGCGGGTTTGGTGTTTGTGCTTGGGGTATTATTGGATCGTATGGGTGTTTCTCTTCATGATGAGAGAGGTGCTTCCTGGCACATATGCCGGCAGTGTCGAGGTGGTCGTCAATCAAAGGAGTCGTCGACGAGTTGAGTGCCTCGTACGTCGTCAATCGTAAACATTACGTGGTTGTGCTCGAGTGTTGCGATGTTCCATATCCAACTCCACAGAGGCTTCGATTCAGATCGCGTCAAGGTCCTTTCATGTCTTATTCTTCTTCATGGAGAATCCCCTCAGTCTTGTCTTGATCTGTTGTGTGGGCTGCCCATAGAATGTCGAGGTTGGCGAACTTGTGGTGGGTGAGCTTGACTTGTCGCTTGCACTGGAGCTGGTGAGGCTGGTCTGCGATTGAGATCGATTGCGGGTCTCTGCGAGGACGTCGTCGAGACTGACGTTGGCCCGGGAGTAAGGCGTGTCAGAGGTGTCCAAGATCTCGACGAACTTGGAGGATGCCATTGCTGAGATCTGAGGTATAGTGGAGATCTTGGTGACTGTTTATGTTTGCGTGTAAACAGTGGCAATACGAGCGAGCTTGATGGGAAGAAAGTTGAGGCCGAGAGAAGCAGCGCGTACGGGCGAAGGACGAGATACAAATGCGAGCCATAGCAAAGGCCCCTCGCACGCAAGCCTCCCACACGATCGCATCCCGACCCGCCATGCGAAGGCCCTCATTTGAAGACCCCGTGTGCCGGGCCGCGAAAGATGCGTCGCGAACCCCTGCAGGTGACCAAATATCACTGTGCTTTTTGGAATGGTTTGCGGTGGCACGCCAGCGAATAGCGTCGACGCTGACGAAGATAAAACGCGCCACGCCGCAGAATGGCAGACGAAGGCTCACGTAGCCTTGGGCGCGGACGACTGCGGACCACGGCGCCCATGCCTGGACCTGCAGACATGACGATGACAGGCGAGATATGATAGGGAAGGGTGTTGGACGGCGGAGACGGGGAGCGACGATCGCTGGGGTCCGTCCTGGTCCCTTCTGCCGAGCCCTGCTTCTGCCTTCAAGTGCCACCCGGGCGACGCAAGCAGTTTGCACGGCAGCAGCATTGGCTTGTGTCACCGCTGACGGGACCTGCCAACCTCGACGAAATTGCATCTGTCGCAGTCGCTTGACATCTCACGAGACTCTGCGCCTCCATCTGCGTCTCTCGTGTGCCTTTCTCCCAGGCACCTGTAACCGCACGCCGTCGACGACTGAGGCGCACAACGGCCCAAACCTTGCGAACACAAATAGATCTTGCATGACTTGGCGAGGTTGAATATTGGACCCTGAGGCGACTCGCGCTCCAGACCTCTTCACTGCACGTTCTGTCGCTCAGCGAAAACCATATACAGCAGTTCTGCCAGGAAACTCCGGCCTGTCGAGACTTTCGTTGACAACATCCGTCGCCGCATGGGATGAGCGACAAACCGGACTTGGAACGCCATGTGGTTTGTTCACAAGACTTCCTCGTTCGTCAGCGTGCTCGGCCCCATGCGGTGTGGCAAGAAAACATGTGATCTTGTTCTAGGCACCTGACTATCGAAAGGCTCTGCAGGCCTTGTGGTGACGGTGCGGCACACGCGTTCAACAGTGCGCCGTCGTACGGCGATGAATTGGCCATCAACTTGTAATGAGGAAGTGTTGGAAGGGGAATAGACTGCGCATGGCAGTGCAAGAGAATCTTGCCACGCCTCTGCCTGGACCAAACTCCGCAGCAGCCGCATTCCACGTTCCGTTTGCAGATATCCGTGAAGACAGCAGCGCACTGGAGACGTGTTCAAGCGGTTGCTGTAGTTTTAATTAATGGATATGCGGACATTCTCGGTGCGGTTGGAGTCGCACTTAGCGCTCTCCGCAGGCGTGTACGAGACCCTCGATATGGAGTGCATCTTGACGCCTGTCCACAGCCTCATGACAGCGCCGGCAAGTCTCGTGGTTGGTCTCCAGACATAGCAGCCGTGTATTTGAAACGCCGGCTGCAGAGGCGTTGTTCGTTCCTGGAGTTTGGGGCACATCTGCATCTACATTCGGGGGTTTGGGCATCTCGGCCGGGCAGCGAGACCACCAACACGTTATAGGGCGAACATCTCCATCAAGTCCGTGGCCTCCCTGATCCACTTGCTTGCCGCCGACTTTGTTGCCATGGTTCTGCTCTCAAGCTACCAGACGCAGTAGTACGATCATGCGGACGGAGCAAGAGGAGGTCCGGAGCGTTCGCATGCGTGTTTGTTTGTTTGTTCTCGTGTGGACAGAGCAACCATGGCACGCTCCTCGACTCGATAATGCAGATTCAAATGGACCTTTTCGAGAACATGTCTGACATGGAACGTTGCCCTGTGTCGATGATTTCGGCATCTGAAGCGAGCCGAGGCCATCGGCAAACTTCCGTGTCCCCGCCATTCATGTCGACTTCACTTCACATGGATAGTAATCGAGCGCGAGCAATAGCAGTAAGATTTACGCTGCCTCACCTTCTAGCACTATCATATCCGTCTCGTTGCATCTAGTATACTGTCAATCATCTTCCAATCATGACTTCGGCCGCTAGAAAGAGAGTACAAGCTCTGTCTGAGCAGCTGGTGAACCGGCCGAGGAGTACGGGTACATTTGAAGATATCCCCAATATACCGCGAGTCGCTGGCGATTCCAAGGGAGCGTAAGTCAATTGAGAGATGCCGTGCATGCAATGTCATGATATCTTTTGGCATTGACAACAGTCTACTGCCAACGAGGCTACTTCACATCCACAAGCCAGAAACCTCAACGTACGCGTGCTGACATCCATGCAGACGAACTAAAGGCAAAGTCGTAATCATCACCGGCTGCAACTCGCCACTAGGTATTGGACGAGCCTCAGCCCACCACTTCGCCAACAATGAAGCCAAGGCAATCTTCATGTGTGATCTCAACACAGATCATCTGGAAACTCACAAGCGGGAGATCAACTCCCTCTACCCGGGAGTCGACATCCACCCACGACAGGTTGACGCGGGCGAGGAGAAGGGCGTCGAGGGAGTCGTCAACGAAGCTCTGGAGAAGTACGGCCGTCTGGACATCTTCTTCGCCAACGCCGGTATCAGCGTCAACCCCAAGAGCGTCCTGGATAGTTCAGCAGAGGACTTCATGGACGTCATGAAGATCAACGCATTGAGGTTCGCAAACAAAAACCCCACACCACATATCCCATCTCCCCAGAACTAATTCATCAACCCAGCGTCTTCCTCGCCGTCAAACACGGCGCCCGCGGCATGCTCGAAACCTCCGCAGAAAAGAAATACCCCGGGGGTTCCATCGTCGGCGTCGCCTCCTCCGCCGGCATCCGCTCCAACGCCGGCGCCACAGACTACTCCGCCTCCAAAGCCGCCGTCATCAGCATCATGCAAACCACCTGCTACCAGCTCTCCGGCACGGGCATCCGCTGCAACGCCATCTGCCCCGGCATCATTGAGACGGGCATGACGGCGCCCATGTACGAGTATGCGCGCAGCAGAGGCACGGAGAATAAGATCGGGCAGTTGAATCCTTTGCAGAGGGGTGGTGTTGCGGATGAGGTGGCGCGGGTGGCGTTGTTTTTGGGGAGTGATGAGGCGAGTTATGTCAATGGGCAGGCTTGGGCGGTTTGTGGTGGGCTTACGGCGGGGCATCCTTTCGTGCCGGGGAAGTTGGCGTAGATATGGTAGGGAGTCCTTGTTGTATAGATAGGGTCGCTGTCGCAAGATCTGTCATGGAAAGTTCTGTCGATGTGAAAAGGGTCCAATGGAAAACGGTGGCGTCATTGAATGTTTCGTTGGGATTGAGAAAATGTTGCAGGATAGCTGTTGCGTTATTGCTATAGCTGTGATCATACCGCGATGCCCCTTCTCATCCAACCGCCTGGACCGCGCCAGGCATAGAGCCAGATTCCGCAGGCTGCCCAGACGCACACGGCCATCGCCCAGAAAGTAGGAGCGTAGCAGCTCGTCCCATAGCAGAGTCTGTCCTCGACTACATCTGTACCTCTCATCGAGTCGTCTGCATCTGCTGCTCCTTGGTACACGCCCGAGTATATCAGTCCCCAGACTGTTGCGCCGAGAGCGGGTACCATTGCGCAAATGCCCCAGTTTGTTCCGAAATTCTCAACCCCCCAGATAACGCTGACAATGATGGGCGTCAAGCTGAAAGCCGCTCCGTAACCCGCGCCGATGAATGCCGATACAAGCCAGAAGCGTTCTCCATGCCCTTGAATGAAGCCAGATGCGAGGAAGATTTGTCCAACGGACATCAGAATGCAGAACACAATGAGGAAGGTCACCCGTGAGATCTCTAGACGGCCTTTAGAATGCTCAGGTTGCAGAGATGCCATACTGTTGGCCATAGAATTTGGTCCGCGCCGGTGCTGATGCGTGACAGAGGAAGGTGCGACTATGTCGGTCAGCGTGCCCGTTACGACTCGTGCTATGGTGCTCGTAATAGCCACGATGGAGACGTGAGTGGCCGCATTCGTAGGGTTGCCGCCTTCAGGGATGGACATTGGTGGGTAGAGCGTATCAATGATAGTCCCTAGATTGTTGATGAAGGCTTCGCCAGGACCAGTCACTAGGAAGAAGCCGGCCGCCAGAAACCACATTGTCTTGTCGGCAAGAAAGCGGCGAGTTTCTGCGTTCAGGAGCCACTCTTTCATCCGTCGTTCTTCGTCGCGGCGAGCTTTCTGCTCATCTGCTTTGCGCCGAATCTCATCATAGTCGTCGTCAGAAAGGGTGCCGTAGCCAGTCTGCTCCTGTCGCTCCCGAATAGCGTGATGAAAGAAATCACTCTCTTCTAGCAATCCGCTCTGCTCAAGCTCCTCGATGGCGTCCTCGATCAACTCCTCTTCGTTGACGATCTGGAGCGTGAAGAACCCGATGATGCCAGTGCCAAGCAGGAAGCATCCCAGGAAGAGGAAAAAGCGATGCACGTCCACGTCTCCCTTACTTCCATCTGCTCTAGGTTCGTAGAGAAGCTGGCTGCCTACCTGCGACTGCCACATGCCACTCAACCCAAAGCAAGCAATGGGCAATGCCAACGCGATGCCTTTGTACTTCCCACGCCCGAAGTTCTTGGCGCAGGTCGTAACTGCAGACAAGTACATACATGATGTTCCGCTGCCAATGAAGACGAATGCCACAATCATAACCCAGTACGGCCAACCTTCGCCGCCTAGTGACTGAGGAGGCCCGCTCTTGTAGGTGAATGCAGCGAGGAGGTAGCCCAGGCCGAAGAGTACGCCAGAGAGTAGAGAGGGAGGGCCAGGTCCATATCTGTCTGACAGCATGCCCCATATCGGTACTGGCAGGTACATCGCCAGTTCGGCAGCAATAGACACTCCATTAACCTGAAGCTGGCTGTAGTGCAGCCTGCGCTGGAACAGCGGCGCATACAGTGAGTATGCCGTGATGGAGCCCGCTCCCAGTGTATTTATGAGCGCCCATATGAAGCTTAGGTATCGCACTGCCTCTCTCTTTACCGTCTGCCTGTCGTTATCCGCGATGCCTTCTGCCACGTCTTCGAAGAAGCTGCCGGCATAGCTCCTGTCCTCGCTCTGTCGGCCACTACTCTCGCCATTCTCATCCTCTTGTAAGAGTAGCCTTCCTCCAGGATGATATTCTAGCTTATCGATATCGCCGTCTCTCTTGCCGGGGCGGCTCGTTGGCCGACTTGAAGACGAAGGCATGCCGATGTGGTAGCTGTCGTGTCGTGGGCGATTACGCTTCCGGCTCGATCAACGGGCCATTGTCTGCGGAGGTCACTATGCTGCCATGTTGATGCTTGCGTGCTGCGAAACGCCTGAAGGACCTCAGGGCGTGATTCTGATGCGTTGTCGGGTGGAAACAGAGTCTCACGCGCTTGACTCCTTCCTTGAAGGATCCACTGCCACAGCTTCGGCTCGGCAGTCGCGTGCTGTCCCGTCATCGATCTGAGATGGCGGGTCAAAGCTTTCGGCCACGCGACCTGCAGAACATCGTGAACCACATCCACACTTCTGTCTCAACTTCTGACGATGGACAGTCATGCCGTCCAGCGCAAAGGAAGATCGGATCGCTCAGCTCCTGGCCAAGGCCGATGAGGACGCCAAGCAGGGCAATCTCCAGGATGCCTTCAAGGCGCTGAAAGAAGCCTCCCATCTCGACTCGGAGAACCAGAAAGTTCGAGATGCGCTGGTGGCGCTGCAGAAGAGAGAGCAGACGGGAGATGCTCTCCAATTGCTGCGTAGCTATCTAGCATCCGGCCCGGAGCTGGATGGCGAGAAAGCAGTTCAGGCATTAAGACAGAAGGAGCTTCCACAGGATGAGGCGAAACAGGCTCTTGAGCTCCTCCTCACTGCCACTGGAGACAAAGAGCTACTGGACTCGCTGACCGGCGCACTCCTGTGGAAGAGTACCGCCGCGAGGAAAGATGTTGCGGCAAGATTCAAAGAGCCAGTGACGGAGCTCTTCACCCTGCTCTTCGAACGGGGCGAGGAGAGCCTCAAGGCATTTTCCAGCATCTCTCTGGATGGCGGTCTATGGGAGTCGAAAGAAGCGCAGAAAAGGGCGCAAAACGATGTCTTCCGGCTGTGCATAGCAAAGCTCATGGATGTCGACATCGATCGACCAGAACGGCTCATGCAGGCTGTTGCACGACAGCTGGCCGTTGCGCCTGAGGATGTGAAGGACGTTATTGACGAAGATGTCTTCGAGGTGGTTCTCAACTCGTTGGACATTCGTCTCCAAGCCAAGCTTCGTAGCCAAGCCATGCTGGCAACGTCAAAGATCCTGGAGGTCACCGGCGAGCCGGGAGGAACTATGTTTGGGCAGTATCTTGCGAATAAGGTCGCAAAACAAACAAACGATGACCTGATTGACGCCTTTTCAGCTGCTTCAGCGGTCTTTCCGATGCTTCCAGCCGTGGCCGCCAGTCTCTTCATGACGGACGGCTTCGTGCAACAGCTTGTGCCCAATCTCGAGAGGAATTCAGAGGCTGCATCCCAAGGGCAAAGGTAGGCACGAAAGCAGTAGAGATACACGCTTTACTTTGTATCATACTTTCACACTTGCCATACGGCACTGCTAACACTCAGCAGGAAAAGCAGGACGCTTGAACAGGCGGCGCTCGAACTTCTGAGCGCGGCTTGTGTGGACAAAGCATGTCGAGAAGCAATTGACAGATACTGTTCTCCCTGGCTTCGTGACCTCACAGAAGAGCGCGATGGCACGCACAAAGCCCTGTCGGCACTTGTGCTCGCCAAGATCAACTCTGCTTCGCAGGAAGAGATCACATCTAAGTTGGCGGATCTTGTGCTGGTGGGAGACGCAGAACGTGAGCAAGCGGTCGAAGGTCTTGCCTATACATCGCTGCAGCCCAAGATCAAGGAAGAGATTGCGTCAAATCCACAACTCCTCAAGCGGCTTGTGGCAGCACTCATCGAACGTCCAAGTGCTGCCTTTGGGTGTTTGACGGTCTTCTCAAACCTCACGACCTACCGACCTACACAGACTGCTGAGCAGAAAAAGATGGCACAGCTCAAAGCCTATGCCGCTTCGCAGAAACCAGAACCCGATGACCCTCTCGACGATGATGCGCATGTAACTGCGAGAGCCAAGAAGCTTCTCGACGTGGATGTGGTGCCTGCTCTTGTGGCGTCTTGCAAACAGACTAGTTCCCCCTCAAATATTGCCATGGTCGTGCGAACTCTACTGGCGTTATCGAAAGAGCAAAAGCACCGGGCCAAGATGGCTCAGCAAGGCGCCGTGCGACTGCTCCTACAGATTCGAGAGCGAGTGGCAAAGACGGACAAGTCGACGGCAGAGGCATCCGCTATCGAACGACACGCATCTCATGCCCTTGCGCGGTTATTGATCTCCGTGAATCCATCACACGTATTCTCGTCAAACCTATCCGCCTCATCAGCCGTGAGCGCTCTGTCACCGCTGCTTTCGATTGATTCCGACAGTGAGCAGAGAGACCTTCTGCCGACTTTCGAGGCCCTGTTAGCACTCACAAATTTGGCGTCTACGGAGGACGACTCGGCCAAAGAGCTTCTAACACGCAACTCCTTCGCCACACTCGAAGACTTGCTGTTTTCCTCCAACACCCTTGTGCAACGCGCGAGTGTCGAACTTGTATGCAACCTCATGGCTTCTCCGTCCGGAGTCGCCAAATTCGCAGATGGCTCCAACGATGCGAAACGTCGCATGCAAATCTTACTTGCTCTCGCCGATGTCGAGGACCTGGCGACTCGACGCGCAGCAGGTGGTGCGTTGGCGATGCTCACCGAGTGGGACGCCGCGGTAACGGCGATACTGGACAAGGAAAGAGGTGTTGGTGTGCTGCTAAGCATGTGCGAGGATGATAGCGACGAGATGCGGCACAGAGGATTCGCATGCGTCTTGAACGTCGCAAGTGCACCTGGAGATGTTGGTGCCAGGGGAATCAAGGCTGTCAAAGATGCGAACGGAGCTGAGGCCCTGAAGGAGGCTCTTCGCAGGACGAAGAACCAGGAAGTGTTGGGACTCGGGGTTGAGGTCCTCAAAAAGTTGCAATGATTGTATGTTGGACACGAGACGGGGCTAATCCTGTCGAGCACACCGCCGCATGGGGAGAGCCGGGAGGAAAGGCTGGTATTTCGGCATGTCACAAGTCAAGCAACACGCTTGGACGGGTCTTGTCAACGGCCAAGATGCTTTGCGAGGTTTGCTTCTCCTGGCTAATCAGTTCGTAGGCTAGGTACATGTACGACGTACGACATCGGGCTTCGCTTATGAATGTTTCTTATTATTCCTAGGTCTCATGTCAGCATGTCTGGCGCTGAATTTGGTCCAGGGCTTCACAGTCTGGTTACTGCATTGGGATGGCATCCTGCAGCATCATACCATTTCTGGCCGCCATGCTTGGGCCACGTGCTTGGACCTGCGAATGAACAAATCTGTCCTATCGTACGGCAATGCGTCAATCTTCATCTCGGTAGTACTGGAGTCACGGGTTCACGGTCATGAGCTGACCTTGCAGTAGCCCGCTGGTATACCTCAAGGCTAGGCAAGGCCACATGGACGTTGGAGTGGACAGATCGCATGACTGTTTCTACGCTTTCCAAGAGAACTGATTCACACAACCAACTTACATCGGCGGAACTGGAGGCTTCCGGAGCGGCCTTCCTGATCAAGCCCTGTTGTGTTTCCTGAGCAACGACTTCGACAAACAGTCTCATCATCGTTCAGCCGCTTCGCAAAGCACACGAGCTGAAACCCAGGCCACGGTTGAGTGTCATTCTTGCCGACGAGCGGTGTGCATTCGGTCATCAGTGTGCACGTTGACTGAGCACTGAACGACCTCTTCCAAATCCGCGGACTGTCCATGCTGCCGGCTATGGCCCTACACTAGCCCAACGTCCATATGCGGCAGTCCTCGTCGAAAGAAAATAGGGCTGCATAGTAATCCATGGCCGCAGGATCTTTTCGCCGAGCTCAGCCTCATTGTATAGGCAGTGGAAGCTGTTCACCCGGGCTCAGCCCTGGCAGAATCCTTCACTCACCAAACGACAACCCGCGCTAAGCACGCTTCGCCTTGAGCTTGGTGTGTGTAAGACACGCTATTATTCGCACACAAGCTCACACCAGGGCAACAAACGGTTTAGCTCTGCCAACTCTATTTCTAAACCATGTGGTACTTACCAGGATCCAGTTTAGCAACCGGGGCCAGATACGGGTTTTGAGATCTGACATGACAGCATCCATGACCACCACATCGCGGCGCTCGCTTGTCGTGCGCGATGCTGAGGGTATTATTGAACCTACCTGTGAGGAGGTGCTGACCAAAGCAGATCTATCTACGGCATCGTGCAGCTCCGTGTGGTTCCTTGGAGAGGGGAAGTGCTACTGCCCTCCTTGATACATAAGGTACGTGTGATGCCTGGTGATGCATCTCTGATCTCTGCATTCCATCACTCAAAACAATAAAGTTTATCTGCCGACAACCAGCCTTTGCCATCTTGCTGCTTGTTTGCTTTCTCGATCTCCTAGATTCTCTCTTTCACAATCAGAATCATCACAATGCTTTCACAACTCGCTGTCACTGCCCTGCTGGGCCTCACTGCATCGGCTGCTCCTTGGGGTCCAGGACAGGGAGGCGACTGGGGACATGGTAATGGAGGAAACGGAAACGGCTGGGGAGGCAATGGCGGATGGGGAGGTCACGGTCAGCCCCCTAGCCAACCTGAGAACTGCACCCAGGAGCCATTCAAGTTCCCCCTCTCCAACGGATTCCCAAATGTCGAGGTCGGCTCTCCAGAGCTCCTTGCCATCGAGAAGCAAGCACATGGCACTCTCCCCAATGGCCCTCTTCCAAGCAAGATCCAGGACGCCACCGCAACCACTCTCCAGCTCATCGCGTTCAACGAGATCTTCGAGGTCGCATACTTCACCTCCCTCCTGAACAACATCACCAGCGGTGTGTACAACGTCGGTAGCGGCGCTGCTAAGCAGATCGTCGAGAACGCCATCACCGCCGTCCAGGCCCAAGAAGAACTCCACGCCCTGGGCGCCAACGCCATCCTCCAAACGGCCGGCCGCACCACCATCCAGCCCTGTGAATACGTCTTCCCAGTCTCCGACTTCGACAGCTCCATCGCCCTCGCCTCCACCTTCACCGACGTCGTCCTCGGCACGCTCCAAGACGCCCTCAACAACTTTGGCACCGACGGCGACGACGAGCTCCTTGCCCTCATCGGCGGCGTCATCGGCCAAGAAGGCGAGCAAAACGGCTTCTACCGCAACCTCGGCGGCAAGATCCCCTCGCAGCTCCCCTTCCTCACCCGCTCCGCCGGCCCCTTCGCATTCTCTGCCCTTAACCAGATGTTCGTCGTCCAAGGCACCTGCGGCAACCTCGACGCCATCGCCCTCCCCATCTTCAGCCCCCTGACCGTCGCGACCCAGAACATCCAGGCGCAAGATCAGGATCTGTCCTTCAGCTTCAAGACCAACGGCACCGCGACCGATACCAGCGACCTCCACATCGTCTACATCAACCAGCAGAACGTGCCGGTCGTGGAGCCGCTCAAGAATGTCCAGACGCAGGGTGATACTGTCTCCTTCCAGGCGGCTTTCCCTTTCACCGAGAACCTTATGTTCGGATTGACTATTGCTGCTGTGACGAATAGCGCGGGTCCTTTCGCGGGTGCGGATGATGTTGCGGCGAAGGCGCTGTATGGGCCTGGTTTGATTGAGATTCAGTAGATGGGAATGTTCACGAGTTGATGTATATCGTTTGGAATGAAAAGCATTTAGACGGCGATTCGATGCTCATCTATACCCTCTGATAGGTTCCTGCCTCGCATCCGGAAATGTCCATCTCCCTCATCCCCACAGCTCAATCCCACTGTCCCCTTCTTCCATCAAGTAGCTCTCCCAATCCTCATTCGCGCGATTCTTCTCCTTCACTGGTATCTTCAACTCCCGGTATGCCAGTTTGTGTAAATCCAGAGCGGGCCAAGCCGAGGAGATGACTTTCGACTGCCGGTAGGCGAGGGCTAAGAGTGCTTGCATGGTGAACATTGCATCGTTCCCAGCGCAATGCAACAGATCCTTTCGGTGGGGTATTTGCAACCATTCAAGTAGGGTGCGAAGCGTCGGGAATTGTCCGAGACATTGGCGTGCTAGGTCTGCGGTGTCGACGAAGCCGAGGACATGGGGCAGGTCTTCCGCCAGGTTCACGTTGAGGGATTGCAGGACTTTGAGGTCTGCTTCGATGCCGTGGCCTACGAGGAGGACTTTGCGAGGGGTTTGGTTGTCGGAGGCTACGGTCAAGCCTGCGAGGATGGTGCGACGGAGGTCTTCGATGTCGATTCGCTGCGTGTCGCCGAAGAGGAAGCCTTGGTTGTGGCGGGCTATGCGGTAGTTCGCTGCGTCGATGGTGGGCTCTGTCTCTACTTCTTGGTTTCTGGTGAGGATGGTTCTGACATCTAGAGTTCCGAGACCGTATCCGTGGACGCCACCGACATGTCGCTCGTCGCCTTCAAAGTCGATAGCAGCTAGCACGAAGTCGGTCTCGGGGCTGAGGGTTCTTTCTTGAGTACTCAAAGCGTTCAAGAACGCATCGAAAGCTAGTTTGCCGGCGATCTTGTATGGATCAATGTATGCTCGCCATCGTGCCCTGTTCAACATGTTAGCTCGAACAAATAAGAACCAGTCACTCTGGTATTGTAACCTACTTCCTGAGTGTGCGCCGCTCGAGCTCAGCAAAGTCTTGCATGCCTTCTTCCTGATGCCTGAGAACCTCGGCGTCGGTCCAGCGCAGCTTGTAGTCGGCGTAGTATGCCGCGCGATTGTCGTTGTATCGCTCTCGCAGTTTAGGGCCTATGACGGGAAGGTACCAGCGATTATTGTAGCGTCCACGACGAGAGGGCATTTAGTTACGATCGCGATGTGTTGCTAGAGGTTAAGGATCGATGAAGCGATGGAAAAGGAGGGCAACAAGGATCGAAAAAATGTTGAGTTGGCAGTAACGATGCAGGTTGGTGAGGAAAGGATATAGTGTCAAAGCAGATGGCGGAGTATAGCTTTTCCTGAATTTTGTATTTGCATGAATAAGCAGATATGATAGCGTTGTCGGCTCACCTCTCTTGGATGGAGTTTCCGATACCATCCCGAATCTCGGCTTGCCGAGCGTGCCGAAAGCGGTGCCGAATTGATGTTATTGTTGCCACTGATCGTTTACCTCACAATAGGCCTTCTGGAGCGCTGTTATTGTCAGTGTAGCGGCCATTCACCTAGCCATAACAATGAGAAGAAACTTACATATTGCCGCTCAATTGTCGACAATATCTCCAACCTTGAACAGCCTTCCATGACATCGATGCAGCTATTGTGCTTCCTATTGTCGCATTTTCGACGGGGATGCCAACGACAATATGGACTATGAGACCTATTGTCACCTATAGATCGTGGCCTCATCTCTACCTATAAAGCCATGTAGGTCTTTCTTTCTTTGTGGCGCTTTCTTAGACATACAGACATCATCACAAGCTGGCCTTGAGCATATCGTCTTCACACCAATCTCTCAAACATCACATCAGCAACCATGGCCAAGCAAGCGCAATTCCGAGCGTATGACCTCAACCGCAAGAAGCAACACAAGATCCCCTCACCTCCCACCAAACTCTCTGAGCCCAAGCTCAGAGAGGGCGAGTGGAAGGTCTCAAAGAGGCCGGGGGTGAGGGGATCGAAGAAGCCGGTGAAGAAAGGCCGCACCAAGAAGTCCGCTGCTGCTGCCGTTGAAAAGGCTCCCAAGCGCGCGGCAGATCTCCTCCGCTGCAAGGGCGGTGAATTCCAGTGCCTGCACTGTAAGTTCCCCTTTCTCAACACCCATCCCCATTGCATCATCAAGGTCCATGCTAACGATTCCCAGGCAGTGCCTTCAGCGACGAAGCGTCCTGCGGGACAGGATGCTACAAGCAATTCCGGAGAGAGCACCTCTCCCAAGACCTCATCGACATCCGTGGGCCCGGCCCTCTCGGGTACGGCGCCTTCACCAAGCCCGGCGTGACCATCCCAAAGGGCGCCTGGGTAGGCGAATACCTCGGCGAGCTGCGCCCTCTCTCCCCCGCGCCCAACTCCACCTACCGTTTCGAGATCCCCTCCGTCTGCGCAGTCGACGCGCAGTCCAGTGGAAACTGGACGCGTTTCATCAACTCACACTGCCGGCCGAATGTCAAGCCCTGGGGCGAGACGGTGGGCAAGCGGCATGTGATTTTGTTCCAAGCGCTGCGCGAGATTGGGCCTGAGGAGGAGATTGTGTTCAACTACGGCGCGCGGTATTTCGAGAACGCGGGGTTTCTTTGTGGGTGCGATGCGCAGAAGAAAGCGCATTTGCCGCAGGGCGCGAAGCAGGCCAAGGGCAGGAAGAAGTGAATTTGAAGACCGGCTGGTCCGGGTTCTTTGTCCTCACTCATTGCTCATTTCTTCCGTTCTTCTCCGTGGTTCGATTCCCGTCCATTCCGTGCAATGCATTGATGGCAGATTGGTATCGGGTTGTGTTGTTGAGAAAGGAAGCAAAACTCGACGTGAAGTCAGCCAGCATGCGCAGATCACTACGGCGGACCACAGCAGCATCGTGAATCCGCCCCCAAGGACCTCACCTCAGCCCTCGGCCTATCTTCTCCATCGCCCAACTCGAGCACAGGTAAGCCCACATGAGAAGCAGGCTATACAGGCGAGCTGACGGTTAGTCATGATTCGCATCCATCAAGAATTCATACCTTCCCCGGTACTGTCTCGCACAAATGCTCGCAATCAGTAAGATATGACCTCAGCTGTTCAAGCCGCCGTCGTCGGAGACAGTGTCTAATTCATCCTCGTTTTATCCTTCTCTCCTACAACTATTAGCTTTACTACCGGCCTCTTTATATGACCGATCTGTGGATGCCCAATTGATAACGACGAGGCTTCGAAAGCTCTCCAAGACCACAAGACTTCTCGTCCCATCCTATCAACCAAGAAACCAGACCACCAACCCGCACAAAGCCCAAGAAAATGGCGGCCAAGCCTCCATTCAACATCGCCATAATCGGCGGCGGCCTCTGCGGCATCTCCCTCGCCATCGCCCTCAAAGCCCGCCACATCCCCTTTACAATCTACGAAGCGCGCTCCTCCTTCACAGAGATTGGCGCGGGCATCAACGTCGGCCCCAACGGGATCAAATCCCTCCGCGCCATCGACCCCTCCCTCGGCGAGAAAGTCTACCAGCTCGCGACACGAAATCCGGAACCCTATCAGGATGTGTGGATGTATTTCAAGTACGGCGCGGATTGCGGGGAGGGGCGGAGGGATGGGGAGACGATCTGGACGTTGATGGCGCCGCCGACGGGGACGATGACGATGCATCGGCAGGAGTTTCTGGCGGCGCTGGCGGGGGAGATGGGGATGGAGAATGCGAGGTTTGAGAAGAAGCTTGTGGGGTATGAGCAGGGGGATGGGGAGGTGGTGATGAGGTTTGCGGATGGGACGGAGGAGAGGGCGAGTTTGATGGTGGGGTGTGATGGGATTCATTCGAGGGTGAGGGCGTTGATGTTTGGGGAGGGGAATCCTGTTTCAAAGGCGCACTTCAATCACGATGGGGCGTATCGCGCGGTGATTCCGATTGACAAGGCGATTGAGGCTGTTGGGGAGTCGGCGAGATATGTGCAGTGCCATCTGGGGCCGAACGGCTACTTCATCATGTACCCCGTAAACGGAGGCACGAACGTGAACTGTGGAGCGTGGATTCAGAAGCCTGAGCCTTGGGAGAGGGAGGAGTGGCTCGTTCCTGATCAGGGAAAGCAGTTTCAGGAGGATATGAAGGATTGGGGTGAGAGAGTGCACAGAGTGATGGAGTACTTCGACCCGAACCCGATTTTCTGGGCGCAGCATTCGCATAAAGTACAGCCGGATTCGTTCCAGCGAGGACGGGTCATTCTCATTGGCGATGGAGCGCACGCTATGCCTCCCCATAATGGAGCCGGGGCTTCCCAGGCAGCGGAAGATGCGTATATTCTATCCGAGGTCTTGATCTCCTTGGTACGCAATGGCGAGCCTTCTGACACAGATGTAAAGGCAGCCTTGACTGCTTTTGAGGATGTGCGTCGACCGCGGGTGGACAGGGCTCATCGATCCAGTGTCAACACCGGTCCCGAATGGTACGGCTTCCATGAGCGAAGGTTGGAAGGACCTGAGCTGGAGGAAATGATCAAAAGCATGCATGCAAGGTTCGACTGGCTATGGGGCGTCGATATTGAAAACGAAGCACAGAAGGCGAAGGATCAGTTGAAGGAGTTGCTTGCCAAATTATAGGCAATAGAGTTTCCTGGGGACTTAATTGATGATTTGAGTCACTTCCATCGTGTGATCCGTAAGACAAGCGGCTCTCACTCAAACGTATCCTAATCCAAGGTACACGTGCGCCTCAAGGAGGCGTAACAGAGTAGCTTGAAATGGTCAATTGCCATCCGGACTTCGGTCGTGAAAACATCATTAAACCTGCAACACCTGACAAGACACGCACACAGCTATTCCGCATACTATCTTCCCGCATTAAAATCCGCGAACTCCAGGCCCCACGATCAACCGACCGGCCTCTCCCACGTCGAAAGCTGTGTGTTATGATCAACATAATAGAGTCTCCGCTGTGGATCTATTCTCATTTCCCAGCCGGGCGGTAACGGCTTCTCAGGCTCTGGCGCAGTCGAGGCCTCGTAAGATGGAGGTGCCGCTGGGTCTGTCATCGCCGGACGCTCCCATGAGGTGGTGCGGGTTACATGGTCAATGTAGTAGGATCTTCCATCCGGGAGATGGCGCTCCTCCCATCCGGAAGGTAGGGCGTAGGTGTCTGCCAGTCCTGGCGATGGTAAGCTGGTGAGTGAAGGCTCCAAGGGTGAGGCTGGGTTGGACGGGATCGGACAGGGGCTGGCTTGAGTCGAGATGGGCGATGTAGGTGCCGTGCTTCCTGCGTTACTTTGACTGTCGGCGGTGCTCGTCCCGCTGACCTGGCTGTCTCCTCGAGCAACCGGCTTTCGCCTTACGACTGGTACGATGGTTGGTGACAGTGGATTCGAGACAGAGTTTCGGATTGGACTTTGTGGGGGAGAGATGGAACTGATGGAGACTCTCGCTCCTTTCTTATCGTCAAGGTCGACCGGATTGACGGGGCTTGCGGTAGGGGCTGCGGATGCAGTGACATTTGTAGGCACGAAATGGAGCTCGTCGAGTCGTTTCGCAATGTGCGCCATCGGATCGGGATTGCGAACCATGACAAATGCTTCATCGTTGAGGCCTTGTTCGTGACCGCAGTGAGCTTTGTACAACTTGCGAGTCGAGGACTTGAACTTGACTTTGGACCAATCCAGCTCCGTGTCTTTCAGCACCTTGTGGCTCATCCCATTGAGCCCTTCCAGCCATTCGGCAAGTGCACCGATGTGTTTGCCACAGAAGACGATGGCATCTCCAGCACGAAGGTCAGCTCGCTCTCCCACTGTCCATGCGTACAAGAATCGACCTGCGTCGGCTTGAAAGCGCGCGACAAGTTTCGTGTTGTGTCCGACATCCATGTAGAAAGAGCTGCCTCCATACGTCGCAAATGCGAATCCCCAGGTTCGAATAACGATTCCATTGTTTGGAGGCAGTGGTTGCGGCATCCCGTGTTTCTCAAATTGCTTGACCACGTCTTCCAGAACACCTTCCATCAGCTTTCGAGATTTCTTGTCAGTCTTCTCAAAGTCGGGCTCCTCTTTGCTGATTGCGGAGGGCGATTTCTTCAATAGCTTCCAGGGCTGAGGCACGCTTTTCAAGAAGGCGATGCCTTTATCGACGTCGTTGATCCAGTAGTTTGGCTTCTCAGGCGTAGCCCAGTCTGTACGATCCATGATGGCACAGCCAAATCCATGCCTGGTATGAGAGGTTAATTATGTCGTCTAGTGAGGCTTACTTTGCACATACCAAATGGGCATTGGGTGACATGCTGCGCAAAAGACATAGGCACAGGCAACGAGATGCTGCAAGATGGGCTCAAGGTCGTCGAAATCTTCGCCTACATCGTCGGACTTTGAGTCCACAGCACGCATGGCCGAGCGCACCGCTTCAGAGGCCTGGGGAAGGACATCGAAGTCGACCACGTCAAGCAATAGGAGGCGTTGGCCCAGCGTTGCCAGCACCAAGAGAATCTCCTCGATCGACGCTCCTTGGAAGGGGTTCCCGTTTGCGGCACTTTCTGTCGACGGTTCGGCAGCCTTTCGCTGACTTCGGTTGCTCCATGCGTTGGCGATGGCTGCTCCAGCTCTGACGGCAGAGATGCCTAGCTGGGCCACCTGGATGGTCGCTGTGATGGGATCAGACATGGCCAAAGCAAGTGGTAAGAATGAGGATGGAGTGTGCTGATCTGTGCGACCTCCCTTTCACCTGATGTAAATACCTGTCCTTCAGCAGCGCATGCCGCGGTCTTCCACTCCCGTCTTCGCCAAAGCTGCAAGCCACCTTGAGAACATTGTGTGCTACTTGTGGACGTACTCCATGAAGTCGACGTGTACCTCTGTTTTTCTCGCGCGGGAAAGGCTGCATGGAGCTACTGCCAAGCCATCGAGACCGATTTGTGGTAGAGCTGAAGCTATGTGGCTTGGTGGCCTGATCAGTACGGCGACAAATCTGAGACGTCGGTAGGACAGACATGTTGAGGAGCGACTCGAATCGAGCTGCCAATGAAAAAAAGATAGCGGCTATAAGTTTCGCTCTGTTCTGTGTCTTGTTACACAATAGCGGCAGAGCTCGTTTCGGAAGTCCTTATCCCCAGCCTCGCCAAACTGTAATGCCATTTGCCGGCCAATGTCACCAGCAGCACTCTCAAGCTATGGGCCCGAACTCCGATCCTTTTTGGAGCTCTGTTTTGGTCGAAGCTCGAGTCCCTTTTCCTGATACATCACAAAGCTGGGGCTCTATCTTGGCCGACGCTCGAGTCCATTTTCACCCTGTTGATACACCATGAACCTAACACGCTTTGGCTGTGATTCTGGCTTTGGCTCAGGCTTTGGCTCAGGCTTTTGCCCAGGCTTTTGCTCAGGCTCAGGCTCAGACTCTGGCTTTGGCTCTGGTTTCGGTATTGGCTTTGCAGGGCGAGCGGCAGGCGGTTTTGGATCCAGAGATATTGCACTTCCGCGAGAGTGAGCTTGTGGATCTTTGGGGGGCAATTGTCGAGCTTGCGGGACTTGGCCCTTTCGAAGGCGAGCTTCGTCTATTTCACAGATGTTTTCATTTGCTGCTTTGGGTTCCACCTCTGTTGTAGCGAGGAAGTCTGTGCTGCTTGCATCTGTACTGGCCGCATCCTACTTCGGGCCTACTCCAGAGCTTCCTGCGGTGCCTCCATCTTTGACGAACTTCGTGATGCCTTCTTTGCACGCCCTCTCACTGTAGCTCTCCCAGACATCGTACAGGCTGACCATCTCCTGAGTTGCATCGACAATGGCGTTCATGTCGACTTTGCTCTCCGCAAGCCAGTCTACAAGTTTACTGAGCTTCGGTCCGGCCTGCTTGAGGCCGCTGAAGCCTCCCAGAACAGCTTGTTGCGCTGCGCTTGGACTGACCGTGGGCGACAAGCCGGGAGTAGACGCCGATGTTGGAGATGCTTGTGTGGGCGATTGCTGGGTTGCTGAGGCGTGCGTGGAATGCGGTTGTAAGCCTGCCGGCTGCCCTGCTGGTCGAAGAACGACAGCGAGGAAGACGGCGACAATGGCAAGCACGTGCGGCGGGCAGAGGAGGATGAGATCGGTGTTGTAGCTGTCGTTGATGATGGAGTGTGCCAATTGCGTCTCTTCGTTGCTGAGGCCGAATATAGGTGACAGCTCCGTGAGAGATCGATAGGGGTGGTGACAGATCAGCCGAGAGGAGAGTTGAGAGATCAGCGCAAACTCGCACTCTCCTATCTTGCTGCTTTCGGAGACTCCAAGTTCAGGCCACTGGCGTGCTGCCTCGCCGAGCATCAGCCTGATGTGCTGGGGGCATTCTTCCATCTTGCAGGCCAGGTAGACGGCGGTTGCCATGATCAGATAGGGGTTGGTCTTGCGCATCTCAACTCGCAAGTAGAAGCGCTTGATGTACACTTGAGCAGTTGCCAGCGCTTGCTGTCGTAGGCTCATTCGACGTCCAAGTTTCGTGAGCTGTTGCTGGAAGTATATGCTCATAAGCCGACGATCTGGCAGCGGATACTTGTTGTATAGCTGCTGGTTGGCCTTGTCCAGATTTTTCCGCAGGTCAACCAGTTCTGCTTTGGTGAAGGTCCAAAATTTGGCCTGGGTAGAATCCCAGTAGTTGGCCGCCATGCTGCGGCGATGTTTTCCTGTCGCTCTCCAGCCTTGTATGCCTCGTGGATAGCTCCTTTTGCGATGTCGATCCAATCATGATAGGCTGTTCATTGCTCCGTCCATGGGAAGGACTTTGATGGCGGGATTATCGGGATCTTGACTTTGCTGACTTCTGCTCTTTTTCCATCATATCTCCATCTCTCGAGGATGCTATCTCACGAGTTTGATGGTGCCTTCGTGTTCTAAAGCTTAATGATGAGAATAGATGCAGATGGAGAGTCACGCAGAGGTCAGCAAGAGCCAAACATAGCCGAGCGCCACTGTGGCGTCGTTGTGGGCTGCAATGACTTCAGCGCTTCACAACTTCGTCTTCATTTTCATCTTCAGGCCACCATCTAACTCTTCCAACCCTCACCTCAAACACCCATCCGACACCTTGCACGTCCACCAGTAGAGCACACCCTCGATTTCACGAGCCGTCAGCTGAAGTTGCGCGGGTCAGATCGCAACATCTCTGCACAGCCACACTCTTTTCAGCTGTCACCTTTCTGCACGCCTGAAACGGTGCCGTAGTCTGGCCAACCTTTAAGATTCTGCTGCTGTCTTGACAAACACTGCTGTTTGACATTGAGACTGCCAACTGCCAACATGGACCGATCGACTACCTTCCTTCTGGTCTGCCTGGTTGGCCTGGTCCTGTTTGCCTCGCCGGCCGCGGCATTCGGAGCTGGCAACATTGCCTCCATCTCCAGGATCGAAGGTCACAACTGTAAGTCGGATGCGAAAGGACCCGGTCGGCGTAAGGGCAATGGCTAATTAAATTCGTCTACAGGGCGTCATGGCGACATTGAGGACCTGCTGGAGACTGTCGCATTCATCCACGGCCACAAATGGACTTCGATGATGGTCAAGCGGGCCTACTTCGGCAACTGGTTACGAGACTACAGCCAGGCGGTCGATGTTGGTACCCTCAAAGGCGTCCCAGCTGATACGATTCGAGTGCTCGTGTGGGTATTGTCATTCATGAGCTTCGGCTATGCGACGTTGGAATTCGAAGTCACATCAGAGAGACTTGGCGTATACCGGCCCGAGGAACACATCGACAACCCGAAGGACTATGCCGATAACCAGGATGCCAGACAATACGATCAGCGCTTGCGTGGCCCAGTCATGCCCATTGAGCTTCAGGTCGACCCAAATACTGGCATGAAGAATTACATTGCCAATGAGAATTTAGGCATCGCCACATCGCTTGGGTATATTAAGTGGAGCTTCGCACGAAGTATTCACTTTGGCCGCTTGTACACCCGCGGAGCTCAGAGTGGCCGAGAGGAGGACCTGTGTGAAGCTTTGAGATGTCTTGGCCAAGGTCTACACTGCATGGAGGACTTCGGGGCACACACAAACTACACTGAGCTGGCTTTACGCGAGCTCGGTCTTCACAATGTCTTCCCAATGGTCGGCACGCAGACCATGATTAACTTGCACGGAAAGCAAGTGTATCCTCTGGTTACTGGCACGTTCGGTGGTGTTGACTTCCTTCACTCTGTACTTGGCGAGGCCACCGATCACGTCACTCAGGCAGAGGTCAACCAGACAGAGGTGGATCAGCTAAACAATGCTCTTTCGAGCGCAGAGTCTAATGGCAAGCGAGGTGATGCTGGAAGACCAGCAGGTGCACTCACCGACCTCTTGGCCAAGATCCCCGGCACTGGCGATTTGATCCAGGAAGCTCAAAGCCTTCAAGCATCGGCCGAAGCCCAGGCGGCACAGAATGCTCACGGTGGCTCAAGAGGTATCGAAGACTCTTATGCACCATACGGAGACAACTACGGCGCCTCTCGTGCAAACGAACAAGGGTCATCTTACCAGCAGAGTACCGCACCACAGCAGCAACAGATGGGTCCCAACCAGACGCCAGCTGGTTTCCAAGCACCGCCGAAGGTCGATGCTGCCGCAGTCGTGGCTAGGATATACCCAATTCTTGCATTCCGCGACAAAGTCGTTCGTCAAATCTCTGCCATCGTCAGCAAAATCCCAGGCCTTGAGAAGATGATCGACACCATCACCGAGAAGGTCACACTTTTTGTCATGGGCCTTCTGGCACCATTCATCAAGCCATTGATTGCTTCTGCCTCCAATGCGCTCAAGCAAGGCAGTGGGACTGTTGTCGACTCCAGTGCGAAGCAACAGTACCTTGTCTGGACCGACCCGACGTCTTCTGACCCGACTCACTCCATGCTCTCAAAAGACCACTTCAGTAACGTGCTGAATGGACCAGCCGGTGAACTCGCCGCTTGCATCCTCCAGTACGTTGCTCCTCGTGTAATCTACGGATGGGAGCACCCGGAAGTCCCAGAGCATGAGATCTTGAACGACATCGGCCGTATCTTCCATCATCCAGCTGCTCGTGACAATAACGTTGAGATCCACCGGAAGATGTTCTCCGTCATTGAGACCTGGCTCTCCAAGCGTCCCGATCGCGGACACAGCCTAAATGACGTGCTCTCTTCCGAAAGCGTCAAGGCTGGCCATAACCACAAAGTTCAGAATCTGCAGCAGAGCTTCGTCGGTGTTCAAAACATTGCACAGCAACACGGCATGCACATTCCCAACGTTGGAACTGGTACTGCGTCCCACAGCGCGACCAGAGGAGGTGTTTTCGACATGCTGGAGCAGAGGAGGGCGATGGGCGGCGATACTGTACCTGAGGGTGCTTACTCGCAGGCTCCGATGCAATCTACGCATTACGAGCAGAGCAGTACCGCTTATCCTTCGACGTACCAGCAGGGATACGAGCAGCCTTGGCAACCTCAGCAGCAGCAGGGAGGGTATGATCAGGGCTATGGTGGCGGGTATCAGCAACAGCAGCATCAAGGCAGTTACGGTGGTGGTGGCTATGGAGGTGGGTACAATCAGTACTAGGTCACAAAGGCAAGCGGGTCGATGGTTGATGATTGGGGACATTATGTGGAAACGATTAATACATGACACGACGGAGATGAGGATAGGAGAATTAGTGAAGCGACAGACAGAAGTAGCGATACGAACACAAGAGCCTTAAAACTTCCATCGGAGGTATCTCAAAGTGGTCGACATTGGAGTACCCTCTATTCTCAAAAGAAAGGATAGATGGCCCGTGCTTGAGACTCTGCATGTGACGCTTCATCTTCTCCACAACCCCGCGGTTCCTGCATCTCTCCCACAACTACTTCCGCATTTTCTTTCCACGTCTTTGCACGCTGCAAGCCATTGATCACGATGGCTGTCCCAAAGAAGTGAGTAAAAGTCATCACACTGATGCTGCCGCGAGCTCACAGCTGATGTACAGAAAGTGTGCCGGCCATCAAGGCGGCACTCTTCGACATGGACGGACTGCTGATTGATTCGGAGGATAAATACACGATTTGTACGAATGTGGTCTTGAACAGATACGGGCGACCGGATCTGCCATGGAATATCAAGGCGCAGATGCAAGGACGGCCTGGACCTACGGTATATCTCCAGTATGAATGAGTAGGAGAGGAGCAGAGTATTGACTTCAGTGTGACATTAGGCCGGCAAGATCCTTCACGACTGGGCGCAATTACCCATCACACGCGACGAGTACATGGACCAGATCAAGGCCGAACAAAAGAAGCACTTCCCCGACTGCCAGCCGCTCCCAGGCGCCGTGCAGCTTCTACAAACGCTCTCGAAACGAACCGACCCACCCGTACACATCGCGCTCGCGACGAGCAGTCATGCCGGGAATTATGAATTGAAGACGAAGCATATGCAAGATACGTTCTCGGTATTTGCGGAAGAGCACAAGGTGCTGGGTGATGATCCGCGGATTGGGCAGGGACGTGGAAAGCCTGCGCCGGATATCTACTTGCTCGCGTTGAAGACTATCAATGATCGATTGAAGCGCGAAGGTAAAGAGGAGGTCAAGCCTGAGGAGTGTCTTGTGTTTGAGGACAGTGTGCCAGGTGTAGAATCTGGGCGACGAGCAGGTATGCAAGTGGTGTGGTGTCCGCATCAAGGACTATTGAAGGAGTATGCAGGGCGTGAGAAAGAGGTTCTGGCTGGTCTGACGGGCGAGTACAAGGAGGCGGAGGAGAAGAATGAAGAGCTTGGTGTCGTTACTGGCGATGGAAGCCAGAGAGTGAAGGGGGCGCCTGGGGAGATTGATGATGGGTGGGCCATCCTGCTCAAATCTTTGGAAGACTTTCCATATGAGAAGTACCAGATCAAGGTGAAACAGGAGAGCCAGCTTTGAGATGGCGCATACGAATGGAGATACCCAATGGTAGAGATACACATCGGCACGCACACATAAATGTACAGACAGCGAATTCGCTGTACCTTAACTCCGTGTAACGGCTTGCGCGAACGGCGTTGCTTTGAACTTTTGTCTGAAGACGTTCCATCCCGTGGAACAGTTCCATTCTTCCGCTCATATCACATCCAATCCCCAGCGACAGGACAGGCACAAGGTACAGTTGTCACCAAATCGAAACATCGGCTAGCGTTCTAGCATTCGTACCGAATCAAAAGCGAGTGAAGGATTTCACTAAGCACCCTGTCCTGTATTCCTCGGCACCTGGCACGTCACTGGCTGGCAAAGGAAAGCTCTGCCACGACCACCACCAGTGCAACTCCCACCACTCGTCCTGGAAACACTGCAGGCAGGTTGCTGGACACTGCCCGACCACACGCCCTCGCCACAAACACCACCACGATCCCTATATCATTCCTTGGCGCCCACCTATCCTCTTCCCTGCCACCGCTCGGTAGCTATCGGAATCAATAGCCCGGCGGGCTGCAGAAGAGCACACGAGACACCTCCCTCACGCCCCTCGAACGTCTCCTCTCCTCTCCTCACTGGCTTCGTGAATCACGAAGGATAGTGTCCCTCAAGCAATACGACCTGCACGCCTCCACACCCGCGTCGGGGTAGGGACCGACCGAACGCAATGCGGGCGACATAGCAATTCCACTGCGATTGGCCGCTATGGATGGCGAGTCCCAGGCACAGAGGGAGGCTCGCCTGCGCTCGCTATGGAGCAAGCTGGACACCAAGAACAAGGGGACGCTGGACTACAATGCGCTGAAGAACGGGTTGCAGGGGATGAATCATCGTATGTGTAACTCAGCTACGGCGCTCTATGTGGGTGATGTGTTGTGCTGATATGTGGGAATGCGCAGCTCTGAAAGATGCCGAAGGTCTGATCAAGGACATGCTCAAAGCCTGCGACATCGACCACGACGGGAAGATCAGCTACGACGAATTCTGTCGATTCTGCACCCAGACGGAGAAAGAGCTCTGGCAGCTGTTCAAGTCGATCGACCGCGACCATAGTGGGAAGCTGGACAAGGGCGAACTGTCGGCAGCCTTCGAAAGAGCCGGTGTGGCCGTCTCAAATGCGCGACTGGACCGCTTCTTCAGCTACATCGACAAGGACCATGACGGAACCATCGACTTCAGCGAATGGCGCGGTAGGCATATAACACTCTCTCTCGCACACAAGCATCCCAATAAGCCTTAGTCATGGCTTTTCGAAAATTTGACCAAAGGCTAATGAATCGAAATCCAGATTTCCTCCTCTTCATCCCCACGAATGCTCCCGGTCTTAAAGCCGTCTTTTCCTACTACCAAAATACCTCGAAGCTCACCGCCGAAGGAGATGTCCTCATAAGCGACGAAGCTTTGCACTCTGCAGGTACGATACTCGCTTTTATCAAGAGTTCGCTGTTCGGCGCCGTCATCCAGCTCGTGAAACCGGCGCAATCGCACGCAGGAGGATCGAACACCGCGCCGATCTCGATGTGGGAAGACAGCGAGGCCCGGCCGCAGCTGTTTGGACAGACGTTCGAAGAGGAGGAGACGATTGAAGATGACCCGTACATCCCAATCAAGCCAGCCCGACGGAAAGAGCTTGAGAAATTGCATGAGGAGGACAGCCAGCAGCAGAAGCTGAAGCTAATGGATTTTGTGCCCAATGTAGGCTACTTCTTGGCGGGTGGACTGTCAGGTATCACCTCCCGGACTGCGACCGCGCCTCTCGACAGGCTCAAGGTGTACCTGATCGCACAGACGGATGTCGCAGAGGAGGCTGTTAGTGCTGCCAAGTCTGGCCGGGCCGGCACTGCTCTCTCACATGGCGTCAAGACGCTGTGGAATGCGAGCCAAGAGTTGTGGGCGGCTGGTGGGATGAGGAGTCTCTTTGCCGGTGAGTGTGCAGGTAACATGTCTTTTCCGCGAAGCTGTACTGAATTCGACCAGGAAATGGCCTTAATGTACTCAAAGTTATGCCGGAGTCATCGGTCAAGTTCGGCGCGTACGAGGTGAGTAATGAACGTGAATATTGTCTACATTAGGATTCTTCGCTAATGAAACGATGACAGGCTTCTAAACGGGCGATTGCGAGAATAGAAGGCCACAATGACCCGAAACAGATCGCTTCCGTCTCCATGTTCGCCGCTGGCGGTACTGCAGGCATGATAGCGCAAGCCGCTGTATACCCCCTCGACACGCTCAAATTCCAGATGCAGTGCAACACCGTAGCCGGGAGCGAGCAAGGAACCAAGCTCATCATCCACACAGCACAGAAGATGTGGAGACGCAATGGCATCGTCACCTTCTACAAAGGCCTGCCTATGGGGCTGGTCGGCATGTTCCCATACGCGGCCATCGATCTTAGTGTGTTCGAGACGTTGAAGAAGAAGATAATAGCGCGGAAGCGACGCCTCGATCCGACCATCAAACACGACGAGGATGCGCTGCCTGGCAACTTCTCGCTCGCGTTGATGGGTGGCTTTAGTGGAGCCATTGGAGCGAGCGTGGTGTATCCTATTAACCTGTTGCGTGAGTCATTACACATACACCTCTAATGATGGTGAGCAGGCGAAACTGACGTTTCTGTGATTATAGGTACTAGGCTTCAGAGTCAAGGGACCGCATCACACCCGCGAACATACACCGGCATTATGGATGTCACTCGACAGACGCTGAAAGGTGAAGGTGTGCGAGGACTGTTCAAGGGATTGACTCCGAACCTGCTCAAGGTCGTGCCGGCGGTGTCAATCGTAAGTCCCCATCGCGAAAGCATGACGAGAAGAAGTTATCTCACTGACCGATTCCGCCAGACCTACGTCGTATACGAAAACACGAAGAAAGCGCTGCACCTGCAGTAGCCGCGCCAAAATGAGATCAGGAGATGATCTATTCGCGATTGGAAAAGGGAATAGGCGAGAAAAGAATCAATAGAGGAGGACTGGAGCTCTGTCTTTTGTTGGCGGACAGATCGACCTGAGATACCCTTTGAACGAAAACGGTCGCCGAAAATTTTTGGGAAAGGGGTTGGGCCGTGGGTTGTGACTACCTACTAGATGTGTGGTAGACTTGAGAGTCTGGAATGAGAAAGAGATTACCAGCACCTTCTTTCTGAGACGTCTACATGGGTCTGGATGTTCGGCGCTGAGAACGATGTGTTCTCGCTTGAGGTACCTTTCAGCGCATATCCGCTTTCACAAGGCAGCTGAAGTTTGAAGCAGCACGAAGAGCCTGGATGAATCAAGGTATCCCTCCCTGTATTGTTGATGCGCCCGGCATGACATTCGAATCGCCCATTGGCATCAATTGCCTCCCCCTCTGCTGTCAACAACACACCAGGGTGACGGGACAGGAAGCAGCCGCAGACTTGGCTTTTGAGTCGAAGGATCTTCAAATTTTTGAGGCTCTCTGGAAAGCTCACTGGAGACTCAGTAGAGTAAGGCTATCTTTCTACTGGATCAATCCTAGTAAGACTGAATCCCATCCTTTCGAATCAATTTGCCCGCATCCGCGTCTCGCTTCCCCTGGACGACATCTGTGATGAACTCTGCGCCGACGGATGGGTCCAGAGCGCCGATCTACAAAGACGATGTCAGCACGTCGTCACGACACGAAAAAGCAACAATCACTCACCTTCTTCAGCGCCTCCGGGCCCATCCCATTCAAATTCGTCGCCAAAAACCCGGGACTCACCCCAAAAACTTTCACGCCATCATTCTTCAAAATGCGATTCCAATCCCTTATCAACATATTCAACCCACACTTCGACGACCGATAAATCTGCGTCGGATTCACCGTCTTCTTCTTCGGCCACCCGGCCTCGGGACTCGCATTGATAATCCCATAAGACCCATCGAAGCGCTCCGTATCCGCGAGACTCGACGTCCCGCTGATGATGAAGAGGATGCGCGGATCCGAGGATTTCAGCAGGAGGGGGAGGAATTCCTTGACGGTTATTTGGGGTCCGGCGACGTTGATGCTCCAGCTCCGGAGCCAGGTCTCGCGGTGGTCGAAGCCCTTTTCCTGCGCTTCGTTTTCGAGGTTCGCGCCTGCGTTGTTGATCAGTACGTCTAGACGGCGGTAGCGCTGCGTGATGGTGGAGGCCGCGGCGCGGATGGAGGCGTCGGATTCGATGTCGATTTGGACGACGCTTAAGGGGGTGGTGCGCGTTTCGGAGGGGTATTCTTTCTGAAGGGCGGTGAGGGCTTCTTCGCCTTTTTGGAGGTTGCGGCTCCCGAGGGCGATTTGGTAGGGGGTTTGAGAGCGCAGGAGGGCTTTGATGGTTTCGTAGCCGAGGCCGGTGTTGGCGCCTGTGATGAGGATGACTTTGCTGTTGTTGGTGGACGAGGACATTTTTCTTGTGGTTGTTGTTGGTGTTGGGATGTGGAGTTTGGTGAAGGGTTTTTTGATCAAACGTGCAAATGACATGTGAGAGTTGATGGTGGTGTGGAGGGTATGATACGAGAGGGGTTGCGGGTCGTTTGTTTTATACACTACCATGGGAAAAGCACCTGCCCTTTTGCGATGGTAGCAATGACGCTGTGTAACACCTATCGCCGAGGGCAAGAAGGGTTTGGACGGATAAGAGGATTGCGGGAGCCTTGTGGCGTCTTCGACGACTTGTTTGTCTCCGCCTATGAGCGGCCATTCTAGGGAGGAGATATATGGCTTTCAATGCCCGGTCGGTCGAGAGATGAAGACCTGAGGTGTGTTTCGGGCGGGTGAGTGAGTGACTAAGATATTCTCTCGGCCGGGAGGCTACGTCATAGGGAGACGGTCGTGGATGCTTCGTGTTGTGCCTCTGTGCCTAACCAACAAGTATCAGGTATGTCTTTGTTTGAGCAATGACAATGTGGGCGCAACCGTCTCTTGTCATGGTGCTTGCTCTTCATCCAATGGGTCTATGTTGGCAGCAGGCCCCTCCGTACGCGAGCAAGCCGTTCGTCTTGTTCCATTTCAAAACGAGGCTGAGAAGCGATTCGACGACAGCTTCTTCGAAGTCGTTCGAGAGACATTCCCCTTGGCACTCTTCAGGCCAAGATCATCTTGTCAGATCTCTTAGCAAGAATAGGATACATGTGAGGTATCGCGATATTCAGGACTTCCCGCCGGAATTCCCGTGAGGAAGTTACCTAATCACAACTACAGTCAAACCTCTCTATAACAGTAGCGTGGTAATATCATATTTCTATCGTTATAACAAGGTATCGTTATATAGAGACATCACGTGCAGTAGTCTTGGCATTTAGCCTGCTCCAAAATATAATAATATCTCCTACTATTAAAGGTTAACTACGGCTCTTTATTAGACTACTTTCTCGTACTTATTAAGGCTCTATAGCTAGCTACTATTACAATTATTAGATTACTCTTTATAGAGCCGTAGCTGCCTTAATATAAGTAAAGGGCAGTCTTAATACTACTAGCGTAGTGCGAGCTTCTCTACCTCTAAAAATACGGTCCTCGGAGGCATATCTATAACGATAGTTTAGTAAGCAAATCTGAGATACGATCGTTATATAGGTATAGGCAGGAAGAACGATATTTTGCAGTAGGAAAGTTAGTGACAGCTGGCAGTATCGCTATAGCAAGGATATCGTTATATGCAGTATCGCTATAAGGAGGTTTGACTGTAGTCCTCCGTAACATAGCAATCGCTGGCCTATCGGTCGGGCCTGCAGGGCGTGAGGGACCCACTCTCAGCAAGCTATGTACTGTGGCATGTGAGCAATCGAAGGAGGCGTGTCTTTTCGTCAAAGTAAAAGTAGCAGTTTCGACTTTCGGAATCACTGCATCACGAGGCACATCATTTGTGTTTGTGCCCAGGATTTGAGTGAAGATACCCACCGCTCGCCATGGGGTCGAATATTGTTGTTCTTGGGTAAGATGTGATTCAGTAGTTGGGTAATGCCGGAATGTTACTGATTTGTTCTTAGAGCTGGAGTCAGCGGCTTGACTACTGCCTTGACGCTTGCGAAGAATGGCGGCCACAAGATTACGATCATCGCCAAGCACATGCCGGGTGACTACGATATCGAATACGCTTCGCCTTGGGCCGGTGCAAACAGCCTTCCGTGAGTATATCTGAAGGCTGAGTTCCAATAGTGACTTTATAGACTGACTGATGAATGCAGCGTCGCCAAGCAAGGCACGCCGTCGCAGGGTTATGAGCGAGCAACATGGCCAGAGCTTGAAAAGCTTGCCAGAGACGTCCCTGAGGCTGGTATTCACTTCCAAGGTAAGAGAGCTCGAAAACTCTAGTTCGCAAGACATATCGCTGATGGATAGTGCAGACACCCGCGTGTACCGACGGACGAAGGACGCCAACTCGCCAGTCGGCGATTGGTTCGCAGAACTTGTCAAGGAGGATCCGTGGTTCAAGGACCTTCTTCCAAACGTAGGGGCAGTCGATCTCCGTGTCGGAGACATGCTGACTATTTCTAGTTCAGAAAGGTGACGGGCTCAGAACTCCCAACTGGCATGGACGGCGCAAGCGCTTTCACGTCCGTCTGCATCAACACCGCTCTGTACTTGCCTTATCTCACATCGCAATGCCTCAAGCACGGCGTTGTCGTTCGAAGGGGAATTGTTGAGCACATCACGGAGGCTGCCAGTTTACACCACAGCGGCAAGCCGGCAGATCTGATTGTCAACTGCACTGGCCTGTCCTCACTCCGGTTGGGTGGCGTTGAGGACAAAAACCTCTACCCAGGACGCGGACAGATCGTAATCGTACGCAACGACCCTGGCGTGATGGCATCGACGTCGGGCACAGATGACGGTCCAGACGAGGCCGTGTACATCATGCAACGAGCTGCTGGAGGCGGCACCATTCTCGGCGGCTGCCTGCAAAAGGACAAGTGGGAGAGTCAGCCAGACCCTAGCCTGGCCAATCGAATCATGAAGCGTGCAGTCGAGCTCTGCCCGCAGCTTGTGCCCGAAGGAAAGGGTGCTGAAGGCCTCAGTGTTATCCGGCATGGTGTTGGTCTACGGCCGATGCGAAATGGTGGCATTAGGATTGAGAGGGAGACCATTACAGGTCCTGATGGACGGAAGGTCGCGGTCGTGCATAATTATGGCCATGGTGGGTATGGATATCAGACGTCGTTTGGTTGCTCGCAGGCGGCTGAGAAGTTGGTGAACGAGGCTCTGCAGCAGAAGGCGAAGCTGTGATCGTAGACGAAGTAGGCCATAGGTACCAATTGAAGTTTTACTGGCGGCGACATAATTGGACGATAATACTGCCAGTCATCGCACATGATGTTCGATCGTTCAAGAAAAAATCGACTGCCTGGCCGCGTACATGTACCAGGTCAGGAGTGGAGCAGGAAAGCGTGGCTGGTGAAGCGTGACGTTGCCGTGCACAGACGCAAAGCTCAAGCTTCCTCCGAGCAACAACAAGGGGATCTGCTATTCAGCTCCCCAAACAACCACATCGTCTCCCCATCTCCAATTCCACCTCCGACCCAACGACCAGCCCAGAAGCTCGCCCTTCTCGATCTGTACTTCCTCAAACCGCGACCATGGACTTCTCAGACGCCTTGTCAGTTGCGACTCCGAGCACAAGACAGCTGCCTGGAACAATGCGCTGACTTTCGCACAGTCGAATCGCCAACTTGGTGATTGCCGTCTTTATAATACTGGGTGGTGTTGGACAGTTCTGGCCTGCGTTTCATGTGTAAGAGCGCGAAAAGACCGATTGCGCCGGGAAAGGAGGACTGAACAGTTGAACAGGCAGAGCATCATCGTGGCTGCGTACTTGTTCATCTTTGGCATTGGTGAGATTCTCGAGGACGACGACATGTCTAGAATACCGGCGACTGACTTTGTCTCCCAGCGACCGCACTCCTTGGTACGGAATCGAGTCCGCCAACCTACCGCGTAACATCCTGCTTATGACCCGTACAGAGTTCCAGATCCCACCGCAAATCGCGCGCTATGCCTCGTTCATGTTCTCCTTCGTCGGCCGTGGAGCTTGTAAGATATATGATATGTGAAGAGATGGGAATGTACTTGGCTGACATAACTCAGTGTACCTGTTCCTCGGCTGCATAACCATGGGTGACAACTGGTGGAAATACGTTGCTGGATCCATTATTGCATTCTCTGGGCTCGTCTACATCGGTCTCGAGTTTGTGCCCAGCATTGAGCCACCGACGAACATGAGGTACGGTTGAGGGTTGATGGAGGAGAGGTTAGGGAGACTAACATCTGGGATAGGGATGCCGATGCTGGCTGGGGTGCCGAGCAGGTCTAAGACCCAAGTCGACACCACAGGTCATCGCCACATATCGACGACATAAAGACCTTGGGCAGTGACTGCTTCAAGCCTGCCACCTCGAATGCTTCACCCACGGAGCTGGATAACGACGATCGACGAAGAGGAAGTTGGGAAGAATGTGTACATTATAGCAGTGACAATCGGCAGCCGACCAGACTTGGACGAAAGCGGTGGCGTCCTGGCGTATCAAGATGCATGTAGAGAGTATGAACATGCTGAAATATACTGTTCTCGACAATTTCTGCCAAGGCACTGTGCGCTCCTCGATCCTCCGTGATCGAAGGAACAAATGGCTTCAAGGATATGTCAGCCATCTTTTGAATGAAGTCTGACAGGTGTCCATGGCCCTTCTTGTCGAACAAGCTCACTGAGCATCTTCGCACGGATGCAGATGCCTCATCGAGCTCAGGACATGAAGCTCATCACGAGGCAAGGCTTGCCAAGCATGCGAGCCTCTCCCACGTCGCTCCCACGCGATACTCTGCCGCAAAAGACGCTTTAGACGGTTGGCGATCTCTGTCATCACTTGCCGAAGGACTCGCTTCTGCCGAGAAGAACTTATCAACAACACGTTCGCCAGTCCGATGTTCGTGCGGGGATCGGCTACGCACAGCACTCGCTTCAGTGCTGGCTCGCGTATTTGCGTGGAGCGCGGTAACCGCGCTTCTCCAGTTTACCCAACTTCTGGGCCAAATCAACGCTCACGGCTTTCAGTGTCGAGGTGAGGTCGTTATAAGTAGTGTTCTTCAAATTCTCCACTCAAACTAGCCCATGCGGCTGCCATCGTTACGGCATTCCCTCTGACTCGAGCAAAGTCACGATGATACGCCGAGCAAATGGCGCAGTCCTCGTCCCTGTTTCCTGCAGCGCCGTGCCCACGGATCACCCATGCCGGCGCGGGATTAGACGGAGTGCCGAAAGGTCATGCACGTTGCATCACACCATTTTGTCGAATGCGTTCCCCCACGGAAACCGGCTTTTTTGATGGCTTGTATGTGGGTAGGCGAGTGTTTGTACATGTTGGAAGACGTCGTCTCTGCGCGTGGGCCTTCGTTGAGCCGCCGTCGCGCTAGCCACGCGCCAGGACCTGCATCCGAACCAGTGACGGTGTTGCGAAAAGCTCTTATTCATACTATCCTTAACTCTGCCCCACGTGCAAGCGCGATCGCGACTGGTGAGCGAATCGGCTTGTACCCGAGTGTCATCGCCCACGATGCTGACATTCAGAAGTGGCGGGACTAGATACACCCTCCTGACAACCGGCCTTGCAATCCTTCACCTCACGCATGGTTGATCGGCCGAGTCTGGGCACTTACCGCTCCGAAACAACGCAGAAATAACAGGAAGAAACACTCAAACCACTCCCATCTCTTCTCACCATCTCCTACGAACGCGGACATTCCACGGACAGCGATATCTACGGCTGACAGCATCTGCCTGGTCGAACGACTCCTGCCAACATAGCGCCCCGCTACGAACCGCGTGGCACCAGGTTGACTTGTCCCTTTATCAGATCAGGTCCCCCATCAGATATACTCCGCAACTCGCCCTCGGTCTCTTCCCTCCCAACCGTTCCCATCGACAGCGGCCACGACACGTCCAGGCTCACCCATGCCCTGCCGATAAACCAGTATCTCGGATGGCAAACACCAGCGCGGATCACCCTTCGGCGGTGAGACCGAAACCTCTTTCCCCTCGAATACCCTCCCTCCTCCAGAGACAGCCGTCGCAGCAGGAACTGGAGATTGCCCAACATCTCGTCGAGCACTCCAAGGGCACCCAGCCGCCGGCGCATCCTCAGGATGTCGGTATTTCGAGCCATGCGACACATGACACGCCGCAGGTAGCCCGTCAGCAGGGCAGTGGCGTGTTGCACAGTGCGGATGATGCCTCGCAGCAAGATTCACGCGCATCTCCAGCGCCGTCCTCGATATCAGCGGCGGCGAGCTCACGACGGTCACCCATGATGACAAGTCTTCCACCAGGAGGACAGCAGTGCAGGTATATAGAGTTTTTGACAGAGTTTGTGCCACGCGAGCTGACGTTGACTAGTAACTGTGGAACTACAAAGACGCCTTTGTGGAGGAGGTCGCCCGCAGGTGCGGTTATCTGCAACGCCTGCGGGCTATACTACAAGGCACGCAATCAGATGCGACCTGTAGGTCTGAAACGAGGAGCCCACTCCGGCAGTCAACCACCAGAAGGCCAGGCCCACGATAGACAGACCTCGCCGACGTCGATCCAGGGCGGTGCTACTTACGTGTCGGCGGATCAGAGTGTGAACGGTACTTGTCCAGGTGGAGGGCGATGCAACGGGACGGGTGGTCAGGAGGCTTGTAATGGGTGTCCTGCATATAACAACCGAATATCGAAGACGGCGTCAGTCGCGTTGCGGCAGGGAAGTACGGATCCAGGAGAAACGAACACGTTGCAGAGGTATGCCCCGCCCACCCAGACGGCTACGAATGTCGTCGTCGCGTGCCAGAATTGTGGCACAACCATCACGCCGCTGTGGAGACGAGATGAAGCCGGACATACCATCTGCAACGCCTGTGGTCTATACCACAAACTCCACGGCTCCCATCGACCCGTGCAAATGAAGAAGGCTGAGATCAAGCGTCGGAAACGCGTCGTTCCTGCGGCCACCTCGCATTTCGAAGGAAGTCCTTATCCCAGCGACGCGATGAGCGATGGGTCAGGCCACTCAGAGCACCGCGCGTCGGTACCATCGTCGATGGCCGCAACACCTCTACAGCCACCCGAGGACAGTCCCTTCATACGCCAAGCCGAGGAGGCGAGACAGTCCGGACCCATTCCCATCAACTTCACCGACGCGTTCCGACATCAGCCCAGCGACAGCAGGAAACGATCATTCTCCGTAAGTGCTCGACACGATGATTCCACCCCTCAACGCTTGTCCACGTCACCGAATACGGAAAACATTGATCCCGGCCTACCTCATCGCGGATCAGGAGCCAGTGATTCTAAGGAGAGTCGACGGCTGGAGTTGCGACGCGAGGCGGAGAGGATGCGGCAGTTGCTTCTGGAGAAGGAACGTGAGATTGCGGAGTTGGGGGAGGAGGGGTGATTGATTGATGATTACGACGATACCACGCTCAACGTTTAGTCTGGTTCTCGGTCTTGGAGAAGCATGTCATGATGTGGGACGGGTTTAGCGTTGCGAGCAGCTTTATGCTCCGGATACACTTTTGAGATGATGGAATAACGACATCTCACGTTTGCGCTCTCTCGGCTCGGTATTTTGAATGGAATGGAATGCAATGAAGTCGCCTTTGGAGCGATGGTTCATATAGTATGAGCTCAATGATGATGGGACCTCCTCTGTTCACCTGCGCCAACGCTAATCACAGACCCGACCCTTCCCCTCTCATTCATCAAAACCATATCTCAATCAGCCGCTCACTGACAGCGCTTGGCAGCAACACGCCCGACTCAGTGATGATACCAGATATCAGATTCGGGGGCGTGTAGTCGACCGCATCCTCAGGCCGCCAATTCGCTACACTTTGCAACTTCGTCTCGACATCCATATCCGCCACACCTTCATCCCTGACCTGCGCCTCAGCACCCTCCGACCCCTTCGCCGTCTGGAAATCGACCACGTTCTGCTGAATGCCCAAGTCCTGCTGTCCGAGCGGATACAGCCTCACGAACTTGTGCGATTCAGACACGACGTAGAAGGGCTTCCCCGCTGCTTTGGCCAGCATGCCCATTTGGTACGTTCCCATCCGGGAGATAATCCCGCCGTTTTCGACGACGCCCTCGGCTCCCACGAAGCACTGCGTGACTTGATCCAAACAATACGCAATCGCCGTCGGCGGGATCGTCGCCACGGGGATATCCCTCTCCCTCAAAGCCGCGATATTCTCCGCACTCTCCGTATCCTTATCATCCGTCGACACAACATAAATGACCCGAAACCGAATACTCCCCTTCCCACTCGCATTGCTCGACTCCGCCGCACTCCTCAGCAACGCACCCACAACCCTGGACCCACCATTTGTCAAAATCGTATTCCCATCCCGGATAAACTGCCTCCCAAACCCCGCGATCGTTTCCCGCGCCGCCTTGGCCCGCTCCACGAACAACCGCCCGTTCTGCACGAGGTGACTGCGGATATTCTCGAAATCCCCGCTCAGGCCGCCCGGCCCGGGTTTCTGCAGGTTGGCGATGAGGTATTGCTGGAAGATGTCCGTGCCGGCGGAGAGGGAGATGGAGTTGGGGATGGAGGTTTTTAGTTGCGTCGTGAGTTTGGAGACGAGGTCGAGGGTTTCGGAGACGGTGGTGGAGGGGGTGTGGGAGAGGCCGTGGATTAGGGATTCGATGGCTGCGACGGGCATGGTGAGGTCCGGGTCTTCGGTTAGGAGGTTTGTGTAGGTTTGGACGATGTCGAAGGGGGGTTCGGTGGTGGGGGGTTGTGAGGTCGCCATTTTGGTTTGTATGATCTGGGGCAGCTGGGTGCTGCGATTGGGAAGGGTGTTCACATTGTGAGAGATGTGGTCGTTGAAGACTCACACGAGCTCTAAAAGTTATGACGGAAAGAGTTCCGGGGCGGCACGAGCCGTGAGCTTAGCTTGGACGTCTGCTCCCAGCCGTGTCTTCTCGTGTTTTGCTCCTTTGTAGTATATACCGCTCTTCGTGCATGTGACGAATAATAAATATCCTGGCTCTTGAGAGAATTTTCAGTACTTCACATTTGATTATGTCTTTGTTCTTGAGCTTACGGGGCTGGGCAATGACCTCGCGGCGCGCGAAGAGGCTGTATAGCTTGGCTGCAGGTCTCATCGAAGATGGATAGTCGCACGACAGGGCGACAGAGCCTCAGCTGTATGTGCTGGCTGTGGCTATGCTCAAGCGACAAGAACTCCATATATGTCACTATCTCACTGCTCGAAACTCACAGAGATCAACTCTGTGTGAGTACATATTCTCTGGTCGATTTGATTCCACGGCGCCATTATTGTTGAATCACTGCGAGTATGGCTGAACTTCTGGGTGTGATCGCTGGAGGTGCTGGAATGGCTTCATTGGCCATTCAGCTCGGTGAGAGCGCTGTCAAGGCGAGAAGATTGTACCACGCAGCGAGAGATGCTCCGGAGACCCTTCAACACGTCACGTTTGAGATTGAGACGTTCAGTCTCGTACTTCATGAGATTGCACGGCATGGCCAGAGCTACGACTTAGAAGATTCCGACACTCTCGTGCGATGTGTACGGATGTGCGAGCAGAGCGTCACGCGGATCCGCAACGCCGTTAACAAACTGGAGTCACTAATCAATAGACATTCACGCCTTGGCAAGCTGAGGGCTGCGGTAGATGAGAAAGAGATCTCCAAAGCTTGCACTGATCTGGAAAGGGCTAAGACGACACTTGGCATCGCATTGCAGCTGTACAGTGAGTACCAGCGTGCAAAGGACAGAGCAATCATCCGTGTGAGTTATGAACTGGCGTCTGATCAGACTCGACTACTGCAGACTCGGATCGACTTATCGCGAAATCCACAGGACGAGAGTTTGACGATTGTACGTCCACACCAGGAAGATTCAGTCGAGGAGCCAGACCTGGATGACAGAAATGCAGTCGAACGGAGACGGACACGCTTGAATGTACGCACAAGATGTTTGTGTCTTCGACTCAAGCCTTGGTTTGTTTCTACCACCTGGCAAGTGTGTCTTTCGAAATCGCTCGCTGGTTGGGATGTGCGGTTGCGAGCGATGAACATTGTACCTGACAGCGCCGAGATCTTTTCCAGATGTCAAGACGGCGATCTTTACGGAGTTCAAAAGATGTTTCGAGACGGACTAGCGTCCCCCTACGACCATTCGCGTCTTGGCCACCATTCGGTTTTGAAGGTGAGCAAGTCTATCGAAGTCCTCTGTTTTGGAGGTCGAAGGGCGCATCGAGCTGGTGATTGACTATCATATTAGGATGCAATGCGATTGAGAAACCTTGAGCTTTGCCGCTTCATCATTCAATCCCTCGACATCGACGCCGTTGATGTGTGCGATATACATCATTCCTTAGGAAACTATGCGTGGATCAGCCGATTTGCAGACAACGTTGAACCTGATGAAAACCGCTCGGTCGATATGTATCGATTGTTGATCGAATGCATGGATCTGACGGAGGAGACCTTTCTACACGGACAATGGTGGGAATGGATTCGTAATTTACAGTGCATGAAACTAGCGCAAAATGCTCTGCTGAGGCCCTACATGGACCTCGCCTGGCAGACCCGCTTTGAACATGCCATGGAGCTGGCGATATCAGACCTCAATTTAACAGCCGAAATGTTCCTCCAGCCCCTAGCCTGCGATTTTTCCGATGCTCAATTAGCTCGAGCAAAGAGCGGAAACGGACTGACGGTTCTCCACGCCATCGCCACGGCTGCGGGTTCACGAACGTGGGCGCAGCTGCAGGCGGGTTCATGGGTCGAGTTAGCACGCGGCTACGTTACTAATGGTGGCTTCCTTCTCCCTCAAGGTATGGCCGGCTCAACACCTCTTGAGCACGTGCTAGATGGAAGAGGTCTCATTTGGCACCGCATCCGGTGTGAGACCACGCGCCTTCGAACGTGGGTCCACATGATCAAAGTCATTGGCATTGACCTTGTACTGTACGGCCAAGAAGAGAGAGCTATTTGGCAAGCGAACATTCATCGGAGGAGAACAAATCCGGTCCGTGAATACGACCACAGGCTTGTCGATGAGTGGTCCTTCGGCCCTAATCTTGAGGATTGGTCTTTGAAGTTCCGCAACGTGTCCTATGTCCCTATCTACGAGGCTCTGGCCGCACCTGGTATCCCAGGCATGTGGGATGCCGCGCTCGGCGACCTGGAAGAACGTCCTGCAACCATACCTTGGACACCTTTGCCAGAGGATGACTCGGCCTTGCCCTTCCTCTCATCATGGAAGCGGGTGCGAAGGATACGACTAGAGTCAAATCCGTTCCTCGCACCAGAGCCAAAAGAAGAGGACATGACTGAGTCACACTATCATTCCATCGCCGCGAAGACTCAAGACGATAACTCAGAAATCATTCGTCTACTGGATGCAAGCCGTCATACAATCAGTCGCCCACGCAGCCAAAGCCAACCGCCCTTGCGAGACCAACGTGACGCATCCCAGACCTTCGATCGCATCCCTCACCATAGCTGGCTACCGGCCTATCATATCTGTGTGTGCGACTCGAAACGAAGGCTCGCTCCTTGCTATACTAACGACAAGGACACTTGGCTGGCCGCTTTCCGGAGATGCATGCATGGACATCACCAGAGGGCCAACTTCTGGAAGGACATCGAACGTCGTGTGCGGCACTTCCGACGGCAGTATCAAACGAGGGAGGAATTGCGGAGGTTGCCATATGATGTGTATAGGTGTAAAGATTGGCAGTATGGTGATTGGTGGGAGGTTACGGAGAGCATTCGTGAAGGATAGTCAAGATCGTTCATCGCCATTCTGTATGTTACTTTGCGGGTAGATTGAGCTGGTGCTTCGTATATTCCGTCCCCTTTGCTAGTATTGACATTTGCTTTTCCGTCTAGGACCGCATGGGTTTCAGACGTGATGGCAAGATCGAAGTTAAAAAGGAGAGACTGGGTCTTGGAGCAATTGCGGTAAGCCTTGTCCCTACTATGCCCTCTTGAAGAGAAGGTGGCCTGTTGATTGAGACTACTGGGGTATTTCTTTGACGATGAATCTACTGCCCTTCTCTTCATTCGCGCTCGCTGACGGTGCAACATTCTCAGACTCGTGTACTGCTAGACCGGCCCCTTTGGCGAATGTGCTTTGTGTCGTTTCCATAATCTGCGTGAAGACGACCCAAGCTACTCCTGGCAGAGAAATTCCGAACAGTAACAGGTTGATACCACAAGCCCAATTGTAGTCGACATGGACCGCCGACACCACGAAAGCGAATGTTGAGCCCAAGCAGCTGATGGAGTTGATGAGGGCCGTGATCATCGTTGTTTCGTTGAGGTCATTCGAAAGGCAGCCGCAAAGCCAATAGTTGAATACGCTGACCCTTTTGCAGATTAGCAGCTGCACACAGTACGCACCATGACTTCACACTCACATCGGATCACAGAAGCCCCAGAGCGTGAACAGGAACGCGCCTAGGCCGTAGCCGTCTGACGACCAATCCAGGGTAGGCTTTGTGTTGGAGTAATGGACCTGCACAGCTTGGCCAAGAATCCAACCAGTCCCGACCAAAACAACAAGCACCAGAAAGCCAATCTTCGCCCGGGCTGGACGAGACCAGCGAGTGTGGTCCAGCAGCTGTCCGAGGACCAGCGCCGATACCAGGCCAACGAGGTAGAACAGCGTGCTGTTCAGGGCCCGCGCTCTTACCGTGAAGTATGCGAAATTGAACTGCCACTGATAAGACAGGTTCCATTGGCCATAAATCCAGAAAGGGATCAGCGCTAGTATTGCTGGCCGAGTGAAGATCGATTTGAGCACTCGGAACTCCTTGAAGAAGGTTGCTTGCTTTACGAGATGGACAGGTCGCCCGTCTACACGCTGGATCTGTCGAGCGGTTGGCAAAGCCAGAGCGAAGAGCCAGCCAACACTCATGATGACCATGAGCACCACATACGTTGGCGTGCTAATCGACCCTCGCCAAGCCTTTTTGATGTTCAACGCGAGGCTGATGATTCCTCCAATGGACCCGGCGAGGGATTGGAGACCGAACTTGAAGGCCACTACGTGCTGTCAGCGCTGAAGATCAGTAAGATGGGCTGACCTACTCGCACGACCCTTCCTGGACTCTTCACTGTAGCCTAGCAGTATCGCACCCGATGACACCCATAGGAACGCAGCAGCGAGGCCCAGGATGACGGATCCAAACAGCAATAGCCAGTTGGTGCCGAATCGGTCGTTACAATATAGACCGGCAGCATATGGAGTATAATCGAGCGTTCCAATCTTTCCCTATCCATCAGCAAGCGGACAATGACGATGCTGACGACAAAGACATACCACCAGGCCCCATTTGGGAGTTATTCGGTTCACAACACCGCTGGTGAATAGACTCGCAACGGCCAAGACGCCGAACTAGACGGCAGGTCAGCACAATCAGTCAACGAGCACTTTTCTGCTGCCTTCTTACTACGATCGCATTTGCGGCATTCGTGATGTCTGGACTGGCTCCACCACCGGCCCCCATGCCATTCAAGGCGCTGAATATTCCCGGCTCGCAGAATGCTGTCATTGCGACCAGCAAGGCTGCAAACAGGGTCGACCGATACCAGACGACATGATGCTTCTCCAGCGTTTGAGCCATGTTGCGGAACAAGGACCCGTACCACGGTCTCTTGAAAGGCTCGGATCTTCTTAGTATCAACGATGGACATCGGAGCTCGTGTTATGTACACGCGATGGCACCGCCCGCTGTTGAGTGGATCGCCATGGTGCCATTTGGTGGGATCGTTACAAGTGCATATGAAGTACCGCGATAAGTCACGAATTACCTTGGAATCCAGCCGTGTGGAATAGTTCCGTATTGCCCTGCAGTAGTTGTCTGGCCAGCCGCACAAAGCTTGTTCCGACTTCATAAGCTCACATTTGTAGCGGGTCTACCACGTGCAGGCCGTGCGTCAATCAGCAATTGGGAGATGACTTGTGTTGAATGGATTGTGAAGCTTCCACTCTGGCGTATTTGCCATCAGAGCTAGCTATTGCGTGTGAGAATCCTGGCCTCAAGCTCGCGCCAACGCTGTTGAGCTCACCGGGCTCGAATTCTGAGGGATTGAAGAACTTCTGCGGCTCGGACGGCAGTAGCGAATATGCATTATCGGTAATGGCACAGCGAACCGGCACGCAACTTGAATCATATAAGGCGTGACGGCCCGGATGGAAAACACGGCATAGGTCGTGCCATTTGTCGGTATATTCTCGCATTGCCTACCGCATGCCCCATCGCCAAAGTCGATATACTCAATTGGCACAATTACAAAGCTAAGATCAGCCAGGTTAGTAATGTGCAGGTGCTAGATGAACTTTCCTTACTGACCTCATTTGACGTTCAGCACCATCACACGGTATTCGATGCTACGACAGTAGCGACACCGTAGAGTATGACTGGAAAACTGAGGATCGCAGTGGTTGGCGCAGGACCTGCGGGCCTTGCAATTGCCATCGAGCTCAAAAAGCTACCCTTCGTTGAATATACGCTCTACGAGCGGAACGACCGCATCAGTGAGATTGGAGCTGGAATTAGCATCCAGCAGACCACATGGCGTATGCTCGAGGTTATGGGAGCAGCTCAGCATCTGCGAGACTCGACGTGGTTTAGACCTGAAGACGGCCACTCTGTGAGGCACTAGTAAGCTGTTCATCGTAGGTCATTTTGAACTGCAGAGCTTCGCTTACCATATCGTAGCAACGGCAGGACTGGAAGACTGCTGTCGACTCGCTATCAACCTAACGTTCCTAAGGAGTTTCTGCACGCCCGGTGCCATAGGGCAGAACTGCAAAATGCACTGTGGAAAGCCAACGACCCAGGCCATATTCGGACATCCAAAAGACTCACGAATATCTCACAGCTTCCTTCGGGCAGAGTCCGACTTCAGTTTGCCGACGGCTTCGTGGACGAGGTAGATCTGCTAGTTGGCGCAGATGGCATCCGATCGGTCGTGCGCTCCTTCGCTTTTCCGGAGCACAAGATTGCCTATACCGGACGGACGGTTTATCGTACACTCATCCCGGTCGAGGAGGTACGGTGTATCGAGGGGTTACCCGCCGATGCCGTTGCTTTCTGGCATGCGCCGAAGGGGGAATGGGTGTACACCTGCAACCTTGGTGGAAAAGATTTCGAGCTCACTGTTATGACCAACGAGCCTTTAACCGAGCACGAAAAGGAGCGTGTCAGCTGGGGCGAGCCTGCGAATGTCAGCGATATGACACGCCACTTTCCGGTCAGTACGAAATCCAGGCATGCTAAGATGCAGGGCTGACTGAGTGCTCAGAACTTCTTCAGACCAATCCAGGAACTGTTCGCCATAACTCCCGACATCAAACGATACGCAGCGTTCTCTGGCCCCCGCCTCCAAAGCGTTGTCACCGACTCAAATAATATAGCCTTGATAGGTGACGCTTCGCATCCACTCTCCGGTGCTTTCGGCTCAGGGGCGGGATTCGCGCTCGAAGACGCTTATACTCTTACTCAAAGCTTGCGATGGGCGTTTGCTAGAGACAGAAGTAAACCTCAGCTAGGAGATGCCTTACACCTATTCGATCGTGTACGCTCGCCGCATTATGAGAAACTTTACCGTGTGCTTGACGGCTTCAAGGAAGTGGCTGGAAACCTAGCTGCGCCGCACCTTCAGCTCAATTCGGACGAAGAGGTCGCCGTACTGGTGGCCATGAATTGGGCAAAGCGCCACGACTGGATCTATGAGTACGATATCACTCAGGACTTTGCCAGGATAGCCGAACAGGAGAGTGATTAGTGTGCCTTCGCCGAAGACATACGGTGGCCTACGGAGCGTCGCTTGAGGCAATTTCGACATCCATCGAACACATAGTACTCATAAGGGTATGCTGCAGCGATGCGGCCGTACTTTTCAAAGATGATGAGGGAGGTAGGAGTTGAAGTCCGGAGAAGTCATTAGGTTTCCGCTGGAGTTTGCTCGGTCAACGGGCCTAGCGGACCGAACCCGACGCGAAGCTTGGCGTTTACCTCGCTTCCCAGCGTCGTCTCCGTCAAATCACTCCACTCTCCGTGACATCTGTAGCCGCGTTTCTAGTCCGAACTGTCACCTGTAGCTGCCCATACGTTGTGCACGTATTGTGTCCCTCACCGAACATCATTCCAAGCTTTTTGTAGCTTGAGTCCACGGACCAATTCTTTTCCTTCAGATCCCCCCGGGGCACTGGTCCTCCACATCCTCCACTCTCTACCACGCCGGCAGAAGGTTACTGCTCACGTTAAGGATGCACCATCTTGTAGCTGGGCCCACACCAACGGATATTGCCAGCCAGCTGCCGTGGCTACAAAGAAAGTCACGACCCAGAAATGCCCCAATATACGGCAGATAACGGGAACCACAGAATGCATTGCCGCAGCACGCAGGCATAAGTGTTGTCGCAACGCTTTGAACATCGTCTCCAACAGACAGACCACGTAACAAATGCCAAAGAACCATGTCTGTGCCCTTAGCGTATTGCATCGATGCGTCAGCCAGTCGACATACGCATGACACAAAGCCGACAGAGTGAACTGCCACAACGCTCTCAAAGCCTTATTATCCGCCATCCATCTTGGCATAAGCGTGCCAAAAGATCGTACATGCAGATTCTGCCAGGCTTTCCCCAGAAAGCACAAAGAGTGGTTGCTTGAGAGAAATCCCCAAACACGAGCGGCCAGTCCGCGGGCTCATCCCAGCTAAGGAGACCGACGAACAGAATGGCACCGAGTTTGTGCCCAATCTCGAGGGAGGAGTAGGTACTCCACATCCAGCTTGTGGTGACGATTACGCGAAGGCCAAGATGGCGGGATATTGGCCGGGGCAGGAGTAATGTCTGTTGCTCAGGGGCGAGGTCCTCGGGTTGTATGTGGAGAGACCGAAGGACGAGGCTGGAGATGCCCGAAACGCATCTACTGCCGATGAGGAGACTCACGATAGCCCTGCCCTTTCGTATTGAAAAGACGATTCGATCCTTCAAGACCATTCGCCGAGGTGAAGTGTCATGGATCGGCAGCCTCCGAACATTGAGTCATGTCCGAACAGCCTTCTCCCAGCTCTCTCCAGGACTCCTTGTGGCATCATGGAAGAGAAGTATTGTTGCTGAATGGACCGCGAGCCCAAGCGCGAATGCAGCCGCGCCATTTGGAAACCAAGCGATGCCTTTGCATTGGAGTGCAGCCACGTTGCAGAGGGTTTGGGCCACGCAAGCAACGTTTCGTTTAAGGCCTGAGGGCTGCGGGAAGACGACTTTGAAGAGCATGACGGCAATGACGAATAATGACAGTGGCGCCAGTGGACTGTGATCCATGATCAGCGAAAATGGAGGTGCAAAGCTCATCACATAGCGTAAGCTCAAATTCTTATATGGAGCAAAGTGCCCCTGAGCGCTTCACCTCAGCCTTTGTACCAACACTGAGCATCGCTGGCTGCCGTACATGTGGAATATTTTTCGATGAAGTGAGCGCCTGTGTGTCAATGAGGCGAGCATCGTCAACAGGATCAGACTATGTCAAGTCAGTCGCAGCTGTTGTTAAGGTCCGTTGCACAGCTCTTCCACATGACTTCACTATGGTTGGTCGGACAGTTTCACCAGCCCATAGACTATAAGACAGTGCAACATCGCTTTCAAATTTCTCTCTCCTCCGGTCCGGTACAGTCTCTCTCCTCCACGGGAACTCTAGCATAGGATGGTGTGAAGACACTTTACCGCGGTGAATAAGCCTTCTCACGAGCGTAAACACCGACAAAACAAGGTAACATTGTTTGTAACTCCCTCTCTATACCGTTTTGATACTTGATCTTCCGCCCAACGTGTTTCATTAGTGGGATAGTATGAGAAGACGTTGCAAGCGCTCCTCTGCGTGTTGGATGAGCGTCAATTGATCTTGGCTGCGAATTCTTGAATTCGGCAGCCTTCTTCACCGCACACCCTCAAAATAGCTTGTACTTGGATTCACCAAGCAAAAAATACAACGAAGCTGAGGCAAAAGGCCCAAACACTCACCGGTGGATGATAAAAACGATCAGACGAAGGATGCGACTTTGCAAGTATGTTCGATATAAGAACAGCTACCTTTCTGCTCAGACATCAGCCAAATCGCAACTTCACCAGCGAACAAAGGCAGAGCAAGACCAAATAGTTCTACTGCAACCCAACAACCATTCTTACCATCCTCAACAGCAATCATGCCTATGAGACTCGCAGCGCTCCCCGAGATCATCGCCATGGTCGGCCACGCAGGCATCATCGGCGGCGCCACAGTCGGAGCATGTGCGCAATCCGGCAGCTGTCCGGGCTGGCATAATAAGCGCAACGTAGACATGCCAGAGGCGGTAGTCACTGATATCCTGCTCGCCAACCGCCAGACCGGCGTCGGTCCCTGCAACGTCCGGCAGTACAATTTCGACCAGTGCAAGGACTCTCTGCAGGGAATTACGATATCTTCTTCTCTGCCAGCCCCCGGTGGTATGTCCCAACTGACACACCTGGCTTCTTGAGGTTCTTCAGAGACTGACCCTAGTCGCAGAGGCCCGCTTCGACAACGTCCCGGCGACTTGCATGAATTTGGCGACGGTCCTCACTGGAGCCTGCGGTGCGGATGGTCCGGCTGTTCAGCCTTGTGGTTCGGCTTGCCTGCACTACTATGGATTGACGAGCAACGAGCTCAAGCAGCTCTCGGCCGCTCTTAAGCCTATGGCGAAGTAAAATGACACCTCAGGGGTGCGAGATATGGGGGTGGCGGTAGAGGGTTCGGGTGGTAGAGGGCACACTCGTTTGAAGTTCATTCCATCATGTTTTACTAGGCGGCTAGAGTACTTCGTTTCAAATCACATTCGCTCGCTCGTTGCGCTTTCACTGGGTACGTCCAAGCGGCCAGTACTGTAATTCGAAGCTCTTTGCGGTGAGGTCTTTGACACTGCTGCATCCGTTACTGGGTTTGGGAGGAGGCAAGGTCAACAAGAACACGAAGTGCGATGCTTCCCTGAAGCGGAGTTCTGAGCCATCGCCGTCATACAACGTTGTATGTTTTTGAAGTAATTGGGGGAGGAGGTAGAAAGAGAAAAGGAGTGCTTCTTAGAGTTTGCCCGGTCTTTGGGACCGAGCGGACCGCTCCAGCCGCAGAGCTTGGCGTTCACGTCGCCTGCTTTGTGTAACATCACTTCTGCTCAAGCATTGCCTAGTTGCTCACGTCTCGGTCCAACACATCTATTATCGCTCGAAACTTCGGAAGTGTCTTCTTCAAACATCAGAGCTATTGTAACCTCTCTTTGGTTACGATGAACAAGACGACAATGGACTTCAGTGAAGTTCACTTCAAAGGGACGTTGCTCCACACCTTAAGCGAAGAGCTCAAGGTCCATCGGAGCCGATAAGACCGGTGAAGCAGGCGATCAGTCAAAGTCGGGGTTTACAGCCTCATGGCAGGGCACAAAGCTGCCTTCACAGTACCCTTTCACGTCCATGTTGAACATTCGCAGAGCCCCATTTCCGCCTATAAACCAGGCATCGAGCCTTACGGAAGTCCTCAACACTTGGCCTCGCTGCCACTGAAACGTTTGATCGCACTACTATTGACAAGGAGTGTCCCCAGCCACGCTTTAAACGTCTCCAAGCCACCTTTCGCAACGATCATGCCATCAGAACGTATCGCTGGATACCGTCTGCGGCAGAGTGATTTGGCGGCATTCCTTCGAAAAACCTTTGGCAGCCCTTTCGAGTTTCAGATCAGGGTATCGTCGAGAAACCTGCGAAATTCGGAAACCTGCTTTACTGACTATCGCGAAAGCTTCGAAATGATCAATACTCCTTCAACGTTCCGCGGAAGCTCACATCTGTAAGTAGTTGCCAGTGTACGAAACGTATCTCTGACAAATCGAACAGCAAGAGAAAGATCAGATCAAAGACTTGAGAATCAGCTCGGACTAGCGCTTTTCGCATAAGGTGGTCTCCGCCACCGGGCTGAGGGGGTCATTGCAAGACCATCTCAACCGACCGGCGCTTGGTTGGCCTGGGAAACGCTTTGAACAAGGGCTTGGGAGGCGTACATGATTGCAGGTGCGTTCTGTAGGCGGCCTCACAGCTCTGGAAACTTGGTGCACCCGCTTAGGTGGGGTGGTCCCGGGAGTAACACTGGGCAATGCATTAGCGGACCGGCTTTACCGCTCTTGCTGCGCCATGCTGAAATATGTGCCAGCGGACAACTACTTCTTGACATACAGTCTCTTCTATTAAAGTCACTAGGACAGCATTCACTTTTAATAATCCACTGCACATTGCGTCTGAAGCCCAGGTCAACAATATGGACGAGTTCGCCAGATCGTGTTCCCGTGCCGAGCAATACCCTCGAAATCTGCTCAACGCCAGCACACCTGTCTACACTCGGCAAGCCATTGAGGACCAACTCAACCAGCGGTCGAGGCAGCTATTCTGTGATGAGAGCGTAGCATCAAGCAAACACAGGCCTTCTTTGAACGTTTTCGAGGGCTCTGGTCATAGTACGTGAATCAATCTTACTTCCACGGAATTCTAGAGGCTGACGTGCAAATCAGGCTTCAGATCTTCCAACCTGAGCACTTTGCAGGCGCTTCAAACCCATCTGGCGGCACATGATCAAGATAATGAGATGAGATATGTGTAAGCGAAATAGATAACCTTCAAGTGAATATGCTCACATTCAATCCAACATATAGCTCGATCGAAGCGCCGCATTCCTGCGAGATGCTAAAGCTCTCCAGGCAAATGTTCAATTACCTCATGACCTATCATCAAGTAACGCCGTTCTTCGTCGAGTTCGTCTTGCCCTTCGGGAGAAGAGACTACAAACAAGACTTTCCACACTGCGGATTTCGAAACGTCAGCAGATTACACAAGACCGAAGCCAGCGTATCCACCCCTCAACTTCGAATGTCTAGACGGCAAATCGAGATCAGCTACAGCCTGATGTCCGTCGAACCCGATACTGATTTGAACGACCCTACCAAGAAGCGGTGGTCCATTCGCATGTGTAGCATCTATCACGCTTTCGATATTGAGACCGGCAAAACCACCTGGATGACCGTGAAAGGCAACAGCGGCATTCGAAAGTTACTGGAAACTCAACTCGCCGAAAAATCCGGAAGCAAGAATGCAACATATAACGTTCACCGCAGATTCAAAGATACCCTGGATGTGCACTTGATGCTGGTTCAATGGGCCGCGGAATACTGGCATTCTTACATCAGCCACATTCAAGAAGACCTTCAAGAAAGGACCCGCCACGCAAATTCAATCTCTGTGCAATCTTCGACTAGCACCGAGAGCTTGAAGCAAAGAATGCGTACACTGGATTACTTGTACTCGGCAAATGTCGACAAGCAGCGACCACAGTTCATCATACCCTTCAGACGCATGTTGCGTAGACTTGGATCGACCAAAGCCAAAGAAGAGGGAGTGGTCAGCGGTGCGATGGAAATGACTGCTGAGCCAGAGCCCATCGACGACGACTCAGAACGCTTCTGCTTTGACGATGTGCAGGATGTTCAAACGCTCGGAGACAGAGCAACGGAAGTCATGGTGGCTTTGAGAACGAATCGCAACGTTGTCGATTCTTTGGCCAGAGGATATCGCTCCATGGCTCCATTTCTGGACCCAGACTGCACCGATGACATCGAAGACTTCGCACGCAAAGTGCAGGATGTCACGTCCCACTTCGACATGCAAAAGTCCAACGCCGACACTTTGCTATCGTTTATCAATGAACGAAAGACCCAGGTGAGCGAGCTAGTGTACACCATTAGTTATCGAGCTGACGACCACAAGCTCTACGCTATCTTGCAGTATGAGAATATGGAGTCCAGTCGAGATCTGGCCGTCAAGGCTCATGTTGCTACGTGTGCGATGCAGCTCATGACGCTGGACATGCAAGTTGTTACGCGCAAGATGAAGAGCGAAGCCATTTCGATGCGGGTCATCACGCTCGTGACTCTGTTCTTCTTGCCTGGCACGTTCATATCTGTGAGTCAAGCTAATGGAATGTACGGTGCGACCTCTGACCATGGCCCAGACTTTGATGAGCACTCCGATTGTCTCGTTCGAAACCGACAGTGACGGCTTTTCCTCTCGCAACATCGGGCAAGGCGCTCTACAGTTCTATGTGGCCATTAGCCTGCCTCTAATGTGTTTGACGTTCTTTGTGTGGTACGCAGTCCATTGGCGAGAGAGCCGCGAAGCGGCACGACATGCTCGAGCAATCGCAGAGCTGAAATTTGGCGATGATTTGGTGTGAGGCTGAGTGCGTTGGCTTGTGATAGCCGAACATGGTGTCAGGGAGCTCGAGGCGAAGCAATTCTGTGCTACTCTCGGCAAGCAAGCGCTCGCGCAACGCATCGGGCGATGTGAGTGGGTTGCATGGTCGCTCGCATGAGGCTGATTGAGCTGAGAGGCCGCTCAAATGGGGCGCAAGCTACCTGAGCTGCCCACCCGTCAAGAGTGACAGTCGCCTCTCCGTCAACCACAAGGGGTTCCTGCGAGGTCAAAGTGCCGGTCCTGCGGAGACGCGCAGCCGGTGGATGGTATCTCCCACAAGCCAATAACCTCACCGTTCATGGCAATGCAAACTTCAAGACACTCTTTCTTTATCCCGACGGCCGTCGCCACTTGCTAACGCCCCATCAATCGGAATCCTAGCACACGAGCTGGTGGCTAAGGCACGATGACTGTACAAGACTCGAGCAATCAGCTCGTGCAGCGGCTGTTATCCCACATCGACGACGATTGGACCACGCCATGCGAACACAATGGCATTTCCTCTCCATTTGTCTCTCAGGCAGCAATCAAAAACTTCCTCACGAGCTACACGCAGATACGCGAGTTGATCGCGGCTGCCTGCGGTATAGACTCGACCGACAGCATAAGGTGGATAGTACAGCACTGCCCCATCGGATTTTGCATTCTTTTGAGGCTCGGGAAAGGGGAATACGTCAGACATTTCGTCGGACATGCTGGACTCTGGGACGGACACCTACCGTTCTTCGCTAGGCCTGATGACTTTCCACAAGTGCCTCCGGAGCCGGCTTTCTTTGAAAAGTTTCGACAAGAACAATGGCGTTTCTTTCCGGTTACCATCCCTCGGGACCCAGCTGTCAAGTTCCAGAAGGAGAGGCCTCTGCCGATTGTGGAAAGCCAGTTGTTGGGGGAAAGCGAGACGGCGAATCTTTACCGTGTCAAAATACATCGAGAATATGACAGCAACAGCGTCCCTAACGAGGTAAGCTGTAGGAACATGTGCGCCGGCCTCTTCGAATCTACTGACTTTCGTTCTGAAGAGCAACGAGTACAAAGATTACGCCTTGAAGACCTACATTGGAAAGCGAGCCGAAAAATACTACCGTACAGAAGTCGACAACTTCGCAAAGCTTTGTCTGGTGCATCGAGAGCCTCCACAGGGACTCATTCGTTTCCACTGCGGCTTCGAACACAACGACACGTTCAACCTGCTCCTGGATTATGCCACATTTGGGAGTTTACGAGACCTCTTTGAGAAGGAAGAACCGCCTTCCTCAGGGCAAGACATCGTTCGACTCTGGGAGCGATTCTCGATGTGCATCCAAGCATTGAACAGGATACATGAACTTGATCTGTCAGAAGACGGGTCTAGGGTATTTCAGGGGTAAGAGTGGTCCACACGAGAAGGGAACGAGCCGCTATTTGCTGACGTTTCCAATCCATCAGGTGGCACCAGGACATTCGACCCGAGAACATCTTGATACATAGATGCGGCGACTACACAGCACCTCATGAGTTTCAGTTCATGCTGGGTGACCTCGGCTTAAGCCACTTTGTTCGCATGTGCCGTAGCAAAGATGATCCAGTTGCCCTTGATACGGGGGGCACCCGCACATATGGTATCCCAGTCCGATTACTCTTCGAAGGGGGAGCTGATTATATGCAGGTGCGCCCGAGCTGTACAGACACTCCGATTTTGATGCCATGAGACGTCTCTTTCCGACTCGCGCTATTGACATCTGGTCCCTGGGATGCGTAATGCTGGATCTCTGCGTCTGGATTGTCCGTGGTAGACGATACCTTGAAGCATTTGGTTTGCGCCGCGAAGAAGCGAATGACAAGCTAGGAACGCTGGCAGGAGACTGCTTCCATGACGGATATCAACCTCACCCCAGTCTCTCGACTGTCGTGTACGACGAGATGAGCACTTTGCTTGACGATATGAGAGTCTCTGACCATATCACCGAGCCAGTGCTCGAGATCACAAGACGCATGCTTCGACCAGAACCGAAGCAACGTCCAACGGCCCCGGCAGTCCTTGCAGATATCGAGAGTGCGATCAAAGCAGCCAAGGAGCGATGCAACGACTGGTACGCGAGACCGCGAACTCGTTCTGGGTCGAGTCCACGCAGAAACTCCGCCTTCGAAAGCATTCGCACTCAGAACCAAGACAGTGTTCGTTTGATACAATCCCCAGTATTGGCATCGACCGCCGCGACGATTCCATTCCCCTCTCTGGGAACAGATTTATTCACAAAACAGCCAAATGTTCCCTTTCCTGAGAGTCACTTCGCTAGTGGCATCACTGGGCTAGGCCTACCTATGAACAACGACTTCCACGAGAACGCTCAGCCAGATCTTCATACGCTTCAGTCTTCTCCCCTGATCGTTACGTCAAAGCTGGCGACAGACATTGAAGAGGACGCCCAGAGGCCCAAGCGAAGGCCACACGCATCGAGCTCGCCTGGTCCGCAGAATGTAGAGTTTCTGATGGTCAACAGTGATTCCCAAGCCAATTCGAACCGACCTGACCGGGTAGAGCCTGTCGAAGGAAGACGATCTTTCAGTCCAGAGCAAAACAAGAAGCCTCGGCGTCAGAATGTCCCTTACCTCTCACGAGACGACGTTATAAAATGGATGGCGGCGAAGAAGAGGTTCTTCGGACAGAAGCCACCCCTCGACTTCGACCATTATCGCAGATGGTTAAATACGCGGGATCACGTACGTTGTCCCCAGCCCCTTTGCGCACGACAGCACTGACAAGATCTTAGGTCTTCCTCCTGGATGACTCCCGAACAATGTCAACCTACACAGAACACGTTACGACCCTCCTCAGCCCCTTAATATACACCGTAAAAGAACACGACCCAGACGGCGTGGAAGTCCACTTCACCATTTCCACAAGCACCCGACAGTCCAAAAAATCCTCTGTGCTGATGGACCAAGTCGAACGCCACAAATTCGAAGGCAAGACCGATATCAGCGTCCGCCTGGGCCAGATCCTTCGAAGATATCGTGTCGCGCTGGAAGACAAGCGCTTGGCGCATCAGAGTGTAAGACCGTTGAGTATATACATTCTGACGGATGGGGTTTGGGAGGGAGGACGGGATGCTCAGACGCCGATTCGGGAGCTCATTGCTGTGATGAAGCATTATGAGTGTGATCGGAAACAGGTCGGGATACAGTTTATAAGCTTTGGGAATGATGAGAGGGGGTTGCAGAGGTTGGCGGAGCTGGATCAGTTTGGGAAGCAGGCTGATGTTGGATTGTAAGTTGCCCGTCTCTTGAGGATATGATGGTGGTTGTGGTGACTGACGTTTTATCAGGGACATTGTGGATACTGAAAGCTCGCTGGGGAACGTATGGAAGATGCTGCTGGGTGCGATTGACAAGACGTTTGATGATGAGTTTAGCGATGGGGAGGCGGTATAGTCCTCGGAGTTGGGTCTGCTATACACTGGCCTACGTTAATGGCAATAATACCTTCAAAAGTCGCTGGAGAATTGCATGCATTTCTCAATGTGCAGCTGCGCAGGATCCTGGAGATATTGATGCCATTAGGATTCTGGCTCGTTGTTGTCGCAGTCGGCTCTCTGTCGGTCACGATCCGAAAAGGGGCCTTTCCAGAAATTGCCTCCTGCACGTTGCGGTGGGAGTACCAGACGGACTTCTGGGCAAAATCTGGTGACGAGTAGTCGCTGGGTCGCCAAGCATGACGGCGAGCTCGTGAGCCATGTTACGAGACATGTAGTGGATTGCCGGCGAAGTGTCAGCAGAGCTCTGGTCGCGTGAGGTGGCGGGAAGTTGGCCTTTTCCAGTTCTCTAATCAAGCCGCTTAACTGAAATTTGATTGATCTTCGGCGGTTGCAGCCGGTGGCGGGCCTGATTTGAGTCATCACATGCCCGCCTGCTAACCAAACCTAGGTACTTTTTGATCATTCACTCACACACCTCCTGCCGCCTGGAGCCAGGTGACAGCATGTCGACTCACTGATTGATATCATTCTTTACCCTCCCTCACCGCTGCGTCGCTCTAGTGTCGTCACCGTTTGGTGCCAAAACAGAGCTGTGCCCGCATCCTCCACCTCCTCGCGTCATTGTTTGGGCGCATCTGCAGGCCATCTTCGCAAAGCTACACCGAGCTCCAAACAACGCGCTAGCCACACGTCGGCCACGGTCACTCGCACGGCAGGCTGTTTTCGTTGCGGCCCTCCATCAATATTCCAGTCAAAGTTTTGATGGCGACACCCGCCGACGCCAACGAAAGGTCGAAAAAAATATTCTGAGCGATCCCCTTCAGGTATGGTGCTTCCCGTCAATTACTCCGTCATTACGTGCATAGGAGGGAGCTCCTGAGCAGTGGATCGGCGCAGCAGCAGCAGCCAGCAGCAGCCAGCAGAGCCGGCTCGCGGAGAAGGCAGGGCAGGGCACAAAAGCACATGCTTGTGCCTGGCTTTTCAACCGCATTGACCTGATTCTTAACTAAACCACCCGTCTTCCTGTCACGGATTGTTTTCGACCGTGGAGGACGGAGGACTCGCACACTCGATGAATGCTGACCACTCGTCAGTCCGTCTCTCGCTGCACACCCAGCTGAGCGATGTCCCGCTCACACGAGGAATTTCCCCTGCTGTAAGTTGTCCCTTCACTTTTACTATATCACTGCCTTGCACGCCCACTGATCCTCACTTTCCTTACAGCAACGGAATCGGCTTGTACCCTGCCCCCATCCTCGGTGACGGCAACTGCCTCTTCAACGCCCTCTCCGACCAGCTCTACGGCCACCAAAATGAGCACGCCGCCATACGCTCGCGTGTCATCGACTACATGCGTGAGCACGAACACTACTACAAGCAGTTCATCGACGTGCACCCCGGAGGCGGTATCAGACGAAACCCGAAACGCAAGAATGCGGGAGCCTACTCGTCACCGGCGAACTTTTCCCTGCCATCTTCCGCCGACATCGACCGCGTTTTCGAGAGCCACTTGGATATTATGGCGAGAGGAGGCACTTACGGCGACAACATGGAAATTACCGCTTTCTCATCGGCCTTTGGGTACGACGTGAAGATATATCAACGAGATTTTGCGTACATGGTGTCTGGAAGCGGAGATGAAGACGCAAGCCGACCAGTAGCACACATTGCATACCACAACTGGGAGCATTATTCTTCGATACGAAACCTCGACGGCCCACACACGGGCATGCCGAACGTGTCACCCAAGGCACTGTCGCCGGAGGAAGAGCAGAGGCAGAAGGAAAAGCTTGCACAAACACCTCACGTGCTGCCATGGATGATTGAGGTGGTGGAGAAGTCATTGCCATTCTTGACCGACAAGGTCACCATGAAGCGATACCTCGAAGCAGCCAAGGGCGATGTCAACCTTGCCGTGTCAAACATGCTGGAGGCTGAAGAGAACGGCAGTGCTTCGTCACGTCACGAAAGCTCTAGTATTGAGCGTGACCATGACAGCGACGACGACATGCATGATGGTCCGAATAAGAAGCAAGACAGACGCATGAGCAGAGCATCGAGAGCACAGAAAGAGCGAAGCTCAGAGAGCAAACACAGCCTTTCGCAGCTGACCGTCTATGATGGCAGCCAAGAGTCGTTCACCAGCTGGGAATCGGAGACATCCAGCCAGCCTGACGCGTCGCAACAGAGCAATACCACTCAAAGCACCTCTTTCGAAGGCGAATCATCCGTGAAGAAGGAATCAAACGATTTCGCCAGCAACTCACAACTGGACGGCCCTCCCAAGCCTCGCCCACGTTTGACACTGCATGGTCCCCGGCCACCCGGCGGCAAGACCCAACAGCGGCAATCTGGCCCTCGAATAACTGCCAGAGACAAGATCCAGCTGAAGAAGCAGGCTCAGAAAGCAGCACGCAAGGAGCGCTCGAAGGCGGATACCAAGGGCGAACGTGCTGAAAGCCCATCCAAGGTCGGCCTCACTCTCAGAGCTAAAGGCATGACTGAAACGCCACCGGTCGAAACGCTGCGGACGCTCTACATATGAGGACGCTCGGCCACGGCGACGATTCTTACGACCTCTCATTGCTTCTTGTTTTGGTGTCGATGATGCAAGATACCCATTTCCGTCCGTTCCAGCCTCTCCAACAAGCAAAGCATAGCGTTGGCAGTTTCACTTCTTCAAGCATTGTAGCATAGCGAAGGCGTACGACGAAAAAGTAAAAAGGATAGTACTGGGAAACAACAAGGGCGTTCTTCTAATTTTGGTGGGAAGGCGGTTTGATTTGACTCGAAGTGAACCAGTGCTCTGAAGGGCTCAGTCACTGGTAATGAGACACTTTTCTTGGAATGCACGCATGATGACGATGGGCGACAAGTCAGTCATCCATCACGGAAAGAAGCTAAACCATAGAGCAGACTTGAGGAAAAGAAGCTGGCTCAGCTAATGCCAATGAAGCACAACCACCTCGCATGCAAAAAATCATCCCTCACATTCAGTTCGTGAGCTCGCTGCACTGCACCTTTTGCACCTCTCCTTCCGCCGTGCCAAAGTACACCGCCACTGGCTTCTGGCCTCCCAGCAGACCTGCCGCCTGCGCCTGAATACCATTCAACCCACAGAAAAGTCCCACCTCCAACACACCATTAATCGCCTTGATCCTCCTCGCCAATGTCTCCACTTCCCACACCCCATCCTTCCCACTCCCGTCCTTCCCCTGCTTGACATCCCCCGCAGTCAACAACTGCTTAAACGGCGCATCAATAATATAAAAGCTCTGATCCGTCTGCACGGGCCCGGTCTTGGAAAGCGTATGCTCCCTCAAAATCGGCTTGACACTCCCCAACGCCACCAACTCCCGAATCACACTCGCATACGCAATCGGCGCAACCTCAATCGGAATCGTCGGCCAATTCGTCAACAGCCGCTGCTGGTTCTTGCGGTAATCCGCGATACACACGAATTTCTTGCTCCGGCACGCCACGAGTTTCTCCTGGAAGAGACACGCGCCGCCGCCCTTGATGCAGTTCAGCTCGTCGTCGACTTCGTCCGCGCCGTCGAAGGCGACTTCCAGCTGCGCGTCCGCCGGGAGGGAGTCGAAGGCGATGGGCGTGAGCCCGGCCGCTTCGATCACTTTGCGCGAGTTCCAGCCTGTCGGCACGAACCAGTTTATGTGGCCTTGTGGGGGCGGGTGCGCGGCGAGGTGCGCTTTGATGGCTTCGACGCCGTAGACTATGGTGCTGCCGGAGCCGATCCCTACGAAGCGCATGGTGGAGGTGAAGTGCTCGGCGACGGCGGCGAAGGCGGCTTTCTTTTTGGCGGCTTCGACGAGGGCGGTGGAGGTGGCGGCTTTGGCTTTGGCTTCTGCTGCTGTGGTGGCCATTTTGAAGGTGGTTGTGAAGGGGCGGGTGCTGCCAGTGGTTGTCCAGAAGGAGTGAGATGAGGTGTCCCAGATGTTGAGGTTGTGGAGGATGGTTCTTCTCAACCGGGTGAAATCTTTTGTTGATGTTAGGCGGGGTTTATCTCATAATCTTCCTCCTACAGACAGGATGAGACTTACTCTTGTGCATCAAAATCTACCACTAGGTGTTGAGCGGGAGGTGACGTGCAGTTTAAGTATTAGAGTATGCTGTTAATCAGCATTGTGTAAGGGAAGACGGGAGTTTCTGCAGATACGATGTCACAGTTCGCTGCTGGGCAGTTTTGCCCCACATCCTTGCGCTCCAATGGCTTTCTGCTGCCCCTCACTCGTATGAGTGTGAGGTGAGTTCTGATATCGGGATTGGAATCGCGAAGATCTGATAGTTGGAGACGGGGCGGAAGTTGTAGCTAAGAAATGTATATCTCCTTCCTTAGAAACGATGACCATGATAGAGTATTAAATGTTTCACCCGGATGGACAAAACAGTACCGTGCAAGGATGCCAATCAAAGTTTTGGTCAAGATTGATGGATTTGATTAAGATAAGATAAGGACAGCTCTCTCAGCCTCAGGCGCCACACTGACGTCTAAGCTCCAGGCACGCGTTCGAACATCGCGAAACCTTGGACCACCTTCAACCAACAGCTGTACCATCACAGTGGCCGACCATGGTTTCATCACAGACCGAAGTGCCTCCTCCACTACAGGACGTCCCCACGGCCAAGGAGAAGAAGTATGACCGCCAGCTTCGTCTTTGGGTGAGTAAGCCACAGTCTGTCTTCTGAAAGGCGACTTGCTAATGGTCTGGTTGCACAGGGAGCCGGCGGACAGCTCGCCCTGGAAGAGACGCATATCCTCCTCATCAACAACGGCCCTGGCGTAACCGGCGTAGAGACGCTCAAGAACCTCGTTCTGCCTGGTATCGGCCAGTTCAGCATTCTCGATTCGGCGGTTGTCAACGACGCGGATCTGGGCGTCAACTTCTTTTTGGATGATGATTCTTTGGGCAAGTTTCGTGCGGAAGAGACGGTGAAGTTGTTGCAGGAGTTGAATCCGGATGTCAAGGGGACTGCTATCACGGAGGTATGTGGAGTTGGATATAATGATGTTTGCGTGTGCTAATGTGACGGTAGCCTCTGGAGACTTGGGCAGTCAAGGACAAGGTCTTTACGCCGTATACACTCGTCCTCGTCGCTGCACCTATCGACCCGGCCATCTTCGCGACCATCGACAAGCACGTCCAAGCACTCGAGATCCCCACGTTCTACCTGCACTCAGTCGGCTACTACTCGCAGTTCTCGCTCTTCCTCCCACCAGCCTTCCCGATCGTCGATACCCACCCAGATCCCACTTCAACAGACGACCTCCGTCTCTTGAAACCATGGCCAGCACTTACAGAGTTCGCAAAGCAAAAGGCGGCGAATATGGATAAGATGAATGGCGAGCAGTTTGCGCACATCCCGTGGATTGCTTTGATACTACACTACCTCTCACAGTGGCAGGCGAGTCACGAGGGCAAGCTGCCTTTGGCGTACAAGGAGAAGACACAGTTTCGAGACCTCGTGCGGTCAGGCAGCTCGACCGAAGAGAACTTCGACGAGGCATGCGCTGCTGTACTGAAGACTTTAGTCCCGGCTAAGCCAGCCTCCAAGGTTACGGAGATATTGAGTGCTCCTGAGGCGAAGAACTTGACGGCTACTTCGCCGCCATTCTGGATCATCGCGAATGCTATTCATCAATTCTACGAGAAGCATGGCGAACTTCCTTTGCCTGGTGCGGTACCGGACATGAAAGCTCAGTCGGACACGTTCATCCAGCTTCAAAACATCTACAAGGCCAAAGCTCGCGAAGACTGTGCAGAGGTTGTTGCGAGTGTGCGATTGCTTGAGAAAGAACTCGGCCGATCAGGCAAGCTTGTGATTGATGAGAAGGAGATCGAGAACTTCTGCAAGGGCGCAGCTCACATCCATCTCGTCCGTGGCAGACCTCTCAAAGTCGTAACGCCAGACACTGTGACCACTTTCGGCGATCGAGCGAAGCATCTCGCGAACGAGCTGACCAACACAGAGAGCTTGTCTCTGCTTTACATTGCCTTTGTCGCCTGGGACGAGTATGTTGCAACGCACGCATCATCTGCAAAGGAAGCCGGTGGTGAAGGCCTAAAGGTCCCAGGTGCTGGAGACGACTACGAAGCCGATGCCGAGAAGTTGACAGGCATATCGCACAAGATCATCGATTCGGTCATCAAGGAGGCTGGCTCGTTCGTCGAAGACCCTGAATACACCCAGATCAAAGAGAAGGTGGGCAAGCTCTGCGTTGAGCTGACACGAGCTGGAGGCGCTGAGCTGCACAACATCGCTTCGTTGACCGGGGGATTGATTGCACAAGAGGTCATCAAAGTCATCACGAAGCAGTATGTGCCCATTGACAACACTTGTGTGTTTGATGGCATCACGAGCAAGTCGTACGTGCTGCGGATATAGAGACCAGGGGGGTGTTTTAAGGGAAAAAGGCACGTTGATGAAGTGACGAAACCGCATGGGAAGGCGTTTGGGTGGCTCGATGCATTTCCAGAGGCGCGAACGAAAAGTACAGAGCAAGACTGCTGTACATATAGCTTTACCTAAATCGAGAGCTACGCACATGGTGTATGTGCATTTTCGGGATGAACCGCGCACTGCAACGAATGAAGAGGAAGAACCTCCAAGCCTGCATGTCGCCCTCACCGCTGCTTCCATTGCACCTTAAGAGATCCTTGTAGATTGAAAAGACTATATAACTCTAGCAACTCCCCTCCACTTCTTCTCCTTCCAAGGCATCGAAAAGCACCATGCGAAAATTGAGTACGATTGTCGACGCTAAAATCCGCACTAGTCAAAATCCCATTCACTTCGCCGCATCTAGCGCCGACTTGATGGCATCACATGTCGACTTGGCGTCCCCAAACAACATCTTCGTATTCGGCTGATAGAACATCGTGTTGGGCAAATCTGCATACCCCGAGCCCATTCCGCGCTTCATGACGATGACTTGCTTGCTCTTGTAGGCTTCGATGATGGGCATGCCGGCGATGGGGCTAGAAAAGAACACAGACATGTTAGCGGGAGGGAGGCATAAACGGCGGGAATGGCAAGAGGGGAAGCTTACCTATCCTTCTCCAACGCGATAGGATTCACAGTATCGTTCGCGCCAATGACGAGCGTGAGGTCGACATCATCGAATCCCTCCTCATTAATCTCATCCATCTCAAGCACGATATCGTACGGCACACTCGCCTCCGCCAACAACACATTGCACTGCCCCGGCATACGTCCCGCGACGGGATGAATAGCGAATTTCACCTCCACGCCCATCGCCCTCAACGTAGACACAATCTCCGCAATGGGATACTGCGCCTTCGCGACCGCCATGCCATACCCCACCACAATCACGACCTTCTGCGCGCTGCGCAGGTTCTCGACGGTGTCCTCGACGGAGGTCTGGGTGATTTCGCCTGTGATTTCTTTTTGGGGGCCGGTTTGGGAAGGGGTGGCGATGCCGCCGAAGAGGACGTTGGTGAGGGACCGGTTCATCGCGACGCACATTATGTAGGAGAGGATGGAGCCGGAGACGCCGATAAGCGAGCCGACGGTTGTGAGGATGGGGGAGTTGAGCATCAGGCCTTCGGCGACGAGGGCGAAGCCGGAGTAGGCGTTTAGGACGGTTATGACGACGGGCATGTCTGCGGGGCGAGGTTAGTGGGTTGGGAGAGGTGGGGGAGGAGGGGTGTACGCACCGGCACCGCCGATGGCGGAGGTGGTGGTGAAGCCTTTCGCGAAGGAGAGGGCAGCGTTGACGCCTAGACATGTTGCGGCGATGGCTGGGGCTCCGGGGGCGTAGGCGAGGAAGGCGCCCATTGTGGCGACGTTGGCTGTCAGCATCCCGCCGTTGATGAGATGTCTTCCTGGGAGGATTGTTGGTCGCGAGGACATTCTGCCCGCCAGTTTGAGGAAGGCTACGATGGAGCCTGTGAAGGTCACGCCGCCGATTAGGACGCCGAGGTAGCCGGTTACGAGGTGCAGGGTGTCGACGTGGGAGATGGCTGCTAGGACGGAGCCGATACTGGTGAGGACTGCGGCGAGGCCGACGACGGAATGGAGGGCTGCGACGGTTTGGGGGAGGCCGGTGGGTGTGATTCTTCGACCGATGAGGGCGCCGATTAGACTGCCTAGGCCTGCGATGCTGAGGCATTGGATGAGCGTCTCAGTAGGGAAACCAACTGCTCCGAGGGATGCCAGAACACCGGATCCGACACCGAGAATACCCATGAGGTTACCTGTCCTGGCCGTCGTCTGCGATGCTAGGCCCGTCAATGACCCAATGCAAAGCACACTGCTGACAAGATACCCAGCTTGCACAAGCCCAGCCATGCCTGTCGTCGTGGCAGCAATGAACCCACCACCAAAGAGCACGCCCGGAATAGCGTACAACCAAGGATACTCAGGGGGATCCGTCGGCCGTCTGAACATATCCAGCATCCTCTTCGTAATCACAAACCCACCCGACACATTCACGAACGCCAGCAGGACAGACGCAGCACCGAGATATTGAGGGATCGTCTGAGGTAGGTATCCGCCTCCCATGATGAAGAACCCTCCTATGCCGACCATGCCGGAGATGGCGTTCGTGACGGACATCAAGGGGGAGTGCAGGGCTGGAGCCACGCCCCAGACGACTCGATATCCGATTAGACCGGCGAGGGAGAAGGTGAAGAAGTTGGTCATGAAGAGTGGGCCGGTCATTTTCCCCAGGGCTAAGGCTGTGCCCATGCCGCCGGTGACTAGAGCGACTTCTCGAGTAGCTTTTTGCCAAGGGGTTAACGCTACGACTTCGGTCTCTTTCGACTCGGTCGCTTTGGCCGCTGGGGCAGGAGGAGGCGCCACTGGGGGTAGTGTTGGAACGAGCTCGCCGTCGTGCGTGACGATCGATCTCCTGACCACCTCGTCGTTCAGATCGATCCCAAAGTGGCCGTCCTTCGGCGACATGGATAGGAGGAACTTCGTGATGTTGTTCGAGTACAACGTGGACGCCTGCGTCGGTAGGCGCGAAGGGAGGTCCGTATAGCTAAAGATTGTCAGTCCCTCATAACTTAAGCTGCAACAGCACGATCACTCACCCAATAACAGTGACACCACCATGCGAAACCAGTTCACCAGGAACCGTAACCTCACAATTTCCCCCATTCTCCGCCGCCAAATCCACAATCACACTCCCAGGCTTCATAGCAGCAACCATATCCTCCGTAATCAACGTCGGCGCCGGCTTCCCAGGAATCAAGGCCGTCGTAATAATGATATCGACCTCCCGTGCCTGCTCCATGAACAGCTTCATCTCCGCCTCGATGAACTCCTTAGACATGACCTTGGCATACCCTCCGCCTCCGGAGCCTTCTTCTTTCATCTCGACTTCGATGAACTCTGCGCCGAGACTCTGGACTTGCTCTCGCGCTGCGGAGCGTGTGTCGAAGCCGCGGACGATCGCTCCCATTCGACGGGCTGTGGCTATGGCACTGAGACCCGCGACGCCGGCGCCGATTACGAGGACTTTGCAGGGGGGCACCTTTCCGGCTGCTGTTGTTTGTCCAGTCAAGTATCGTCCGAAATGGTTACTCGCCTCCAGGACAGCCTTGTACCCAGCGATATTCGCCATCGAGCTCAACACATCGAAGCTCTGCGCGCGGGTGATCCGAGGAATCTGATCCATGGCAAAGGAAGTCACCTTCTTCTTCACCATCGCATCAAGCAACTTCTTATTCCGATCTAGATTCGGCTGTAAGATGGAAATTAACACGCCTCCCTCTCGGAACCCCTGAAGGAAATTATTCGGCGAAAGAGTTGTGCTTCGCAACCGAGGCGGCCGGACTTTGAGCACAATATCGCTGTCATACCAGACCCGCGAGGCGTTGACGAGAGTCGCGCCGGCTTCTTCATATTCGTGCGCTGGGAACTGGGCTTGGAAGCCTGCGCCGTGCTCGATGAGGACTTCTTTGAAGCCTTTCTTCAATAACAACTTCGCATTCTGGGGCGTGATGGCCACTCGTCTCTCGCCGGTGCGGACTTCGAGGGGCACGCCGATGGTGAGATTGCCATAAGGAATGGCTTGGACGGGTTTGGATTGCTCCTCGAGGACTTTCTGGCTGGGCTCTTGGGGCTGTGGCGGCGGCGGTGGCGGCGGTTGTTGTTGTGGGGATGCTGCTGCTGCCGCTGCGGCTCCTTGGGGACGACGAGGAGTGTTGAAGAGGAGACGGGTTTGGTTGAAGGCGCAGACGAGCCTGAGACAAGAGGGTTTCTGGTTGTAGAGGGAGACATTGTATGGCCTCAGTGGCCGCCAACCGGGCCACATCTTGGAGAGCTGGCTTTATCATCAATCGCCCGGTTTCGATGTTTGTCGTCCTGTCGGTTTCTGGTCCTAGCCGGAAAGCTGCCTGCAACCTGTATCTCCTTGCTAGATAGTCCAAGGCTGTGTCTGTCGCCTGCGGAAATGACCTGGTCAATGTCCTACAGTGAGAGAAGAAAGCAACACCTTCACGACTTGAAACGAATGCAAGATGTCCACAAGTCTCCCTTGAGGCAGTGGTAAGCGCTCGGGTACACAGCCTCCGTACCTCCTCCCTCCTTCCACGCTTGTAACAGCCGGCCTTCCCAGTCGCGGCCACGAGAAGGCGGGGGTGTCTGTCACGCGTCTGAAGACGAGGTACTTGGGTACACAATGTGGAGCCGCCGAGCCTCCTGCTCCCCAGACTGGCGGGTGTGGTTGCAGAACGCGGGGTGTGGGGTTTGGGGTCGATAGAGTACGACAAGGAAGGTAGTTAGTATGAGGTGCATGGATTGTCTTTCTCTTTTTGACTCAGCTATCTGGCCAAGAACTGAATACCTCGTAAATCACGTAGCGATTCGTCTCATTCGAAACGGCTTTTCCACCAACGCCAACGCTAAGGTAACAATATCAATCAACCAGGGAGCAAGCAGACCTACAGCTGCCCAAGACATGCCGTTCCTCTTCAGTCCCAACCACCCTCATCGTCAAAGTCATTCTTCTTCGACATGCTCGACTTCCTCGGCCTACCGCGCTTCTTCGGTCCACCATTCATCCCAGAATCAATCGACTTGCGCTTCTTGCCGCGAGGAGTCGCTGCGACGGAAGGACTCTTGGATGTACTGCTCACACTACGAGCATCATCTTCATCGTCGATTTCCATGTTGTCCTCGTCTCCTGAGCCGACTTTCACTTCAGAATCCACGGTGTACGTCTCTACGAAGGAAGTGCACATTGCCTTCTTTGCGGTTTCGGTGTCGAGGGATGCCATGATGTTTTTGATGTTCCGCTGGAATGACTCAGTCAACGCTGGTGCATTCGTGGCGCGGGTTGGCGCTTTGCTGCCGTCTTTGGCGAGGTTCTTGGGCTTGCCGGCGTACTTTTGCATCATCCAGAGTTTGCGCAGGTAGGTGCGCGTCTCCCAGATGAGCGAGAGTATCTGAGCCGAGACAGTCAACTGCTCTAGTCGCTGGGGGTCGATATTGTTGTTCTGAAGCATGGGTGCAGGCTCGGTGCTTGCAACGACGATGCCGTCAGAACCACTCTCTGCCGTGGCAGAGGATGTGACAGGAACTTGGATCTTCTGAACATCGCTCTCGATTGCCTGCGCGACTTCGGTGCCAGTCCCAGCGACAGTCTTCTCCAGTGAGGACAGCAGGTGCGAGACCTCCGAGACCGAAGTGTAGTCAAAGAATGCAATGTTCTCGACGCAGAACCGCACGTACATCAGGTGCGGCGACATTGAGCCTTTCAACTGTAGTTTGGCGGGGTCGAAGTTCATGGAAGCGCAGATGTTCGTCGCAAACTTCTGACGCACCCCGGCCTTGCCAGTCTTCGTCACGTCCCAGAAAAAGTGCAGCTTAGCGGCTGGAGGACTGCCGCTGCAGCCTGTCGCACTCTGGACGACTTGCACTTGGTACTGGAACGCTCGTTGGACAGCTTTGACGAGCTGCTTCTCGAAAATACTCTCGTATTTGCCGAATTGCTCCTTGTGTGCCTGGAAAGCCAGACCTGCGATGGCGCTGTTGGGGCATGTCTCAAGAGCGACCAGACCAGGTGCACTGTCTTGAGGATAAGAGAGGCCGCTGGTGTTGATGAGCACAACTATGCGAGCTGCAGTGAGAGCAACATCGCTCACGGATGACAATGCGATGCGGAGGAATTGCGGCATGAATCGCTGTGAGAGCGCTGCGGATGCCTTGTCGTGTCCCGTAGCCTTGTAAGTACCTCCCAGGCGCTGGGCACCGCCCTCAATGCCCGCGGCAATCTCCTCTTGCTGTTCTCCACCCGCGACTCCCGTAGCGAAAAAGGCCTCAAGGCTGGTCAGCATGGCAGATTCCAAAGACTGCACTCGAGCTTGGAACACAGCTTCAATGGCGTTGACAACGTCAGCGCGTTCGAAGTGCTCTGGGTACGACTGGCAAATCTCGCAGATCGCTCCGATGGCAGCCTCTCTGATGGTAACCGGCTGTGTTGGGCTGGTGAAGTAACAGATGATCTCGAGCAGGAGGCCCGCAACATTGTCGCCCCTGTAGCTGGAATATCGACGATCTGACTTGAACTCCGCCAGATGACGATCAAGGTCGCATGACTTGCCGAATTGACCAAGTATCAACAGCCGTTTGACTTGCTTTGCCGGTGGCTCAGTGCTCACTTGCGATTTACGCTCGTCATGAATAGGTGCCAGCGCTGACTTGATCATTAGGAGCGGTCGCTTCGTGTGCCCAAGCAGTGCGTCCATGGTCGCAACACACGGTGCGATCACCGCCACGACTGACTTCGGCAGCGTTTTACCCATTCCTGTTAGCAGCGAAGTCGTCAGTTTTTCGAGGTCCTTGTCATTGACACCAATGACGACTGGAAGCGTGTAGTTCAGAATGTTGACCACAGGAACGAACATCTCCAAATCGGCTGTCGTGTTGAGGTGCCTCGTGAACGGTTCCAAGTGTGAAAGCTGGGTTGGGGTGAACAGCTTCGGCCAGGCCTTCGCGAAGACGTACAGCGCCCCTGCTACCGTAGCCTGAGATGCACCGCCAGGGAGATTGCCCTCTCGCAAACGTTCAACAGTGACGGCGACAAACATCTTTGCAATCCGCACGTTGTCAGATGCCTGCTTCGAAGAGCTGAGCAGCTTTTTGAGCATCTTCTCCAGCACGTTGGCGACATCATCACCAAGCTCGACAGTCTGAATGATGAGAGCTGTGTGTGAATTCAGTCTCAGTTGAGCATCAACAGAGCGATCACTAGATGCTATGTCGCGGAAGGCGGAAAACCAGACTTCTTCGATGGTAGCTCGAGCGACTTCGGCTACGCTCTCCTCATTGTCTTGCATTCGGGATATGAGAGCATTTGATATCTGTGCGCGCACAAGGTTGTCGTCGCTGTGCAGGTAGACGTCTTTGAGGAAGGCCATAGCGCGCTTTCGAACGCCGACGGCGGTGTCGTTGGTGCGCGGCACGATTTGCTTGTACACTTTCTGTTCCACCGCTGGTCGAAGGTTGACGCACTTTTGAAGAAGGCCCAGCGCAGAATCTCTGACCAGGGCCGACGCATCGCCCAGGCAGCGGACAATATGATTCAACACATGCGTATCGCGATCGAGGACTGAGGGGTCTTTCTCCAGCAAGGTGTTGACGCTCTTGAGACTTCGACTGCGGACGGTGGGCTGCTCGCTGCTGAGAGACTTCAACACGACGCTGAAGATTCGACTGAATGCCTTGCAGAGTAGCGAATTAGCTGCCACGAGTCGTCCTGCTAGCTTTCCTTGATCAGTCGTTGGCCTAGGGAAGTCAGGCTCAGCATTCCCAAGCCAGTGCTCATCTTCGATCATGTACCGGATCCTGGTCTGAAGTGCTGTGGCTGAGTAGCCAACGCTGATGGCATCTGGTGAGTTTTCTCGGTCACTGCAGACAAAATCGGCCCATTGCATGAGATGATACCCTCGTGCAGACTGCAGTCGTGGATCATTCCCACTATCGCGTGCGTCTAGATACTCAATCACCACGCGGTAAGGGCCTTCGAAAGCTGTAAGGGTTGCGGTGCTCATGTCGCCATTCTTCATCGCTCTGACCACATTGGCGAGGCGGGCAGAGAGTGGGTCGTCGGTGTCAAGAGCGTTTGCGCCACTTAATGCAGAAGCGCGAATATCCAGTATACCGGATCCCACGGTGCCAAGTATCTCAAGCGCCAGCGTTCGTGAAGGAGCAGGACTCTTTGGATTCTCGGCCAGACCAACCAAACTGGTAACCAGCGCACGCAGGAGCAACTCAGCGGCAGGCCAGTCTGTCGATCCCATCACATTGAGGAAGTCGTCGACAAAGATGTCGAGCAAACGTCTGTACGGCTCGTCGCTTGATTTGGATGTGCCCAAAGCCCGCTCGAGGAGAACCCGGACAATGTACCTGGCATACTGTTCGGCGCTCTTCTTGAGGGGCTCGTAAAGTGAAGACAAGTCCTTGCTCGACTTTGGTGCTGCAGAGCGCTGCTTCCTCGACTTCTTCTTGGCCGACGAATACTCTTCTGAGTCGTCAGATTCATCCTCTGCAGATTCTTCATCCTCTTCGTCCTCGTCGTCTTCCTCTGTGGTCGTCTTGCCTCTGAGATCCGCGGTAGCACTTGTTTGGACCAAGCGCATGAGCAGGGCTGACACCAACTGGATTGGCTTCGCATCTGGTAAAGTGTACTGCCTCGCACTCTGCTTCGTAGCCGGCAATTTGTCGAGTGAAAGCAGCATCTCGTCAACGATGAAGGTCCTCTGGCTGGTGTACTTTTCGAAGATTCTTGCAAGGCCGTCCATAGCAGCTTTGCGCAAGTTTTCGAAAGATTGCGTTCCCAACGCCGCATCTCTATCGCTGGTCGCGTTCTCTGCAAAGATCAAAGTCTTGCACAAATACTCCAGGCTTGAGATTCCGCTTTCGTCGACGTCAGTCTTGTAGAACAATTCTCCTAGCAGTTGCGTGCACTTGGTCGTCAGCTTCATGAAGAGCTGCAGAGTCTTGCGATTCTCCACTGCAATGTCAAAAGCCGGGTTCCGTGGTGCTGCTTTCTCGCCGCGGACCTTGTCGCCCATAATGGAACGCATCTCGATGACAGGTATGACGCAGCCCTCAACTGCGGTCCGTACTGTATCCAGGACCAGTCGTAGATGGTCCTCTGATTGCAGCTCCTTGTAACGTGAGCCACCCGCCATGATCCGCATCATAACTCGAGCAGCGATAAGCCCGTGGTGAGCACTTGCAACTCTGCTGAGCCAATTGGAGATGTCTTGCTCTTCCCAGTCCTCACCGACATGGAGAAGACCGGACTCCGACGAAGCAAGAAAGGCCTCGCACAGTTTCTGCACCCTTGCAAGCTGCTCAACTTCGAAGCTGTCGATGCGATTGTGCGCATAGACCTTAGTGGCTGCTGCATCCAGTCTGAGCAAAGTATCGGCAGTGAAGAGTGGGGAAGAGCCATCTTCCACTTCCGTCGAGCTGAAGATATTGCCCTGCGCTGAAACGAAACCAGAAGTGTCGGGCTGCAACTGATCCTCGGCTTCGAAGATGTCCACAAGCAGAGACTGCATGCTATCAACGGCTTGATCCGCCTTTTGGTCTAGACTGACAGCCCGGCGGCCGCTGGTGAGGTATGCGGCCTGATTTCTTAGCGGTGTAGAGTCTCGTCCCTCTGGCACTGGTACTTTCTGGTACTCTGCCAGCTGTGCAGGTGTCAAGGTCGTTGTTACCGCATATGCCGTTGGTGTGGGTGTGGGACGTGGGGACACCATCTTGTACTCGGCTCGTTGAGCTGGGGTCAATGGTGCGGGCAGCACCAATGCCTTGGGTGTAGATTTTGACGGGGTTGGTGCGGTATGGTGGGCGTTGAGATTTCCATTCTGCAAGCCTGCCTGTGGAAGAGCATCCGGTCGTGGGGTGATGCTGTGGCCAGAGTGCCTTGGCTCTGACATGTCTGGGTGTTTGACAACAATCTTCTTCATTGTCTGCTGTCCTGGTGGCTGCTGCACTCGTCTGGGGCTGACTACGATGTTGTCGCCCACATCACTGGGTCGCTTGTGCTTGACGACAATGTTGTCATCCGACGTTGGCGACGCTTCCGGCGTCGCGTACGAAAAGGTAACGTTGTTTTCCTCGTACACCCGACCCGCGAAGCTGCTCAACTGTGGCTGAGTCTTGGATGGGGGGAGATCCGCTCTTGTCCGCTTGCTTGTCTTGAACTTGTATTCAGGCAAATTGCTAGGTTCCAACAGTCTCTTGACGTCGTTCGCTGCCTTGTCCTTTCTCTTGTCCTCGGCCTCTGAACTGCGTGATCCGGCCTCAAGGCGTTCGAGATCACGTCGAGCGGCTTTGATATCCTCCAAGTCTTCGAATGCAGTAGGCTCGATAGATGGCAGCGCCATCGGTGCTGTGATGAGGTCTGAGGTGAAGTTAGCCAAATAGAATGAGGTAGAAAGCCTAGACTAGCGCGCCCGGGCGAGGTGCAGCGTCATGCGGGGTTGAGTGAATGGAAGCTGACTGACCAGGATTGAAGGGGACGATGGAGCTGAAGGGAGAGTATGGGAGCGCTTCATTGACAGTCGGGACTCGCAGTTGGCGTTGGTTGGGTTGGCCATTTGGAGCAAGGCCGTTGGCCTGCTGCATATAATTATGCGCCATGGTGACCATGTACTGTGCACGATGTGCTGGGCAGTTCTCCTCCTCTTCTAGTCGTTGGCCATATCTATGAAGCGCAGCAAAGGCTCGTCACTCCCATCTGTAGCGTCGTTTGCAACGTCGTTTGATGGCCGCAAGCGGGAGGCCGAGTTATGCCAGAATGACCGGGATCCGCGCCGTCGCGTGTCTTTCGTGCGGAAGATCGGGCGTTCAATGGCGACTGGTATCGCGACTCTCCACGTAATATTCGACGTTTGGACAGGCGAAGTTGATGGAAAGGTGCAAGTAGGAGAATGCTCAGGACCATCAAGTGTCGTCGAGCACTCACGCGGCGCGGAACCCTCCCGCTTTCCCATTGCAGCAAGCGCGATCGTGTCGGTGCGCGCAATCCCTGTCGCACATCCCGCCAAGCTTTTGCGCGTTCCCAGCCGCTCCCTCTGCCAGAACTTTTTGTCGCAGAGGCGCGCTTCACTGCAACTTGCCGCCATCACATGCTGGAAGCAAATCACAAGCTCACTGTGCATCAGCGACAATGACGGCAATCGGCTCACTGATTTTTTGCTCGGATTGTGGCAACCTGCTGGAGCCAAATGTGGGCAAAAAGGCCTCGATCGAATGCGATGTCTGTGGCGCTCAGAATAAAGGTACATTGACTCGTCTGAGGGAGGATATTTTCACAGCATACTGACTTCGCAGACACGTCTTCCAAGGTCGTAGTGACCACATCGAAGCCTTCGGCATTCCCCTCGACTCTGCGCACGAGACTGCGATCAGATGTCCAGGAAATCACAGAAGCCGATATGCAGACCGACGCCACCATCAAGCAATCCTGCGAGAAGTGCGGCAATGAAGAAGTGCGGTTCTACACTCAGCAGCTTCGATCTGCAGACGAAGGAAGTACGGTCTTCTTCACGTGCCCGAAATGCAATCACAAATGGAACACCAACAACTGATCGCCTGGGGAAACTTGCTTGGATTTTATTACGACTGGATCCTGGGTATCTATGCTGCAGCCTCTTGTGCCTGTGCCACTGGAATTGTGGCATACTCCATCTCGCCGTTGCGCTCAAACTCGGCCATATCCAACGCCACAATGATGCTGTCTCTCACGACTTGCTCTGGATCATCGAGAAACTTCTTCAACACATCCTCCACGCCCTCTTCTTCGCCTAAGCTTCCCAGCGCCTCTGCAGCTTCATGTCGAACCATGCTTGCCTCTTTGACATCGCTCAGCGTCTCCACTAGACTGGGGATGGATGCTGGGTGTGAGAGCTGGCCGAAGACGAATGCGATCTCGTGTCGAAATAGAGCAGAAGGGTCCTTGAATCCTGCAGCGAGCGCTTGGATTGCAGGTACGGCAGTTGGGAGGTCGGGAGGAGAGGCGAGGTCTCTGAGTGCGAACATGGCTCGGTAGCGCTTGAATAGAGGGAGTTTCGTGTCGAGTAGCGTGGATTCGAGGGCGGGTATGGAACGTGTGTCATTCTGCTCAGCCATGGGAGGCGCGGGATCTATCGATGCAAAGTCGCTAGGTCATGTTAGTACTCCACACAATTCAAAGGCTGCAGACCCTATTCAAGACTCGGTCTTGGAATGTAAAACCTGACATACCTCTGCTTCAACTTCTCCACCCTTCCCTCCTCCGAATGCTCCCACTCAATCCTCTCAATCGCAATATCACACGTCTCCCTCACAACCTCCTCCTCTGTGTTATCATCCCTCCTCTCCCTCAACAAGCCCAAACTCTTCACATCCCCCAACGCTCCAATCGCCTCCGCTGCTTCATGTCGGCACATCGCATCCTCGCCGCGATCCTCAATCACCGCCCGCAAGTACGGAATTGCTTCATCTTTCCCTGACTGCCCCAAGCAGTACGCAAGCTCGTGCTTCAGTAAGGCGGATGGGGATGTGAGTGCTGCGGCGATAGCTTCAATCGCGGGGATCGTCTGAGGTGTCGCAGGCTTTTGCGCAGCGAGATGCTTGAGGGAGAATAAAGCGCGGAAGCGTTTGGCGAGGGGTACGGTTTCGGAACAGAGGTCAGCGCGGAGGGTCGCGACCGCTTGGTCTTCGGGGAGGAGGGCTGCTGGAGACATAGTCGTTGACGATGGCAAGGTACATACAGGATTTCGAGCACACAGGCATCTAAGAATTCTCGACCCCACCCCACCGATAAGACCCTTATCGTGATGGCTTGATTTAAACTTCCGGCACGGTCCCTGCGTTGGACCCACGTGTCTCCGTCTCGAAAGCATGTGAAAGACGACAACCCTCCACCTAACATTCAACTCACCACCAACACCATACTCCTCCAACAATGACCCTCACCGACCCAGCAACCGGCCAGCAACTGCCAGACTCCGCCATCCAACGCGTCCTCTTCGTAACCCCCACCGTCCACGTCTACGGGATCCCGCCCATAACCAGCACCAAAGGCTTCCTCGCATCCTCCTGGACCTCGCCCACCCAGCCCACCGCACAGCAAATCTTCACTGCCCGATTACGCATAATAGAGACGTCCATCGAGGGCAAGATCAAAGCGGATATCGTGCTGGAAGATCCTAAGAGTGGGGATCTGTTCGCCGCGGCGCCGTACACGAGTACGGCGGCGGTACAGCAGGCGAATGATAGTAGTCGGTTCTTTGCGTTGAGGGTGGTGGGGGAGGGGGCCATGAAGGCTACGTTGGGAATTGGATTCGAAGACCGGAGTCCGGCCTTTGATTTTGGGATTGCGTTGGGAGAGGTGACGAAGGTGTTGGGCTTGGAGGGGAATGCTGGTACTTCTGGGCCAGCGAGTACGAAGACGAAGGGGAATGTGGATGAAGATAGCAAGAAGGATTTCAGCTTGAAGGAGGGTCAGACGATCAATATTCAGGTTGGGTCTAGAGGACGACGAGCAGCTCCTGCTGTTGGGACTGCTAGCAATCAGGACGAGAACGCGGCATTGTTCTCAATCGCCCCTCCGCCAGGTGCTGCGAAGCCGCAGAATGATTTCCCTCCCATTGCGCCGCTTTCTGCTGTGGAGGGGAAGTCCGCGCAGGAGTTGGGATTTGATGATGGCGAGTTTGGGGAATTCCAGTGAGCTGGGGATTCTCATCTTGGTCGCAACAGTACGAATAAAAGGCCCATGACGGCCACGCCGGTCGCCGCGCCTTGCAGTGCTGTGTTGGTCACATCGACCTTTCTGAGCCGAACGATCCGTTCGCTGAATAGATCCTGAAGCGCTTCTTGATATGCCTCAAGGGTAGACTTCGAAGCGCCTTTCTCAGACGGTGCTTGTTCGACATTGCTCTTCGTAACAGGGATCGCCCCAGCGAAGTCAGCAGCTTCTGAAGGCAACATCTCTCCGGCGGCGAGCGGTGTCCCGCCAACGTCCTCTTTCGGCGGCAACAAGCTATCAAGCAAGGTCTTATCATCCTTCTCCGCCTCGACAGAAACCTCCCTCGGCGGAACCACTGCATCAATCTGCCTCTCTGCCTCCGCCCCACTCGGCACCACAGTCATCGTCTTCTCGTCGAGAGCAGCCTTAACATCCCTCACAATCTTCTTTCGCCTATACGGCTCAAAGATGGCAATCTGGGCCAACAACAGCAGAATATTCACCCCCATCAGCCCAAACGTCACCCAAGTGCTATTCCTCCTAATCGTATCACTCCACACTTGCTCCTCATGATATTGCTTCCTCTCCAACTTCTCCATGAGCGACCGAGCATCTTCTAGACTCCTCTCTGCAGCCGTGAGATTATCTTTGGCCTGCTGCACATCCATATCGTTCATATGCTCCGAGCGCACAAGAGACATGTACCTCTCCAGATCCGTCGGCGACCACGAACTCTTCCTCTCTAACAACGCTACGATCTCCCGCTGTGCGGAAGTCTGCTTCGCGTGTGCTTCATGGTGCTCTTCCTTCGCTTTGTCCACCGCTGCATGTAATTCGCGCACTTTCTGTTCTTGTTCCGTTATCTCCTTTCGAAGGGCTTCGATCCCGGAGTAGTCGGTGCCCGTGTAGACGTTTATATGTTGGCCTGCGATTGAGGCGCGGAGGAGCAGGGTGTCGAGGACTTTGGAGGCGCGGTTGGAAAGTTGGGAGCGCTGGTTCGCGGTGTGGGAGGGGAGGGTGTTGCTGGAGGAGGCGGGGGTTTGGGCTTCTTCTGAGGAAGGGTTGATGGCTTTTCGTGATTCAGGTCCACCGTCCTGTCTTCGGAGGGTCTGCGAGAAGTGCTTTCTCAATCCAGATTCATATTCCACTCGAGTCTTCTTGCTGTCCTGCTTCCCTCGACATTGTGCACAGGTCCATGGTTTCGTCAACGAGCTGTAGCTCGCCTGAGACTTTGTTGGGAGCGACCATCGTATCAGTTCAGCTCCAATGCGAGCCGTCGGCCGTCGGGCAACACTCATCGTCGAATATGCATTGAGGGAGCTTGCTGCATGATGTTGATATCCGCGGCGTGAGGTCTCGCTAGACCTTCCTCCAGCGAGTCTACCTTTGTGCATAATCTTATGCACAACCTGTGGTTATCTCATAATTTGAGATACACGTAAACTTTGCCTCCGACCTCACTTGCTCTTTTGAAGCCCCACTCTCACACAACTCCACACACATAAGTTGCTCTTAATACGATCCCCTCCACGAACGGAGGCAAGGCTCTGCTGATAGTGCTTAGCGGGAGCTGACACCGTCATGGGCTGGACCAGACACCCCACCGACAGCCCCAATTTCCGTAATGGAGGCGGGCCTTCAAAGTCCGGAAACCGTTCGCCAAAACACCTTTCGAGACAGGTCCGTCGCAGAACCCACAACACCCTGTCAGCGAACACGCAAGAACATGCATGGCCTTGAGGGGTAAACGTAACACCTGCATGAGAGTTCGGTGTTTCGGTCTTGCCCAACTGGGAAGTCAACGAGAGCCTCGTCTTGGAGCTATGCCCTCGCCGAGTTGCAAATGTAGCAGGAGAGGTTGTGACAACTTTGTGCGATCGTCAGTCTCTCTGGACTGTTCTTTCGCCTTTGTCTCTCATCGCAGTAGCTGCCAAAATGTCATACAAACACCTTAGCATTGAACGTAGAGGGGACGTCTTCATCATCACGCTGCAGAAGCCACCCCAGAACCGACTAAACGTCGAAGCTTGCCTTGAACTCATACGAGCATACCGCAGTAAGTCACCTTGATCTCCAAAGCTCACAACAACCAACACCAATCCTCAGGCATCGAATCCACCCTGGGCGAAGACACCTCTGGCGCCGTGATTCTCAAAGGCTCCGACGAGAGATATTTCTGTACTGGCTTGGACCTCCACGAACGCGATGTCAACCGTTTCGCCTCCAGTGATGGTTTCTATCCTCTGCTCGCCACGATCCTCGATTTCCCCTTCCCAACGATCGCCCTTATCACGGGCCACGTCTTCGGCGGCGCATGTCTCCTTACTTTGGCTCACGACTATCGCGTCATGAACAGCAACAGAGGCTACTGGTCCATGCCACCCGTCGACGCAGGTCTGCACCACCCTGGAATGGGATCTCTGCTCAACGCAAAGCTAAGGCCGGAGGTTAGGAGGAAGGTGCTCCTTGAGGCTTACAAGTATAAGGCAAAGGAGGCTTTGGCGGACGGAATCGTCGATGTTGCAGAACCGCCGGAGAGGATGTTGGAGGTGGCGCTGGAGTTGGCGGAGAAGTGGAAGGCGAAGGCGAAGATGGGCGTGTATGGGATTCTGAGGAATGAGTTGGTTGGGGAGGCGTTGAGGGCTTATCAGAGTATCAGCTATATTCATCATAAGGAGACGGCGAGGGAGGCGAAGGTTAAGTTGTGATGATACAATTGAATTACCTAGTTGGATTTACGAAAGTGTCATAAATGAGACTGCTTTGACATGTTCTTTGTTCTGCCCCGATCGTTCGAGGTGCCCTTGGGTATTGTGGTCGAATTCGTCTGACAAACTCGAACTTGTGCGATCTTCCAGAGCCCCAGTGATTTGTGAAAGACGCTGATGGATATGCTCATGCTATATGTGAGACTGAGGTCAAATTTGAAGTACCAAGCTTAGAGCTTGCTCGCCTTCTTCGGCGACGACCACCGCTGAACATCAGGATGCCCCTCAACAGGAAACATCTCCTTCACCAGGACTTTCTTCATGACTTTCCCCGTCGTATTCTTCCGCAACTCAGGGACGATCCGAAGCAGAGTCGCTGCACATATGTCAGCAACAACCTCTCGGATAAGCTCAAGTACACTCACGCATCTTATACCCAGCGAGATTTCTCCTCAGATCACCTCGCAATTCATCAATCGTCAAATGCTCCTTCAGATCTTGTCGAAGGACTATCGCCGCAGCGACCCGCTGTCCATACTCCTCGTCTTCGACGCCGACGACCATAACTTCAGAGACGTACTCCAACCCCAGAATCTCCCTCTCGATATCCAACGCTGACAACTTATACCCACCGGACTTGATTATATCAATCGACGCGCGTCCAAGGATCCAGTAGAACTTTCCTTCTTTTCGCGCAATGTCTCCTGTCTTGAAGTATCCCTCCTCGTCCATGGACGCTATGGTCGCTTGGTCGTCGAATAGGTATTTGTTGAAGATGATTGGACTCCGGACGAGGACTTCGCCTTCGTTGCCATTTGTGAGCTTCAGGTCGATGCCGGGAGACTTGATTCCTACGGAGCCGTCGGGGATGTGTCCTTGAGCGAGCCAGGGTGTGACGCCAAAGACGTTGGCGAACTCTGTGCCGCCGTAGCGTGTGAGGATGGGGATACCGTTTCGAAGTGCAGTCCATTTTTGTTGCAGTGGTCGGGGCAGGGCGCTTGTCCCGCAAAGCATGGCGCGGATTCGGCGGGCTCCTTGGACGTATTCTTCAGCTGTCGATGTTTGGCGCAGGTTTTGTTCGTAGTATTGCATGAGTCTCATGTAGATGGTGGGCACTCCGCTGAAGACATCGAGGTCACCTTTCTTGACTCGTTCCCAGGTCCAAGCTGTATCGAAGCCGCCGCTCTTGAACTCGATAGTCCCTCCTGCCCATAGGAAAGGTAAGAGTGTGACTGTGATGCCTGTTGCGTGGTGTACAGGCAGCGTGTGGAGAACGAGATCACCCTCGCAAATGCCATGTTGATCTGCGAACTGTGTTGCAACGTCGTAGAGGAAGCCTCGCCTTTTGACTCCGCCTTTTGGCGGACCGGTTGTGCCTGACGTGAATATCACATAGGCAGACTTGTTGAGGTCCATGTACCTATCAGAGGACACCTGAAAGTCTTCCGACGGTAGCGGCGTGTTCATCAAGAAAGGTCGAATTCTAATCGATCGAAACGTCTGGCTTGAGTCTCCATCGACCATTGCAGCCTCGAGACCCTCACCCAGCTTCAGACATTTGTCTGCTGTCAACACCGCTATGGCTTTTGATTTGGTCGCAAAGTAGAGTGCTTCTTTGACTGGTAAGTCCGGTGAGATTGGCACAACCACTACGCCCAGCGCTATCAGCGCCAGGAAACCCACGACGAACTCATATCCACCAGGGCCGAGCAATAAGACGAAAACCTCCTCTTCCTCGATTTTCGCGAGAAGACCAGCTCCAAATTGTTGTTGCAATGCGTTTCGAAGGCACAGAACGTCGGTCAGAAGTTGAGTGAATGTCGCAGTGAAGCCGAAGGTTATATCGCGGACGGCGACCAGCGGTTTCTGAGCGAGCCTGACGAGGCGACTGAAGAGGAAGAAGTTTGGGAAGACATTGGGTCCTGCATGTGCCGACACTACGTCGCACCTGTCGAATGTCGGTTGTTTCGACATGGTGGCAGTTTCACTGCTGTTGTGATATCAGTTATGTTCGTTGCTAGGCAATGTGTTGGGAGATAGACATACCTAAGCTGGCGGTGCAAGTCAATGGAAGAGCTCACCAGAGAAGCTCGCGGTGCTGGCCACGTTCTCCAGTGTCGGGCAGACAGCTGACGTCAATACTGCCCTCTATTCATCTCGAGAGAACCACTCAATTATCAATCCTGATGTACCATGGCAAGCTATCCAAGCTGGGTGGCATGCTGCAGGAAGAGAGGAAAAGTGCCCGAAGAGGAAACCCCGAAAATCTCCGAAGGGCTGGGTAGTGGGCGAATGTAACTTCACGCCCCAGATTGGTACGTGATCCTGTACATGAATGTGGAACAGGGCGTAGATGTTGTGAAAAGAGGCAGCAGACCGCTACTGAGCAGTGTCGGACCTGGGTGTTCACTTGGACCCGTTCCAAACCCCTCTTTTGTAGTACACGCAAGTCGTGGAAGGAGTAAACCTTGGCTGTAGGTCCTCATAAGAGAGTATAGCCGTCTCACTCTGTCGGCATCTACTATCTTTCTTGTCATGAATAGTATCCAGGAGACCAGAGCTGCGCTCGAAGCTGAAGGCGTCCACATCGGCGGGTGGTCGTTGAAGCAGGCATTTGTCAGGAGCAAGGCATCGCCTGTTGATGGTAAGACTTGATTTGGCGAATGTAGAAGGGTGTTGACAAGGATAAAGATGGTGTGCACCAACCTGAGCAGAACGAGGCCTTCATTGACTGGAGTGTTGCTGAAGAGCGAGCCCTGGTGCGGAAACTGGATTTCCGAGTGCTGTTCCCATGCTGCATTCTTTACTTTCTGGCATATTTGGACAGAGCAAATATGGGCTTCGTGAACGTGCTGCAGAAAGGAACCCCTGATAACTTCAGTGAAAGCCTGCACCTGCACGGGACGGACTTCAACTGGGCAGTGTCGATCACATACTTCGTGAGACCGCTCAATCGATCCTTTGTGGCCGTCCTCAACATATTGACGATCTCGATAGATGACAACCGTCTTGCTTCTACCGTCGAATCTGCTTATGAAAACCATCAGTGGCAAGAACTATTTTCCGATCAGTATGTGCAGCTTTGACCAAACATGACCTAGCCAGCTGATCGACTTCTAGTCATGGTCGGATTTGGGACTGTACGTTCGTCACGAGAACATCACTGTCCATGGTTTAGCTGATTCGAAAGTAGGTGGTTTGCTGCCTCGGCGCGGTGCAAAATCGAGCAGGCCTCTTCGCAGCACGGTTCTTCCTCGGCGTTCCGGAGGCTGGCGTGGTCCCTGCTTGCCTAATGTATTTCTCTTTCTGGTATAAGCCAGAAGAGAGAGCCCTGAGATTTGGCATCTTCTATGCGGCGAATTCTTTGGCCACGGGTCTCGGCGGGTTCATCGCAAACGGTGTGGACGATCTCGACGGAAAGGGTGGCCTGCCTAGCTGGCGATGGCTGTTCATCGTGAGCAAAATTACCCTCAACGAGTGTGAAAATGCTAAGATCTCCTAGATTGAAGGGTTAATGTCCATTGCCATGGCACCGGTTGTATACTTCCTCCTGCTCACGTTCCCAGAGACCACCACAGCCTTCAACGAGCGAGAGAGACACATCGCTATCAATCGATTTGGACGAGGTTCGACAAGGCAGACTGATGCCACCTGGGATACAAGGGCCGTTTTGCAGGTGCTGTCGCGCCCGTCGACATATGTCTTCTTTGTATCGTACATTTGCCTTTTGATTGTGGCAGTCTCATTGGGGACGTTTCTGCCGATCATCCTCACCAACTTTGCGGGTTTCTCCAGCACACAGTCCAACGAGTACACTTCCGCGGTGTATCTAGTTGCCATTCCGATCTGTCAGTCCAGATTGCTCTCTTGAGATACGTGCCCACTAACTTTGAGCAGACGCCTTTTGGTCCTGGCATTCTGACCACGCCAGGGAGCGAATGTGGCATTACTTGCTACCCGTGCTCGGAGCCAGTGAGCAGAAGAGCCTTCTCATGGCGAGAGGAACGTCAACTGACATTATCGCCCAGTTCCTTGCTTTGCCGTGTGGACGTATGTTGCAGCACATCGAAGTCTCGAAGGCCTCAAACCAATCACACTCTACGGCCTGGCGTTTCTCGGAAATCTTGTCTCCAGTGAGCTGAAAGTTTGGCCTTGCATAAAGCAATGGACACTAACGAATGTCTTTCGCTAGTCGCGCAACCGGCAGCATTGAGCTACCGGTCATCGACATTGTATGGGGCGGCAGAACAGGCCGTTGGAGGCGCAACAGCGGTCGCTGCGTTGTCCATCTCAAGCATCATCGGACCGCAAATATATCGGACGAGCGAAAGTCCGTGGTATCTCAGTGGCTTCTCGACGTCGTGCGGCACTCTCGCGTTTACTGTGATCGGATTCGCAAGCTTGCCGCTGTGGTTCTTCCTGGAAGCTAGGCAGCGGAAGAAGAACACTGGACACGCTTTGCCTCTGAGAGCGCTGGACGACGCACTTCAGGCACAGGTTGGTCTCGCATTGATACAGAGCGAATGGTTCACGCTGATGATATTTAGGTATCTGACGCGGTTAGAACGCAGGCGAACCTCCAGACGGCCATGGAAGAAAAGGTGGACCTCGAACGCGAGGCTGCAAACCAGGCTGAACATGTTGAGACCATGGAGATGAATGAGGTATCAGGGAGTAGAAGGGCCAGCCATCGAGGTGCTGTTGACGTGTGAAGTAAAGGAGTGAAGTTGACGCAAAAGTACAATGTTTATGTCCTCAATTTCGCCTAGGTGCTCCGTAGCTAGTGAATCCTTCGAAATACAAATGCCGACCAGCCGACCTCTTCTTTCCTTCAACACTCCCACATCCACGCTTACGATGTCAATCTACAGCGTTTGGCATGTCGACGTTTCGAGAGTACGATCCCGTGCAGAGCCTTCATGCAGCTCCGCCCAAAGCTTGCGAGGAGTGCCATGCTCGAAAAGTGAGGTGCATCTCGAGCGGTCGCGGCCAGTCGTGTGAACAATGCCTCAAGCACGGGATTGCTTGTAGACCGCGTAGCAGGAAACGAAAACGAGCTCAGCAGAATGGGGAACAGCAGCATAGCCCTCGAAGAGAGGCCAGTCAAGCGGTAACCCATCCAACGTCCTGGCAGCCAGAGCAAGCAAGCGAGTCGACTCCTCCCCTTCTGTTCTCTGGAAACGGTACTCGGGCCTCAGCAGATGCCTCTCCTTTGGCATCGAGCACGATCGATCGCTTTCACAACTCGTCGTTTCTGTGTCGCACCGCCATTCTGGGTCAAGATTTCCACGACATCGATCATGCCAATGGCGGCACCACTGCTCGTAACCCAGAGCATACGCTGTCTTCGACAGATCTCGAAACTCTGAAGCTCCATAATGCGTTTGAGCTGCCGGATTATCCGGAGCGCCAAAGTTTGATCGATGTGTTCTTCGACAAATGCTGGGCCTTCATGCCTGTGGTCGATCGACTCGGGCTCGATCCCACGGAGACTGACAGCCCCATTTCTTATCTACTGCTGCAGGCAGTCTTGCTGGCCGGTCGTAATATGCGCCCTCACCGATATCCAGCCTCGATGACGGAAGTTCTCTACAGACGGCTAAAGGCCTTGGTCTACTCTGGCCATGAACGCAGCCCTCTAGATCTAGTAGCGGCTCTCTGTCTAATCCAGTGGAGCACAGCAGTTGCACCAAAGGACATTACGCAAGACTCTCCACGATACTGGACGACGATGGCCGTTGGTATTGCGCAGCAGATGGGCCTCCACCGCAAGTCCACATCGCCAAGAGCAGATGATTCTTTGCGCAGACGCATTTGGTGGACCCTCTGTGCCCGCGACAATTTGTCGGCGTCAGCACATGGAAGGCCACGGCTCATCAACCCCCTTGATTGCGACCAACCTCCCCTAACGACCGCAGACTTTCCTGAGTCTGCGGATGAAAAGAGTGCGAAAATATTCATGTCTTACGTCTCGATTCTTCAGATATTGGGAGACTTATGCCAATGCATTGTGAGAAAAGGAGAGGCAGCAGCGTATGAGAAAGAGGAAATCGCTGCGCGCTTGATGGCGTTTCTGGACCTAATGCCAAGCGACTTGAAGCTCGTGGACGCAAGAGGTTCACCGACACCATACAACTTGCACGTTGCTCAGCTTCATATCCCGATTCTGGCGACGATCTTGATCCTTTACCGCCCGAAATCTGTATTCACTCTTACGTCCGCAAATGCTGCGAGCGTTGCAGCGGCCAATCTGAGTTTCCGGATTTTCGAAGCCATTGAGCTAAGAGAACACACCCATTGCTTGAGTTCAGTTTTCTCATGGCATCTACTTATGACATGCGTACCTCTTGTCTCGTCTCTGGGGATACACCAGCTCAGAGACGCTGCCCAATCAGCTTTGGACTGCCTCGAGAAGTCTTTTGATACGCTTGGCAAGACCAGGCCCTCAGCTGCCAACAATCTTCGCAGTGTAAGATCAATTCGCAAGGCCATGACAACCAGCTTGGAATCTGGAAGAGGACGTCCATCCGAGGTCGACTCACAAGATCAAGGAACGCACTTGTCCATGGCGTCTGGAATACTGAATGCATACGGCAGTGAAGCGGTGCGGCATTACGAGAAGCTGGTTGGACAGTTAGGAACACCTTCTGCGAACGACACTGGCAATGGCATGGGAGTAGAAGACGACTTCATCTTACCTTCTCAGCACCAGCAAGACTTTCTGGATCTGCTGGGCATCGGCGACGCCGAAGATCAATTTAACTTTGACGATCTCTTCGGACCTGGACATTCGTGGATGATGCGTGACTGGGTGACTGAATTCTGAATACATGTTTAAAGTTTCGACAAAATGTGGCCATCATCTCTGCTCCCCATCACCAGTTCATCTTCCCAGTACCGAGGATTGAATGTGATACGATTTAGGGGGTTCTCAACGTGAGCACGATGGAACAAACTCTCATAAACTCTTCCATCAGACCGTCCAAGGTCACTGTTGAGAAGGTAGTCAGGCAATGTGAACGAGTCGACTATTCGCACGGCATGCGGTCTGATGCGCTGCATGAGAGTGAGAATTTCCTTGGGAAGCTGGTCCAGTGCCTTGGTAGCAATGGCACCGGACCTTTGGAATTGCCACGCATCCTTCTCGATGGCGGAAAGACTGAACAGCCGGAAAAGATCCCAGAGAACCGTCTTGGTCGATGACGGAAGCGAGTCCAGGCTACGGAGCCCCTCATAAAAGTACACGACGAGCATGGCCTGAGTGTGAGCACGGCTGAGATTGCGGAACTCGACGAGCAGGCTGTTCCACGGGAGCTTCTTTACTTCGCGACTCTCATAGGCCTCAAATGCCAAAAATGCTGTTCGCCACTCGAAGGCTTCGAGGATCGATAGGTCGTCAGAGAGGTCGCTGAATTGAGGCGGAGACCTGGATCTTTCGCGGAAACGGATCAGGCTGGCGTCCAATCTACTGGAATTCGCATTGCTCCTGGATGTGGACAGCTCTTTGACCTTCTTCAAAAGATACCGAGCAACCTGCTGTGTAATCATCCAGTTATCGCCTTCCACCGTCGGCTTGCTAAGGTAGTCGGCGTTCAGCTGAATCAGGCCGGTACCTCCACCGTAGCCGTGGCCTCCCATGGCTCTTCGACAGGTTTCGATGCCGTCGGCGGCCATCTCGGTCGTCAAGCTCTTCAATCCGGCCGAAGTGAAGTGCAACTCTTGTAGCTCGTTCAAATCGCTCTCTTTCTGCGCATTGGCACCCCTGGTTCGCTCGTATAGCTTTTGCATTGCAGCTCCGCTATAATGCAGGGCGAATGTCGCCGCTAGGAGCGGTAGGACACGGATCTGGACAGTGGAGTAGTTGAGAACCTGTTCTTCGAGGGCGGATTGATCGTCTGCATCTTGGTCTCTAAATTGGCGGCGAATACTAAGGTAGCGCACGGCGACAGTGACGGCTCGAGCAAGCACGAGGCGAGCGTTCATCACGATTTGGGAGCGTCCCTACAAGAAAGGTCAGCTCATATTCCACGCACACTTGCATTGTCGTCGACTCACTCTTGTCAACTGGCCATACATCGCGCCAGTATTCTTGGGCTTAACGTATTCGCCTGTCTCTCTATTGACTGTGGCGTAGCGGCTCAACAAAGCCTCGTGCGGGACTCTGTGCTGGTTCAAAAGCATGTATGCGTTATCCATCGCAGGGTATCCATATTTCGGCCCAATGTCGCCCACGATGATACTCTCCAAAGGCTTATGAGTCTTCTCGTCGCGAACCCGAATAATGAATGGATGTGGGCCGTACGATTCGAAGCCTCCGCTGCCGCCCTTCTTCGGGATTCTCAATTGCGCAACGAAGACCGCATGAGTCGCCGTTCTGCCCAAGGTCCCATTCCACCACTTGCTCGCCGTCAAGGTCGGACTATGCAAAACAAAGTCCTTGGTCTTCTGATCCCACGTCGCAGTCGCTTCTAAACCCCTCACGTTCGACCCATGGCCCAGCTCGGTCTGCGCATACGCACCGATGATCTCCCACGCCTGCAACTTGGGATACCAAAAGTTCCTCTGCTCTTCGTTACACTGCTCCAGGATTGCAGACTTGAAGAGCGAGATATTCAAATGATGTGGCAGGACATCGTCGACAAGCCACTCCGCCATGAGAAAGTCGTCGTCGTCCCATTTGTACTCGTTCATCAGCTGGCGGAGCTTTTTGCCCCTGGCGAGACCAAGCTTGTAGCGGTCTGGGCGGGAGAGGTTTGCTTGGTTCGTTTTGGAGAAGATCTTCTCCCCAGTGACAATCTTGAGGATACGGGCTTGTCGCTCGAGGTACTTGTCGCCGAAGAGGTGCTTGGAGATGGCATTGGTATCGAAGTCGGACTGCCCACGCTCTTGGGCGAGTGTGGCGGCGCCATCTGCTTGCGGGTGAGGCTTCAGGTTGGCGCTGAAGTCAGGTTGAGACATCTTGCTTTTCGTGCAAGTCGTATCTAGTGTGGACATTCAACAAAGCTTCGAAGGCGAGTCCTAAGTGCTTTAGAGAAGAGTGAAGAGTGAAGATTGGAGATTGTCTGATCGGAACCTTCGGATATTTCGGTCGTTACTAAAATGTTGCCTTGCGCATAGTGAGCTAATCAACAGAACACAACTAGCTAATACGTTGCAATGACCCGCATTGCACGCAGAAGTACGACGTAGAGGGGTAGCACGACTTGGAGGGCGACCGCCGAGAAAGAGGGGAGTTCGCGAATTTTTCAAATTGGAAGCACCGAAAATGCTAGCCCAGTTTCACATGCTCTTGGCGATCAAGCGGAAGGGGCCGCTGGCTGTTGATATTGACGATATCACGAGCAGCAGATAACGGCTTACCTCCTATTAGCGAACTGTCGGCGGAGCTATCCGCGTTTATGCAAGTTCAACGCACAGGCCAACCACGACGCCGATTGGGGAAGATCGACTTCAATGTTTTTTGAGCCGCATCTCAAAAATCCTCACCTCGACTATTACCTTTTCCCCGACACCCAACACTCTCTTCAAAGCTCTGCAAGACATCGCCACAATGGGATCCTCGCAGACTGAACTTCCGGCGTTGAAGTTCCCCTTCAAGGACCCGAAGTTCATCTTGTACGTCATAGTCACTGGAAGGATATGGCATTGCTAGCGGGCTAGACGTTTGATGGGTCTGGTGTGAGCGCTGGTGATGACAGCCTTGCATTGATACTCACTATGCGCAAGTCAGGACTGACTCACCCTCAGCTTCACCGACTTCGACGGCACTATCACGCTGCAAGACAGCAATGACTTCATGGTACGCGCGCCCAGGTGGGTGGGCGTGAGCCTGATTGACCGACATCACAGACAGACAACATAGGCTTCGGCGGGGACAAGCGCCGCCAAGGAAACCGAGATGTTCTCGAAGGTAAGGACACCTTCCGCGACTCATTCAAGAAGATGATGGACTCTGTCACCAAGCCCTTCCCGGAGTGCATCGACTACCTGGTCCAGAACATCAAACTCGACCCGGGCTTTCAGGAGTACTTCCAGTGGGCTCTGAAGAATGAGATTCCTACCGTTGTGGTGTCTTCTGGCATGGAGCCTATCATTCGCGCCATTCTTAAGAACCTCATTGGGCCTGACCATGATAAGCTTGACATTGTCAGCAACGAGGTCGAGGCTCGCCCTGGAAAGTCGATTGACCAGGAGGGTGGCTGGCAGATCAAGTACCACGATGACAGTGGCTTTGGGCACGACAAGTCACTTACCCTCAGACCTTATGCCAACTTGCCAAAGGAGAAGCGGCCGACGCTATTCTACGCTGGTGATGGTGTGTCGGATCTGAGCGCTGCAAAGGAGACAGATCTGCTCTTTGCGAAGAAGGGCCATGGTAAGTTGAGCAACTTTGATTTTGCGCGTTGCTTCACGCTGATTATTTGCCGCAGATCTCATCAGATACTGCGCGCGTGAGAACGTCCCATTCACGGTCTTCGAAGACTGGTCGAATATTCTCAAGGTTGTGAAGAAGATTCACGCTGGTGAGATCTCGGTCCATGATGCCGCTAAGCAGGGTTACGAGGACTACAAGAACGGTGCTGCAGGTCTCTCCGCAAACGGACAAGCAAAGTGATGTCTTTTTGCAAGCTCAACAGAGCGTCGCTAGATGAACACTGAGTACACTCTAGACTGAGAGAGATAGACATAGACGAGGTTAGGCTGTGAAGAGAGATTAGATATCGCTCTCAACGAAGCGACTTTTGGCGGCAAAATCTCTGAACTAACTTCGCCTGTAACAGCCTCATCTAGCCATCGACGTTTGACGACCATTGGACAGAATTACGACTCTGCAGCTCCTTGGAATTCAGGATGCGGTATGTATACTTCTAAATCTTATGCTAAGCCTCGAGAATCTAGATCTGTACAGCAAGCGTGCCAAGCCCAGCCACATCGTTCCTCTATACCAATGGAATTGGCCGTTGCATTGCAGCTACGGACAATCCTCGGAGCACACCGCTCGGTGTTGTTATCTCCCTGGACTTTCGGCCATCATGAAAATAGTATTAGCAGGCGCACTTTGCATTTGCTCATTACATTCGTCGGGACTGAAGCAGCTTCACAGCCAAATGCAAAGACATCAACATCCAACCTGTGGAGGCAGAGCTACGAGATCTGCTGAGTGGCCTGTATAAGGTGGTGCCACGCATGCAGCTTAGCCCAAAAGCTTGTATGCTACCACAGGCTGACCAGAACTACAATCTACCGCCACTCATCATGGCTGTCGGACCCGTGAAGTCCATGATCCGGGGCAACAAGCGAAGTGACTGCTATGAGGCTGACTGAAACTCGCTCGACAGCTGCTCCGTGAACCTGGCCCACCACGATATATGTGCACTCGATCGCCTCAAGCCCATGATGGAGAGCCCCAGCAAACTGTTCCACGATGCTACTCCTGAACATTCTAGGTCTTGTGGGTGCTGCATTGGCAGCCACCACTACGACATGCCAGACTGTCTCCACATCCACGTCTACGTCCAGGGTCAAAACTTATTGGAACACGGAGACAACGACCGAAACGAAATCGATCAAAAGCGTGTATCAAGATACAATAACGACAACGCAGCCAGACAAGACGGTCACAAGTCAAAACACCATCTACACCCTTGTTGGAACAACAACAGTTGGAGGTGGACTGGTGTCGGCTGGGAGCACAACCACAAGTACGAGCCAGATTTGGACTACTGTGACCGCAACGACGTCCACTGTGTCGACCTTCACCTCTACGATATCTTATCCGACCTCGACAATATCCCCAAGCCCCGGCTTCACACCACTTGCGGATTATCTTAATAGCCAGGGGCATGTCGCTACGAGAATCAAATCGGCTGCAAGGAAGAGAAACGTAGCTTTTGAAGACGCCGGTGTGATTGAGAATAGACAAGCCTCGCAGTATCCGGTGTTTGTCCTCTGTGATAAGTATATCGGGACGACTACTTCCACGACCGTGACGAGCACGAAAACGCCGCCAAAGACGTCAACATTGTCGAGATCGACGACGACGGTCACGGTGTGATAGATACAATTTGAATGTGACTATGCTTCATGCTGATGATAGGTCAAAAGGCTGCAGATGCTACGAAGAAAGTCAAGTCGACTGTCAGTGCTGGCGCAACGACAACTTATACCGCTACGGTATGTCTCCTCGCCATGTCCTTATTACAAGGATAGGAAAGTGACTGATACCCTTCTCTCTAATCTACACCTCAACAACAACGCGAACCCACGAAATCCCTCAGTCCACCTACTACGCCGCCTGCGCCGCCAACAACAGCGTCGATACCGTCGACGGCGGAGCCATTGAGAGCTTCTCCCCATACACGCCAGGACTCGGCTTCTCCTTGTATCAGGGTGTGCCAGCTCCCCAAACCGCATACGAGTGTTGCGTTGCTTGCCTCATGATGGACCCGCCGTGTGCACTTAGTTGGTGGACGACTAATCCGACTCCGGGATGCTTGCTTCTTGCTGATAACGGGACTTGCACGGGGAGCGGTTTCCAGGCGTGGTTCAAGACTACGCCAGGGGATGAGTCGGATACGACGTTTTCTAACAGCAATTGTGCTTCGTGGGATTATTTGGGGACGACTTGAGACTGATAAGTGGTGTGCATGAGAAGGCACATACTTTAGCTGTGAATATTCATAGCCATGTTTTTGGTGCATATTTACTATGGTGCCTTGTTAAGCAGGTCTCCAGTACTTTTGAAGGAGAAGCAACAAGTTGCATGTGAAAGACGGCACGTGCTCTGAGTTAGGGCTCGGCTGGCTCATCCGAGGCAACATCATCCCGGTCCAATGACGACGCCGAGTCGTCGACGTCAGCCCGCTTATGACCCTGTTCGATTCTCTCGATTCTGGACGGACGGCTTGAAACATTGGCATTGCGCTTGGATCTCCGGTCGAAACGAGACAAAATGACGTGAAGGGCTTTTATACACCTCCAAGTCCTCGTATGTATGAGGGGAGGCAGGTAGACAACGACTTCTTCCCACTTTTCTCTAACATCACCCCTATCCGTCTACCAGCCATTTCGTGTCCCATTCTTCTATTATACGATGTCGGCCGCCGTAAAGACCGTGGCTCCCAGCCACACAGGCAGCAAACACTCATCCAGATCCTCGTCGAAGTCCTCATCCATCAACAGCGGCGCAAACCGTACCGCGAACGATGTGATTGAACGTATCCACGCAGCCGAAACACGTTCTATCCGCCCGCGTTCGCACGCAGGATCCCTCGTCCTAGCACATCCACACGATCCCCGCTCCGTAGACGACATCAACGCAGAAATCGCCGCACTAGAAGCAGAATCTCGCGCAAGACATCTGGAGCGCAAGGCAGAGAGTGAGCGGGAGCTTGCGATGAGCATTCGCGCGCCGGAGTACGATATTGTCGAAGAAAGACAGGTCATACGGCGGCCGAGGGAGGAGGAGATTGTGCTTTTCGAGAGAGATCGTGTTGAGAGGAGGAAGAGTCCGCCGAGGAATGTTGTCCGCGTGGAGAAGGATCGGAAGGGAAGGATGGCGCTTGTGAGATCTTCTCACTAGATGTTCGCGTCCTGATACTTACGGCCCCGCTGTGACGATGATGGAGGCGTCCACGATACCCTTCGAGCTGGAGGCGCATATTACAAGGAGTTCTCGAGTACATCCGACTTTACCGTAGCTCATGATGCTAGAAGATCCAAGGACGACCACTATCGACAAAGAACCGTCTTTCGGGTTTCTTCCAACGAGAAATCCAAGCAATTCCGACATCTTGGAGCGTGCGAAACAGAAAAGTGAAGAGTTGCGCTTGGCGGAAAGAAATATCGATGATTCTCTATGAGATCCACATCTCGTGCTCAATAACGACCACTCTCTGACGAGATGGTTTATATTTTATATTTGCTCCGGCGACTGAACGTTCGCCACATTTCCGACAGTACACTTTACAGAAACAAGAAGCACAAGAAGACCGAAGGCGCAGCTCACGCGGACGAAGACACGAATGACGAATTTGATGAGATGACGAGTTTGGACGGCCAAGTTACTTGATTCAATCGTATGTAGCAACAAGATTCATCCTGTTACTTGAACATGATCACATTCATCCCTTCTCATTACAGTACACAGATTTCCCTCATTTTCATGATCCATCCCTTACAAGAGACCGGCAACCACACCGAAGGCTCCCATAGCACCAGCGGCCAAGACCGGAACAGCAGTAGCTGGACTCATGGCCCTAGAGGAAGACGTTGAAGCAGATGCGGAAGCCGAAGACGCAGAAGCGCTTGCACTCCTGCTAGCACTGCGGGAGGCAGAGCTGGAAGCCGAGCTGGCCGACGAGGACGAGGAGGCGGCAGCTGCTGTTGCGGAGGTGGAAGCACGGCTGGAGGAAGACGCTTCACGGCTGGCAGAGGAGCTGTAGGCGCGAGCAGAGCTCTCGAGGGCCTGGAGACTGGACTTCGCAGAGCCTGAGGCTGTTTGAGCAGCGCTCGAGGCCGAGGCGGCGATGGAGGAGGCCTCAGCTGTGTTGGTGATGGTTTGGGCGTAGGCAGTGGCGCCGAGGGCGAGCGTGATGAGGGCGGAGACACGCATGGTTGTTGGTTCGATCTTGGAGAGGTTCGTTGGAGTAAAAAAGTTTGATGTGTTAGCTGCTGATGCTGATACAGGAATCAAGGTACATACCCCGGGTCGTCGCCCTTCTTATGGCATTTCCCCTCAGCCGCCAGGCTGCCTGCGCCTCGACCACGATGACCGTACCTGAATCGACGTGATACACGCTATGCCAATGGGGACACCGGTAGGAGCCTCCAGCTCGCTCACTGTCGTATTGCGACCAATCGCAGAACATTCACTCAATTTAGCTCCCCGCCAAGCATTCACTAGCCCCCAGATCCAAAGCTTGGTTAGACGATCAATCTGGTTTGACGGTACCATGCTGAGCATACGCATTATATACGGTTGGTGTCATTTTCAAGCCACTCGTATCCACTGGCGTAGGAGTCCACGTAATGCTTGCTGCTTGCATTAATGGTGTAAAATGAGTGGCTTCCGACAGTGGCACATGACAGGAAATCGGATCAGATTGGATGATCTTGCTGATGAATTTTAATGGCCGTCTTCAGCCCCTGTGGGGAGTGCTCGTTCAATTGCACTGCCATGTTCTCATTACCATGCCATCAAAGAGCTGGAAGCTGTCGGCCAAGTAGCCAAGATCGCGGTGTCTAGTTGTGCCCTTTCGGTTGCCTGTACGAAACAGTCCAAAGCCCTCAAGACACCGTTATGATGCGTGGTAAGCGCTGACCGGTCCTGTTTGAGGAGTAGCATCATCGGGAGTTGGAAGTTGAAAGTTGGCAACGGCGCGAGATTGTACGTCACGCTCAGGCTCAGGCTAAGGCTAGTGAAGGATGTTGTCCAGCGATCAAGCAGATGACAAGAATTACCTCTTTGGTGACGAGACAAGCCTCTGAGCTTTCCGATGCTTTGCCCAACTCTTCAGACCAACTTGAGCTGGAGTGTCCAAACACAGGATACGAAAGACGATCCAGCTGAGTATGTCGTTTGATCGGGGCTGACGACGGCCTTCGATTTCAGACTGCAATTCTCGATATTTTAGAATTCGATTGAAGCCATTTTCGAACCGGAAAAAAGGTCATTGCTCGGCAGGGTCATTCATTCCAATACACGGACTTGGACTGTATCGTGAGAGAATGATGGGCAGCCTTGCGGGTTGAAACCTGCCCCTGTGCCGAGATCCTACTAATCACAGCTGGTGCAGATCAATTGAGGTGAGCTGATGTGCTTACGGTCTCAATACCTTCGCAGTAGAAGATACGAAGCCATTGCCAGATGCCTCCCAGAATTCACGCCTTCGCATGGCAGGGGAAAGAAAGCCGGCAGGCTAGATTTGTGTAAAAGAAGATATTTGTTATGGTACGCCGTACTTCTTGAAATGTAAGCACTTGCAAGATTGCCCATCTGTGCAACTATTTGCGCCTCGTCCTGATTACTCCTTTAGGCACATTTACTTTTCCTTCTTTCCCTCGGCTGGCCCAGTCCTGCGATCGTTGTTCCATCCGATCGAGTCAAAACGTCCCAACGAGCTGGATGAAAGAGATGTTACATTCGCGTTGCAGGCAATGCAGGAGGGAGAGCCGCTTGGGCTGTGTCCGAGGAGAAACAGGGCTAAGCGAGCCCAATAGCAAGAGGTCCAGCGAAAGATGTATTGGCCTGCAGGCAGTCCATCATGATGTGCGGGCATGCAGGATGGAGGCACAGCGGCTGATAGCGCCGTCGCACGAGTAGGCTGCTCAGGCTTGGCAAGCTGGAAGAGATTCAGGTGTCTTGGGGGCCAGTCTAGTATACCTCCGCCCTCGAGGGGATCGACGACCTGGTAACAACACATGCGATATCCAAGACGAAGACGTGAATGCAGACAAGGCTGGAACACCGCTTGTCTCGAATGTCATGGCAACCACTTCCTACACCTACTCCGGACCGAGTTCCGCTACAGTCCTTGGTCCCCTCACGACCACTTGGACACCGCCAGCTGCCTGTAACGTTGCCATCGTCGAGTGTCGGTCCTCGTGCGCAAAGGGCTTTCAGGTGAGTCGAGTATACATGTTGCGAGGAGCTCACGTCGGCTGAGACTTTCTGAAGGGGCAGCAATGCGTATCTGGCCTTCCTGGCGCGGGATGTAGCGACGCGACTACCTGTTGGCCGACTGTCACAGTCAAATCTGTCTCCTTCCCACTAGGTGGATTCGGGTTCTATTCGCCTGGTACGATATGTCCGTCAGGCTACTCGTCCGCTTGTAGCGCAACGTCAGGCGGTACGTCACAATGGTCCCAGCAGTTCACAATGAGAGCGAATGAGACCGCTGTAGGCTGCTGTCCGAGCGGCTTTGGATGCGCGTGGGTCAAAGGATACCAAAGCTGTTACAGCTACGCAAGCTCGGGCGCCAGTGTGGCTCTTGGAACTTGCGATCGCGGGACCACGCAGCAGTTTTCCTACATGACGCTTCCCAATGGCGGGACAACGGTTGTGCAAGAGTCGACAACAAATGTGGTCAATGGCATGGAGACATTCACTGTGCAAGCACCCCTGGTGGAGATCCGGTGGAGGCATCGAGATCTACCTGCGACTGCGACCAGCTCAGAGGCGCCCTCGAACACCGCGTCCATCGCACCCACCTCTACCCCCGACTCCTCGTCTGGTCTTTCGACCGGCGCAACAGTCGCCATCGCCGTCGTCATTCCCGTGGTCGTGATCGCTGCATTTGCGGCGGCTTTTTTCGTCCGGAGGAACCGAAAGAAGAAGAAGAGCCCTGTGCAGACCCAAAACCTGCTAGAGTTGGATAACGATCGTTCAGACGACAAGAATATATCATATTCAGATCAGATGCCAGCGGGTCATGCGATTCAAGAGATGGGTGCAGACAATAGGCGGCATGAGATAGGGGCAGAGGAGCGCAGATACGAGCTGGCAGATAACATCCCTGTCGCTCGTGAAGCAAAGCCCTGAGGCGCTTCGAGGACTGGACTCAATGATCACCATGTTATGATTTTAGTCCGTGCACATTCAGAGGTCCCAATGCTGTGGAAGTTTCATGACGAGCCCACAAGAGCGAAGCTGGTAAGCAAAATGCAAATTTCATTCCGAGAGCGACTTTCTCGAGAAATTCTCCCACACACCTACGTCTGCAGCAGCACGCGCAGCAGGATCGAGTACTCATGGCACGAGGCCGCCTGGGCCCCGACGTCTTTAAAACGCTGGTATTCGAAAACCAAATCGTGAAGATGTCATCACGAGCACAACCTCCATCGTTCTTGACGACTTTCTGTTCCGAGCCCGCACAAGACGTCGACATGGAGAAACTCATAAGGCACATCCACGACCTACCTGTCGACATCTTCGACATCATTCAAGACTTCTTCTTCACCATGCCACCGCGAACGATGGAAATCAACGGCCACTACAGACCCCCGGCCGAACTTCAAATCAGCCGCGAGACTCGCAAAAAGTTCGCCTGGGTCTACTACACCTTCACGACATTTTTCGCTAGTTGCTGGGACGACCAGAAAGTCTACGACTGGTTGAAGTCACTGCCTCGCCCACATTTGTACCACGTCGATCGCATCGAGATGTACGTTGCGATTCATTCAAAGGAGGCTCTGATGCGTCTTACGGCGAGACCACGGCTGTGTCTTCTTAGGTCGAAGTTGGTTACGGATCGCTGGGTCAAGATGGACGACGTGTTGTATCTGAGATATAGCGATGGGTCTATTGATGATTATGAGACTTGTGCTGCTTGGGCTATGCTTGGGCCGTCGAGGCTGCCCTGGTGAGCGTAATGGCTTGTCGCCTTGGGCTTGGACACTACCTTGCAAGGAATCTGGAGGAAGATTGGTCCGGTGACAACGTATACAGCGTCGAGCACAAGAGTGAAAGATTGGAGAGACCGCTGGCTGACTGCTATATCGTTCTGTTCTTCGCACCAACCTCCCACAATCCCACTCCCACGTCAATTCGTCGTGTCTCCTTTCATGACTCCCCCTTTCTCTGAGACTTGACCTTCCCCTCCCGTCCCTCCCAAATCCATACACTCACCCGCTCCTCCCCAACACCTTCCCATACCACCTCACAGGCAACTCATTCGAATAATTCTTCAAATCCTCCATCACCTCCGGGATGTTCGCCGCCATGGCCTTCTCAAACTGCTGCACGTTATCGAAATGCAATATCGCCTGCGTATGCTGTCCACTGGCGTCGCCCTCAGGAAAATGCACGACCGTCCAGCCTTTCAAGCCGAATTGGCGCCAGTGTTTGTCGACGATGGCAAGATGGTTGTTCACGTAGTAGTCCGTGTTGAACTCGAGGGTGGATGTGCGGGGGTAGGAGACTGTGACGTAGGCGCCTTCTGATGATGAGGAGGCCATTTTGGATGGGGATGCCAGATGGGGTTGTTCGAGATGTCGTTGGGAGTGAATCTTTTGCTGGACAGGGCCCTGCTGCTGCTAAAAGTCTACCGCAACTTATATGCTTCTTTCCAGGCCACCAGGGTTAGGCAAGAAAATCCAATCGTAATGCTTTGGGGGGTTTGTGGATGGTACGAAGCCTGTGGTGCCTGCGTTCAGCTCCCACGTCTCCTGTAGCTTGAGTGAGCTCTTCTCCTTCATTAACATTAGCCTCGCTAGGTGAGACCAACTCGCTAGATCCGCCATTCACAGCTACGTATTCCATAGCTGCATTTTTATAGCTTTGTAGGTCAACATCGTTTGGCTGCTGGATGTCAAATCCTGCAGCAACATCAAAGACACTGCCAGGCACTGTGAAGTTTAACTTTAAAAGTTATACGACGAAAGATGCTCGACCAAGGCGTTCTAGCCTTCGCTACGTTCCAATATGATGTTAATCTACCATCCTTCCCACCTGCTGAGCTTTCACACAATCACATTTCCGCGCAGAAAGTCAGCGGAAGCAAGCAGTCCATGTTGGGTCGGCCAGTCGAGGGCCCTTTCTCGATCAAGGACTACTCTCCCAACTTCCGGCGACTGAGTTTGCTGCAAGTCGAAAGTCAAGCGTAGCCAATGAACTTTCTTTCGTCTTCATATACTCAAGAAGGCTCGCTCCCCAGGACTTCTTTCGTTCATGGATCAATCTCGGCCAGCAGACATTGCATGACCTAGCGACCTCCCTCTGATACTGCAGTCGTACTGAGAAGTTGCCGTGGAGCAATTATTTGATCTGAAAGCGATATTTTTGCGACTATCAGAGTGGTCCTAGGACAATCTGAAGATCGGCGTTACACGAAGTAAAGGGCTAGTAGCTGGTAGGAATATGTTCAAAGGTCGGACTCAGGGGTAGATGTCATTTCCCATTGCACTTTGGCCTGTTACCACTCATCTCAAGTGGATCGTAGATGCCTGAAACACATTTTTGCAAGAATAGTGGTCAACCACTCTCATGATACATCAAGTACCAGGCACTCCCCTTTTTCCGCACTGCAGAGTTGCTGCTTCTCCCTGTGACGTGTCGTCCAATGACAGCCGCTATTGTGCACCTCCGTCATTGCAGAGATATCGACAGTCCCCCATCTACAAGTATCTGGGCCCCGGAGACATATTGGCTCAGATCACTGGCCAGGAAAACAGCCGGGCCACTCACATCCTGCGGATCTGCTACTCTCCCCAGTGGAGTGCGGTTCTCCAGGTATTCGAGCTTCTCCTTCTTAGCCAGATCATCTGCTGCGAGTGCTGTCCGCGTGGTACCGGGAAGGAGAGCATTGCACCTAATCTTGTGTTTGCCGAGAGCGCAAGCTTGTGACTGCATCATACTAAGGATCGCGGCCTTGGTAGGTGTGTAGTGCACTTGCTCGGCGCCTCCAAGATGGGCACTGATTGATGAGATGCCGATAATACTTCCTCCTCGGCCTTGCTTTACCATGTAATTTGCGGCTGCTTGTGTACTCCAGAATGTCCCTCGGATGTTGACGTGAAGGTGAGATTCGAATGTGGCTTCGTCGAGTCTGGATTCCCGATGTCAGTGCGATGCAATGATAGGGGTGATATGCAGACCGCAGTACGTACGTGAGAAATTCTCTGAACTGGCTCACACCGGCATTGGCAACAAAGACATCAAGTGCTCCAAATGTGTCATTTGCGGCGGATATTATTTTCTGTCCTGTGACCCTCTGGCCAATGTCTCCAGCTACTGCCTGCAATCTTGCACCCTTCGGAGCTTCTTTTGCGAGGGAGGCAAAGTGCTGCCTTGAAGCATCATCGTCCATGTGATTAACCGTTACAACAGCACCTTGCTTCATGAATTCCAAAGCGATTGCCCGCCCAATGCCCGTCACACCGCCTGTGATGGCTGCTGATTTGCCCGCCAGGAGTCCAGCCATTGTTTTAGTCAGAGATGAGAATGGGCCTTGGATCTTCTTACCATTCAAAAGACATCGAAAGAAGCAGGAATTCGCATGGTGAGGTATTGGCACAACTCCGGCAATTGACATCCAGCATTCTGTGGAGAAGGAATCTGGTGGGGGCCGCTGACCCCTGAGGCTCGATACGAGGCCGTGAGTTCACCACGGCTTCGGCTAAGCAAGCCTTGGTGCGACCACCCGACGACGTTCCATCAGGCTGAGTCAAAAGATCGTATCGTTAACACAGAACGTCTCGCCAATACCCCCCTCGAACAGCGATCTTTCCATCGTTCGATCACCAAACATGGGAAGGGTTCCAGATCTAAGTGAAAACCTGTCAGTGCGAATTCTGAAAGATGCTGAAGCACGAGGATATGGGGTACAAGCATCTATTGTGTACGTGCATACGCACTTTTGCAAGCGGCAAAGAGCGATGGGCTGATTTGATCCCCCAGCTACAACATTGAACACATCCTCGGCGTGGCTCGTGCTGCCGAACAAAAACAATCACCTCTAATCATCCAGCTCTTCCCATGGGCAATCACTTTCTCGGACGGCCTTCTAGTACGGACAGCTGCCGATGCAGCATCTCGATCTTCGGTGCCCATTGCAATCCACTTGGACCACTGCCCTTCGGAAGCGATCTTACGACTTGCAGCTGAGACGCTCCCTTTCGACTCCATCATGATAGATATGTCGCATCACGGAAAGGCAGAAAACCTTCGAAAGACAAAGGAATACGTCACTTTATGCCACCGTCAGGGTATCGCGACTGAAGCGGAGCCTGGTCGACTGGAAGGCGGCGAGGACGGCGTCGCTGACACTATTGATATGGACGGCGTTTTGACGACGCCGGATGAAGTCGATGAATTCGTTGCTACGGGCGTGGACTTCCTCGCGCCAGCATTTGGGAATCTTCATGGAGAAGATGGTTACACGAACGCGAGACTAGACTTTCCAAGGTATTTCGATTGTGTATATGAAGCTCTTATATCGACCCTGGGCTGATACATGTGTTCAGGTTACAAGCAATCAAAGAACGAGCCAAAGGTCGAGTCTGTCTGGTTCTTCACGGGACCAATGGCTATCCTCCTGAGCTACTACAAAAGTGCACCAAGGCAGGGATCAGCAAGATCAACGTCAATAAGCTGGTTCTGGACGACTCCACAAGACATGTTCAATCGAAAGCCGCCCTGGTACCGTTGACCAAGTTCATGGAAGAGGCAGTAGAGCAAGTTGCGAGATTACAGGGAGAGCAGATGGATATTTGCGGTTCATCGGGAAAGGCAAGCGGCATTCTGATACACAAGGGACAAAGTAGGGCGTGAATGAAGCTTGTTTCGACTAGGAGACACTGTCTTTCACTATGCAGCTGCAAGAACAGTCTGACGTGTTTTCAATGCAACGAACTGTCGGTCCTTGGGTCGATGGTCTCGATACGAGGCCACCCGAAGCATTTAGCTCGTCGCCCGTTCTTTCAGTCAGCTGCATTTAGTGCCATGACAGCCTTCTGCACAATTACCACGACAGAAAGCGATGGCAGTCGACGGACCTACTCACGCCCGTATATACGAATACAGACCTAAAAGGGTCATCAATGGCAACGTCAGCAATCCCCCAGAGCCTGGCTTTGTTCTTTACAGCCCAGACTTCAAGAAATGTTGCGGCGACAATCCACGACTCATCTTGGCAGAAACACGCAACAACAGATTCGCCCACGAAGCCGGCGTCTACATTCCTTCCACCAACTCGAACTACTTTACATCCAACTACCAAGATGGCGGCAGCGTCGAAGTCTTCGCGACCAATTGCAAAGACTTCACAACGACGGCTTTGGATCAAGCCGTCGTCAAACAACTACCCAACGCCAACGGAGCATGCAATTACCGCGATAAGGTACTCTTCTGCGTGCAAGGCTCGCTCTCCCAACCGTCGGCCCTCATCCTCCTTGACCCAAAATCCCTCGCATGTGAAACGCTCCTCGACAACTTTTATGGCAAACCCTTCAACAGTCTCAACGACGTCGTCGTACACCATCCTACTGGAGACATCTGGTTCACCGACCCTACTTACGGACACCAGCAAGGCTTTCGACCGCATCCGCAGTTACCCAGCCAAGTCTATCGCTTTCGTCCATCGACTGGCCAAGTCTGGGCCGTGGCGGATGCTTTCGCAGAGTGTAATGGGCTCTGCTTCAGTCCGGATTATCGCAAGCTGTATGTGACAGATACTGGCGCTACGAGAGCTGTTGGCCTGGACGGGAACGAGATCGATTCGACGAAACCGAGTTCCATCTATGAGTTTGAAGTGTCTGGTGGCGGGACAAGAGTGAGGAATCGGACTCTTCTTGCTCACTGCGCCTTCGGTGTGCCTGATGGCATCAAGTGCGATACGCAGGGGAACGTGTATTCTGGCTGTGGTGACGGTATCCATGTGTGGGATCCGGAGGGAACGCTTCTGGGCAAGATATACACCAAGACCTTGGTAGCCAATTTTAATTTCTCGCCTGCAGGAGTCTGGGTTTTTGCCGAGGAGAAGCTGTACCTATGTACAATTGGAGCGCGTGGAGCGTTAGCAGAGGTTGAAGGCCATAAACCAGGAGTGTAGTAAAGATCGAACGCATGACCTTATTATGGCTTTACTCATCTTTCGTCCGCGAAGTATCATCTGCTCGCACTTGGGCATGAATATCGTGATTGGGCCAACCCGTCTGCTTTTGGTGACTGAGGAGTAGGCTGTTGACTGCCTCGACTTCATCCTGGGAGTTTAAATGTGGGCGAGAGGCGTACAGACACTCAGTTGACGTGATCATAGCGGCTGACTCCCTAGTACAGTAGGCAATGCCACAAATGGTGGCTGCGCAGCTTTGCACTGCTGCACGCCTTTTGCTCAGCTCAGAAAGGCCACCAAGGGCTGGCATCATGCTTGAGAGCAGTAGCCGGGCGAAGTGGTGCACTTGAACAGCAAGACCTGAGAGAGATCAGCAAGGAGCACTGTACTATTGGAATGCTTGCCTTGAGGACTCACTTGCGGCCGGTGGATTGATCCAGATGGGCTGGAAAGGGAAGTCGTCTGCAGAGACGGTTGGAAGTCGACGATCATGCTGCGCAAAGCCAGTCTTCCACTCTTCCAAACTCGACCACAACTCTTCTCCACGATTTATGCGAGCCTGAACGTCAATCGCTCCAGCTTGCACCTCCTTTTCGCTCGCGTAGTTGACGCACTGTCCGAGCAAGAATACAGAACGGTTGACAAGTTCCCAGAAACCTAGCTCAGAGCAGGGTCTCTTCAAAACATAAAAGCTCAGGATCTTGCGCCTGTCTTTGAACGCAGCCCAGATGTCCTGCCGTAGCCACGCCCACCATATCGCTTGTTTCAATCCGCCTGACTCGCCTTGAATGAGCTGCGATCGTTGAATCCAGAAAACTCCCTTTAGATGACGCTCCCAGTCTCGCCCGTTGGTATCAAGCATCTCATAGGTGGAAATCAGTAGTACAGTGGCAAGGAGCTGATCGCTACGGAGGTAAGGCGGATGTTGCATAGCTCTCTGAAGATACTGCAAGGTCTGGTGGTAGTATCTGACACCTAGGGTCTCGGCAGATGGGAAGTGTTCGCTCAAGTGAGCAAACAGGGGACATACAGACAGATGACGAGCAGATAAAGCGAGGATGGCCCTCATGAGGCCTACATTTCGTAGCGCCATACTTGAAACTCTCACGGCAAAAGAATTCTCCCAGTCGGTGATGTCGATCCACATGCTCAAGACGTGAACAAAGTGTCGGAACAGGATCACTTCGTCGGGTTCCAGCACAATGTCCTCCTCGAGGTCAATTTCATCACTCTCCGCTACATCTTCAAGGCCACTCGCATCGTTCTGCACCCAACCTTGCACAACAGCAGAAGCGCACTCTGCACTCGGGGCAGAAGGTTGATTGAGCAAGTCTGGGATCCGAGTCGTTTGGTTGACACTCAAAGATGCTGCATCACTGGATAGAAGACCCAGCCAAAGCAGTGAAGCCGTTTCTGCAGAGTAGAGCGGAGGGTTACTCCATGAAGACTCTGGGCTCGCCGCCCATAGAGGAACGTTTTCGGGGGTAGCGACAATCCCGGGAAGAAGATGTTGAGCCTGCTCGTCTTCGACATTGGAGCCCTCTCGGTGCACACGGCTGGTCTCAACTGGTCGAACGTCATTGCCACTGCCATTCACGTGCTGTGGCGATTCCAGTGTCGCGATAGTCTGTTGATCTGTGGAGGAGTTGAGATCCACCAAGGTAGAAGACAGATTGTCTCCGTGATGAGAAGCGTCATCTCCACGTCCATCAGTTGTCCATCCATCCCCAGAACCACTCGCAGTGTGGTTCTGGGTCACCTTGCCGTTCGGTGTTTCAGAATGGGAAGTGCTGTTGCTATGCGTTCTGTGCGTAATCGCCGGAGAGTCATGCTGGTAGACGCATGCTTCTCCACGTCGTCGACATGCGACACACGCAGGCTTGTCTTCGCTGCACTTCACTCTGCGGCTACGACATGTGGTGCACCCTGAACGTGTTCGCAGGCCTCTTCCTCGGGACGTACGCGGGCGCTTTGCTGGAGGAGCGCTGCAAGTACTGTCTTCCTGCCCTCGATGCGGACTCTCTTCGCTCATGGTGTTCGAACCGATGCTGAAGAAGAAAGAGGGCGCACAAAACGTCAGAATCATTCGCATCGAGCCATCCTCTTACAGTCTACAGTCTCGTACCGAGCAAGATCGTGCGGGGTTACGGTAAAGTATCGGCTGATGAGATCGGATCGAGAAGAGCCTCGTTCCGAGAAATGACCGACCACAGCCTAGTAGTACACTGTGGCTTTCGGATACGACAGCCTTGTCAGCCTCGTATCGCGCAGGCTGCAGAGCAACTGAGCCCGTCTGCTCCAGTGCTCCGCAATCGTTCTTCTGAATCTGAATATCAGTAGTAGACGATCATCAACCATGACGGTCGAAAATTTAACAACGCCTTACTACAACTATAATGTTGCCGCAAGCATCATCTACCAATGCCCGATCGAAACCAGTACTGGACCGGTTCTCTCTTGAAGGCAAGATCGCAGTCGTCACTGGCGGGGCGCGAGGCATCGGGCTAAATGTTTCCTATGCTCTCGCTGAAGCCGGAGCAGACGTGGCTATTGTCTATTTCACGACAAAACAGGCCCCTGATAATGCGCAAGAATGGGCGCGCGAGACCGGTCGGAGGGTGCAAGCCTACCAAGCAGACGTGCGACATCGTGAAGCCATCGGCACCACCCTCGACAAGATCGCGGCAGAGTTTGGTAGCGGTCGTATTGACATTGTGGTGGCGAATGCAGGCGTGTGTACGGCCATGACCGCGTTGGAATACACGGAAGAAACGTGGGCAAGAGACAATCAAGTCAACTACGACGGCGCATTCTGGATGGCACAAGCAGCAGGGCGGGTATTCAAGAGACAAGGTGGAGGGAGCCTGGTTATTACGGCATCTGTCAGCTCCAAGCTCGTTAACGTGCCTCAGCGACAGGCGGCGTACAATGCTTCAAAAGCAGCCGTGGCACACCTTAGCAGGTGTCTGGCGGTCGAGTGGGCGGATTTCGCAAGGGTCAACTCTATCTCGCCCGGATATATCCAGACTGAAAGTAAGAGACTGCAATTGTTGTCGTCTATGCCTCAATCGCTGAAGCTGACCTTTCAAATAGTGGTTACCAAACAGCCCGAGTCATTATTGGACAGCTGGCTTGCAATGATCCCAGCGAGACGACTAGCAAATCCAGATGAGCTAAAAGCGGTAGGTGAATCATGGAGACCTTGCGCTCTGGAAAGGTCGTGAAGGCTGATTATTATGGTGACAGGCGTACATGTTTCTGGCCAGTGATGCATGTCCTTACATGACAGGTGCCGAGCTCTTCATAGACGGCGGGTTTTCCTTGAACTAGTCGCCCACCTGGGGCCCGAACATGTCGCGCTTAACATCGGGAGTTCAAGTCAGTGTGGACTTTTTACGACCATCATGTGTAGTACTGAATGTAGATCAAGTGAAATCCATTCTTGCTTCTGAAGACAAGAGCAAATGTTCGTGATACACTGGTAGTTAATTTGCTTATCACGTTCCACATCCGTATCTGCCTTGCAAAACCTGTACATGGAAGTTCTGAAATTCCATTTGTTCTTCAGCCCTGTTCCTTTGATTGATCGATTGGTGTCAAGAGTCAAGACTACCTTTCTCGTGATTCCTGTTTTAGTGGCTCAATTGTATCACACAAATTTCAGACAGCTACACGATGTTTTCGTGGTGACCAATCTCTACGCGTTCAGCTTTCTCACTTGTGTCGACTGACGCCCGTCTCTTTGTCTGGCTCATGTCCGGATCTTGCTCCTGTATCATTTTGAAGTTGCGCTCCGCATCCCATACCCAAGGAGTGCTGGCGGAGAACAAAGCGTCCATTTCTTCCAGTGTTCGTTGGTTGGACTCAGGGTATAGTGCCCACACTGTGTCGCGGTCAGAACATTGCGTTCGTCAAGTGTATCTTCTGAGATTCGCTTACCGATTGGAATACTGACTATGTTCACAGCGCCGAAGATGTAGAGAAGCTTCTCGTTAATGGCGGCAACAATGTAGGGCAAGGCCAGAGTCAAGGTACTGCAGATGTAGTTAGCCTCCATGCTTGAGGATAGTGAATATGTGACGTTTTACCCGTTCCCAACTGACCAGCCAGCCACACCCCAAGCATTGCCTTTTGCTCGCACTGTCAGGGGGAAGATTTCAGCCTGCCTTATTATCAGCGATATCTATCGTAGTGGTCCCCACGTCGCGTACCGGATAAAGCCAAGGCACTGTAAGCCATGTGGCGCCAAATATGAAAGTATAGATGTACACAAAGGAGGCTGCTGCGGCGCCATATGAGGCAGCACCGCTCGTGTTCCCATCGGCAGTGGCATCCAAACCTAGCCTGGCGAATGCTCCAACAAGGAACATGGCAACTGCCTGCCCAACTGCTCCCCACCAGAGTGTCCAACGGCGGCCAATTCGGTCCAGTGTGAAGACACAGATAAGTGTCGCCAAAGTATAGAAGATGTTGTTCAATCCTGCAATCCACTGTCCCTTTCGATCGGCATATCCAGCAATGGCGAAGATCTTGGGGCCAAAGATCGTGACACCTGCGATGCCTGTCCAGCTTTGCATGATCTGCAGCCAGATACAGAGCTGAACACGACGACCGGTGTGTAGCTTGCCTGACCCAAGGCCCAAGAACATGTGTACGTAGGAATGGTTGTGTTTCGCTGTCTTCTCTGCCACCACCAAATCCCGAATGTCTTTGAGTTCAGCTTCGGCTTTACCAACGTCGTCGCCTCCAGTTCCACGTAGACGCTGGAGAACGTAATACGCCTCTTCGTCTCGCTCGACTTTGGCAAGCCAGCGCGGAGACTCTGGGAAGAACCAGCATATGGCAAGGAGGACCAGGAGCGGGATAATCTGGAAAGCGATTGGGAATCTCCAACGGAATGCGCTTGCGCCATTGTCGACGTACGACACACCATACGCCAGCCAGTAGGCCACGACGACACCAAAGATGTTCAGTGTGAACTCCATGGCGATGAAGGCACCACGGGATTTGTACTCGGCGACCTCGGATGCCCATGCGGGTACAATAGCATTGAGCACACCGACGCCGATCCCATTTATGACGCGAGAACACAGCATCCACACGTGATTCTGCGCAGCAGTCTGCAGGGCGGCTCCCAGGATGGCCCACACAGCTCCGAGACCAATGGCACTAATTCTTCCGTAACGGTCACCGAACGAGCCTCCTGCCAGACAGCCGACCAAAGTGCCAATGTAAAAGATCGCAACGATGCCTCCTTGTAGGAGCGTGTTGGTGATGACAAGTTCTCCTTGGGCATCGACATGTCCAATTTTCATGGTTTTCACATAGTCAGGAGACTCGTTGACGCCGCCCATGAGACCCTGATCATATCCTGCGTAGCAAGCCGTCAGTGAAGATCATACTGCCAGCAGCACTGGCCAGCTCACCGAAGAAGAAGATGGATATTGCAGCAAGCGAATTGATAGCAACTAGCAGGGATCGCTTCTGGAGCTTTGCAGCTACCAAGTAGCTCGTGCGTTGATGGATGGTGATCATGTTGGGAGATTGGGACCAGGTGCAGTCTTCAGAAGGTTTAGGAAGTAAGATCGTGACCCGTAGCTCATAGACTATATATGCTCCGATAGGGGAATCATCTCGCTTAGGAAGGCTCATCCCCAGAAATGGGGAGGACCACGTGGAGTTCATGTGGGGAAAGGTGTGCATGAGATGACCCGCCTCGTATCGTGCAAGGTTTGGTTCATCAGCATCCAGGAGGCTGATTGAATGGTTCAAGGGTGGATCGCGCTCGCAACGAGACTGGTTCGAAACGAGCTATTCAGAGCTAGTACCAAATTCGTCTTTGCGATGGCAACTGAGCACGGTCGACCCGCAAACATTCACCAGTATTTCTGGGAGAGAAGTCGCACCAACTGAGAGCATTTTGAGTCCCTTTGCGATGCTCTAGACGGCCATCGATTATGGCTGCCCATCTCTGCTTGAAAACATCACCACGAAACATTGCAGCTCTTCGGACGCCGCTTGCCACCCTCACAACTCGTGGAAGCTACGCTCAGACACCAAGACTCCAGGGGCATACGAATTTCACGCTCAACACCGGTGCAAAGATTCCAGCTGTCGGTTTCGGGACCTTTCAAGATGCCAACGCTCAGGAAGATACCGTAAGCCTAGCGCTGCAACGGGGAATGCGACTGATCGATACTGCGCGTGTTTACGACGTCGAGCAGCAAGTTGGGAAAGGCATCAAGAAAAGCGGGATTCCAAGAGACCAAATCTTCTTAGGCACCAAGCTGTGGTGCAATGACTATCATCCGGATGATGTCCAGAGAGCCGTCGACGATTCCTTGCGAGATCTGGATACTCCCTACGTTGACCTTCTATTAATGCATTACCCAGTCACGTTCAAACGCGGCCCAGAACGCTTTCCCCGTGATAACGATGGGCGCATGATCCACGGTGACACGACATACGTTGATACATGGAAGGCGATGGAGAAGCTCAGCGCGACTGGCAAGGTCAAGGCCATAGGGGTGTCCAACTTTAGCAAGGGCGAGATCGAGACGTTGATTAAAGAGTGCTCAACAGTTAGTAGCATTGTACTGCATCAATTGATTGTTCTAACTGACTTCTCCAGGTACCCGCTGTCCACCAAATGGAAGTCCATCCCTACCTCCAGCAAAAGGACTTCAATGTCTGGCTAAAAAGCAAAGGCATTCACGTTGTTCAGTTCAGTCCCCTAGGGAACATGAATGACTTTTATCGTCAAACGGGCTGGAGTAAAGAGATTGCGCATATGAAACGCCTTATAGACCAGCCGCTCCTGCAAGAGATCGGCAACAAGTACGAAAAGACGGCAGTCCAGGTTGTGCTCGCTTGGGGTATCAAAAGCGGAAGATCTGTCATCCCTAAGAGCGTAGTAGACTGGCAGATCGAGCAGAACATTGGTGCGGATTTCGAATTGAGTCAAGAAGATCTTGAGCGAATTGGAACACTCGATGCGAAGGCAAGGTTCAACGATCCTAGTCTTGACTACGAGTGGAGATTGTATAGTGATCTGGAAGGGACTGAGGGCACAGTGAGAGGAAAGACACATTAGTACCGTACTTGGATGGCAAATATCTCGACAATTCACAAAATCAAGCTGCCATTTACCAGCAAGGTTGTCAATACCCGATCCAATGTCGATAACTGTTTCCTTGCATTTCCTTTTGAACCTGTAGTGCTGGATGCAGATCACTTGACCTGACCTCTGACAGCGACATGCACTGCAGATGCTTCGTCTTATTCATGTACTACCACACATGAGTCCTCCCAAGATTTAAGAAAGTGTCTCTCGAGCATGGCACATTGCTCAGCAGTGCAGCACGATTTGAAAACCAGTCTTCTGGAGCCTTGCAATCCAAATTGTTGCTTACATTAAGGCTCAAAACATGTCCATGTTGGAAAATGAGAATTGCAAGTACGGAATGATGATGAACATTCTGTCATATGAATGCTATCTCAGCTTTCCCTTCATCCAGATGACACGCTGTTTATTCAAGGCCCGTCACTTTCTACCAGGCTAAGTAACAAATTTCGAGTTTTAACAAACTACAGCCATCGTTAGTACATATTCTCTGTACCAGGACGGTGCCAATGACTTACTTCCAATCACACCATTCACCGGGATATCAATACTCGTGGTGTAGCTCGCAGCATCACTGAGTAGGTAGACATAAGCTCCTCCAAGTTCCTCCACCTCTGCCAGTCGCGGCATTCCACCGTAGTACTTTAGCTGCTGTGGCCAGTCTTCTTGTTGTGGAACCCAATATGTCATGGCGGTGTTCACTAGGCCAGGCGAGACCGAATTCACTCGAATGTTGTATTGAGCCCATTCCATAGCAAGAGTATGCGTCATGTTGCGAACGCCCGCTTTTGATGCACCATATGGAGCGGAAGGTACTCGCTTGTTGGGTCGATAGGAGGCCATGGAGGCAGTGAACACGACGGAGCCTTTGACTCCGCATTTGATGAATGCTCGGGCGGCCACACGAGCGCAGTAGAAGGCACCGTAGAGGTTGATAGACCACAGCTGGTTGATTTCTTCGGTGGTGAAATCGAGTGCCGGCTTGTGCTTTGTTCGACCTGCGTTGACGACCATTCCATGGATGGCGCCATGCTCTTTGACAATTTGATCGACGGCTTCGGTTACGGTCTCTTCAGATGTGACGTCTGCTTTCAAAGCGTGCAGCTTTCCAGGAAATCGCTTTTGTACTGCGAGGAAGTCGTCGCCAGTGTCGCCGATGTCAATTGAGTATACGTGGGCAGCGCCATTGTCGAGGCAGGAGTTGGCAATTCCAAGACCGATGCCTGCGAATAGATAAGTAAATGAAAGGAAGACTGGAGAGAGTCCATCAAACCTCTGTTAGCACCAGTGACTGTTGGACAGTTAGCGCTCATACCGAGATTAACATTTATGCATATCGTAAACATACTGGCAATAATTTTGGAGTCTAAGGCTATCCGAGTCTGAGGCTTCTCTGATACGGCATGAGAGCCGCCGATACCGTTGGTCTGAGACATGATGCAACACTTGCTGAGGAAGAGTGCATATTTGCCTTGGTACATGAAGCAATCATATATATTCGCCTTCTCGAATGGATCGAATCGAGCACGAGTTCGGGTGTGGGTCGCGATTCGAGTAGGAAAGTTGCCCCGTAACGAGGCTGCTCTGCTGCCGAGCCGAGCACGAAAGCCTACTCTCGTGCCAAGAAGGACAACGACGGGTTGCTCCAGGAGACATTTACTCCCTGCAACTTATGTGGTTCCACGTGCCAAGAGAGTCATACTTAGAAATCAGACCTACCGGAACAAGTCGACAAAATCTATCCGTTCCTTCATCTTTCTACTTTTGTCGCTGCGCTCAAAGTGGACCGAATAGAAAGGTATCTTTTCCCACTGCAGACCACTTAGATGGCTTGAGTAATAAGGATGAATATCGCCTTTTGAGGGGAAACGTCTAGGGGAGTCGTATTGCTATGCGTTTGAAAACGCAAACTTCATGCTCCGGACATCACTTGAAGATGACTACCGCAGCTCAGGGGTGACAGCTTTGCAGCCTGTAATGGTGAACTCCCCTCCAGTCTGTCGAAGTCAGCGGAATAGATCTTCGCGAAGGAAAACAAAATGAGGTCCAAATACTTTTCAATCGCAGGTTAGAATGCTAAGCCTGCCTGAAAGACTCTGTAGGCTGGACCTTTCGAAGGTCTGCAACTGCCTAACCCATTAGGTCTGAGGGAACGAGATAGAATAGACTCCAGTGTCGGTAAATAATGATGATCTCGACCAGTTCATAGAAAGAGATGACCCGTAGATCAGCGCATTCTACTAATTTGAGGTATTGCACCACCATCTGCTTGAACTATTGGTGAAATGCTAATTGGCGAGAACGCGATTTGGCGAGAATCTCGAGGTTGTGTGAGAAGGACAAACGATGTACGTCCTTCTTCACAAGTGCACTAGGTAATGTTGTGGGGATGTCAGTAGTAGTGTGAACGGGAATGCAGTTTTCTAGTGTGATGCGATATCCCGAGACACGGTAGGGGAGTTTGCGGAAGTTACGAGCAGCATCGGAATAGGTGACACCAAATCGTTCCATTTTGCTCACACATCAGAGAAGGGACGAGTAACGTGATCCAAACCATGTACTTGCTACAATTCGCACTGCTCAGTTTTTCGATCGAATAGAACGTTGGTGCACCTTGATACTCAGGGGCAAAGCTAAGCCCGGGTGATTACCAGTACAAGAGCCTCTCAGCGCGCTCAACACGAGCGAAACTATCGAAATCCCGCAGGTAACCACATGGTAAGCGATCTAACCGAGCCTGCCTTCCGATGAACAGCCAAAGAGTGTGGTCTAAACGAACCAATGATCCCGCTTGTGTACCTTTCAAGCTGCTTAATTTGGAAACCTCCCAGACATTAGATCGGTTACACGACATGACTCGGCTTCGCCGCGACAAGAAAATTGGAACTTGGTTATGTGTTGTGTCTGTGTCTGGAGATTTTCCAAGGCTTCGCCACACGTTGAGGGCCGGATTGGGCGGTTGGACATGATGTGGGAATAGTACGACAGCGTGCCAGGATTGGAATCCTGAAAAGAGGCACTTACAAGGGTGAACGAGCTGCTCTTGTCTTTCAGCAGAGACATTCACAATCGACCGCGGACATGAAGTCAATTCAAACACTTCTGCCCACATTCGTGGCTTCCATAGCAACGACCTTCGCCTACTCCCCTCTCTTACTGCCCTCTTTGACAACTCACCAACCCAATGGCAACCCGGCTGGTACGATAATATCGTATTGAGAAGCCTCCAAATCCCCTTGCTAAGACTCGATATAGGACAAGTGAACTACTATCGCATCGCTTTCACGGTGACCTCCAGTTCAAACAACGGCACGACTTCTTCCGGCTACTGCAACAGATCTTGGGGCGACAACAGCTGGCTGCAACCTGAAGCGTACTCCGTCAACGTTCCCACGGGAGACTGGATCATCTGCGATTCCTCGGAAGACAACTTGGGCGACAAATCGAGCGATTTTCAGTTCCAGCTCTTCCCATACTTCTCCATCGGAAACTTCAGCTTGGCTGTCAAGGAAACCCTTGGAGATGGGTCGAGGTATACTTCTTCTCGTTCATGAGAGTGGTTCAATGCTGACACGTCTTCGAACAGTCTACAAGGTCTCACGCATATAACGAATCAGACGGACTCGTACACATGTGAGATCAATCCAAGGGAGGTGCTGTACCAACAGCATCCGCAGGGTGATTGCAGCATCCCTGAAGGAAAAGGTCCGTTTGAGGTGTCGGTCTCACTGATGTGAAGGGGGCAGTTTTTGCTCAATACGCTAGAATATTTCCGATCCATCTGACAAAATAGATTAGACATGGGCATGAACTTGGACTTTAATGCCTACACACTTGGAAGTTGTGCTGCACATATCATGACCTCGTGATTCGTACATTCTAGCATTTCTGACAGTCCATCTCCATCGTTACCATATTTCTCAGAAGAGAATTGGATATTCCAAGATTATAGAAAGATCACTCGCTCTTCTCTCGTTGGGGCGACAGCGTTTGCTGCTCTTCGAACAACAGATCCACGCTCTCATGACACGGCTTGCTCTCTGTATTGAACGCCGGGTGGAATCTATCTCTTCATGTGAGCAGTGTGTGCATAGATAGGACAGGCATCGTGGCTTCTTACTCGGTTTTCTGTCCCTCGTACTCAGCCACGGACTGAGAGTATACTGAGCTGGGCGTGGGCGGCATTGCAACGGACTGCGTGTCGTCATCTGCAGTACTGGACCTCGACGTCAACGATGGTATGGATGCTGTGTCTGTTGCATTGATATTGTTCCATAAATGCACAGTCTCTCTCTGGATAGGGTCGCGCGGCAGTTTGGGAACTGATGGCGACACGGTTTCTGTTGTCTTGGGGTCCGACTCCGATTCCAGGTTTGCGGCATTGCTTATGTTTCCCCATAGTTGAACTGTCTCCCTATTTTCACGACCGGAGAACTCGTTCTGTGTGGGATTGGAAGGCTGAGATAGTGGCCAGGTCTGGGAGCTAGGTAAGGTTGGTTTCGACAAGGCTGTTGTAGGTATGGTGGTTTCTAGTGATTGTCTTCTTGGCGGTTTGCTTAAAGGCAAGGTGCTCGAGAGACTTTCTCCAACAGCTCCTCAGCCTGCACCTTCTCTTGTACAATCTCTTCGACAAGATGCTGCCAGTGGGGCTCCATCCAGGACATAGAGATACAAAATTTGTCGTTCGCGGACCTCTTCAACTCCCTTAGTGCTTCATCTCGGTAACCCTCCGCAACGAGGTCCAGGTTTTTCTCGAGCCAGTCAGGGGGTTTACTAGGTCCGGATGCTGCTTTTATGACGACCTCGGTGACGCCCCTGTACTTTGCATCATGTGGGACATGTAGATCGTTGACAATGCACGCCATACACATGTATCGGGCATCGAGGTCGTGAATCTGGACAAAATCGGGTGGGTGTCTAGCGTGGCAGTTGCTAGTACAAGGCTCTGGCTTCACGGTGACTACCTTCTGTCCACAAACAAGAAGATGGTCGAGGCTAAGGTATGTACAAGGAATATCGAGAAGCGTTTCGCCGAATGCCCGCGCGTCGGGGTCCAACTTGCGTTCTCCCTCGAAGTAAAGTGCTCTGATCTGTGCTCTTACGTCTTGATAGCACTTCAGAGCTGGAGCCTCCTTCTTCAAATGGATCTTGTTTTGAGAGCGAATTTGCTGCAATTTCGATGCCAGAGGCTGATCTGGGCACACGACCGGAAATATTTGCCAACGCCTGATTTTTGATCGCTGAGCTGTCGTTCCTTGGGAATATGTGTCCTTGCTTCCTTTCCTAGGGGTCTGAGGTGGCGTCGGCGGCATGGTGAAGATTGTCTTGCTAAGATCCAGGGTGGAAGCCGGGATCTTGATCGATAAACTACTGTCTCTCTTGAGATCTTGCGTTGAATATCGCTGGTCGTGAATGATCCGCCGAGCATGGTCGCATGCTGTTGTCACGGACAGGGCCGGGAGATATGCGCTGGCAGGCTTGTTTGCGAAGAAAGCTCCATTGAATGCTGCGTTGTGACTCTTTGTTTTCAACAGGTGGTCTTTGTTGTCTTTATATTCTGAAACCATGGCGTCACCGGTTTCGAGACAGTGTCGTGCGTCTTTCGAATGTCTTTCGTTGTATGCCGTCGTACGTTGATGCGGACACATTCTGTCCGGGCTGACTGGTGGTAGTTGTATTATCGAAAGAATGTCAGAGGCAGTGACGACAAGATGATTGTCTTGCAATGCGATCGCAGTCCAGGTCATGTCTTCTGCGGGCATTGACTGTTGGTACAGTCCCTCCAACTCCGGTGGTGCCGAGAAGGCGGTCCCTGCCAATCATCAGAACAGCAGTATGGATGACCAGCTTTCGAGAGCGGAGCAGAGCAGAGCAAAGATGGAGAGCTCGCAAATCACGCACTTTCTTAGCCATACCCGACTTTTGCGTCAAGTGCTGTCTTATCTGCGACATTGTCTGAGATTTGGATTGCGCATCCTAGTGACCTGAGATCGTATCCAGGGGGTCGTAAGCTCGCAGAAGATAAGTACTTTCCTCATTCCGCTCAAAGTGGAACATCAATCCCCGTTGTTGGAGGTATGTCTAAGCAATCGCAAGAGCGGTTGAGAGCTCAGTTGGTCGATGATGCCATCTCGTTCGGGTCGTATCGTTCTACTTTGAGCTGAGTGACGAGGGTAGAACCTACTTTGGTACTCCTATAGCTTACCCCTGTGTCACGAGTCGTGAACTGACATGGTTGTCGGGCTGTTCAATAAGGTGAAACCGGCACTTGGACCTAGATCAGGTTGTACAAGGATGTTAAGTACAAATATAAAAGGCGGCCACAAGGATGTGGAGAACTCAACTTCGCAGCCTGTCGATGCAGCTGCAAATACCGACCGACTATTCGTCGCAACTGTCATGCCGCCTCCTCGCTTCCCCGATCTCCATTCTCATCCTGCATCCTTCCAACCACCAGCTGTTTGTTGAACGGCGCCGTCGTTGGCCGGTGCGGCACAGGTTCTTCAGTTGCCCAGCGCCAGATGTTTTTCGTGGCGCCCTTGGTCGCAAATTCGATCATTGGTGTGATAATGACGGTTAAGATCATGATGATCGAGTAGCACACCACCGCCGTGATCAGCAGGATCGCCCAATAGGGTATGCTCAGTGAGCTGAGGCTGACGGCGACATAGGCTCCGATACTCCAGAAGATGAAGCCGTGCATCACTGTGAGAAAGGTCAGTTGACGTCTGCTCGGGATGTCTCGTGGTCACTCACAGTAGATAGTCATGATATGCGGATGGAAGAATGTAATTAGCTTGATACTCAGCGCCTTTTGTACCCAAGTCGAGAGCTCAACAATAACCTGCAGTCCGACGGAGAAAGTGAGGATCGCTAAGCTTGGGTAGTTGTAGTTCGGATACGCCGCCCAGATGGATGGGATCGTTTCGAAAATTGGGCGTCCAGTGTACTGATTTGGATGGATAGCGTTCTCCCAAGCCATGAAAGACCAGTAATAGATGTCCGAATTGAATAGGAGGACCAGTGGCGTGGCTATGGTGATACCCGTCGCCAAGAACAGAATGGGGTACAATGCCCACCATCTGGCTTGCGTCCACTTGATCCAATTGTAGGTGATGTCTGCATCGGCCAGCAGTATTCCAAGCCAATGGCATGCGCTCCAGCTTCTGGCGTACCAACCTGCAAGGATACTCAATGTGTAGAAGAGCATCCTCTTCCATGGCGTCTTGACATCTTTTATCAACACTGTGGCCAACAGAGTGACAAAAGAGTACTGCAATTGGATAGGGATCGTCCACAACACGCCTACACAGCTGGATAATGATGTTAGCCATGATGTATATGTATATCAGTGTTGGTTGGGGGGGGGGGGGGGGGGGGGGTCCGGGTTTCGGCATCGACGTAGGGGGCCGCCGAACGATTCACCGGACGGTCGTGCGAGCGAGTGTTAATTCGTACTTACTAGTGGTTGATGATCTCGGGAGCCTCGTTGGGTATAATATAGGCCAATTCCACGATTTCGTTGACAAAGACGCCGAAGTTGGGCTGGGCAACAACGTAGGGCCAGGTACTGTAGCTAATGCTGGGGAGCCACTCGAGCTTCTTCGTTAGGCCAAGTGAGATCAGAAAGTACTCCAAGGTCATAAAAACAAAGCAGGGGAGGAGCATGCGTGGTGCTCGAAGCAACATTTTGTTCGCGACATCGTTCAGCTTGCCAGTCTTCAAGTATCTTTGCGCCAGGAACCTGCATGAGGTAACAAAGAAAGGTCCGATCCATAAGGGCGTAAGCAGATACGGTCCAAGGATATACGACAGCCACTGGTCTGCGCCAAAATGCATCAACAGCCCCTGACTCTCCGTGACGTATGGCCAGAACGTGAGCGAGAAGTGTCGAAGCGTGATCATTATACACGAGATAGCCACGAGCCCGGCGAGATAGTCGATACGTTGTTGGGGCTGGTTCGGTGCCTGGGGTTTCTGCTCCTTCGCAGGTTCCGCGGTCGCGGCTCCGGCCATACCATCCGGTACCGGCTTGACTTTCATCATATCGAGGGCCGACTTGTCTTGAGGGGCGGTAGGCACCTCAAATCTGTGGTGTTTCTCATCGCTCTTATCATCTAGATCCATGAAGCTGACGCTGGCGTGCTTCTTTTCGCCGGCAATTCGCATTCCTTCCGGGGAACCATGGGTCGGCACGGGACTGGCATTTCTGATCTCATCTTCGTCCTTCTTCTCGCCGGCGAGGTCAAAATAGGCACGTGTACGAGCGGCTTCGACTTCCAGATCTTCATCTTCTTCTGACGGGTTGGTGACTCGCAAGGCGGGTGGGTGCTCGAGAGGGGGCGTCAGGGCATCTTCGATGATCGTCCCTTGGCTGGCCATCGGGCGAATACTTGTCCAAGCGTTGCGTGAATGAAGAGGAGTATTCCTGCCGGAAAGTGACCTCAAGCTTCTCTTCGGTTGTACCAGGGAGTACATTAATTGCCAAGGCGACTGCATACGCGACTCGTACGCAGGAAGGGGTGTAACTGTACCGGAGTTGTATCCCGACCGACGGCCATTAGGCCTAGATGTGTAACCAGGCGCGGGGGTCTCTGTTCCGGAGTGAGTAGTTCCCTGGCCATTTGGGGGCTTGCCGTCTGGCGGACCTGGATAGTTGTTGGCGTTGTTGGCACCAATGATTGATTGCCGCAGCGATTGTCGCAGTTTTTGGGTGGATGATCGCTTGCTGCCTGGCCAGCTAACATCCCTTAGTCTCTTGAACTTGTAAAGCGGTCCACGGCGGATGAAGGCATTGACTAGAGCGAACACTCCAAAGAAGCTGAAGCCAGCCGCAATGTAGCCAGCAACGGTGCGAATACGCTGATGAGGCACTGGTGGCTTCCAGGCTGCAGTGGCCGCTGGCGAGAAGCTGGAGGAGCCTCGTAAGCTCATGTCTTCTGTCGAGCAGGCTACTGTTGGATTGCATTGTCTGTCGTAGTTGACGTGATCATGTGGAGTCATCAAAGAGCTATTGAAGAATGCCCGGATCCATCTGACATTCGCCACCGAGTTGTTGATGGGAGGGCCTTGCATGTAATGCGAGTCTCCGGTCGACCAGTGAGAAAAATACAGTGTTTCTGGCACAGCTGGGAGATCTCGTTGCAGCTGCGTCACAGTCCGAGTTCTATTGTTCCCAATCCAAAAGCTCACAGTGTCATTCGTCCAGTCAAATCGTAGGTCCTGGAAGTCCCAAGGCTGACCTGCCGGTATCTTGGGAGGGTCGCCTTTTTGGATGATAGTGTAGTTAGTGGCCAGCTTGTATTCAGGCCACTCGCCATTGACAAGCTGCGTAATATGGGCTTGATCCGCGATGTCCATGTTGCACATATCCATGTTAATGCTCTGAGAGTCATTATACTGCAAGTACATGGACATAGCCGAGCCACCGATCCATGGCTGAGCAGATCGCATCGAGGCTCTGAAAGATCCTGAGACAGGTTAGCATGTACTCGCATACAGGCTGGCATCCGACAGTCGCCGCTTACCAAACAGAATGTCACGCCGCAGCGAGCGAATCTCTGCTCCATTTGAAAGGTGACTGAATTCAAAGCCATCGAGCCACATTTCCAGACTTGGGGAAGTTCCATCGATGACATCCTGCCAAGGTAATGAGCCTACTCGCAAATGATCAGTAAATGTTGAGATTATGGACACCGACTCCAGAAGCATTTCCAATGCTTCATCATCGGATCAGAAGGACGGCCGTGATTATTGATGTCCAGATATGGTTCGACGAATCTGATGCGGTGTATGTCCTCCAACGCCGCCGATCAGACAGGAGAAAGATATTTGTCACTCACCATTGTTGCCGATATGTATGTTCGATGGACTTGACCCCTGTCTAAAGATTGAATTCCAGCCCTTTTGATTCTTGTTTGCGCAATCTCTAATGTCGAAGATTTCTGTGTCGAGTGCCGTCTCATTGAAGTAAAGTATTATAGCATCAGTGTAATGCTCTTTTGTCGAGGGGTCGCGATAGCCGCAAGAACATTGACTCGGAACGGTCACATTGCGTCCAGCGCCTGCGACGACAGTCTGCAAAAGAAGAGAGATCGCAAGTACAGAGAGCATGTTGCCGCACAGCTTGAGCAGATTCACAGCCCACTGTTGACAACAACAATAACAGACATTTGAGGCAGCACTCAAAAATGAGAGGCGGGTCACAATACCATTGCGCGTCGAGGTCCAGATACGCCTTATTCCGCCGGAGATTCGAGTACAGGCCGAAGAACGATCTCGTCACTTGGGTGGAACAATGCAAGAGCCACGCTTGCCCTGCATCACGCCTCGAACAAAGGCAGCCAGTTCATCGGGCACGAGTAAGCGGTCCTGTGGGCCGGCGTTGAGCACATCCAGTCAGGATCCTTGTCTTGTGCTCTGTAAACTACGAACTCACTATGCCCGGGTAGTACAGAGATTGCCACAAGTGGAGTAGACAACCTGTTGAATCGTTGGTGGTGTTTGAAATGATCGAGGCGTTGATTTCAGTCGAACCATGGACTCAAACTTCGCTTGTAGATGGTTCGCCGGCGTCGAGTGCTATGATCCAGTTCTTGGCGATCAAGAACTAAACTTTCCGCAGTCACAACCATAATACCCCAAAGTCTATGCTCCATTTGGACGCCTTTCCCGATCCACTGCCTGGCAACCCTCACACAGGGCCCAAGAAGGCATACAGTTGACGTTCTCGAATGTTCAATGTCTTTGAACGGCCATGCGGCTTCGTATTGCTTGTGTCGTCAACTGTATGTAGCTCTACTGGAAGACCTGAAGAGCTGAGGCTCTACGCAGTTTCTGCTCATCATGCCACAGCAGGACGGTCTTTTAAGGCCAAACGTCGTGTCGCCATGGACAGGGCTGCGGAGGTGTTTTGCACCCGCGAGAAAGAAGGCTCGCGCTGTCCCTTTGGCTTCTGGCTTAATCTCAAATACAATTTAAGTTTATCCTTGCGCAGGGCACGCTGTTGATATCACAAGAATGTGGTGGTGTTGGTGTTGTTGATGCGGTGAAAGGGAACGGGAGGGAGGCTGGGGCCGAAGGTATCAGAGCATTCGGAATGTGCCGGCCCGAAGCCAACCTCACCTCCAGCTCGTCATCGCGACGTCCTGTACATGCTACCACCATCCCAAGTTAATTACACGCCGCCAAATGCAATTCAACTACCGAAAGCATACCATACAGTGGCGTTCTCAGCGAACAAGTCTGGCCAGATCGTGCCAACTTTCCCTCAGTCCACCAGCCAGAGATACGTGTTCTTCGCCAGCCATCTCGACGGAAGATCAACGCAGCGATAGAACATCTCTGCGAAGACTGCGACTGCCAGCAAGCCCACGACAAAGACGACGGCATTGGCACCAGCCGTGCTCATGCCTTTGCCACTCAACGCAAGCCAGAGCTTGATCCCCGCGGTCCAGAAGACAATGCATTGTGCGACAAAGATGCCTGGGGGAGGAGTCAGTTCTGATATTCTCTTCCAGATTAGATAAGCGTGACCTACTGAATGAGCGCTCACCAAGCCAGACAAGCGGCTTGAATGAGAGAAAGTATCGCACATTCTGGAATAGCTCGACCACCAACATCACCCCGCAAATGATGAACCAGTCGTCAAGCCTGGCGTATGGTCCGCTGGCCTCAAACGTCTGGGGCGAGTAGTTCTCCGAGAGGTCCAGATAAGGATGGAGAACAAGCATGCTGTTAACATACTGGGGTAGCACGGCCCATGTATATTTGAGCGCAATCCCTATTGCTGCAAACGCAAGTGCGACGACCCAGTACGGAACCCGCCAATCTCCTCGGATTTTGAGGCCCTTCAGCAGCTCAGCCTTGAGAGTTGTATTGATCGCGATGTCCGCGAAGATTAATCCAGTCGCGGAATACCAACCCCACGATGCCATCCAATAGGAGCCGACGGCGAAGAGACCTATCCCCTGAACATGCCATTTTGGACGGGTGTACGGCAGGATAACCATCAAGAAGTACACTGTAAACGACTGTTTGACATCAGCACTGCGCCTTGATTGTTGGACCTCAACCACTGACCTGGAAATAGATGATAGAAGACACCCACAGTGTGGCATTTGGCCAGAAGGTGTTCGCTGCCTGGGTGTAGAAGTCGGTAGTGATCCAAAACAGGTTAAACAATGAGTTGAGCGCTGCGACTGCATTATGTGCTACCGCAGGAGTCTTGATTATCTCATTCGGCAGTTCGGTCTTGAAGTTGTCAATATATCCAGTCCCGATCTGGGTGAAGATAAGGGTGGCCATGCCGGATCCCATGCAAATAATAACGACCATTCGAACTATGCGCCGGACCACAGTGGCGGCATAAGTCTGTCCGGTCGGATTCGCCAGGAAGGAATTGCATATTGTTCGCATGGACAGAATGATGATGAAGTTGTGTATCAGGTCTTTATTCCAGAACGGCACGCTGAATATTCTTCGCAGGAATGCTTGATACTCTGCTCCTTGGTTCAATTGGGATACCAGAGTCGGGATGAAAACTTCGAAGAATGTCCAGAAGAAACTCTCAAGGACAAGGATTCCTCGGAGGCCCGTCAGGTGCAGGTATTGGTTTGTCCTGTCTGCAGTAACGACGCCTTTAAGAGTCGCCATCGCTCCATGTTGTGGGCTCGGGCCGACCGCTTCTACAGATGGATCCTGAACCTCATACACAGCTGATTTGCGCTTCTTGTCTTCGCCGGTCGTCATTTTGGCTTATTGTCAGACTGCAAAGAACTTCTTTCAACCTGACAGTAAGTCCAGTGACATGTGTCACAGAAGGGTGCCTAGGAAGTCGTGGAGCAGTGAGCGCGAAGTCTACCACGTATGCGGGCGGAAATGACCTGGAAATGATTCCGACTTTTGCGAGTCGTTCAATGCGCGGTATGAAGTCTGGCTCAACGGCAACACATCTTACACACAGAACGATGCGGCATGAACCCGGACTTTGGTTGTAGTGGTTACAAAAACCGGCTGGCCACTGTTGCTGACGAAAGCTCGATAAAGCCTATCTTCACAAAATATGATGCAAAACCACGGCGATCATTCGAGTTTGGCATTCTGGAATGTTTGCGGCGTTTCTGCCCTCTGCCCGAAGAAATTGCTGATCGAAGATGCAGCAAGAGCTCGGATTGACTCCAGATCGCCATAGTTTGACTCGCTATTGCGGAGCTACCAAACACTTCAGCCCTGATCGATCCTAGGCGATAACGACTCCGAAGACGGAAGAAGTTTAAATTTTTGGGCCGGCAGCCTTGACTCATGACTACCCACCCCGGTGCGGTCAAAGTGGAACGTATTGAACTGCCATCTCTCCGGCTTTTTATAAGTGACTACGCTGCTAGTTGCACTTTAAGCTACTTGGATAGCTTAAAGGTGATGGGGATGAATATTCCGCTTGGAGCGAAACACCGAGGGTACAGATGTTACCTACACGAAAAGTGGCCTTCGGGATGGTCCTTGCAAAATTGTCATCAAACTTGGCTTCGCCCTCATCGGCATCTGCAATTCAACCACAACACACCCATTTGGGGAAGATCTGCATCGATATACACTTCGCATCGAACTAAAGCTAATGTCTAAAACAGAGTTCTGGCCGCCTTCGGTTGAAACCGAGATCTATCCTCTCCGCGCCACATGTTGCGCCATTAAGTGCCTAGCCTTTCACATTGCTCCTCTTGAAACCCGCACCGGAAATGTTGTCGGCCAAGTTTGCACCACATGTTCGTTCAGATTGGCTCTCAACTTGTGTCTCACTTGAGCCAGCCTTATCGCCGTCTCTGTGAAGGACTAGATTCGGCCGGAGTCAATAACCGTTGACAGACGATCATATCCAGACACGGCCGTGACTGGCTTTGTTGAACAGACGACGTCTGGCCGTCTCGATGCCAGCCCGTGTCAAGGTTGTCAATCTGACAAGGGGGCCCGATGACAGTTTGACAGTGTGGCCCCAGTCTCGATGATCTCGACACGTCTGGACGGCTTCACGTGCGGCTGCCCTCTGTCCGAGGAGTTGGCCTGGACGTGGGGCAATTTCAACGCTCATTATGTGAATATATTGACTCAGGACGGAAAGTATTGTGAAGCATCACTCACTGAGAAGTTAGCATCGTTCTCTGTACACCACCACACAGCACGACAGCACACCTTCGTTACAGCGCTTTCGCTCTTTCCAGGTTGCTGCTACGTTCATTTAGCAGTTCAACTCTTGACCTCCTTGCTGTTCACTTGGTCAACAGCGTGTACATCGATCTCACTGCCCAATTTGAGCTAGGATGCTCTCACTCTCTAAAGCAACACTTCCCACAATCCAGCAACATGCAGCCAGGAATGGCTCAGAGTCTTCCTCGGGGAAGCAATCCACCATCTACTCCATCACATCCAGCTTGGTTAGCAGCATACGAACTGGAACCACCAAGTTCTCGGATTGGGTCCTTGACTGGACGCCCATTGCTCTGGTCTTCACATACTTCGTGGTCACGACAGCGGGCTTCTGCCTTTGCAATCAAAGTACTATCGAAGTCTTCTACTTCTTCTACATGGCGGCAAACTTCTACATCGCAGCATGCTGTGTGATTGAGTCTTTCCTAGGCTTGACGCCGGTGCGAGATGCGCGCAAAGCAGCAATGGAGGTCGAAGCCACTGGTGGCAAATTCCCAAGTGATCTCAACGGCAAGGCAAAGGATCTTCCAGTCATCGATCTAGTGATCGTTGCCTACCTGCCAAATGAGAAGGACATCATTCGAAACCAGGTTCTTTACGCTTGCGAGGAGCTGGTTTACCCCAAGGAGAAGCTTCGAATCAACTTGGTCTACAACACGCCTAAGCCCATTGAGCCCCTGGAGAGCGAGCTTGCTCTGCTTCCAGAACAGTACAAGAATCTCAAGGTCATCAAGGTTCCTGGCTCCAAGTCCAAGGCCGACAACCTCAACTACTTCTTCAACCTGCGCTCTGACGCGGACGTCATTGGCATCTTCGATAGCGACCACTGTCCTCATCCCCACAACCCTCGGTGGGCTGCTGAGCGCTTTCTCGCAGACGAGACTGTAGACATTGTTCAGGGACGATGCATTGTCTACAACACCAACGAAAGCTTCTACGCCAAGATGATTGCCGTTGAGTTTGACAAGATCTACGCAATCTCTCACCCTGGCCGCAGCAGGATGTTCGGCTTTGGTCTATTCTGCGGCAGCAACGGCTACTGGAAAGCCCCCCTTCTCCGCGAGCACAAGATGCACGGCGACATGCTTACGGAGGACATTGACTCTGCTCTTCGTGCTTACGGCAAAGGAAAGAAGGCAGTCCACGACATGAATGTGACTTCATTTGAGATGGCGCCCAACAACTTCGCATCATTCTGGAAGCAGCGCCTCAGGTGGGCTCAGGGCTGGACTCAAGCCTCTTATAAGCACATGCCCCTTGCATGGACCAACCCACCAAACGGCAAGCGAGGCATTGATGAGAGATTCGGTATCGTTTCCCTACTTCTGGTCCGCGAAATCAGCTACTACCTCGTGACCCAACACACCTGTCTGTTGCTCAGCTTCATCATCACAGACTGGCCACGAAACCCAGCCGAGCTGGTCCGACTACTGTTCTTCCGCTACCCAATGGCCGAGTGGTTTCTTTTCGCAACAATCATCGCCCTGCTGTTCACGCTTTACTTCACGGAAAAGGTGCGGTCAGAATTTACCTCGTGGAAGTCCATGCTTGTCTTCTGTGTAATCTACGTGCCATATTTGATCCTAATGGCGACGATGGGTCTGTACGGGCATGCACGACAGATGATCAGGTATTCGAGCTGGAATCCTACTGCACGGAAGTAGTGCTGCAAAGAGCGTGGCTATTTCGTATTTCCTTGAACATGTCGATCGTTACAGCGAAAGCGTTTGCAGTTGGATACTCTGCAATAAGATAGAGATATAGGTTAGATACCACGATCGTTCTAGATGAGCAATGTGACGAGTTCTTAGACAATCGCTGCTTGCATGCTTTCCTAAGATACGACATCGTTCTCACACGCTCAAACAGGCGAACAACCTTCACATGCCATGTTTTGACGAGTGAAGCGCTGCATCTGTGTGTACCTGCGTTAAGCTGCATCAAATCATCTCCTCACCAGATCTTGGTACATGAATGCAATGCAGAAGTTACTGCAATGTGCCTTGCATTTGAGTATCGCTGCAAAACTATACTCCGTTATGTTCTTTGGACACGTAGCAAACTCATGTTCTGCACCGCTGTCATGAGCAGTGGCCGATTGTGCTGGCAAGTCTCACAGCCTCGTCCGTTCAACGCAAAAAGCCGACAACAGAAGCAAACATGAACTGAATGAAGACTCGGCCAAGTAGCTATCGTCACCATGACAACATCCCAAGACAGAGGCGGTGCCGAAAGCGTCGACACTGCCGCACGCCGTCGCCATGTGAGCGTGCCGCTGTTACCAGTCCCATGTCACCAGTTCCAGCGACAACGATTTACCAAACCAACAAACCAGTCCCGTCTTTTCGCAGATCCCAATCGTTCTTCACGATGTCAAGTTCGGTGCTCTAGAACAGAACGCCACATGGGATCCGTAAGAGTTCGGTAAGAACGGAACGTAGGTCCGTGGTTTGCCTGAGACATTTACTTGTATAGAAGTTTGGTAGGCTATGAACCTTAGAAATTTGAAACGCTGAAACGAGTTCGAGAAGATATTTGAGACAAGTGTGAGATCGAGAAGTGTGCGGTGCTGTCAGCTGAGGTGTTGCGGCTGACGTGGATGTGATTCTGGATTTTGGAGGGAGTTGTGTTAAGGGCGAGAATGTGCATCCTTCCGGACAAGTCCTTATTGTGAGGATTGGCTTATCTGCTGCTTCCATACTGCCTCACTCCCCCGTCTCCGATCCTGTTGCGTCGGCGCGACCTGGCGACGGCACCAATGGCGACGGTCATGAGAGGACTGAGGATTAAGAGCTTTCGGCGAAAACCAGATGTTGTTCTTCTGAAGCAGCTCGAGTAGAAGCAAAGCTTTCAAGCCTCTTCCTTCTTATAGGAAGCTACGAATAACCATGTTGCTCTTCCACTACGACTCTCGGCGGTCACAATCTGTAGAAGATGAGGTGCGACTTGAACAGCTATGCATACCAGTACCCCTAGGGTTTTCTTGGAAGGCAAATTGGAGCTCTATCATATATGCAACGCCAAAACTGCTTTAAATATAACATCCAGGTATGTCAAAGGGTGTTTGACATGTGCAGAGCAAGATCACCCTACTAGCGCGATGCCAAGACTCTGTGACTAAGCGAGAAGTGAATAAACTTCGCCTACGACGCCCAGCTACTCGAGCTCACCTTCCGATAATCCATCAAAGACAATGTCGAGTTCAACGAAACTACGCGCTGCCATTCTCATTGTATCGGAGACCGCATCTCAAGACCCTTCCTCTGATAAAGGCATACCCGCCCTTCAAAGCGTATTTGTCGAGAGTGGTGGAGATCAATGGTCAGCGGAGGAGACGAGTATCGTGACTGATGATGCTCTGGATATACAAAGGGCGATTACTGGATGGACTGATGGCGAGGATCCGGTGAATTTGGTTGTTACGAGTGGTGGAACTGGGTTTACGCAGAAGGATGTCACGCCTGAGGTAAGCTTGTTGTTCTCCCAGCTCTTCAATGATCTTCCATGAAGCACGTTCGTGTCAGTTTGGGGTTGTACATGGACATGGAGCATTGAAAAGTCGACATTTATTAATCGAATGTTTGCACTAGGCGGTAACACCCTTACTCCATAAGCACGCATCCGGACTTGTTCACACCATGCTTTCCACATCTTTGGCTGTCACGCCTTGTAAGTTCACGTCAGTCCAACGATACCATTGCTTTGCCAACGATACATTACAGTCGCCGCTATGGCTCGTCCAGTTGCGGGAGTCCGAAACAAGACCCTTATCTTAACTTTGCCTGGATCACCGAAGGGCGCCAAGGAGAACCTCGAAGCTGTCCTCAAACTTCTCCCACATGCTTGCCAGCAAGCTGCAGGAGCGGACTCGAGAGCTCTCCACGCTGGTGGTGTTAAGAAACTGGAGCAGGATGCGGGTGTCAACGGTTCGGTGAAATCTACACCTGGCCACCATCATCACGACCACTCGCACTCGCACTCGCATTCACACGGACACGGACATGGCCATCATCACGGACCAAAAGCACATACCAGACCAGAGGATCGACCGCTATCAAATGACCCAAACGCTGGTGCTTCGAGACGTTACCGTGAATCGCCCTATCCTATGCTATCTGTAGACGACGCGCTGCAAGAAATCGCACAGAACACTCCGTCACCGAGAGCGATCAAAGCAGCCGTAGATGAGAACCTTGTCGGATCTGTCCTGGCAGAAGACGTAACCGCCAAAGAATCTGTTCCAGCTTTCAGAGCCAGCATAGTCGACGGCTACGCAATCATCGCCTCAAAGCATGTCCTGGTGCCAAGCACAAAAGGCGTCTTCCCTGTGACTGCGATCTCCCACGCTCAAGCTGGTCCCGATGGCGAAATACCAGCTCTTCGAGGAGGCGAAGTAGCTCGCATCACGACTGGAGCACCTTTGCCGCCCGCCGCGACCGCTGTAGTCATGGTTGAAGACACTGTTCTGCGCAGCATGACCGATGATGGCAAGGAAGAAAAGGAGATCGAGATTTTGACGGATGAGATCGAACCTGGTGAGAATGTGCGGGAGGTAGGTAGTGATGTCAAGTCTGGAGATGTCATTATGAAGAAGGGAGAAGGTATCACTGCTATTGGCGGCGAATTTGGGCTGCTGGCGTCGGTGGGCACGCAAGAGGTATCTGTCTATCAGAAGCCTGTTGTTGGCGTTCTTAGCACTGGCGATGAGATTGTACCGCATGATCAGCCAAGGGACCTGAGGTTGGGCGAGGTGCGAGACACAAATCGGCCGACGCTTCTTACTGCGGTCAAAGGCTCTGGATTTGAGGCTATCGATCTTGGAATTGCGTCTGATAAGTAGGTTTTGATTTGCCTTGAGGAGGCTCCAATGCTAACTTGTCTGAAGGCCCGGCGCTCTCGAGCAGACTCTTCGAGACGCCATGCGCAAGGTAAACGTCATCATTACTACAGGTGGCGTCTCCATGGGCGAACTCGATCTCCTCAAGCCGACAATCGAGCGTTCGCTTGGCGGCACAATCCACTTCGGCCGGGTCAGCATGAAGCCAGGCAAGCCGACCACCTTCGCGACTGTTCCCTTTAAGTCGAACACAGGCTCTGATGAGAAGAAAGTGATCTTCTCACTGCCGGGAAATCCAGCTTCAGCAGTCGTCACATATCACCTCTTTGTACTGCCGAGTCTCCACAAGATGAGCGGTATAAGTCCCGTCGGGCTGCCGAAGGTGAAGGTCGTGCTGGGCCAGGACATCAAGCTGGACCCAAAGAGGAACGAGTACCATCGTGTCATGATTACTGCCTGCAACGACGGACAGCTATATGCAACGTCCACTGGATATCAGCGAAGTTCTCGAATCGGCAGTTTCAAAGGCGCCAATGCGTTGCTGTGTCTGCCGGCGAAGGAGGGATCTCTCAAGAAGGGCGAGAAGGTCGATGCGCTTCTGATGGGCAAGCTGGTAAGCGAGCTGGCGCCTCAGCTTTAGACGAATCGCAAATGGTCGACTGCAATGCTCAATCTTCGTCGTCATCTTCACCGCCATCGTCCTTGTCTTCGATGCCATTAGTCATGTCCAGATCGCCATCCTCATCCACCTCCACGCCAGCAGCAGCTCCACTCTTCGCCCTTTGGGCCCGTACAATCACTGCCCTCGCTCGTCGGATAGCTTCTTCTTCTGCCTTCTTGATGGTGCCGCTGACCCTCACAACCTGAATAACACACGCCTGATCTATAGGCTTGGGTAGTCTTGTCGTAAAAGACAAAGCCGCCCAAACCATTCGGTAGTGCGCACGTGCTACTCGCACGATGGCTGTTGATGTTGCTGGGCTTATGTATTTGACTATCACTTATCAGCAAAAGATTTTGCGGGCCATTATTGAGCACTACTGTCGATGTACCTTGAAGGCTTCCCGCCACCATTCCTGCTCCATAGTCGCCAAAAAGCTCAGAGACGCCATCTCGAATCAAGCGCGCGAGGAGTTTACCATCGAGTCGGTCTGAGCTGGGTCGCCGGAATTGGACTGTCCAGGGATTCTCCCCGTTTTTCTTCGAGGATGCAATTGATTTGTCTTCTGATGGGTAGAGGATGTCAAGTAGCAAGTAGCGGTGCTTGATTCGGACCATGTTGAACGCTTCTTGCTAGTGAAAGACAGCGAGGATGCGCCTGTCTCTCGTACTAGTCGACAATTTGATGCACCATTTTGCGGTTTATTGTTTGATTCGAGAGGAAGTGAGGTCGAAGACTGGAGGTGAGTATGCAGAGCGGAACGCTTCCGAAGGCGGTGGCAGAAAAGTTCTGGGAATTCTCAGTGACCTTGAATTCGAGCTTGCATTTTTCAAACACTTCCTGAACACACAGTCGCCCCCAAATGTCCGACTCACGATTCTCGGCACTCTCGAAAGATCCGCGATACCGACTTCCTAGTCGCAAAGAGGCGCGCACCGCGGTCGACCCTCGATTCAAGACTCTTTTCACCGACCAGGAATTTCGAAAGAAAGCCAGCGTCGACAGGTATGGCCGGAAGATCAAGCCTGAAGCTGGGAAGAAGGAATTGGAGAGATTGTACCAGCTAGACAAGAAGGACAAGACGAAGGGCAAAGCAAAAGATGGGAAGAAGACGGAGCGGGAAGTTGTAGGAAGTTCAGAGTCAGAAGAAGAGGATGAAGACGAAGATGAGGATGAAGAACTCGCAACAACACGGGACCCTGCGCGAGAGGGCTTCTCTGAGTCTGAGTCCTCTGAAGAAGAGACTTCAGAGGAGGAAGACAGCGAGAGCGACGATGAAGCCCTGCTCGCAGAAGATACCGCTGGCCAAGAACAGACTGAGTCGATACCAATGGGAGAAGTCTCACGACGGATAGCCTGCGTGAATCTGGACTGGGACAACATTCGTGCGGCGGATATCATGGCTGTGGCGCAGAGTTTTGCACCCAATGGCGGGAGGGTTGAAAACGTGACGATTTATCCAAGCGAGTTTGGACGAGAAAGGCTAGAGCGGGAAGAGATCGAGGGGCCACCACGTGAGATCTTTGCGAGTTCCTCGGGCAAGAAGAGAGACGAAGAAGAGGACGATGATGCCAGTAGCGATGACGATGAGAAGATCAAGGAGCGATTGCTGAAAGATCAGGCGAACGAGGGCGAGGAGTTCAACAGTGCAGCATTGAGGCAATACCAGCTTGAGAGACTGCGATACTATTATGCTGTCATGAAGTGCGACAGCAAGTCTACGGCAAAAGCCATCTACGACTCCATGGATGGCCGCGAGTACCTGACCACTTCCAACTTCTTCGACTTGCGATTTGTTCCCGACGACACATCCTTTGACGACGACAAGCCGCACGACGAGTGCAATTCTCTTCCCAATGGATACAAGCCAAATGACTTCCGCACCGAGGCGTTGACACATTCAAAAGTGCGACTGACATGGGACGATGACGATCCGTCTCGCAAGGAAGTGCAGAAGCGTGCTTTCTCTCGCGCGGAGATGGACGAGAATGATCTTCAAGCATACATCGGTTCGGATGACAGCGACGCAGACAGTGTTTCCTCGCGGAAGTCTACTGCCGAGGATCGGAAAGCAAAGAAGAAGGAAGCACAACGACAGAAAATGCGTGAAGCGTTGGGGCTTTTTGCAGAGCCAACCAAGGCCAAGAAGGGCCAAGACGAGGCGGTCGGTGATATGCAGATCACGTTCACGTCTGGCCTCAGTGGTGGGAAGGATGGCAAAGCCGTCTTCGAGAACGAGCCACAGGACGAAGAGAGCACACGCGCCAGGTACATTCGCAAGGAGAAAGAGCGCAAGCAGAAGCGGAAGGAAAAGCTCAAGACTCGTGACGGGCCGGCCGAAGAGGAGTCGGCCGACGAGCAACAGCAAGCGGGCGCCGATGATGGCGCTGATGATGACCCATTCAACGATCCGTTCTTCAACGACCCTGAACTTGCCAGCAAGCAGGAGAAGGCCGCAAAGAAGGCCGCTCGCAAAGCCAAGCAAGATGCGAGGGAAGCTCAAGACGCGGAGGCTGAGGCTCGTCGTGCCGAGCTTGAGCTACTCATGGCTGAGGAAGATGGCGAAGGCGTTCGACATTTTGACATGCGGGAACTTGAGAAGGCTCAGAAGGCAGCCAAACGCAATAAGAAGGGCAAGAAAGGCAAGAAGGCGGGGGCTGAGGCTGAGGAGAAGGATGACTTCCAAGTCGAAACACAAGATCCCCGTTTCAAGGATCTGTTTGAAAGCCATGAGTTTGCGATCGATCCTACAAGCAAGCTGTACAAAGGATCGGAAGCGATGAAGAAGGTTGTAGAAGAGGGCAGGAAGAGGAAGGCTGGCAAGCTTGAGGAGGAGGGCGATGGAGTGCCTGTTGAGGCAGGTGCGAGGAGAGAGAAGAAGAGCAAGAAGGAGGGCAAGACCGAAGATGGAGAAGACGTGAAGAATCTCGTGGCAAGGCTGAAGAGCAAGGATAAGAAAAAGAAGGCTGTGCGGTGATTGCAGAGAACTTGTGCTACTAAGACGGCGTCAGACCTCCCTCTATCCTCCCCGTTATGGTCAAAGTGGAACGTATAGAACTGCTATCTTTCCGACTTTGTACAAGCGACTGCGCTGCTAATTGCACTTTAAGCTGCCTAGATGGCTTCGGAGTAATAGGGATTAACAATCCACTTTGAGCGGATCACCGAGGACAGACTCGAGGCGGACGGTGGAGCACTCCATCTAGACCAAAAACCGATCTCTCAATAACCCATCAGACGTCGAAGTTGGACAAGCCTCTTTTCCCTCGAGCTGCCTCATTTGGTTTGGCGTCACTTCCTTCGTCCACCTACTTTTGTGCGCCGCCTCGCCAGCCACATGCATAACCTTTGGCCGACACAGAAATCCGGCCTGCAATGAGCAGCTGTCCAGTTCTCTCCAGTACACCGACTCGGGTCGGTAAAGAGCAAGCATGCGACTGCTCAACAAACAGACGTTCGAAATCGAGTCCTTCCTGGATGACGAGGTGCCGCCGTACATCATCCTCTCGCATCGATGGAGCGGCGCGGAAACCTCCATGCAAGAGTTTGCCCTTCAAAGACGTCTCAGTCGTGATCAGTGGTCACCAGGCACAGCGAAAGTGCTCACCTTCTGCGAACACATCCGGTCTTATGAAGAACAGTACGTGTGGGTAGACACTTGCTGCATCGATAAGTCCAGCAGCGCAGAGCTACAGGAGGCTATCAACTCGATGTTCAAATGGTATCACCAGGCCGAGCAGTGCGTTGTCTACATGCACGACGTGGACGTCACGGCCGGGGATCCGGGAGATAAACACTCGAGGTTAGAGGCCCAATTGAAACGAAGCCAGTGGTTTTCTCGAGGCTGGACACTCCAGGAACTTCTTGCTCCGCGAAAGATCGTCTTCGTGGATTTTAGGTGGACACAAATGGGGTCTCGAGAAGATTTTAAAGTCATTCTTCACCAAATCACACGCATCAATCCTTCCTACCACGGTGACCCAGCAAAAATACATTTGGCACCAGTCGCCGAGCGAATGTCATGGCTAAGCCTGAGGAAGACTTCGAGGGTGGAAGACATGGCATATTGCATGCTGGGAGTTTTTGATGTCAACATGACTATGCTGTACGGAGAAGGGTCGAAGGCTTTCATCCGACTGCAGAAAGAGATCATCCAGAACATCGACGACGAGTCGATCTTTGTCTGGCAGCCAGTGCAAAACGCAGCCGACGAAAAGTCTTGTATCCCCGTGTTGGCTCCAGAGGCAGCCTGCTTCTCCGTGTGCCGAGAAGTCACTATTACCAAGAGCGTCTATCTCAATCGCGACCCCTACCGGTGGACAAACAAAGGCCTTGAGTTTCAACTCTACGAGCAGAGACGAATGCAGTTCTCCGGATATGATCTCCTCGTCATATTGAATTGCATGATCGATGGCAGACGTGCTGCGTTCAACATCCGCAGGACAACTGTGGAGCTTGCAAAAGCCTCCAATGTGTACCAAAGGTTAGCAACACCAGATCTGCTCACGCTTGGGGAACAGTCGTATTCTTATCCGCCGACTGCCGACGACGCCTATCATCGCCAAGTCCATCAGTTGGCTCTCAACTCGTTAAGTCACTTCAATCAGGATCCATTCAGAATGCAACGGTCGGGCGCAGTTATGAACTTCGAGGGCGAAACCACTCTGTTCAAGGTGTTCATCCAATGAGGCAGACATTGCTCTCGAAGTGACTATGCCTTCCTCTCCCAATGCACCAATCGTCGTCCACTACACCCTTCTCAACATCGCCCTTCTCTGACACCCCAGGCTCCACTTCCCCCAAGAAATAACCAGTCACACGCACAAGAGCCACCAAAAACCCAAGAAAAACCATCGCCAGCACCGCGGCCGCTAACGAGACAACCACCCACTTGATCCTAAGCAGCACTCGCAAATCAACACGACCAGTCGTCGTCACTTGCACAAAGCACTCAACGATACTATCCCTCTGACAAGGCCACGCCAAAGCCCCTTCCCGCCCCATGAGTTCCACCGTCGCGGCGCAAGTATTGGGCAGCACGCCGATGGCCGTGTGCGAGAGGGCCTCGGCGATCGAGTAGCCGATGTAGCCGGCGAGGTAGCAGGGCCAGAAACCTTTGCGGTGGCCTGGGTAGGTGACTTTGAGGTGGGCGAGGAGGGCTATGATGGCGAAGCCGGCGAGGGCGCCTATGATGGCTCCACCGACACGGTAGGACTCGGCGAGTTCTAGCAGATGGGTTTTGGCGGATTCGTCCATGGTGGGTGGGGGGAGTTGTTGGAGGGAGGGGGATGCTTTGTGCGAGAAGGGAGTGTGGTGTTGGATATTTTGATGGCTGCGACTATTAGACTAAGAATGTGTCTATCGAGATTCGAGGCCTAGGCTTCCACTCATGAAGTGGTCGGTATCAACCAGTCCTTCCACTCAGGCTGGAGAAAAAGGTAAGCTGGAAGCCAGGCAGCGACATAACCAGGCCAAGTGACGTTCATGAAGCATCGCAGCTATAACTTTCAGACGGGTCTGTATATGCAACTGGAGAGAGAATGTTTTCATGCTGGTAGCAGAGAAATAGAGGACGTCGCCGATACCAAAACCCAAACTCTGAACGATAACGAAAGCCTCGCTATAGCGCAAGTGCAGGCTAGCTGCACCAGATTCTGCCTAATCGATATTCAGACCACATCGATTTTGACAACGTAGTAGCATATTACAAAGAAGGCCGTAAGAACACTCTAAATCCAATAAAAAAGTCATACATACCGTCGGTGTTCTGCTCAAAGTGGAACATTCATCCCCTACTCCCAAGCCGTCCAAGCCGCTTGGAGTGCAATTAGCAATGCAGTCGCTTGTGAGAATTTGGAGAGATAGTTGTGCCACTTTGACCGGAATGAGGAGGGTATAATAGAGTCTTGCACAACGAGCAGGAATTCCTAATTTCCATGCATCTGTGGCCGAATGTGAGACTGTTGGCTTGAGGAAGTCGTCTTGACAGCACCGGTCCTTGACGCAGCCATCAGGTTGACAGACCAGGCTGAAGTTATCACACACGAAGCGAAGCCTTTTGCTATGGTACAGGCAGATGGTAAGACTCCGAGCCAACTCCCACCTGAATAATATTTTTAACCTTACCGAGAGACAAACACCATCCTCAAACCATGCCCACAAAACACTCCACCCCACCCAACCCATCACACCGCCCACACCCATCCAAACACTGCATACTAAAACACCTCCACCCGTCCCCATCCCCCTCCCCATCCGCACCCTCCCCCCGTCGAAACCTCCAAATCCCCACACTCTGCCTCACAACCCCCTCGCCCATCCCCTCAACATCAAAATTCACAAAAACATCCGCATACCTCCCCTCCTCCCCGCGCTTCGTCCGCGGCCGACCAACGCCCGCGTACACGTACGCGTCGCCGTAGACCTCGGTGTACATCAGCGGGCGCGCGATGCGGTAGTGCGGGTATTGGGCGACGAGGGCGGAGAAGGTGGCGAGGGTGTCCGGCCAGCTTGTGGGTGCGCGTCCGCCCCAGGGATAGCGGATGGAGCCGATGAATTCGGGGTCGATGGTGGGGTTGGTGGTGTGCGGGGTGAAGTGGCGGGTGTTGATTGCGGAGATTATTTCGAGGACGAGGGATTCGACGGTGCGGGCGATGGAGGGGGATTTGGTGGCGGCGAGGTGGGTTGGGTTTTGTTTTTGGGTGAGGGGTTTGAGGAGTGGTTTGGTTCTGCAGCAGCCTGGGGCGCTGTGGGAGCGTTTTGAGAGCATTGTTTGGGGGACTAGTTGGTGCACTCGATGGCCTATGTTGGGAGACGTTCTTGAAATTGTTATTGCATGGTATCCGCGATCGACTCACAACGCTGATTGTCGCCTTTTGGGAGCGGCAAGTGAGGTGAGGTCCCGCTGGTACTTAGGGCTGAAACTCAAAGTCAGCTCTCGCATGTGCTCGCGTGATTACGGTAGCACGGGAACTGGGATCGAGATTCGAGACGAATAAGCGAATTCGGGGACTCGAACTGTATGTCTTGGCATGATGGATGTTGGAAAGGTGAGAAAGATGAGAAGATGGGCCGTACCAATCTGAAGTTATTGATTCGTTATGGCACAAAGTGCTCGCTCTCTCCGCATCTCAGCCAACGACAGAACGCCTCTCGTTGTGTGAATGCTTCTGTGAGATGACGCTTCTGCGAGACAGGGAGCAATTTCCTTGAGTCTTCCATTGTCGGCTGCTTTTCCGCCATCGAATGCATCTCTCCCTTGCAGCACTGCCTTCCCAAGTTTATGATCCTCAGATCCATAACATCATATCATCCGCGAGTCCTGTAGAAGGTCCGAGAGGTTCCAAGCTTTATCGATGCCAGTGTGACGTGGGATATTTGGGGGAAACTGCTGGGTACCTCTCAAGTCCGGTTTGTGATCTCCAGTGAATACCCGCATATCCCCAGCAGAATCCATGTGTCCATGCCCATCATGACTGCATCAGGAAGCTAGTCTGCTTTCATTTGGGGGGATCATTCCTTCATACCGACCTCTCCTCTCAAGTCTCATCCATGCTCTCCGGATCTTGGGCCGTCTCAGATGCAGCAGCAACCTTAGTATCCTGATCTATCCCCAAATCCATCGCACCATCCGAGGCACCATTCGTCGCTTGCGCCTCTTTGCTTCCCACATGTCTATCGAGAGTCGACTGTCCATTACCTGCAGCCGGATTGTTGGCCTCCTTGGCCAGTTTCTGCTTATGTTGCTTGTAGGACACCGTTCTTGGCACGACGTCGGACAGAAATTCGAGGTTCTCGACTCGGGCGACGGCATTCGCTAAGAGGAGAATGTCAGTTCATCCCCGAGATATCAATGGCGATACGAGGTACGCTTTCCAGCTCGGCGGCATGGAAGGTAGCAATATCCTGGGGATAGTCGTCACTTACCGACATCTCGGTACTGGATATTGCGCCTCGGCTTTTGCGTGTGCTCCGTCTTCACCTGGGTGTAGGACTGCTCGACTAGATGCTGTAGGAACATCTCCGTCGCGACTGTGATACAAAAGGCAGCATTGTTGCTGCAGTTGCCGGTATCCGGGTCCACATTGATGATCTTCTTCACACGGGCGACTAAGCGGGCTGTTAGCAGAGGAATGGTGGGCATGATGGTATGCTGTAGACTCACGGGGAAGAGAGACAGTTCCAGTGACCTCTTGAGAGGGCGCGATCGGGGTGTTGTTGTATGGCATTTTGATCTTTCTCCGCGGGAGGGGTGATGTACAGAGGTCTGGGTAGAGGCTCCGACGGCGGGGATGGTTGTCGAGTTCGTGGGAGAAAGTGGGCAGAAGTGAGGTGTAGAGTGAGGTGTTTGGTGAGGTGGGAGCCACGCGACGCGCCGCATCAACTTCCGAACAAACCCCGAGCCTTTCACATGTCAGCTCTCCACTATTGACGCCTCAGAACAACGAATCCCTCACCTCACTCCTCGCAGTAGACCAATGGGAACGGCGGTCTACACAGCAACTGACTACAACGACATGCGATGAACCGCCGCATCAGCCAAATCTCCATCCAGTCGCCCTCTATTACCCGCCGCAGCAGCTATGCCACCTCCGTCTCCTCCGCAACCAGACAGCAACCACCCCCGAACCCATTGAACCGCCGTCCCTCCGCCCTCTCCACCGCCGAAGCTGGCAATGCCACGCCTCCCATAAACCCCGCCGACCAGATAGTCGCAGAGGAGATTGCTGAGATCAAGCGGTATGAGGACTTCACCACAATCGACTGGGTCCAAGATGCAGCGCGCGAACAGCAAAGACGTAAAGCGCGGCGGCAGGAACGGGCGGGGTTCTTTGATGCAGAGGGAAGGCTAGGGTGGAGGAGGAAGCTTTGGGAGGCGTATGATGCTGGGCAGGGGTGGATTGTGGTCAGCTTGATTGGAGCGGCGATTGGGTTGAATGCTGCGTTTCTGAACATCGTGACGGAGTGGTTGAGTGATATCAAGCTGGGATACTGCACGACGGCGTTCTATCTGAATGAGAGCTTCTGCTGCTGGGGCGCCGAGGATGGCTGTGAGGAGTGGCATGAGTGGAGTGGATTCGGTCCAGTGAACTACTTCCTCTATATCGTCTTCAGCACGATGTTTGCATTTACCAGTGCGAGGCTGGTCAAGAGCTTTGCACCGTATGCGGCGGGCAGTGGAATCAGCGAGATCAAGTGCATTATTGCGGGATTCGTTATGAAGGGCTTCCTGGGATTCTGGACGCTTCTGATCAAGAGCATTGGGTTGCCGTTGGCTATTGCATCTGGACTGAGCGTGGGAAAGGAAGGACCAAGCGTGCACTATGCAGTGTGTACTGGCAATGTCATCAGTCGATTATTCCACAAATACCGGCGAAATGCAGCAAAAACAAGAGAGATTCTATCAGCATGTGCTGCTGCTGGCGTGGCAGTTGCTTTTGGGTCACCTATTGGAGGCGTGCTGTTCAGTCTTGAAGAGATGAGCAACTACTTTCCCCTCAAGACGATGTGGAGATCCTACTTCTGCGCTCTGGTGGCCACCGCTGTTCTCGCTGGAATGAATCCTTTCCGCACCGGCCAACTGGTCATGTTTACCGTACGCTACGATCGCAGCTGGCACTTCTTCGAGATCCCCTTCTACATCCTCATCGGCACTTTTGGTGGTCTGTACGGTGCATTCGTCATGAAGTGGAACCTCCGGTACAATGCGTTTCGAAAGCGATTCCTCACGAAATATGCGATCCTGGAGGCCACTCTACTCGCGCTCGGGACTGCGATTGTGTGCTATCCTAATATGTTCCTTCGTATCGACATGACCGAGAGCATGGAGATCTTGTTCTTGGAATGCGAAGGCGGACACGACTACGACGAGCTCTGTGATGTTCAGAACCGCTGGCATATGGTCCTCTCACTTGCCCTGGCGACCGTCCTTCGAATCTTTCTCGTCATCATATCATACGGCTGCAAGGTCCCGGCTGGCATTTTCGTCCCATCAATGGCCATCGGTGCATCTTTCGGCCGCATGGTCGGTATTCTGGTCCAGGCATTGCATGAGTCTTTCCCCAACGCTGCTTATTTCTCTGCTTGCGAGCCCGACGTACCCTGCATCACGCCTGGAACCTACGCTTTCCTGGGTGCTGGAGCTGCCTTGTCTGGAATCATGCACCTTACTGTCTCCGTTGTGGTTATCATGTTCGAACTGACTGGCGCTCTAACATACATTCTGCCCACCATGATCGTCGTGGGTGTGACGAAAGGCGTCTCTGAAATGTTCGGCAAGGGCGGTATCGCAGACCGCATGATCTGGTTCAACGGTTTTCCCTTTCTCGACAATAAAGAAGAGCATACATTCGGCGTGCCTGTATCACAGACGATGACAACGGATCCGACTGTGCTTCCTGCCTCTGGCCTCACCATCTCCCAAGTAGAGCGCGCGCTCGTCTCGACCAAATACCAAGGTTTCCCAATCGTCGAAGACATGGAGACGAGGATACTGATTGGCTACATTGGTCGGACGGAATTTCGATATGCGATCGATCGCGCAAGACGAGAGTCGCCTGTATCACCCAACGCCAGATGCTTTTTCTCCCCACAAGAAGGACCTCGAACTGCTGCTACACCATCAGCAGCCGCTCCAGCCGTTTCCTTCGACGACATGGATGCCACCGCAGGAGCGATGAGTGTAGACTTCTCTAAATTCGTCGATCCAACACCACTAGCCGTCCACCCTCGACTTCCCCTCGAGACCGTAATGGAGCTCTTCAAAAAGCTCGGTCCACGAGTCATTCTAGTGGAGCACCGAGGGCGCTTGATGGGCCTCGTCACAGTCAAAGATTGCCTCAAATATCAATTCAGTGTCGAAGCGCACGAGAACCCACGAGATGAGGAAGGGCAAAAGGCTGGACAGGAGAGACTGTGGGAAGTGCTCAAGCGCGCTGGCAGCTGGGTCGGATCAAGAGTTGGGAGGGTCAGTGGTGGGAGGTTGAGACTTGGCGATGGGCATTCGCAGTTGAGCACGCCGCCGAGCAGTGCTGGGTTGGATCCGAGTTCGACGGGCTTGGATGAGGAGGGGCGAGGACCTGCTGCTGGGGGTGTGGAGTTGAGGGATCGGAGGGAGATGGTCTCGTAGCGATGAGTTTGTATTATGGTATACAGTACGCAATGAATCTAATGTACGATCAAGGCTGTGAACTATGTTCCCAGGGTAACGTCCTTGCTCGTTCACGTGAGCGCAACTTTGGTTGGCTGACTTCGCGCTTCAAAGTTCCACCTCGCCCGTTCACCAACCTGGTACTTCCCTCACCACCGTCACTTGTTCTCGTCACCAGCTTGTCTTAGACTTGCAGTGCAGTCTCACGACGACCATCGCTATGCGTCCTGCTGCCAACCTCAACACGCGCGCAGAAATTGGATCTACGCGGTTAGATCCCGTCCCGAACGGCTGAGAGACACCACAACCATGCCACGAAAACTACCATGGCTCGACGGAGCGTCAAAGAAAGAGACGAGGAAATCAACACCAGCCCCTCGCGCACCCAAAAAGCGCTCTTCCTCCACCGACCGCCTCGTCAACTCCGACCTCGAAGACCTCGACCCAGCTCCACGCAATGAACGCCCCAAGAAGCGCCGCCAACGCGAACCCTCCAGCTCTCCTCCGCCCATGATCGCGCCTGAGATTTCTTACATGCGCGAAGGCCTCACAGCGGACGACATCTACGTCATGGTTGAAGACGAGTTCTACAGCACTGCGCAACTCTTCACAGCTCCCCTCCACCGCGCGGCATACGATAGGCTTAAGCGGCTGCATCGGTCCCGCGGGGCGGAGGCGCTGGCGAATATCGAGAGGGGAACGGATCAGAACACGAAGGTGGGGACGGCGCTGAGGAGGAAGATGGAGGCGAAGGAGAGGAGGGGGAAGGCCGTTGAGGAAGAGAGCGATGATGACGATGAGTATATGGCTGTGCCTGAGTTAGCAGGCTTGATGACGAGTAGTCAGATGATTGGGGAGAGGAGGGTCGAGGGAGTTGCGAAGGCGAGGAGTAATACGAGGGCTGCCGCGGGGTTTCTGCAGAGTCCGCATAAGGGCAGCAAGACGAAGGATGTGTTTGCGAACAAGAATTTGGCTTCTGCGGAAGAGGATGAGAGTACGGATGAGGATGATTTGGATGCGGGTACGACGAAGTCTCGTGCGTATGAGGATATGGATACCTCTCTTGACGAGCCGCGTCTTTCGATCGAGAAGCCGCAAGAAGCGAAGAGCAAGACTCATGGCTTCTTCAAGCAGTTCGCCAACAAACCTGATCCACCGGCTGCAAGACCGGCAGAGCCAAGCAAGAAGTCCGATCCTCCACGACACGACAACACCTCCCCGAGTCGAGAGTCTTCGTCCACACCAGCCGTCAACGGCGGTCCCCGCCGAGGTGGAGGAGGCAAAGGGTCGCGTATGGCGGAGATGCTCGCGAAGCGCAAGCAGCAGTCGACGCAAGTCTCCGACCCTCCTCTGGTCGCCGTGCAAGAGACTCCTGTGAAGACGAAGACGAAGACGAAAAAGCCAGAGCCGGCATCGACCCCAAGACCCAAGGGCAACTCCCTGACGAGCTCCAGCATAAAGGCGGAGGAGAGCAAGAGCCCAGACTACCTTACGCAACGCAAGATCAAACGTGAGAAGAAAGAAGCCGAAGAGAAGAGTAGAAAGACCCAGAGAGACGACATCCCGACGTTTCTCTTCTGATGAAGAATTAGAGAGATGTGCTGCTTTCGAGCAGGGCTACATACCCATGATTGCAGGTACCTTTTCTTTCCATCACCCTTTCTCCAGTCTCTCAACCACTCTTTCCCTTTCTCTACCACTTCTCCAACATGGGCCTAATATCAATCTCATTCGTAAAGCACCTCTTACTCTGCGTGTGCAGATTCCAGTATGCCTCCGCAATGGCATCAGCCTCAATCTTGGCCTCTGGCGGCTGGTCCTTCAACCACTCCTTCGTCCTCGGAATATCAATCACACCATCAATAATCGCATGCGCAACATGCACGCCCTGCGGCGCGAACTCCTTCGCAATCGACGTCGATAGCGCACGCATGGCGAACTTAGCGGACGCGAAGCCCGCTCGGAGGGCATTCGCCTTGACGGAAGCTGTGGCACCAGTGAAGATGAGCGTCGGTGGGTACTTCGCGCCCTTATCCTCAGCGTGCTTGAGGAGAAGAGGCAAGCTCTTCTGCGAGAAGATAAAAGCCCCCTTCACAGCCACCTCATGCCCCGCAGTGAACTCCTCCACCGTCTGCTCCAAAATCCCCTTCCGCACAAACTTGCCGCCCGCATTGAACACCGCCGCGGCAGCAGGTGCGCCCGGGAACTCCTTTTCAATTTGGGAAAATGCGTTCTTGAGAGACTCTTCGCTGGAGACGTCGGTGCTGATTCCCACGGCTTTCCCGCCGGAGGAGTTGATTTCTTTGGCGAGGGACTCGTAGTTTTCGGGGTTGCGGGCGAGGAGGATGACCGGGTAGGACTTTGCGAAGCGGCGGGCGACGGAGGCGCCTGTGCCGGGGCCTACGCCTGCGACGATGGTGATGGGGGTGGGCATTGTTGTGGTTGTGAAGTGGGAGGTAAGTTGGTGGAGGCGAAGGGACGACAGCTTGGATAGAGAAAATGAGGTGGTGGTTGTGGTGTTGGTGAGGAGATGGTAGGAAGCTCACGAGGAGACTTGCCTTTATGAATACTAACGGTGGAGCTTTGTTCTAGGTGCTTTTGAGCACGCAAGACGTGTGTTTGGGTGGTTGCTTAGCAATGCAGAAGAGCTTTGGAGTGAGGGACGAGATGACGAGAGCTCTGGTGATGGCGTCAGAGCTCTGGCAATCACTAATCGAGAGCCGGGGTGCTGCTATAGCTGCTTGGCCCTACTTTTGTTCGAGTGGTGCTTGGAATAAGGGAGCGTGGACGGCGGAGGGGATGACAGTGAATGCCGTGAGCGCTCAGTATATGGGTTGATACTTTCGATCTGAGGAGCAGCGACTTCTTAAAGTCCTTCATCTTCGCAGGATGGAACCCTGTCCCGGAAAGCGGCAGACAGGACCGACCGTCTGCCACATGGAGGATGAAACTCATGAGGACCTGCAGCTGGCAGTATAGGGCTGTTGATGCGCGTACACGACGACGAATCCGGGACGAAAGAAGGAGTTGACAAACTTCCATCCACCGGATCATAGCGCCTAATCATTCTTCCGCATCCGGCAAGCCTTGTAGCGGACACGACGGTCTCGGCAGCCTTCTGTGGCTCGATTTGAATTTCCCTGTCACATGAGGGAGACAGACCTTGCCAGTATGAGCCAACGTTTAAGGAACGACTACGGATCTCGCGGCTGTAATGTGCGTACTCGTTCCTGTTGATCAGCTACATCTCGATCCGGGACAGTGTGCAACTTTGTCCGGGCTGGTGGAGAAGCTTGTGTTACGATTGAGGGCTGGCCTATATGAGCCTGCTATGCTGGTTGCGTTCTGCAAAATGCTTTTCGATTGCTTCGGCCGTCTACGGACGACACAATGCCTATCAACTCGAGATTCGCGACTCCTCTACCGGAGGAGACGATCCCGACATGGCTGTTCGGCAGTCCAACAGACACTCTACCAGAGACTCCTCTGATCATCGACGCCGCAAACCCAGAAAGATTCCTCTCAATGTCTTCATACCGACGCCAAGCTCAGCGTTTCGCCCGGGGTCTCCTTGACGCAGGCTTCCAGCCCGGCGACGCTGTCCTCTTCGTCAATCTCAACAACCTAGCATGTCCCATCATCTACATGGGCACATGGATGGCAGGCGGTCGCTGTACAGGGACGTATGCCAGCGTTCCTTTCGAACACGTCGCGCGTCTTATGGAGGATTCAGAGTGTAGGTTTCTGTTGGCTGATGAGAAGTCGTACCACAAGTGCGTTGAGGCGCTTGGGAGCAGCTCTGCGGTGGAGAGAGTGTTTCTCATAGATGATGGTCTGCTGTTCGATCCTGCCCCTGGAAAGGTCGGCTCCCAAGGACGTCCTACCTGGAGTCGCTTCCTCGGGCTGGAGACTCAGGGAGAGAACTTCGATTGGAGACGGCACTGCTCTGATGCCGACCAAATCGCCTGTCTGAACTACACCTCAGGCTCCACCGGCCCGCCAAAAGGTGTGATAATGACCCATCGCACGATTCTGGCGAGCTGTGTAGCGCACCTGGCAATGCAACGCTCCGATCCAGACGAGGTCGAATGGGTAAAGCAGGCGATCTGGCTTACTTGGACGCCTATTGTATTCCCCTTGACCTTGCTGCAAGCTGTCATCAACGCGCCGCATAGAAGTATTAGGAACTATGTCATGCCCGGCATCGATATCAGTCTCGCCACGAAACATATCGCGAAGTACCGACCGACGCAATTGGTTTTCAGTCCTGCTATGGCTCGGGATTTCTTGAACCACCCAGATGTTAGGAATACGGATCTTTCCAGCGTGACCAGCCTGGACGTGGGCGGCCAAGCCTTACCTCGGGCGCTGAAGGAGCAATTACAAGGAACATTCGTAAATGCTAAAGTATTGACTAGCTTTGGCATGACAGAGTAAGTAAATCGAGCTCTTCAACCCTTCGTTTCACTGTCGCCTGACCCTTTTCCAAGAACAGGAGCCTTCGCCCTCGCCCAAAGCCGCATCGACAAAGACACCTCCTGGTTCACTGGCGAAATACTCGCCAACTTCTCCGCCAAGATCATGAGTCTCGACGGAAACCAAGAACTGGATGCGAATGAAAGAGGGCATCTTTGGCTCCGTGGCCCTGCTGTTACAAAAGGCTACTGGAAGCGAGCGGACACCACGTCCAAGAATCTAACTGCAGATGGATGGTTGAAGACCGGCGATCTTGCGTACTTTCGGGATGATGGGAAGATTTGCGTTTTGGATCGGGTTGAGGTACCATATACTATTCACCCTATCCACTCACATTGACACTTGCTAATTCAGTATCGTACCCAGAATGTCATCCAAACCTCCGACCAGGTCGTCCCCTTCGAGGTCGAGTCAGCCATCATGGAGATCCCCGGGGTCCAAGAAGCCGTAGTAGTTGGGGTGAGGAGGTGAGTTACACACCACCATAACCAAGTAAACTGAGCTGAGAAATACCAGCAATTTGAACAATCCAACATCAGAACCCCGAGCATTCGTCACCATTCGCAAAGACTCATCAATCACAGCTCAAGACATCACCCAAGAACTCAAGGAGAGACTGGACGAGTCGCAACAGGTATCAGGAGGAGTTTTCGTGCTCCCTGCTATGCCGAAACTGGCTGTTAAGATTGATCGGCAGGCTTTGAGGGTTATGGATGTAAGGGGGCTGTCGTGAGGGTAGTGTTGCTGTAATGATTGGAATTAGTGTGGTGTGTTTGTTCTTGCGGACTGGTGTTGGTGTTATCATTCGTGGAAGCTCAATATCCTGGTGGCTTACAGAGCAGATGAGTGTGGCAAGACGGGCAAGTGGCTGCAGCATGTGAAACTGACGTCCGTGCGCTGTCTACAGCTACCGAGATCGGAAATAATACGCATTTCTTTCGCAATCACCGGAGATGTCTTTTTGCAACAGAATTACAAACACTACAGCTTTGATGTTGCATCAGAAACCCTCAGCAATCGTCCATGCGCCACGCCTAATTTTGAGCTCAGAAGAAATGGTACCTGAAAATAGGGCACGGCGATAGTTGCCATTTCGCTGAAATAGGCATAGCGTTTGACTGCAGCTGAATAACACCTTGAGGTCTCAGCTCGATTGGAAAATTCTGAGAGATGTTTGAAATACAGACTCGATGTCCTGATTTCGAAGTGCCAATATGGTATCATGGCTCGGCGACAAGGGCCAACCTGCCAAGAGTGCAGAGGTACGCATCCTTTCTTCAACTTCCCTGGGAGAGATTTGCCATTACGGCAGTGACGATGCTGACAATGCCCTGGCACCTGATAGTCCGCAAAATCAGCTGCAGCCAAGACTGGCCGACATGCTCCAACTGTTCTCTGAGAGGCAGGACATGCCGTCGAGAGAGATTTCCGCTTTCATGGCCCAAGGCGCACGACAAGCGACGCCACGTGGTGGGCCCTGATCCTGATCACGACCCTGTTCCTGCGCGGCGGAAGAAACGCTCCTTTCAGCACTTTGTTCATATTACACTGCATGAAGTGGCGGCTTCGGAGTCGTATAATGGCCGTACGGTCAGACTTCACCGGTGGCTGGCACTTAGTTGCTGACGATTGTGTAGGGCTTTGGGATAAGGCTGTGTTTAGTCGCAAGTCGAGCCCTTACGAGGGTATGAGGCAGTTACCGGAGCCAGCCAAGCCATGGGACGAAGGCGAATTGCTAGACTACTGTATGACATGGCAGAGAATTCCAACTGTCTTCCCTTATGCTGACAGTACCTAGTCTACTGCGTTTCCTTCCACGGGTTACCTCGGCTGGATCCCTCTCGAGGAAGTGTCCGCGACATGATGCTACGCCTTGCCCTACACGACGATTCGGTCTCCTCACGGGCCGTCAAATACGCCATGTTATTCATGTCTGCCGTCCATCGCTACGGAGACATCGCGAGGGCCGCAAAATACAAGCAGTCCGCACTTCGAGAGTTGAGGCACGCATCTCTAGTCGACGATGTTGACCATCTGCAAGCCCAACAGCATATCGCTGCGAATTTGATGCTTTGCCGTGCCGAAGTAAGCCCATCCAGTTGACTCTCGACCAACAATCGATCATCATCGACTGACACTCCATTTAGATGGCTCTGTCGTCTCATGATCGCTCGGGCTGGAGCACTCACATCGCAGGCACCAAAATGATCGTTGCATGCCTGCCGAGTCATGGACTGGAACTTTTGACCAGCAATGCAGAGGGCGCAATTCTGTACCAGTGTCTCGAGTACCACGACGTTGTCTCACGATTCGCTCTCCAACACTATAAAAAGCGTGATCGTGATGGCTCAATAGGCCCCAGAAGCAAGTGCCCACTAGGTGAACTTGCCTTCCAGGTTAGTAATGGACCCAATCTCAGAGGAGAAATATACTAATGAGATAAACCTGCTCAGCCTCTACCAGACTCGGAATGTCTGGTTCCTGATATCAAGATGCTTGACCAGGTGCTCGACTTACTTCACAGAGTCAATCAAATCCGAGCTCATGAAGAGGCAATCGCTCAGCTGGTAAAACTAAACGAAGCATTCGAAAGGACTTCCCTGGATTCAAGAATGCCACCAGAGGCCTACGGTATCTGGATCGAAGAAGAACCTTTCTGGGGCGAAAATACACTATCAGACGACTCCAACCAAGCAACCATAGACAATTCAAGGTCCACCTTGTTCCAAGCGGCGACTCGAATCTTCTTCGAAAGAACCCTCTTCTCCCTCTCAGGAACATCACAACGTATGAGAACCATCGTGGACGGAGCGTACCACCTAGTCAACTACAACCTCCAAATCAGCAAATATCGAGCACTACGACGAATCCCGCCCATCGCCTTGCTCCTCATCGGCGCCGAGGCCCGCAACGACGTCGAGCGGACGGCGGTGCTGGATCTCATCGCGCAAGCCACTACGGAAGCGGAGAAGTGGCTGCAAGCTGATGGAATGACACGTCCGAAACTCGGTTTCAGATCTACGGCAATGAACTGCGTTTCAGAGCTTGTGAAGAAGCTGTGGACTAAGCAGGACTTGCATGATCCTGAGCAGGGGTATTGCGACGATTATGGGACCAGGCTGTGCGAGGTCTTGTCTAGCTGTTCGGCGTTGCCGTGTTTGCTGTAACCTGCGATCCCATGTGCCAACTCAGTGGCGAGATCGAGTGGCTTTCTTTCTGGGATCGGCGCTCCCAGATTGGCATGTACCACAGCCGTTCCAGGCCAGGGCGATTTCGATGCCATGGGCAGCCTTACGGATTAGTCAGCCGGTCAAAGATGCCAGACGTCTCAAAGGAGCAAGTCATGGGAGCGGTTGAAGGATTCTCAGCCATGCCACTAAAGGTGTGCTAAGGACACTGCTCTTTTCAAAACTTAGTAAGACCTCATTTTCTTCAAGAGAGTCGGCATGCACTTGTCTTCCTGCAAACACAATCCACCGTCCGAGCGAAATCAAGTCAACTTGCATACACACCCTGCGTTGATCTCTTCCAACACACATACCTTCCGATCAAAACCTCAGCCATCAACCTTATCCTCAAAATGCCCACCCTAACAACCACAATCCCCCTAACCTCCCTAACCTACACCATCCCCAGCCTCAACCACACAATCACCCTGCACCTCCCCAACTCCTCAAAACACTCCGCCCATCTCCCTCCCAACTCAACCCACCGCATCCTCGAAATCCCCCTTGGATCCCACTGGCAACCCGGCGCGCACTGGCACGAGGAACATACGGAGTACATAAAAATCTTGCAAGGGACTGCAAAAGTCTGGATTAATGGGCGAGTGAGGGTGCTGGGGGAAGGGGAGGAGGTGGTTTTTGAAAGGAGGGATGTGCATAATTTCTGCAGGGCGGAGATTGATGGTGGGGAGGTTTTGGTGGTGGAGGAGTGGACGGATCGTGGTGAGTCAGCCTGTTCACTCCTTGGCGGGTCTTCGCTTGTCTGATCCAGTTTTGAGTTGCAGAAGACGGCAGCAAGCAAGTCTTCTTTCGCAACGCGTTTTCCCTCGTGCGAGACACAGAGAAACTCGGCGGTCTGCTCTGGGCGTTTTTGAGGTTCTTCTATCTTTGTTCGTATAGAGATAATCTCCTGGTGTTTGGGCCGCTTTGCCTGCCGTTTTGGGCGCAGAGGTTCGTCACGGGAGTTGTGTTTGGGGTTGTGAGGGTGGTGGGAAGGTTTGCGGGTTGGAGGAGTTGGTATGAGGAGTATACGCCTGTTCGGTTAAGGGAGGTGGCGGAGGGGAGGAAGAAGAATTTGTGACGGATATGTAGGTGTTGTTGATAGAAGGTGGTGGGTATGTCCAGTTTGGTCTCGTTCCCTGTTGCACTCTCGTGTCCCTGCAGTATCGGTCCGGGAAAAGTTGTGCCACAGCTCAAAAGACACCAGGATGCTACTCACCTAACTCGCGAGGCTGCCCACGGAAGCACGATTACATACTACCGCTGGATGTAGCAGGTGGTCCTGTCTCACATGCGATCCCAACTTGTGCTTATAAATCGCACAGGCGCTTTTTCGACGTGAGGCTCATTCAGCCGTCAGGTTGACGTTGCCGGATGGCGTATTAAAGGTTGGTCAGAGGCTTGCCTCAAAGGTTCAATGACCCAACACTTCGAGATCTTCGGGCAAGAAAACTGACGGACACTCAGAAGCATTCAAACATCTCAACATCGGAGACAAAATTACTCCACACTACTCGCGATGCCTCCGAACAAGTTGACCGGCAAGCATATCCTTTTCATCGGCGGCTCCACAGGCCTCGGACTTGCAGCCGCACGAGAGGCTCTCTCCAGCGGCACCAAAGTCACACTCGCATCTTCATCGCAAGACAAGCTTAACAGAGCTTTGAAAGACCTCTCTTCCGACAACCCTGAAGGCCAAACGCACTCCCTCGTCATCGACCTCCTCCGCCCCGACATCGAGCACGCCCTGAACGAACTCCGCACAGCAGCAATGGAAGTCCACGGTCCAATCAACCACATAGTCTACACAGCCGGCGATTGGTTCCCCCACGTACCGCTGACAGACATCACCGAAAACAACTTTGTCCAGGGCGCCCGTCTTCGGGCCCTCGTACCCATGCTGCTCGCCAAGCAAGTCGCGCAGGGAGCCTGGCTTCCACGCTCCCGCTCCTCATCCCTAACCTTCACGGGCGGCAACATCAGCCAGAAACCCACGCCCGGTTTTCTCCTGCCAGCTTTCATCGGTGCTGGAATGGAAGGCGCGGTCCGAGCTATGGCGTTGGAGCTCGCGCCGATTCGCGTGAATATCGTGGCGCCGGGGTTCGTGGATACGGAGTTGTGGGGTGAGATGCGGGGGTTGTTGGCTGAGAGGCAGGAGGGGAGGGTTTTGACTGGTAAGGCTGGGCAGGCGGAGGATGTGGCTGAGGCGTATTTGTATTTGGTTAAGGATGGGAATATCACGGGGCAGGTGATACGGTCTGAGGGTGGTGCTATGTTGCTGTCGCAGGAGAGTCGTGGGCGATGATGGTGGATGTTTACACGATTGTGCTGGATTGGATTCACGAGTCGTACCATGTTTGTAGCGCTCATCATACCATCAACGGAAGATCTCCCTCATCCCTCAAAATCGAGAAAAAATCACGCTGTGGACCGTTTTCATGATCCCGCTCTTTCCACACAAGCTCCACAACATTGAAAGCTTTCGACACCACGCCATATAGGCTATGTGGCTGAACGGCGTCCATGATGATGCGAACTCGACACCGCTGGGAACCCACGGCAAGGCTACCTGCTATGCACAGCGGCCAAGCTAGGGAGCGTAGCAAATTTGGAGGGCTGAGCTGGCCAAGTAGTTCGATAAGTTCACACACATGTGATCTCGTGTCTGAGTTGTTTGGATCCTCTCCTGATGTGAACAGGGAGAGTTGTAAGAGGGCAGCGTGAATCCATATCCGTGCAACAAGATGTCGTTGGGCGTCCTGTTTGGGGTCATCGAAAATTGCGAACGCTTTAGCAGGGCTTTTCCGTAAGTGACGTGCTTCCAACAACTGGAGTTGCCTCTGAAGGGAGTCTCTAATCGCTGTAGTGCGCTCAGCCAGCTGCTCAGAATCCACCGAATTGCTATGCTGGTCGTAACAATCTAGAGCGTTCACGTTGGCGATCTTCCCCATCTCAATAAGAACACTTTTTGGGCAACCTGTAACCTCGTCGAGCCTGAGTACGCCGCTGTCCGCCTGTCCAACCTTTCCCAGCAGGTGCTCGTGGTAGGCGGAGAGCCTTGGATGTCCTTGGACAACGATGCTTGCAATGACATCGTCGAACAAGATCAGAGCAGTCGACATCCTCAGTGCTGTACGCTCTGCATCGGGAAGTCGACCAGTACATGATTGCATATCGGCATCGACGACCACGGGCCTTGTTGCAGGATGTTCCAACTGATCTTTAGCACAAGCCAAGATATCACAGCACAACTCCAGCGCAACATCGAGATGAGCCCGACAATTCTCAAAACTACCCACACACACCTCAAACCGCTGCATCTGCATGATGCCAGTAAATACTCGCACAGCACCACGCAACTGAGCCTGCACGCTCGTGCGAATCATGACTTCGGTAGCATAGTGCAGCATACGGAATGTGTTGGCAGACTGTGCCACGGTATCGTTCCATCCGGTCTTGAAGGTGCCTTGGCTGAGGGCGAAGAAGTAGGAGCTTTGGGAGAGGATGACGCCGCGGATCACATGGCTCGAAGAAGCGAGTTCCAGGATCCAGGCTCTTCCTCCTTCTCGTTGTGGGTCTGGGTGGTAGAAGGGCAGCAGGAAGGGGAGGACATTGTCGAGGTAGAATGATAGCAGGACTGTTTCTGAATGTGGCGGTCGGGCTTCATCGTAGTCGCTACCGTCGTATGCGGTCGAGGAGGAGAAAGGACAGCGTGGTTCTTTTCCAGCGATCTCGGGGAGTCCATATTGCTTCGATGGAACAGGTTTCCCAAGACCACTTCCACTTGGATTTGCAGCAATACCTCTCCGCTGCCCTCTACCAGCAAGACGACTGTGCGAATGAGCTCGAACCTCCCGCTTGAAAGAGATTGCCATCTCCTCCTGTCGTTTCCCGCCATCCATCCACTCCGGCTTGGTTCCGCGATGGCAAGTAATCTGCAGGAACTCGCAATTCTCGCAGACTTTCTCGTTGCGCTCGTCGCACTTCTTCCGTCGGACCTTGCATGTCCAGCAGACGTTGGGGTTAATCATGGGTGCTGGGCGGTAGTAGATGGGGGTCCAAGGAAATGAGACAGGGTGAACAGAACGTATGCGCTACTCAGCACGGGTGGTGGTGCCTTGGCGCAGCAGTAATATGTGATGACTATAGTGTTGTAGGGAAAGAGAAGAGGAAGAGGAAGCTGAGAGTGAAAGCTGATTTTAAGAGGCGTTTCTGATGAGCTAAGCAACCAGAGATATATTGCAATGCCTACATCCCTCGGACACATGAATCCGAGGCATTCGAGAGATTTTCGTGTAACCAGATTACAGTGATGGCTGTAGACGCAATGAGCTCATCGTTACTAGACAAGGCGGTGGTGAGTGTCAATCCTCACGACACAGCGAGACTTGCCTCCTTTGCGTAAGTCTTAAAGATGGTCGAACGACAAGTAGATCGGTGCGGCAGGACGAATCAACGATGTAATCTATCGACAATTCGAAGCGTCTCGCAACGCCACGGTGCAAGCAAGCTGAAGGCTGATCAAGTCTCAAAACTTCACGTAGCCCTTCCCCTTAACAAAAGTCGCATGCCACGGCACATCGCCCTCATGCGCCGCCAACTGTTCATAAAACTCCGCGTGCGCCTCCCCGTCCACGTCCTGTCCCTTCAAACGCCCATCCGCGTGCCGTTCATCCGCATAGTGGAACCTAGGAACCCGTCTCGTCAGCTCTCAACACTATCGCTCACTTCAGTCTGGATACACACCTATACCCCTTCCCCCTATGCGCCGCATCCGCCATCCCAATCCAATAAGCCGCCGCGGCCTTGCCCATACCCACGTCGACCATCATCGGCATGGGAACGATAGCGACATTAGTAATGTTCCCCGTATAGATGAAGGTCTTCTTCACATCCCCTCCCAACTCCTCCCACGCCTTCGTAGCCTCGTGCGCGGCAACATACGGCGTGACGACATTGACAAGAAAGTCCTTCTGGACGTCCTCGGCGGGGACGGAGAGGGGGTCGTCTTTCACGGCTGGGGGCGTGAGCGAGCCGGCGTTGTAGATGATGACGTTGGGAGGGGAGGAGAAGGTTTCTTTGATGGTGGTGAAGATGGAGGGGATGGTGGAGGGTTGGGAGAAGTCGGCGGTGAGGGAGAGGGTGTTGGTGTTGGTGTTGGAGGGGGTTTTGTTGGCTGCTTTGCTGCCCCCGGTGCGGGAGGCGAGGGCGACTTTGTAGCCGATGGAGGAGAAGCGTTCTGCGATGGCGGCGCCGATGCGGGGGCCGGCGCCGAGGATGAGGACGATGCCTGGGGAGGACATTGTTGATGTGGTGAGTGTTGTTGTATTATAACGTGAAGGGGAAGGTTGATGTTTCGACGAGAAGGAATTGACTTGCCTCGCCCATTTATGTATTGCGATCCATGGCAGATGGCCATCGACGTTTCCGATGCATTCATAAGCAACACTGGTAGTCTTGCAGAGTTGCAGATTTCTGTTCTTGATTCCCATACGAATTAGCAACGGCACTAGAGCATTGCGCGCGGATGGATGAGGCTCCATAAATTCGATCCTCGCGCGCGGAAGGATTCACAGCCTTTTGACGCAATGCCCAGTCAGCGCTCATGACGATGGGTTAAAAATTTGGGCATGCGCTAGTAGTCTTGTCTACAAGCTCCAACTCCACTCGTCAACATTTTCGAACGAAGTTGAGAACCCAAAGAATAGATATCGTCGACGTCCTGTGTCTGTCACATGCGCGTATGCCTCAGGCCACAGCTCCCTCACCGGAGCAGCAAACCCTCCAATGGCTCCGCCAGAATTGTGTTGCCTTTTTAAGGCATCAACATTCTCATAAGCCACTGCACACCTGACACCTGTACGATTAGTAGACACATCTTAACTCTCTTCGCTACCGCAGTAGTCTTCCCCATCGTCTTGAGTGACCATGGAAACCGTCTCCCACTTCTTTTCTGTCTATACTTACCTCCAACAAATTTGGCGGAAGCTCAAGATTCAGCGGGTTAATCACCAGATTATGGCGAAGAATGCTCCTTCCATACTCTGCTTGCCCGATGATGTATTGCTCATGATCTTCGATCAGCTTCAACAAAACGATCGCCAATCTCTTCCAGTGAGGCGACTTGCTCTGTATGCAGCCTGCCGAAAGCACAAGCCGAGACAGTGTCCCCAAAATCAAAACACCAACGGCCACGAAGGAGACTTCATCCGCTTCTCAGCAAGCAATCGTCGCATTCGAAGCCTCGCTCGTGCGAAACTTTTGCGCACAATCTCCTTGGGCACAAGCTGGAGTCCCGAACGAGCCTCCAAAGCCTTGACAAACCTGTCCCAATCCCCCCACGCGAGCGAATACGTCCGGGAGCTGAGATTAGATATTTGGGATGCAGGGGATCTTGTCGTTGGCGTCGAGAAAACGACGACACAAGCGGCCAAAAATCTGCTCAAGTTCAGCCATCAATTCCTTGCCGCGGCGCGGCTGCTCGACAATGTCCAGAAGATCAAGATTGCGGTGCCGGCGAGTACGGCGTTTGCACTGCATTATGCTTTCAGGCTGGACGTCAGTGTCGAGGCGGGGATTCAGTTGCCGAATGTGAGGGAGTTGGATCTGAATCCATTCATGCATTGGATTATTGACTTTTGTCCCAATGTGCGAAGCGTAAAGTCGAATGATTGGCTGGTTCAAAGCGGTGTCGCCAGACACGATCAGGTTCAAGCGATCATCGAAGCGGCTGGCAGAGCGCCATTTCTGGAACACCTCGCTCTGCATTGTCGATGGCGGCTGGAGTTGCTCCAGCAAGTCGTCGAGCAGATGCCAGGCCTCAGGGCTCTCGACTTGCGCGGTGGAGATTTCGCGCCAGACATGAAGTACATGCTAAGCGTCCTGCAAAGAATGGAGAAGCTGGAGACCTTGAGACTGCCAAAGGCGCCAAAAGCTGGTCATATCCTGGGTCTCGATGGATGGTACTTATCGCTGGGCGAAACCTCGACCTTCCATCATCAAGTCGTGACGAAGAAGGTGTTCCGCGAGTTGCGGCACTTGGAAGAGCTCTGCTTGGGACGTGGCTTCCAGGCGCGTATGTTGAATCGAGAGCTGAGCCAGATCGATGTTCGATGGGAGTCCAGTCGGTCACCGCATTATTCGCATCGTTCCTCGTATGAGGAAGTACCGTGTACGATGTCAGAGAATGGCCAAGCTTTGAAGAGTTGTCCATCAGAATGCGTTCTTGAGCAGGAGCTGTTACAGGAACTGAGTGAGGAAGATCAGGAGAACATCAGGGGCTTGCGGCTTCTGGAAGACGAGCCATATTACTGATTGTTGTTCTGTGGGTGTCAGTGCTGTACCTGAATGGCATTGATGGGCATAAGAAGTAATGTTTTAATGTGTAATGTAATAATGAGTGTGCATGAAACGATATGGGTGAATGATTCAGCTTGACTTACCCAACCACATATCATCACGCAACCGCATCCCGCATATTACCAGCGGCGACACGCTGTAGCGTCTCCCCAACCAGTAGGAGATTTCCTGACTACACCCTCTCCCACGCAGTGCGACCTGCCACAATCAGCAATACGCATGCATGCAGCTGCTCCGCCCACGCGATAAGCGATGAGCAAATAGGCGTGACGGAAGCGATATGTCGGCAGATGAGTGCATGGTAGCTCGCACCTGCGCACACGCATAGGGGTCATCCATGGGTGAAGGCCTGAGTGTTCGTCCAGGGAAGCTCGGGTGGCTGTTCCAACCAGTCATAGTTCCTTGAGCTGTGGATGGCAGGTGGAGGTGGATGTTTGTCTGTCTGGTTGAGGCGTGGTCGTTTGGATAGCCTCGCATGACGATGCTATCAGGTGATGGACAAGTTTGTGGTTGTCGATGTCAAGGTGTTGGGCATGATTCGCAGCGTCTGCTACGGCGAAGCCGCCGGGGAGCGGGATGAAGCTGCGATAGCCGCATGTCGTCAATCAGGGGCAGAGGCGTTCATTCCGGCGCCGCTGCGGTAGAACATGAGTAAAGCAGACAACAATGATCGACATATCCAGCAACAAGGGCGAAACAATGCATGTGGGTGTGGTTTGGGCACGAGCAGCGACCTGCAAGCGCCCAACTTCTGACCTTCACCTCTCCCCTTCACCACACCACCCACTCACACGCGTGCTTCATGTGCTCTGGCGTGCCCAATACGCACGCGACACGCACGCACATGCATTGACGATGAATGATTGAATTGGCGAGGCGTGCCAAGCGGTGGTGGCAGCGTTGCATCCGCAGCGTCGCGAGCAAACCGAGGGAAAAGTTGAGCGATGGCTTTGTCGATCGCGCCCGCTCTCGAACAAGCTGCGCACCAAGCTACGGCGGACTAGGCGGGATGGAGAAGGAAAAAACGCGATAGTAGAAAGAAGCAAAAGCGTTGCGGTGCTTGCTCAACGGTGCTCAACACGCGGTATTGATTAGTAGAAGGGCATAGGGGGTTGGTATAGCTGTGTCTCCCGCCATGATCCCAGTGGTGCTTGGTTTCGGTGGAGGAAGCCCAGACGAGCCCCTCCGCATCTTCGTATTCTCAGATATCGCCAACAATGCTGGGCAAAGTGAATGCCATTGTGGGTGTTGGTGCGCGAGATGTAGTCGTGTGTTCGGGTTGTAGTTGTGTGTCCAGCCGCTGCTCGGCGGTGTTGTGAATTGATCAGATAAGAGGGAGTTGTATCAGGGGCCAGGCGACAAATAGACCACGAGAAGAATGGCAATGCGGATAGCAAACAAAGTTGGCCATTCGATAGGAACTGGCCCTTGCAGTGCAATTCTTCGCGCATGGTTCCAGAAGGCGAGTACAGCAGCTGGGGTGGGTGCGAGTGGCACATTCCGAGCTGCAGCGGCGCCGGAACATGTGCCCCCGTGTTCGTCAAACACAGCAGCACAGCATCCAGTCGACATCATCACCACCACCGCCCAACTCATCGCCGTACCGCCCTCTCTCCGCCCCAACCACCCACCACCGCCCACTAGCACCCACTGCTAGCCAATTGCTGCGTGGATTCGTCGACTGAGCACTGGCATCGGCTGCGACGATCTCTCATCTCCTGCAAGGACCACCGCACACCGTCGCTGGCAAAAGCCGGGACACCATCACGACCACCTCGCATACACCGCGCTCAAGCTACCACCACTACAATCAACACACCACACGCACACCTCCAGACCTGTCCACCACCCATTGACGGCCTGCATCCCTTGCCTGACGCCGGCGCCGCTCCCGTCCTCGTCGCAGCGACCATCCTCCTCAACCCGCCATCTCAATCCTTCTCGGCCCTGACCGCTCCTATCGAACCTTTCTCCCTGCAATGGCTTCCAAAGTACGCACAACCTCCACACCCACACCCTCTGCGCCAAGCTAACACAACATGTCGCAGTTCCTCCGGGAATACAAGCTCGTCGTCGTCGGAGGTGGTGGCGTGGGAAAGAGTTGCTTGACTATCCAGCTCATCCAGTCCCACTTCGTCGACGAATATGATCCGACCATTGAAGGTGAGAATGCGCTTCACATTATTCCATGTGCGCCGCACATCGAGAACTAACACCGCCCCATCCAGACTCCTACCGCAAGCAGTGCGTCATCGACGATGAGGTCGCACTCCTAGACGTTCTCGATACCGCCGGCCAAGAAGAGTACTCCGCCATGCGCGAGCAATACATGCGAACCGGTGAAGGCTTCCTGCTCGTCTACAGCATCACGTCGCGGCAAAGCTTCGAAGAGATTGTCACATTCCAACAGCAAATACTGCGGGTCAAGGACAAGGACTACTTTCCCATAATCGTCGTGGGTAACAAGTGCGATTTGGAGTCGGAGCGACAAGTGAGCACAGAAGGTGGGTCTTTTTCTACATACATCTCGCGTTGAGGAGGGTGTGAGATGGCCGCCACGTGGCGGGCACGCGCATTGTCGGACATGCTCGCGCGCACGCACGCCACGGCCACGTGATGATGATTTCTCGCATATGTGATTGTTTTTTGGAAGCTGATGTCATGATAGAGGGCAAGCAACTCGCGCGATCGTTCGGCTGCAAGTTCATCGAGACGTCCGCCAAGTCACGCATCAACGTCGACAACGCCTTCTACGACATCGTTCGTGAGATTCGGAAATACAACAAGGACATGTCAGGATACCCAGGAGGTGGTGGCAGTGGCGGCAAGCCAAAAGATGAGATGGGCTTCCAAGATCAGGAGCAAGAGGCTGGCTGCTGCGGTAAGTGCGTGGTGATGTAAGGATGTCTTCATCCGCATCAACGTTCAACAATGCGGCATCGCGGCAGCGGCAGCGAGCAGAGTACGGACGAGCAAGCGCGCGAGCAATCGCATCAACCGCGACACTTTGACAGGACGACAAATGGTGTAGTACGGAGTGCATTGGGTATCGAAAAAAACTTCGAAAGACGAGCAATTGAAAGAAAGGTGGAAGGTGGACATTGAATGCTGCAGCGCATTCTGGCGCGTGAACACGCAGACAAGAAGCGAAACGGTTCTTCTTAGAGACGAGCGAAAGAAGAGAGAGTGTGTGTGAGTGAGTGAGATACGGCCGTTTCAAATCATATCAAAAAGCAGCGCAGACCAAACGAGAGAAATGGAGACACTGGCATCGATATTCATTGGATTGCTGATGTGTGTCTGGGGATGAATGTGTGTGTCTCTCTCGGGGATGCGCGATTAACTACTACTATAACCCCTCAATTAACTTTGCATCGACTTTATATCTTGTGTTTTGAGCATGCCTACGATGATAATCAAACACGCTGGAGAGGTCTGGCTGTTGAGTGATGCATTGAGTCGAAGGACAGAAGGACCATCTTATCCGGCGAAAGAAACGAGAACGACGATAAGCCGACACTGTACTCATGGTAAGTATGAAGTCGACACAGATGCACCTGACACATGCAGTCCTTGCGAGGCCACCAAGAATCCAGTATCATTGCCGATGACTTTGCTGATTTGCTGGCTAGCAAGAAGCTTTCGTCTCCTAGCCCATGCTCCGATAAGTACTGAAGCTATACACAAGCGTCCTGTCGCTATGTCCATGCAACCATTCATCCATTCATTTGCATCACCTTTCACGCATCGCTTATTCGTGATTGCTACTACGATCTTCACCCCCCTCTCTCCCTGCGTGTGTTACCAACATATACTCCTCCCCAACCTCTCCCCTTCCACCCCACCCCACACCCTCTCTCCTCCCTCCCATCCACAGAATCTCCCCCTACTCCTCCCCCCTCAACCGCCCCTCAATCCCCACCACCTCCTCCGCATCCCCAATCTCCAACACCCGCCCCGCCTCCGCCGTATTGCGCATCAGCTCCTTCGCGCCCGCGTACAACATCCTCGGCTCGGCACTACTCGTCGGAGGGAGATAGTTCAGCATAACGTAAGGGACGGAGAGCCGCCCGGAGTCCTGCTGCAGCGGGTAGGAGAGCAGGATGTAGCGCGGCGAGTTGTCCGGGAGGTCGTCGGCGAGGTCTTCCATCGAGGTGTAGGTTGTCGCCGGGGAGGCGGGGTGGATTTCGAGGGTGGATTTGTTGATTTGGTCTTTTCTTACCACACACCCAGACTGTCAGTTCTATTGCTATGTTATGAGTGTTGGTAGGGAGGGGAGGGAGGCGGACATATCACAGCCTGGGGATCTTTGGCGCGGGAGGTGGTTAGGCGGAATTTTCGCAGGAGGTCTTTGGTTTCGGTGGAGAAGGTGTAGAGGCGTTGTTCGGAGGACATCTTGTTCGTCTTGTTCGCTCTGGGCTGGGGTGGTTGTGTTTCGCGGGGATGAGTATCTGTATCTGTATCAAAGCCCCTCCAAAGGCTGAACTTCAAGTGAAGTGAAGTGCCCCAGCAAGCAAGCAAGCTCCAAACGCCCCGCAATCGGCCCCCTCCCTCCTCCATCATCACCACAACACCAACCTCACCCGAACCTTTACACAACCACATGCACACACAACATGATATGACATCTCCCAATTGATATTGTTTCCATCTAATGTTCTCCCGCCTCAACCAACTCGCACGCCACCTCTCCCGTCCCCTCCCCAACTACCTCCACACCAGCGCCTTCGCCGCAACCTCACGACCAAGCGTCTTGACGTCACGAGTCGCAACCGCAATGGCCGCGGCAGAGAACAGCAAGAAGATGATCCACACGGCGGGGTGTATAATCATCGGGGACGAAGTACTAGGAGGGAAGGTAAGCCAAAGCCCATCTCTCATCCTGACATCAGTGAGACTGAACCAAATGGCTGAAAAGTAGATCCTTCTCTCTAGACAGTCGACACCAACTCCGCCTACCTCGCAAAGTACTGCTTCAGCCTCGGCATCACGCTCAAACGCATCGAAGTCATCGCCGACGACGAGGCCGAAATCGTCGAAGCCACCCGCCGCATGTCCTCGTCCTACGACTTCGTCGTCACCTCCGGCGGCATCGGCCCCACGCACGACGACATCACCTACCAGTCCATCGCCAAGGCCTTCGATCTGCCGCTCGTGCTGCACGAGGTCGCGCTGGAGAAGATGAAGAAGCTGAGTCGGCCGCATCCGAGCCAGAGGGAGTTTAGTTGGGACGTGGATTCGCCCGCGCGGAGGGCCAAGTTGCGGATGATTCAGTTGCCTTATGATAAAGAGCTGCCTGATGAGGATCAGGTGATTTTTGTGAGTGAAGATCTTTGGGTGCCGATTAGTGTGGCGAATGGGAATATCCACATCCTGCCTGGGATTCCGAGGCTCTTTGAGAAGATGCTGGAAGGGTTGAAGCCTAGGTTACTCCCGAGGCTGGTGGATCCTGAGGGGAAAGGGGTGCATCGGATCTTGTTCAGTACGCCGCTGGCGGAGAGCGAGGTTGCGGATTATCTCACGCAGTTGTCGGGCAAGGTGGAGAGTAAGGGGGTCAAGGTGGGCAGTTATCCGAGATGGGGCAAGTCGAGGAATACCGTGACGTTGGTTGGAAAGGATAAAGAGTATATGGAGTCGTTGGTGTCTGAGGTGGCAGAGGGTGTTAAGGGGCGAAGAGTGCAGGTTGAAGGTGAAGATGACGATGAGGGCAGTGATAAAGACACATAAAAGAAAAGCCTGCAAATCAATGGCTTCCACAATCCCCCTTTGACGTACGTCCTGCTCTCCTCGCCGAGTCTGCAATCCTCTCCTCTCCCCTCTAGACTCAACTCGCCCAAGGCGTGATCTGAATCACAGGACTTTCCCTTTCCATCGGAGGCGTATCTATGGGCGTAGCGGTAGCAGTCGGCGCAGGATCAGACCTCACACTGAACGACTGCTGGGCCATGATCTGGTAATTTCGCTGCCGCCGGGCTTCATCCGACCCCTTCGATCGTTGACGAGCGGCCTCCTCTGCATGCTCCGGGTCATGCCCAATCGTGGTCCGAGTCTTGCCACCTTCGCCATGCAGACCCGAAAACCAATCTACCTCGCTTTGACGGCGGGTGCGAGAGTGCGATCGTGACGAGAGTCGTGACCCCTGGCTGCGGTCGCGGGGCTCCAGTTCTCTCGGTGCTAGGAGCTCAGATCGTGCTTGTCGCGAGGCGGTGGTTCGCAGGCTGGAGAACGGACTGGTGAACCGCGTGACGGCGGATCTTCTCGAGGAGCGATGGCTTCCGTCTGGGGAGGATGGAGCGTTGGATGTGGTGTGAGATTGATGGCGCCTGGTCCAAGTGATGCGACGGCTTTTGAAATACCAAGGGCTTCTTCTAATCGTGAGTGATTTGGCGACGGCTTTGGGCTGTTGGGCTGGCGGAGAAGCCGGTGCGAAAGATTGGCGGCGGTTCCAGGTGATTGGCATTGCAGGTGACGGCTGTGGGGAGGGAGTTGGCGTTGACATGGCATAGGGTTGGTGTGAGGGAAGTCGAGGCGGACGTGGTCTGGCATGGCCGACTTGGGCTGAGCCTCCAGTCGCAGGACCAGATGGAGAGTTTCCGGTCGTGTTCAGGGGGTCGGTGGGAGACCTGAATGCGCCGCCTTCAAAGACGACAAAGAACGGCTTGGCGCAGGGCACTGTCGCGAGGGTGATGCTGATGTGCAGCGTTACGTTAGATATCAAGCTGGTGTCAGTCTGGTCTTTGGTCGGGTTGTCTCTTCTATGGAAGACATGGTACATGTACTGCAAGCGGACTATCAGAGGGGCAAGGAGTCTGCGGGCTGTCTTAGCTGCCATGGTCTCACGTTCAAGAGAGTGGTCACCTACAAGAGACGAAGTGCAAATGCCGAGATGACTTTCGTCTTGGAGGAGAAGGGCATTTTGACATGCTACACCAAGAGCACCGCCGTCTTGACCAGGAAAAGCTCGACCAGGCCGCTGATGATGCTGTTGCCAAGCCATATGTCCCAGCGATTGATGGTGCAGGTGGTGCTGCTGAGTATCCAAGGAGTAGGGAACCTGCAGGCGAATACGACCAGAAAGGTCGAAATCAGACAGCACAAGCCGCTCGCGATGGCGAGGCCGTATGCAAGGACCAGATGCATGCGGACTTTCGCAATGCGGCAGATCAGGAAGGCGACCGAAACCTGGGCGAAGCAAGATGCGAACATGTAGAGCATGCTCTGGCACCACAGGAGGAGGAAAAAGGTGTTTCTGTGGAAGTTGGCCACGTGTTCAATGTCTTCGCCCAGGCCGTAGGAGACATCGACGAGGGCGATGGTAGAGAATGAAGTGCCGAAGATGGTGGCGGCGGCACATGCCCCGTCGTCCCAGCCAAAGGGTCCATTGACTTTCATGCGCAGGAAGGCCCGGACGAGGAAGACCAGGATGGACCAGATGATGGCGGTCGTGGAGACGATGGCGATGTATTGGGAGCCGGCTGCAAGGTCGAAGGCGCCTCTCGCAGGGTCGATGGGATTAGTGAGGTTGGTGGCCATGCATGGTGGTTGATATTCGATTTTCTAGGACGGTCGAGAGGATGTGTCGAGCGTCGACGTCGCCTCACGTGGACCTTATATGTATACGGACCTGTGACCATACAACACAGCACAGGGATGCTGAATCCAGGTACCGCGGAGGTGGAACTACCAAGTGCGCTCCCTCGTAGCTCCCTGGACGGAAGCAATGGCCTATCGATCGGGATGCTGGGCACGGCAGTTGCTAAGGACCGGCTCTATTGACGGAAAGCACAACGAGGTGATGGTCGTCAACATCCTCATCACATGCCCGTCGCACACTCATCGCCACCACTCGACCATTCCTTCACCCCTCACTCCACCCACCATGCCGCCGCACGACTCCTACACCACGCCTCTCACGCCTCACCTTCCCTACCGCAGCTATTCCGGGAAGTCATCTCCTCTTGACGCAACCACGCCTTCAACCTCGCCAGACCATCACCATGGACTGCTGGATCACTCACAATTGACTAGCCGACGGCCGCCAACAATTGGAGGTTCTGGCATGCACCCCACTCAACAAAGATCCACCCGCAAACAGGAGATTCAGAAGGACTTCCGCCATCTAGCTACGATTGGCTTCACATCCCTGGTCATGGGGACGTGGGAGATCCTCCTGACTGCCAACCTGCCCGCGCTTGCCAACGGTGGCACTTCCACCCTCTTCTGGTCGATGATATGGTGTTACATCGGACAGCTCTTCGTGGTTCTGTCTCTGGCGGAGTTGAGCTCAATGGTACCCATGACAGGAGGCCAGTACCAGTGGGTGAGTGTGTTTGCGCCCCTGCGCTTTCAGAAGCCTTGGGCGTACTTCTCGGGCTGGCTATGCTCCATCGGGTGGCAGTCTAGATTCACAGCGGATTGCTACATCGTGGCTGGCACCATTCAGGCCCTCATCGACATCAACCACGACCTTAAGTATGAGAAGTCTCCGTGGCACCAGGGTCTGCTGACTGTTCTGGTGGCTATTGTCATTTCAGCATTCAATGCTCTGGCGGCGGGGCACTTGTCAATCGCCGAAGGTTTCTTCGCTGTATGCCACGTCTTCGCCTTCGTGCCCATTGTGGTATCCCTCTGGGTCCTCGGCCCTGTCAACAGCGCCAGAGAGGTTCTCCTCAACTTCACCGATCACGGAGGCGGGTGGAGACACAGAATCATCATGCCGCTCGTGGGTCAGATCAGCAGCATGTTCGTCGTGCAGGGGAGCGATGCTGTCGTTCACATTGCCGACGAGGTGGACGATGCTGGCGTCTTGATGCCGCAATGCATGCTGTGGGCATTCTTGCTCAACGTGCCCATGACACTCATCATGCTGGTCACCCTCTGCTTCAACGTTGGAGACGTGGACGACGCCGTCAATGGTATCTTTCCACCGTTCGTGTCGATTTTCAAATTCTCGTTCCGCTCGGTGCAAGCAACGACAGCCTTCACCATTGTCATCCTATGCCTGCTCGTCATGATCGCTGTCAGTACCATGGTGGCCACATCACGACACTTGTTCGCCTTTGGGTAAGATGCTCGAATACGCATCCGTTGTGAAATGCTGAAGTTGATGATTGCAGTAGACGAGAGGTCGCCCTCTACTACCCCAGCTGGTTCAGCAAGGTCAATGTTCGATTCAAAGTCCCCCTCAACGCCATCCTCAGCACGACCTTCTTCGCAACGCTTGTAGCACTGGCGACGATGGCCTGCTCCGAGGCACTGAATACAATGATCGGCCTTTCAGTTTGCTGCTTGATGACGACCTACATGGCGTCAATTGGCAGCCTGATCTGGAGACGACTTCGGCGTGAGGAGCTACTAAAAGCACGTTGGTCATTGGGCCGCGCAGGGCTCCCCGTCACCTGTGCTGCGTTCTTGTACTGCGCCTGGTGTTTCTTCTGGTCTTTCTGGCCAAGATTCCACAACGTGAGTGGCAACAACTTCCAGTGGACCAGTCTGTTATTCTCTGTGGTGGTACTGCTCATGGTGTTGTGTTACAGAGGAGGCAGGAAGAGGAAGCGGTCGTTTGAGTTTGATGATTCTACTTATACTCTTCAACCTATGCCGCTGTGGAATGGCTCAGACTGAGTGAGGCGGTTCAAACAATCTTTCCTGACCTATCTAGTATTACAAACCGGACTCCTCTGCTCAAAGCGCAAGTTTCGATATTCGACCGTCTTCGGAAGAGGCCAGACCTTAGTTCCATCCAAGAGCTTTGGCAGGTTTGCTGACTTCGCTTGCACTGTCAGAGTGAAGTGTAGACTCTGTCTCCGTTGCTTTGCCGGGCACCACATGTGCTGAAGTCACACGATTGCCATGGTCGAATGCACTCGCTGTGCGATCCTCAAGCTTGTCTGACGCACTCTCAGCCGGCCGCATACCCCGTTCGATCTGTCGCTCGAACGACACTTGCCTCAGCCTGTCCGTCTCGGCCATCGTCAGCTGCAAGTACACCTCCACACCAACCGCATGCAACATCAAAGCCAACCACAGCGCCATCCCAAAGCTCGACTCAAAAGGAGCAGCAACCTCTTCCTTACCCATGGGATTCAGAAAATTGGCATGCACAGCGGCATACCCATCGACGTCCTCCCGACACGCAGCATACATTTCCACATTCCCACCCGAACCCGCGATCTGTCGGCATGGCATGGCGATGTAGTAAGATCCAATCTGCCCGATGGTAACGACTGCGATGATCATGATGATTCGCAGGGTGATGATACTGCCGGCGTAGAACCAACAGCGAAGCATCCAGGCGCGATGTCGATCGATTCGTAGGCGTTTGATGTCGATGTAGGCCAGAATAGCGCTTCCTGTCGTTCCGATGGCCAGCACCCCGACGCCCGCCTGGGTAGACAGTGTGCCGCCGAATGCCCTTCGCGCGATCATCACCGCGCCCACATTCCCTGTGAGCAGCAAGAGAACCACGACGTAACCATTGATCCGGTGGAACAGCGGCAACTTATGTCTCACCACCGGCACAAACTGCACAACCGCAAGTAATCCAGCAGAAATGATACTGATAAGATGGATATGTATCCCGATATTGTAGTATTCTTGTCGATACCAGTAAGCTTCCCCTGGAGCGGCGGAGGAGAGAAAAGTTCCGTTGACGTTGAGGTAGGGCGTGCGGGCGAGGCTGAAACCTAATAGGGCTCCGGCGAAGATGAAGAAGAGGAGGAAGTTGTAGGAGTGCTGGAAACCGATGGTGTGGGAGAAGCGTTGGAGGAGGGTTTGTGGGAGAGACATTTTGGAGCCGCTTGTAAGGTAGGAGATGGCTGTGCTGTTTTTCTGGGGGTTGGGGGGTTGGATGTAATGCATTGAGTGCCTACCGTGGGGATGTCGAACTTGTTTATATACGGTGTCTACAGTATACGTAGTGGTATCGTTGATGGATACTTGCTACACATTATTGCAAAGCATGTCCCGCCTGGAGTACAGAACAAAGAAGAAGTGAAGTCACCACTCAGTTGCACCAGGCTCGGCGAAGGATTCCACCCATCCGCTAGGCTCAGTCAAATCCCCATTGCGACAGACCGGCATCGATTAGGGCCAACTAAATTGGCGCCGAGACTCTAGCTAAGCTTGATTGAGCCTCCGGCCAATTTAGCGTCCACGTGCTCGCTGACTTCACGTCCATCTGCGATCTCTCGATCCTGCCAGATCGCTTCGACAGCACAGCACCCAGCCGTGCATCACAGTCGCTACAGCACCCACACCCACCATGTCCTCGGAAACCACGGCGTCCCCCCTCAACATCGTCTTCGTCCACCCCGACCTGGGCATCGGCGGCGCAGAACGCCTCGTCATCGACGCAGCCGTCGGCCTGCAGGCGCTAGGGCACCGAGTCACGATCCTGACCTCGTACCGCAACAAGGAGCATTGTTTCGAGGAGGCGCGCGATGGTACGTTCTTTATTCCAAACAGAGAGAGAGAAGTTTTTTTGGAGAGTGCCGTCTTAAGGCTAAGGAGTGTGAATTTCAAAGGCTGAGAACTCTCGCAAGGCACCCTCGACGTCCGCGTGCGCGGCGATGCGCTGTTTCCTGCGAGTATTGGGGGCCGGTTGAGTATCCTGTTCAGTATCCTGCGGCAGTTGAGTCTGGTGGCGAGTACGGGGCTCGCGTCGGGCGAGTTGAGGGAGTTGGATCCGGATGTGTTCATTGTGGATCAGCTCAGTGCATGCATACCGTTCTTTCGGCTGCTGTACCCTAAGGCGAAGGTGCTGTTCTATGGACATTATCCGGATCGGTTACTGGTGAAGGAGGAGGATGGATATCGGAAATATCTCAAGAGGCTATACCGGATACCTTTCGATGCCTTGGAGGGGTGGAGCACGGGGTGTTCGGACGGGATTGTGGTCAACAGCAAGTACACACGGTCGATCTTCCGACAGACGTTTCCGAGTATGCGGACGAGGGATTTGAAGGTCATATATCCCTGTGTGGATACGAATGAGACGAAGAATGGATTTAAAGATGCGGCGATGTGGCCGGATAAGAAGATCTTGCTGAGCATCAATCGGTTCGAGGGGAAGAAGAATCTGGATCTGGCGATCAAGGCTTACGCAAACCTCTCCACGGATGAGAGGACTCGAGCGAGGCTTGTTGTTGCGGGGGGTTTCGACCCGCGGAATCACGAAAATAATATCACGCACAAACATCTCCAGGACTTGTCGGAATCACTCAGCCTCCGCCACGCGACGTTCAGGAGTAAAGACACCGCCTTGACCGACCTCTCCAACGACAACATCGACCTCCTCTTCCTCCTCTCCATCCCCCACGACCTCAAGCAACGCCTCCTCCACTCCGCCGGTCTCCTCATCTACACTCCTCGAAACGAGCACTTCGGCATCGTGCCCCTCGAAGCCATGCTCGCCGGCGTCCCTGTCCTCGCAACCAACACCGGTGGACCCCTCGAAACGATCTACGACGGCAGGACAGGCTGGCTCCGAAGCCCCGAGAAAGTCGAGCAATGGACAGACGTCATGCGAAAACCTCTCATCCCCTCAAGCGCGGAGACACTAAGGGGAATGGGCCAGAAAGGCCGGGAGAGGGTACTCGCGGAATTCAGCCAGACGAAGATGAGTCGGAGTTTCGATCAGGAAGTCCAACGGCTCGTGCAGAGTCAGACGCCGCGGCCGAGCATCGTGTCGACGTGGATGCTGCTGGCTATCGTCGTCACCATCATCGCTGTGATCGGTGGCATCGTCGCGATGAGATTCCTCACTGCAGAGGGTGGGGATCAGCTGGCGAAGGCGGGGAAGAGCGTTGCTGCGAATGGCACGCCGGTCGCGAATGGGGCTCCTGTTGCGAATGGGACGCCTGCGGCGGCGAAGGTTGAGTTGTAGGATGGGGAAGACGAAGTCGACAGATGGGAATATCATCGATAGAGGGCGTTTGGATTGGATATGGGCATGGGCATGGGCATGGGCATTGCATCCTTTGATATCCCGCCTTGATTCTTCGAGGCATGCTGAATCGTTTGTGGATGGGTATTACGTCTTCGTGGTATAGTTAATAATAATCATCTATTCCAAGGCACCCAAAGGGACTACGTGGCTGCCTGCTCGTTACTCGCAAACTGTCCAAGCTATCTGGAATATTTTGGGGACCTTCTTTGGCTTAGACCGGATTCTTCGCCCTCACCCGAAACGGATGCGCCTCCGTGTTGTAGACAAACTCGTTCTTCTTGTCATCGCCTTCTTGAACATGCTATTCATCAAGTCAGCCCACAACCCCCAAAACGACACATTAATCATGCCGCACTTACCCAACTCCCTCGCTTCGGCGTCTGGATCAAATACTGATACTTCAGCACCTCCGCCAACATGAAACTCTCCTGCCGATTCAGCGTCGGACTGAACCCGCCCCCATTCTGCTCCAGCACATTCACGCAATCGCTGAACCCAGACCCGACGACGAGGCTTGCGTTCTGCGCGACGGTGTACGCCCACGCGACGTCGCGCCAGTACTGGTTGCCCGTGGTCTGGTAGGCGTAGTACCAGCTCTCGACGGCCTCGGGGGACTGGCCGCCGTTGAAGACGTCCGGGTCCGGGATGAAGTAGCCGGCGGAGGCGTAGTAGTCGCTCTGGGCGGTGAGGTTGGGGTTCTGCAGGAGGGTGGTGTTCCAGCTGTAGAGCAAGGGGCCGATTCCGGAGGCGGTGTAGCGGTAGCCGTTGGCGCAGAATTCGCTGAAGGCGAGGCCGTAGGAGCGGTAGGTGGATTGGGAGAGGACGGTGCTGGCGAGGAGGAAGTTGCCGCCGATGAAGCAGGCGAGTTGTTCGGTGTAGTTTATGACTTGGGGGCCTACGTAGGCACCGGCCATTTGTAGGTCTGGGCGGCTGCTGGGGCTGCTGATGAGGTGCGCGATGGTGGAGTCGGCGGCGGAGACCCAGCGGTCGCGGTATTGTTGGTATTTGTCCGGGTCGTAGACGAACCTAATAGGTATGTAATTAGCACTGCATGATGAGGAGTGTCCTGGATGTACGTACATCTTGATGAGATATTCGTATCCGCTATCGCTGCCCCCTATCCATCCGCCGCTCTGGTCGACGACAGCACCGGTGTCGACGCTGTACTGTCCACCAGTAAGACCCGGCCACACCTCCTGTGCATTGAAGAAGTATTCTTCCGCTCGTGATGCCAGCTCACCGTACGACGGATCCCCGCTCAGATCGGACAGATGCTGCCATTCCAGGATCAGGGTGCCGAACTCTGCAAGGCCGGCGTAGTACTGACCGTCCTGCTGCTGCTGCGCGGCGAAAGACTGGCTGTCGATGTTGATGACGTTCACTGGGATGCCGGTTGTGGTGTTGAAGGCGAATTTGAGGGTGTCGGCCAATGTTTTTGCCTGCGTGAGGAGTGCGTCTACGTTGTCGTCGTTGGAGGCCAGGTCGCTGAATGGGCCTTTGAGGAGGTCGTACGCAGATAGCAGTCCACCCAGATAGCGAATTGTCGTTTCGAACAAGGAGGTGGTGGTCGGATTGGGCGAGTTGTTCTTGGTGAAGTCAATGGTTGGTACGAACTGCAAGATATCATCCACAATGTCCTGCTGCTCCATGATGATCGCCGTATCCAGGCCATCTATTGCCGTCAGCCCCCAACCATTGCGAGAGTCGCTGAAGCTGTTGTTCTGAGGAAGCAGGTCATCGTGAGGGAAAGCATATTGGCGATAGCCGTTCCAAGCGAATCTGAACTGTGCAATCACAGCTTCAGCACGCTCTTGCTGATCTTGAGGAAAGCCAGTGTAGTCGTAGTTGGTGCCGCATTGGCCCTGGTAGGTCTGCTGTTGCTGGCAATTGCCGTTGTTGCTACTCTGGCGACGTTCGAGACTCTCACGAGCACACTCGGGGATCAGCTGGGCGTGTATGGATGTAGTAGCGATTCCGAACGCGAGTGCTGTCCCCAGCGAGAGTAGAGGTGACCACATATCTCTTCTGGCAGATCCAGGAGGGACGGTGATGGATGAAGAATGGAGTCGTAGACGGCTTCCTCAACGCAAGGATATGAATACCGCCCAAGTCGAATATCTCGCTGGTGCTACCGCCGTACTATCTTGTGTCCGCGTAGCAAATACCAAACCGAATGCGTGTGTTGCAGCGTCCCGTGCAAAGGGCAGAGGACGAGCATTATGTGCGACATTGCCAATCTCCCCCAACCCTTCCCAGCTCTTGCCATTCTCGCTCCTGGATGCTTCCCTGTCCTCTTGCCTCATGCGTGCTCTGCTGGCGATGCGTCGCCGCGTCTTCATCTTGTTTCATGTCTACTGCCGCGTCGGAGGACGGGATGATGATGGCGAGGAGGAAAGGTGTCAACTGCGAGGCCTCGCTCAAGAGAGCGGTGCTGCATTGCCGGTGTCTGCTCTTCGGTGATGGTCGCCGCCGCATGGGTTGAGTTTGGTGTCATCCTTGATTTGAGTGTGCCGCAATTGGAAACAGCACGCAGGATGATGCTGGCGAGGTTGACGACGTACAAAGGGGATCCCCGTCGCACATGACAGATCCTCCTTCGACGGGCATGGTGTTGTGCATATTTCATGGTCCGATTCATCCACATCATGCAGGAACCCGTCGAGGTGTCCTCATGTCTGCCGGCTCCTCTGTCGTGACCGCTGTTTCGGCAGTGAGGTCGTCACTCTTCGCATCATGCAGCACAAAACAGCATCAGCATGTATGTCGGGCGTCGTCACTCTTCTTCAAGCCGCGCCCGCGGGCGACGACGCGATGAAAAGGTGTGTTGGTGGTGGGTAGCCATCAAAAATTACGAGACCGAGGCCCCCGAAGGAGGCTCGTGGCCGCTTCTCACCGCGCTGTGCAATGCAGGAGCCGTGGCTAGGTGCAACTCATTCGTGTGCGAGCGCACCCTCTCAAGGTAAGTATGGAGAGGAAAGGAAGCAGGTGTGCAGAGGAATTTCGGAAATATTTATGCGTCGGATTAAGGTTCGTTAGCGCGCGGGCATATTGGAGCCTCAGGCACCAAAGCTCCGTGCTTTCCTCACCGCCCCGTGAGAACATTGATGGGCTTGAATCAATTTACTTACCGCCGACTCTCTTCACAATGCTTGCTCTGGCTGTTTCTGCTGAACTCGAAGGGTGTGTCTATCATATCACATCCAGGCCTCAGTGACTGATGCTGGCACAGAGTGACGGATCTTCAACCAGAGGACACCGAGCAGGCTCCTTTCTACTACACCTTCAAGGTCCAATGCACATCATGTCGAGAGACGCACCCGAACTTTGTCTCCGTCAGCCGACATGTATGTGCTCTACTTGCCTCCACGAAGTATCGTTGCGAGCTTATATTAATGTTCATCTGCAGGAGCAAAACGAGCAGTCTGGAAGCAGAGGCGAGGCCAACTTCGTGTGGCGATGCAAGAATTGCAAGGTCTGCTACAACGATCTCCAATCGGCCATCCACCTGTACTGATATCCTGCGCACAGAGAGAGCATTCGGCAAACATCATAGACACCCCCAAGTCGTATCCTCAACAAGACCCGCCAAAGTTGCAAAACATCATCACTATCGATTGCAGGGGCCTCGAGTTCGTCGAATTCAAGCCGGATGTAAGTTCGACTCGGGGAGGCGTTGTGAAGTCACTCCACGTGTTCCGCGGGATTTACATGTCTTCACTTCATCGCCACAAACCATGCTTACTAGAGACAGGGCGACTGGAAGGCCACGGGAGTGGAGTCTGGCACAAAGTTCACCGGCATCGATCTCACTGAGGGCGAATGGTTCGACTACGACGAGAAGGCCGGAGAGGAGGTCAGCATCAAGGAGATCAAATGGGAGATTCGGAGAGCATGAGGATGCAGCCAGCGATGCTTGTTCGAGGAAGTCGTAACCATCACTGCCCCTCCACACTATACGACTGCACGAAACTACGAAGTGTGGAGGATGTCGAGATCGTGGCCCGCATCCACAAATACAACCAATGCACAAATTCCATCGAGGTGGCACCACCCAGGTAGCGAGTCTCACCACGGCCTAGAAATACTCCAACACACCTAACTTCAGCTCAGCCCTACGACATCACGCAGGAGCACTTCCAGCTTCCAGCTTCCTGCTGCTCAAGCTGATGACATCGCCGTCGCGTGGCTGTCTGAGCTGATGAAGCTCCCGCCCTAAGCTTACAGCTGCTCAAACTACTCCCAATCCGCCACTCACTACACTCTCCCGCCGCGATGAAGTGAGCATTCTCAGACCACTGTCAGCCAGCCATGGCCCCAATGAGACAAACGACCATTTCGTGATCAAGATATTCGCCCATCTGTCAGTAATCCTTGCTGAGCCATCTTCGGTCGCCGATTTGATCTCGCCCGGATTTCAGCCTCTTTGTTCATCAAACGTCATGCCCATTCGGCAGTCCGGAACACGTTGTTATCCAACCAACGCGTTCCTCGCGGAAGTATGTGCATGCTTTGTTTTTTCGTTTCGCTTCTTTGTTGCGCAGGTGACCTTTTCCTAATCTACCTCTCCCAAGCTCTCATAAGAAAGATAGCCCCCTTCTCAAACATCTTTGCTTTCCATTTGAAGCTCACGTAGATCGACAAAGATGGCGGCAGAACAGACATCACCCTTACTCACCCTCCCAGCGGAACTCCGCAACCGCATCTGGCACGAACTCTTCGCACCCCCAACCAGAGAAATCTTCCACCTCACAAACGGCCACATGGAACCCGCCCTCCTCAGCGTAAACCACCAACTCCGCACCGAATGCGCCGGCATCTTCTACGCCAACACCACCCTCCACTTCACCGACCCCCAAATCTGCATCCGTCGCCTCACCTCCCTCTCCCCGAAAAACGTCGAACTGATTCCGGAAATGCGCTTCGATACCAGCGAGACGTGCGTGAAGGCGACGAGCTGGCGCACGGCGTTTAGGGAGTTGCCTGGATTGGATGAGGATACGAAGTTGGAGAGTTTGAGGGACGAGTTGGCGAAGAGGGGGATGAGGTTGGGGGTGGGGATTTTGAGGGCGAGGCTTGTGGTGGGGTGTACGCCGAGTTGGACGAGTGATCCGCTTGCGGCGGCGTTGGATGCTGTTAAGAGTGGTGAGTTGGGGTGGTTTGTGGGAGTGGAGATTGTCGTTCTTGTGCTGACTTTGTGCTGTGTAGGTTTCATGGTCGGCAGGATGATGTTCATTTAAGGCGCAGCGCGAACTTTTGGAAGTGTTCCGATGTTTGAGTGGCAAAGGCAGTTCTGGAGTCCTCGGGAATTCAGGGGACGTGCACACATGTGAATGGCTGGCACGGGAGTCCGCACGGGCCATGTCTGACTTGCGACGGCGGCCAAGTCCATACTCTTGCATCACTTTTTTGGCAAATTCCGTCTTGAGCTGCCCGAATTGCCTACTGTCGACTTGATCCAGTTTGCTTCGCGTGGATGGCGCTTCGAGGAACTTCATCTAATCCTTGGTCGATCTCTTCAGCTCCTGACCCTGCAATGTTTCCGGGACCAGGCCCTATGAGTCGCAAGCGATGCCACGCAGAGATTGTGGACCTAAGTATCGAGTCCGCTGCCGGCAATGACGACGCTACGAATCGCAAGCGATTCCGTTCAGACATCGAGGAAGATCCCGTCCGAGTTCTCAGGAACCTGACGAGCGCGCTGCAGAAGCTCTCAATCGAAGATGCGGATGAACAACAGTCGCCACCACAGCAGAGTTATCATGGAGTTTATGATAACGTCCTAGCATCGCTTGACTCGCAAAACAAAGACAATAAAGAAAAGCCAACTCTGATGACGCTGCCGCGCGAACTTCGTGATATGATCTACGAGTTCGCACTCACGCAGCGAGTCGAAATCATTGTCTGGGAGCGTCAGACCCCCACCGCGTCTGGGGCCGCGTTATTGTGTGTCTGCAAGCAAGTCTACGAAGAGGCACTCCCTGTCTACTGCCAGCGCTCGACATTCTTCTCCCACAGTCACGGTGTCGTCTTGTGCTGGGTCAAGCGGTTGCGGCCTCAGGTCTGCAAGTGGATGAGGGACATTCGTTTTGAACACACCGTTCAAGATCCAGCCGCATCGAAAGCGAGGTGTGTCGAGTTCATTGCTGTGAAGAATGTCACCATGAAGCGTGCTCGAGGCAGAAGGGTTCTCGGGAAGGACGTGCTCAAGACCTTCTACTACACCCCTGCTGGCGAGCGCGTATGGCATTCGTGTGGAGATGCTCCGAAGTAAACGGGCAAGACAGAGTATATGGTCTTGGGGGCCTCTATAGGCTGAAGCCTTTTCACGTGAAAGGGAGAGATGTCGCACGGACCACTACACTAGCGAGGTCGCACCTTCCTCATGCACTCTCAGACTGTCGCATCACTCCGCTTCACTTCACTCCATCAACACAATCAACTTTCCAGCTTCGTTCTACAAACACAACATCACACACTACCGACAGTTGAGAGAGAAGAACATGGATCCGATTTCGTTCCTCGATTGCGGCCTGCCTCACACCGCACCTGCAAGGAACGAGACTGTCCACTCACCACCCACCGTCACCAACCTAACCACGCCAGCTTCTCAAAACCAGACGAAGGCAATGACACCCCTCCACCACCCCCAATCTTGGCAACGCCGCCGTCGCGAACGACAAACACAAGAAGCCGACATTCTTGACACTCCCGCGTGAGCTTCGAGACATCATCTACGACTACGCCTTCACCCAACAGGTAGAGCTCGAGAAAGAACTCAAACCCGCGACCTCGCGCAACGCTGCCCTGCTCTGCACCTGCCGCCAAGCCTACCGAGAGGGACTGAAGCCGTACTACCAAAACACCACATTCATCAGCTTTGACCATCGATCGTTTCTGACCTGGGTTCGGACTCTTCCCTCTCGCGTTCGCAGATGGGTGAAAGACATGCGCCGGGTGGACTTCAGCCAACACTACGCCGAGGCGAGAACCGCTTACACCATGGTTGTCTTCCTCTGCCGACTGGTTCGCGACATCTCTGGCGGAGACATTGCCGATGGGGTATTCAAGACGTCGTTTGTTGGCAAGGATGACACGTTTGCGTGGTACTCGCTTGACCAAATCTCGGGCTCGAAGAGGGTGGAGGACGTGCCGGCTTTCAGGGACTTCTATCATCATCATAGAAGACTCTAGGTTGCAGCCTGGAGTCGGAAGAAGGCAGTCGGAGTTGGGTTCGATGGGAGCGTTCTGGAAAGATTCAATTGGGACTTCGGGAGGGAGGCAAACAATGTTTCTACTGACGTGGGTGCCTGGGTCTATCTCCTGGTCTTCAATGCCATCGTATGCGGTCATAGTACCTTCTAACGGAATGGTCCAAAATCATCAAGTCGCCCCTATGTCCCTTTCCAAGGCTCAGAACAAAAGAGCAACCCTCGAGTTTGTTTGTTTCACTAGCAGGAAGTGATGCACAAAGTGGTCGATTTACTCATTTCAAATTGTTTCCCGTACGTGACGAATGCAAGATCCCACTCCTACAATCCCTCCACGCATCTAGTCAATCTCAATGCAGACCTTCGCAAAGTGCTTCTGATCCCACATATACTGATACGCCTCCTTCACCTGATCCAACTTCCACACCTTCGCATCAATCACCGGCTTGATATTATTCGCCTCAATCGCGCGATTCATCTCCTCAAATTGATGCCTCGAACCCACAAGCAGCCCCCGCACCGTGCAGATGTTCGTAAGCGTCTCCAAGAACGTCGGCTGCTGCTCGCCCTTCGCTCCCCCGATGAAGCCGATGATGCTGATGACGCCGTCAAAGGCGATGGCTTTGAGCGACTGCGCCATGGTGTTGGGCCCGCCGACTTCCACGACGTGCTGCACGCCGCGGCCGCCGGTGAGTTTCTTGGCGGTTTCGCCCCAGTTGGTGTCTTCTTTGTAGTTGAGGACGTGGTCTGCGCCGAGCTGCTTGAGCTTCTCGCCTTTGGAGGCGGAGGAGGTGGTTGCGATGACGCGGGCGCCGGCGGCTTTGGCGAATTGCACGGCGAAGATGGACACCCCGCCGGTGCCTTGCGTGAGGACCCAGTCGCCGGGGAGGAGCGTCTTCAGGCCGTAGAGGGCGTTCCAGGCGGTGAGGCCCGCGCAGGTCAAGGTGGATGCTTCGAGGAAGTTGAGGTTCGAGGGCATGGTCACCAGGCCTTGCTCGTCGTATTCTCCGTATTGTCTCAGGCAGCCGTCGACGGCACCGCCGACGCCGCCCATGACGGAGTGCTCATCTAGGCTGCCGGCGATGTGTCCCTGGTTGAAGAGTGTGATGACTTTGTCCCCTTTCTTGAATCTTGTCACGTTCTTGCCTACTTGCTCGACTGTTCCTGCTCCGTCGGAGGCTGGGACTACGCCGTCTCGCTGGGCGAAGGGGTACATGCCCTTGGGGATGACGAGGTCGCGGTAGTTGAGGGAGGAGCCGTGGACTGGAATGGTCAGTGCACGATCGTGGAGTTCGTGCTGGCGGAGACTCACATCTGACGAGAACGTCCTTATCCCCAACTTCCGGCACTGGGTCGTCCTGGAGCTTGAGGGCGTCGAAGCCCGTCTTGCCTTCCACATGCCATGCCTTGTTGCCCATCTTGGATACTCGTTTTCCTAGCTGTTGTGAGGGTAGTAGATGGTATATTGCTTCGACTGATAAGACAGAAGAGTGAGAGAGACACAACTTATACTTGAACCAAAACTGCGAGAACCGCGCAAGATAAGTATTTCTAATCCAAACCAGCATTGACCCTACCTTGATGCCTCGCTTCTCCACACATTTTGGAAGACTCTGGAGTGCTTCCGGGGGAGCTATTGGATGGTGGAAGGGATGACGTTAAGATCGAAAGGCCGGCAAGGGAGGGCTCGTAAAGTTTGGTGTGGGCGTCGACTCCGAGCGGGCCGAGTTTCGTCCTGGTCCTGCCCGTCCTTCACTTCACTGGAGCACTTTCACATGTCAATTCCGCTCTGGCTTAGAGTGACTGCAGATGATGAGTTGGAGGAAGGTTACTCGGCTTGGTAAGCTGCGTTGGAGTCGAGGACGGAAAGAGGTAATTTTGGGAGATATAGAACATTGGCGAGTATTACAGATGACACACGTTGTGTCATCTCATTGCCGTATTTGCCCCCAGGAGTACTGATGTGCTTGTACTTCGACACAATTGCGTATCACGGTCTTCGTCATGAGGACTAGGATGGGATCGGTGAATTGTGCCGTCCTTCCTAGGCAAAAACATCAATCACTGCAGTACTGACCACTCCACCTCAGTCTTGCTCCTGTGCTATGTTGAATTGACTAGTTCAGATACGTTTGTTTGTTCGTGTTCGTACTTGTTAGGTGCCTCGAAAATCGGCGGGCTTGAATGTAAAACAGCGAGCTTTTTCTGCCTTAGGCATCAATATCCGACCTCACAAAACCTTAATGGCCCCAAAGCATCAAACTTTCCTCTTCCTTGTCCACCACAACATCACGAATCAAATCCAAGACTATGCCCAGCAAGTTCCAAGCAGAGCTCGACGTAGCCTGCGCGGCGGTGCAACATTGTGCCGTCCTCACAAAACGCCTCCAGCGGGAAACAGTCCGCCAAGATGACCAGGTCAAGAAGAGCGACTTCTCCCCGGTCACAGTTGGTGACTTTGCTGCGCAAGCATTGTTGACATCAGCAACGCATGGTGCTTTCAAGGATGACAAATTCCTCGCAGAAGAGTCGGCCGATGAGCTGCGGCAGAATGACGCCCTGCTTGAGAGTGTGTGGCAGCTTACGCAGGAGTTGCAACCGGCGTTTGAGAAGAGCAGTCCTGCTCTGGTTACTCCCGCCAGTAAACAGGAGGTTTACGATCTCATTGATCTGGGCGGGAAGAATGAAGTCAGCAACGATGGGAGAATGTGGGTTTTCGACCCAATCGACGGCACAGCGACTTTCCTACGGGGCCAGCAGTTTGCCATCAACTGTGCTTTCCTGATCGATGGTGTTGAGCAGATTGGAATCATCGGCTGTCCGAATGTCATCTTAGACTCCGACTCTGTCCACGAAGATCAAGTGGACAAAGATCTAGGCTGCATGATCTTCGCGATTCGTGGCGAGGGAACGTGGGTGCGACCTATGCGAAGCGATGGTGTTCTTGCCGAAGCAAAGAAGATTGATCGTCATGGAGAGAAAGTCAAGATTGATGATCTGATCTGGTCAGATTGCTCCACGTACACCAGCACCATCCAGCACCTGCACCAGCAAGTGGCCAGCAAGTTGTACACACCATTCCCGGGCGTCGACTTGTTCAGCTCATTGATGAAGTACGCTGCACTGGGCCTGGGTCGATGTCATATTGTCATGCGAATCTTCAAATACTCCAGCTGGCGGAGCAATATGTAGGTCTTTTCAAACGAGTCAGACTCACACCCGCTAACACGATGTCAGGTGGGACCATGCAGGCGGCGTGTTGATTTTCGAGGAAGCCGGTGGCAAAGTGACCGACCTAAACGGCAAGTCAATAGACTTCACGCAAGGTCGAAAGATGGCGGCGAGTAAGTCAAGCCTTTCCATTCGGTCGCCGTACAATCCTGACTTGCTGCAGATTATGGTCTTGTGTGTGCTCCGTCGAGCGTTCACGCAGAGGTCCTGAAGACCATCCAGGAGACGCTTAAGGCTTACGAAGATACCAATGGTCCCATACCATACAGCAAGTAGAGACAGGTCTATATGGTACGACTTTGTTCCCGCCCCAGCGCCGGATGTCGACTACTTGAGCATCGTCGGTAGCATACCAGTATTTGGCTATATTCGTAAGTCCGCTTTCCACCTTCCATCAAGCCAATACCCACAGCTCATACATCAAAACAGATAGACTAGAGCCAATCACGACTTACTCGCCTCCTCCCTATCCTTCATCCTCCTAACATAGTCCGGATCCGTCATAACCACATCCAACCTCCCCTCACCCCTGGGATCCCCCCTCAACTTCCACGCCTCCTCCGCAATATTCCGCGCATTCGTGACCTTCGACTCATCCGCCACAATACCCTGCACCACAATCAAAGCACAATGGACGCCCTTCGGTTCGAACTCCTTGTGCAGAGAATTCGTCAGATTGTACTGAGCTGCTTTGCAAGACGCGAGTGAGAAGAACGACGGGTAAGGGTTCTTGTAGAGACCGCCACTAGTGACGAGGAATGATGGCGTCGAGGATGGATTGCTCGAAGCGAAGGAGGCGAGTTTGGGGAGCGCCCATTGCGCGACGATGTAGAGGCTGACGACAGAAATCTATTGCAGGAATCAGCATTCGATCAAGTCAGAGAATTGGATTTTTCGGCGCACCCTCAAATCAACCTCAACACTCTCCGCCGGAAACTCAAGTATTTGACTCTGTCCAACCCTCGCCGCATTGAACAGCACCGCCTCCAAAGGCGTCTCGCCTAACTCCGTATCAATACTCTTAAGCGCCTTTCGCACATTCTCCGTATCCGCCAGATCAATCGTGACAGGCGTGACACTAACGCCCGCTCGAGCCGATCTCACGAAATTGGCATCTTCTTTGAGTCGGGTGGCGTCTCGAGAGAGGAGGATCACTTTCGAGAACCCCCGCTCGGCGAAGAGTGCTGCGACGTTTCTGCCGATTCCTGGGCCGGAGCCGAAGACTACTAGGGCGTTATGTTGGGAGGACATCGTTGTGAATTGTTGTGTCGTGTGAGGGGTGGAGTGGCAAGTAGATCTATTGTGGTTTGAAGATGATAGGAAGAGAGCTATATGTATGTACCTTATGCAATGACGTTGACGCAATAGCTACTAGGTGGAGCTCTACGCGGTAGATCTTTTTCGTTGTGGATCTAGCTATGCAATAGCCCCTTCCGAAATTGAAGTTTTATTTGTTTTGGATCATTCTATACGTCGAGGCTGTAGAACCGTTTGGGGGTGTTTGTCGGCCGAGTAGGGGCATATGACCGATGGATGGAGACTCTTTGTTTCTTCTTATGTCCGCTGAGGGACTTGCACTTTGGCATTCGTTCTTATGTTGGACTCGTGAAGGATGAGGCTCAGGGGCATGATTTGCCAATCGATTTCTGTGTCATTACTACTGCGTCCTGTGTTCCGCCGCTGGGCGCTATGTGCTTTCGCTCAATATCTACTGAGTTGCATGTGGACGTTGCCGGACATGACAGCACGCGGTTGGTCGTGATTTTGAAGACAGTCTTTGTTCCTCTGGGGCACGTCGAAGGGAAGTGGGTGATAGTGATGATATTGGTTGTTGCTGGTGTCGACGATGTCGAATTCGTGTAGATAGTCAGAGTCGACGGTATTCCAGAAGAAAGACTGCTGGTCCAGGGATAGGAGGCTGAAGTTCCGTTGCCGATGCTCGTCGTTGGGGACAGAGATAACATGCTGGAGTTTGTCGAGATGCTGGATCGAGTAGATGGCTCAACTGATACAGTATCGATTGAGCTCGACCTCGTGATGGTGCTGAACGTTGCTGAAGAGAAGGAAGTGCTGGATGAGGTACCAAAAGGCGGCCCCGCGGTTGATGCAGTCCACGACAGAGATTTCGCTGAGGCGGCTGAGGATGGTGTCGAAATAGGTCTGGAAATGAGCGAGCCCGTAGAGACAGAGGAGATAAATGGCCCTGATGATGAACCGACGACAAGAGCGGAGCCAGTCGAAGATGGCGGCGAAGCAAGCAAAGAAGTCGACGAGTACGACACCTCCGTCTCAAGCCTCTGACTGGACGAACTTCCCATTGCAGAGCTGATGGTCGTCACTTGCGGTTCAGGCAGCGGCAAAGCCAAGGCAAATTCCACCCCTGAGCCAGGCGCCTCCACAAGCCCGGTGACGTTCGCAAAATAGTAGCAGTCTCTCGTGTCATTCACATAGGCAACAGCAATGCAGCCCGACACGAGATTGCACGATGCCACGCAATCGCTGAATGAGCGATTTCGCACGATTGCTCGAGACAGGATGATGACTGTCCCGCCGGTGGGAACAGTATCGCATTTGAGCTTGTAAGGCTGCCCATTCTCTGATGCACAGGTGCGATTGTCGTTTGGTCCGCAGGCGGTCCCGTCCCTTGGAGGCAGGCAAGCTGGTGCTGAAGTATTCTGTGGTGTGGCGGTAGCAGTCAAGCTGCCCACAATCGAAACGGTGGTCGTAGAGAATTCAGCACTCTGCGTTGATACAGGGGCCATTGTCGAGGAGGAAATGGTTGGTGTAAATGGGGCGCTGGCGGCGGATGAGGCAAGGCTGATGATTGCCGATGAAGGCTGGCTGAGATTTTCGATGGTCGAGGAAGGGGCTCCCGACAGGGTGAGCACAGATGATGTACTGGCACCGCTGGCGAGGCTGGAACTCGTCGTGCGAGGAAAGCTGCTCGCCGTAGATGATGCAGGCTCCAGTAACGTGCTCGATGAGTTCGCTAATGTTGGTGGCACAGTGCTAGCAATCCGTACTGTCGAACTGGGAGCAGATGACAAGCTTGACTTAACCGCAGTCCTCGTCGATTGCAACGTAATCTGAGACACCGCAGAAGCCGAAGCGGTTGAAGAGGAGAAAGTGACGCTGCTTGCATATGGGGTCGAGGCGGTAAGTGATGCACCGGCGGATGATGCGGTATGGCTGTTTGTTGGAACAGACGACAGAATTGAGTAAAATGCGGTCTTCGTCGATGGCAATGGACTCTCAAACGTCGCAGAAGTCGAAGCGATTGTAAAGGAGAAGCCGGCGGTGTTTGAAGGTGAGGCTACGGTGTCAAGTGATGTACCATCAGATGATTGCAGATCGGCGCCCGAAGTTGATATGCTCGCACCAGGAGCCTGCGTCGAGGATGCTGCGGTATAGCCGTTTGTTGAAGACACAGAGTTGATCGCGTATGACGATGTACTTGGCCAGGACGAGATTGCCAAGCTGGAACTCGTCATCTCACTGTCAGTGGGCACTGAAGAACCACCAGCTGTGTTTGAAAGCGAGGATATCTCTGTCGTGGAGGTGGTGAATGGCATCGCCGAGCTCAGAGATCCGGTCACCCCTGGAGGCAGCTCATCGACTTCAATGGCAGCCACATTAGGACCAGCAAACAGTCGGTCCACTCTGCTGAAGAAAAGACAAGTTCCTTCAGCTGTACTGTTGACCTCTGGTGCAATGTAAAGCCACGCAACGCAATCACTTGCTGGCGCACAAGTGTCGAAGCAGTCTGCCGTCGTGTCTCGTTTCGTTCTGAAGGGAGTCTCCTGGCCTTCCATGTCGGCACCGCGAATCACATAGTAGCTTTCTCCGTTGGTCTCGATCGTTTCGCAGTTCTCCACAGGGCAGCCTGATGTGGCTGCGGCTGCGGCTGCGGCTGGGGAGCTTGAGGTGATCGAAACGGAAGATTCAGGCAATGAGGCGGAGGGGGAGTTGCTGGACGACGCCGACATTAATGTCGTTACTCCAGGGCTCAAAATCCAAGTCGCTGCTGAGGACGGCTGGAAGGTGGAAGAGCTTTCTACACTAGGAGCACTTGGTGCACTTGGTGATGTCGAGGGTTGAGGAGTTGAAGAGAAAAGTTGACTCGACAAAGACGATGCCGCGGGTGGGACTGATGAAGCAAGGCTGGACCAAACTGTGCTCCGCGTATTCGAACTACAAGTTGTGTAAGAGGCGACTTCAACTGTCTCGGGTGTGACGCTCGTCACTGCAGATGACAACATGCCCGATGAAGATGGTATCGATACCTGCAGGATGGACGTTGCCCTGGACAGTGTGGAACTGCTGCTCTGCGAAGTGACATCGACGGAGGATGAAATTCCTCGGATTGAGGAAGCAGTCGTGGTTGCAATCGATTGCGTGGTACTTGGAGTATTCTGAGCCGAAGAAGTCAAGACGTTGCTTGGAGTGGAAGCCACTGCTGAGGGCTTGCTGGTGCTAGACGAAAGAGCATTCGAAGAGGTTTGGCCGCTGAAAGAGCTAGAGGAGGGCGAAGTGTTGGTCGAAGCGCTTTGAACCACAGTGGACCGCGTACTGATAATCGAAGAGCTTGTCGAAGGTGTCGGCGTATTACTTGTCGAGCCGATTGAAGCACTAGAAGAGCTCAACAAGATGCTCGTCAGGGGCTTTGCAGCACTGAAAGAACTTGTTGCCGCACTGGATGAACCCGTTGTACTTGATGGGGCTTGAGCTGTGTTTGGAGAGCGTGCTATGCTTGAAGAGCCTCGCACGGTGCTTGGAGATGCAGCCACGGTGCTTGCGAGGCTCGAAACCGTTGACAACGAGGGCGATATAGTACTTGTCGAAGATCTGGCAATGCTGAAAGAGCTCTTTGAAACGCTCGATGGCGTGGCCGGAGTGCTTGACAAAAATGTTGAGGTGAATGATTGCGTGGAGGTGCTAGATGAAAATTTGGCCCGGCTAGAAGACGTTGTAGCCACGCCGGGCAAGGCTGCAGAGAAGCTCGACGGTATGGGTGAGGCGCTCGATGTCGTCGTTGGTGCGGAGGCCACATTCGATAAAGTCGCTGCATTTGAGGGTGGTGATGATGTACTTGAAGAGGCTCTTGCTGCACCCGACGAGGTCGAGGCGGAGCTTCCAAAATCGATGGTTCTGCTTGTGGAGGCCGCAGGAGCGTTTGACGAGGCTGAAGTAGTATTTGTTGAGGATGTTCTAGCCCCCGAAGACACTCTCGTACTACTCAAGCTTGACGAGGCACTCGATCCAGGCGGAGAGCTAGAGGCCCTCAAGCTAGAAGAATCTGGGGTCACTTTGCTTCCGAACGAGGTCAAGGATGAGCTCAAAGTGGGAGACTGCGAGATCGAGGTAGCGACAGGCGGATTATTGGTAGGAAGAACAGACACGGATTGCGTCAGAACTGACAGCCGAGTCGAAATCGAGGACGGTTTAGAAAAACTGGATGACGAGCCGCTTGTTGAGCGAAGTTGAGAACTAGATGTGGAGGCTCCCGATCGAGAAGAACACTGCGAAGTCGACGCCGGGCTACTCTGCAATATTTTTGTCGATCTCGAGCTCGATCGCGGCGAGATGGAGGCTGTTGTTGTAGCCGTGGGCAGCGTCAACGTCCGAGTGTTCGCATTAGTCGTTTGCGTAGGACCGGTGATTGATACCGTTAGCTCATTCGAGCTTGTAAGGACCTGAGTGAGTTGCACCTCTTGGCTGCTTGTGACCTTGCTGAACAGCGTGTTCACGATGGTGCTCGTGCCAATGATGTTGGACGTGGCTGTGGTTCTGTTGAATGTCAGATGCTTTCTTCCCACGACATTCAGTAAGGCTGGATTGGGAGTGTCTCACGCACCTGGCAGTACTGACGACAGTACTTGCTTCAGTTATAATTCTCGAGGTCTGAATTAAGCTTCCAGAGACAGATGTCAAATAAGTTGTGGTCCAATATAGAATCGTAGTGCTGGTCTGGTCGGAAGTCAATATTAAAGTCGAAGCGGTAAAGGGGACGCTCGAGATGGCGGTCGAAGTTGAAGAAATTGTTCGAATCTCCACGCTCAAAGTATTTGTGGCAGTAGGCAAGGTAGATGTTAAGGCCGGCAGCGTAGTCGAAATCGTCGAGCCTCGCTCGTCTGTTGTTACAGTCAGATAGACACTTGAGATAGCCGTCGACGTCTGCTCGGCAGTCGATATTATCGTCAAAAACAGAGAAGACCTGTCGGTTTCTTCCTCGATCGCAGTGCTACTTTCAACAGAGATGGTTGTCGATGTGGCGTAGCTCGTCTCCGTCGTTACTTGACCTTGGGTGACCGTCTGCCCGCTGAGCGTCGACGATAATGTAGCCGTGGTAAGAAAGTCCGTGGTAAAGGTCAGATCTGAAGTCGTGATCTGCGTTGTAGTCCAGAATGAGGTCGCCGTCAAATATGTTGTGGAAGTCAGGCTACGAACAGGCAGCGTGTAATAAACAGGCTCTGCGGTCGATGTCGCTGCAAAAGAAGCAGTGACGAAACTCGTTGACCCGGTCGCAGTTGCTGTTGTAGTAGCGAATTCATATTGTGTGGCTGTACCTTCGATTGTACTGGTGATAACACTGGGCTGCGTATCGATCTGGGTAGTAGTCTGCACAAGCGTCGTGGAGTAAGTTGATGTTGTCGTACTTGAGACAACTGAAGCAGTGGAAGATATGGCTGTTTCTGTGCGCGTATTACCTGCAAGGCTTTCGTAAGCTGAGCACATCATAAGGATGCGATTCGTTTTGCGTTCGCTTTGAATGCACTGCGAGTTTCGGGATTTTCCATACTCACCAGGCTGTGTGCTGGTTTGGGTATTGGACAAGACATTGCTGGTCTGGGTCGACAAAATGCTTGTCGATACCAGTGTACTCGTGACCGGGATGCTTGACGTTGCTGCCACATTGCTCGTCGAAGTAATCGTTCCGGTCGTCGTTGAGGTGACTGTGATTGTTTCCTGGTACGTGATTGCCTGCCGCTTATGTAGTTGTTGATCTGCAAAGTCGAGGGTGAGAGCTGGATTATCGCCTTCGAGGATCCCGGCGTCCGCATGGTTACTGTTGAGGTCGTCGAAATACACTGAAGCGGCCGTAAAGCAGGACGTGAAAAGAAAAGCAGCCGTCAAGACGTTAATGCTGCACATCGCAGCCGTAAGGTGATGCTCATATCTCAGCCAGCGCTGAGGCAGCGACTTGCTGAGAGTATCCACGTCGCAGGCTTGAGATGAAAACAACGGCAAGAAGCATGTTGCTCAGACAAGTCATAGTGTTTACCAAGGGGTGCCGTGGCCATGCCGTCGGATTTGATATGCGCGCATATCGCGGCTCATCCATACTGTTGGATCCTAGGGATGGAGTCTCTCCAACGATTTCCAGAAAGTCACTTCGATCATGCTCGATGTATCTGAACCACGCGGTACGTTCAACGCATCCGGCCATTCAGCATGGGGAAAGCAAATGCACATCATGAAAGCAACTTACAATCGAAGCCTCGAGGCTTCAATCACACGTGTGCCTCACGCCGCTGAGATCCCGCGTCGCATTCCCACTTCTGCGCATATTCCGTTCTTCTCGGGAGGACCAGGAATGTAGCCCGCGAGGACGGAGAGGCCACGCAAAGTCTGAAGTGGCCAATTGGTTGGTCGAAGAGCGTCGCAGATTCATTTCCTCGTCAATCTGTTGGCTCGTTAATAGCGTTGACATCTCCGTGCTATCGGATAGCGAGGCTCCCCACGGGGAAGCCATGCAAGCATTCTGGCTTTGATTCGGGCAAGACCATGAGTTCGAAGATATGTCAAGGTATTTCATGTTCTTAAGATGGCGGTGATACGTTCTAATATATATCTCAACCTTGCAGAGTCGACAATGCCCCTCCATTGGCTGGGATCGCAGCGCCTGGATCACTGTCAGCCCTCTCCGAGACGACATCTTCACTAGACCGTTCGAAGGAGTGTACTCACCGATAACCCACGAAGCATCCGGACTAGCAATAAAAGCCACGATGCTCGCCACCTCACTCGCCTCGGCATGTCTCTTCAACATACTCAAGTCCTTCGTCATTGACTCAAACTCCGGCCCAAACGCGTCCAGCGACTTCTGCAAACCATCCGTCTTTGTAGCGCCTACCGAGACCGAGTTGACCGTAATTCCATACTCCGGTCCCCACGCCACCGCCAAGTTCTTGCTCACGCATTCCAGAGCGGCTTTCGCAGCTGCGTATGCAATTACGTATTCGCCTGTCGGCGCCTTTGCCGCGGCGGACGAGATCATGACGATGCGGCCGCCGCGAGGCATCTTGAGGACGGCGTTGCGGGCGAGGTCGAGCGAAGAGAAGGCGTTCCCGGTCATGGTGTCGTCCCACTCCTGGCGTGACAATTTTGATGCGGGTGTTACCTTGTCGCCCTCAGAATTGGTGGCGTTGGCGACGACGATGTCGACGTGGTCCACGCCCAGGCCTGACAGGGTTTCGTCGACGATATGAGCACCAAAGTTCTCTTCGAGGACACTGGCGGAGAATGCATGGGTCTTGATATTGGGCGAGATCTTGTGGATGGTTGCAAGAGTCTCGTCAGCCTTGGTCCTGTTGGTGCTATAGCTGATAGCGAGGTGCGAGCAGCCTTGCTCGGCAAGCTTGATCGCTATAGCTGATCCGAGACCTCGTCCACCGCCAGTAACGACGGCAACCTTGCCCTTGAGAGGTGCTGGTATCTGCTCCATGGTCGTTGCTGATTGATCGCCGTCAAGTTGTCAAGATTTAGTCGTCTAGTCACAGAGGAAGTAATGCTTCTGCCCAGCTTGCTCCTCCGTGATTGCGAGAGAGACCGAGGGAGCTTTCTTTATAGCCAGCGACGGATCCTGGCCAATTCATCCCGCGTGCTGGTTGTCAATCAGGGTTCGCAGCCTAATCCGATTTTACCACCTACCTGTACGGGAGACGGACGCCTGTATGTAGCACGAAAGTAAGCAGCGTGTACGCGCCAGGTAACTTGTGCGAGTACGCGGACCCAAGGCTGCCGGGGTACCGCACTCTCAAAGTGGAGGAAAATTAGCGCTCGCTTTTTGCACGACTGCTTCTCAGCCTCGCACTCTACTTCGGTGTTTGTAAGATCTGCGTCGATACGTCCATTCCTGGTAATAAATGTATACCTGACCCGTCGATGGATTCTGACCGCATTCCTCTATCATCTGTTATCGTAAGCGCGGTACTCGCGTTGCTGCACCGAACGCGAAGGCTGAATTGGAGGAGCAATAGAGCCACGGATGTGGGTCGTTCGGCTTGACTCCTGCTCCGTTCGGCTCAAAGCATGGGCGAGATGCGAAGTTGTCGCAGGACCTCTTGATGGCCTACATTGCCTCGCTGATGGCTTGCTTCGCCTGCTGGCTTGTGACAAGAGCTTCGACTGGACTCATCCCAGATCGATGCGAAGGGCGCATTCTCGGGAAATCGAACATGCCAACGCCATCGCATCTCTTTACCACCTGGAGCATGAAGAACCCTGGAGATCCATTACGAACGCGAGCCGAAGTCGGTTACGGCGTACCTCGCTGGATGTCTTTGAGCCGCGAAAAGGAATGCATGGATCGAACACGCTCTCGATTGTGTCGTACCTCAGTCAAGCAGATAGTTGATGGAATTCCAGGAGATTGCTCGCTGGGGTGGTCGGCTACAGTCACACTAGAGACAGTCTGGCGGCTCGACTGCAAGCATCGGTTAGATCGATCGCCTGCTTAGGCCATGCTGGTGATCTCACCGAGTGGTCAGCCAGCCAGCTTGTCCATCCGTCTTGTGCTTGGGTGGGTGCGAAAAAGCAATGACCGGAGCAGCGAAAGCCTCAGACAGCGGCGTTGCATGGACCACCATCACATGACATGGTAGTTCACCAGCCCAGCCCAGAACTTCTCAAACTGAGGCCTGTCCATCCATACCCACTCCTGCACTCCACTGTCGTATATCTCAATCTTCAAAGCTCCCTCAGGCAACACCACTCCTTCTATGCAGGGCCATCGCCGGTCCCAGCTCCAGAAACTTCTTTTCAACCTCAGATCTGTCAGCCGTGCTGCTCTTTCGGGGCCCAGCTGCTCCAAAAAAGTGCGAAGAAGCGGGATCGACGCCACGCGGAATGTTGACCCGCGATAGAAGAATGGAAGTATCTCTGCGCGGAAAGACCGACAAGCGAGGGCGACAGGCGGTTCAGGGACCTTGGTGTCCTTCGAAAGTTCTATGCCCCTTGAGTCGTCAAGGACCAGTTCGTAGATGTAGAGTTTGAGCTCTGACGGTAATTGGAAAAACGGCGGCGACATGTTGTAGAAATCTTGATCTGGTTCGTAGCTCGCTGTATTCACGAACTTGCGAGCAGTAACTGTCGTCAAAGATTGCCCGGACGCCGACGAAAGATGCGGCGAAGGCAAGATCGATGTATGTCGAGAGATCTCCTAGATATGTACCTCGTCGTTCGTGGAAACGTCACGAAGAAGTGGACTCTCGGATGAACTGCACCAAGGGGATCCTTGGTCGGATAAAACACCAATTCAGATTCCTTGAGGGTTTCAGTACCCATCCTAACTCTGTCCTTTCGACGCCAAACACCTTCGCTGGTTGGGTATCATGTTAGGTCATCATTCGTTTCCTGCGAAGCCTCACGTAACCGGCTTACGCTGCTCGCTTGAAGCCTCAAGCACCATATCATCCCAGAGTCTTCATTTTCTTCTTCTTGCCCTTCTCGCCGCCTTTCTGATTCTTTTGAAAGTTCCTCCAACTTCCGATTCGCTGGTCTCGCGTCTTCTCCCATTCCTGCTCATGCTCACGCTTTCGCTTGCGCTCAGCTATCTCTTCTTCTTCCTTTTGCTGCTGACGACCCTCCTCACGCATCTGAGCTTTGAGTTGTCTCTGTTTACGAGCTTCGTTGTCCGCCAGCACGAATTTGACCTTGTCCTTCCAGGCTTTCATAAAGTCTACGTCGGGGTCTTTCACTTCGTCGCTGTCGGTTGTAAGCTTCCTCTCGCGAATGAGGAGCATGCGGGCGTCGGCGATGGCTTCGTCAAGGATAGGGCGCTTCTTCTCGTCGAGGAGTGCTTGGTAGGCTTTGGCGAGGCGGTCGAAGGCTTCTTGGGCGTACGGGTTCGTGGATTTGTCAGGATGGATGAGGAGCGACTTCTTGCGATAGGTTTTCTTGATGTCGTCGTCTGGTACACCGGGCTGCAGGTCGAGCACATCGTAGGAATTCGCGCGAAATGCTTTCATGATCCGATCGATCTCGCTGTCCTGCCATAAAATGAGTATACAGACATAGCATGCTATTCGCCGAGTACACTGCGTACCTTATCGAACTCTTTGCTCTCCTTCTCCAGGTTGGCCAGGAAGGCTGCATCTTCTTTCTCCTGCTCCTTGCTGAGCTTCTCAAGATCTTTCTCGGGTTCGGCCATCTTGGGACAGGTGGGAATGGACGTGTGTTGGTGTAGAGGAGAATGTCAAGCAAGTTGAAGCTTGATGATCGATGTCACGCGAGTCATGTCGATCACTAGCGCCAACTCTAAATATTGCGGAGAACTTTTGGGATCTTCGACTCGGAACTTTTTGCATGTGAACTTCTGGCTTCACATACCATGGACTAAGAATACACCACAGCCACGATGGCTCCCCAAATTACCGGTCGCGTGAAGCCGACGAAGATCAAGAAGCAGGTTCGAGGCCAGAAGAGAAAGCGGGACGATGTCGATGTCGAAAAGCTGCAAGAGGCAGTTGAACAGCTCGATACCAAAACGAAATACGAGTCTTTTAACGATCTTCCTCTCTCTGAACCGACAAAGGCCGGCTTGAAGTCTGCAGCATACAGCACCCTCACAGACATCCAGTCGAAGGCTATACCGCTTGCGCTCAAAGGTTCAGATATTCTGGGCGCCGCGAAGACAGGAAGTGGAAAGACTCTGGCTTTTCTGATCCCAGTCTTGGAGAACCTATACCGAGCGCAATGCACTGGTCCCGATGCTGGCCTCGGTGCCATGATAATCACCCCAACCCGTGAACTGGCCATCCAGATCTTCGAGGTCATGAGAAAAGTTGGTGGGAAGGGACATTTGTTCGCCGCCGGGTTGGTGATTGGAGGCAAAAGTTTGCGTGAAGAGCAGGATGCGTTGACGAGGATGAACATCGTGGTGTGTACACCTGGCAGAATACTGCAACATTTGTCGCAGACGGCACTGTTCAACGTGGACAACCTAAGGATGCTAGTGCTGGACGAGGCAGATCGCATTCTGGACATGGGCTTTCAGAAAGATGTGGATGCTATTGTCGACTACCTGCCGACAGAGAGACAAACAATGCTGTTCAGTGCGACTCAAACGAAGAGAGTATCTGATCTGGCCAGACTGTCATTGAAGGAGCCCGAATACGTATCAGTTCACGAGGCCGCGCAGAGCGCTACACCCAAAACATTGCAGCAGAACTATGTGATAACACCTCTGCCAGAAAAGCTGGACGCGCTTTGGTCGTTTATACAATCGGCAAAGAAGTCCAAAATACTTGTATTTCTCTCGTCAGGCAAGCAGGTCAGGTTTGTCTACGAAGCTTTTCGCCAAATGCAGCCTGGTATTCCTCTCATCCATCTTCACGGACGACAGAAGCAGACTGCTCGACTGGAGATTACTCAAAAGTTCTCGAATGCGAAGTATAGCTGCCTTTTCGCTACAGACGTCGTTGCTCGTGGTCTGGATTTCCCAGCGGTCGATTGGGTTGTGCAGGTTGACTGCCCAGAAGATGCGGACACTTACATTCACCGAGTAGGACGGACTGCACGTTATGAGCGAGACGGACGTGCAGTGATCTTTCTGGATCCAAGCGAGGAGGAAGGAATGCTCACTCGCCTTGAGCAGAAAAAGGTGCCCGTCGAGAAAATCAATATTCGGACGAACAAGAAACAAAGCATCAAAGATCAACTACAGAACATGTGCTTCAAGGACCCCCAACTGAAGTACCTTGGTCAGAAAGCATTCGCAAGTTACGTACGGAGTTTGCACATCCAGAAAGATAAAGAAGTTTTCAAATTGGAGAAGTACCCACTGGAGGAGTTCGCGGCGAGTCTCGGCTTGCCGGGTGCGCCACGAATCAAATTCCTGAAGGCAGACCCAGAAGAGATCAAACGAAAGAAGAATGCATCAAGGCAGGCGGCGGTATCAGAGTCTGAGGAGGAAGATGACGACGAAGATGAAGAAGCTGACAAAACAAAGAACAAGAAGAACGGCGTGCGCACGAAGTACGATCGAATGTTCGAAAGGAAGAACCAGGACATTCTTGCAGATCATTATGCGAAGATGGTTCGACACGATGACGAGAAGGACGATATCGACCTCAACCGCTTGGACGGCGAACAAGAAGCCGATGATGATCTATTTGATGTCAAACGCGTGATACCCGCCGATGAAGGAGTCCCCAATTTCGACATCTCAGCCAAAGATGCCGCCGATGCTCAAGCAGCTGGATTGAAAGCAGTGGCAATTCCTGGAGCAAAGGATCCCATCATTCTGGACTCCAAGCGGCGCGAGAAGCTTCTCAAGTCGAAGAAGAAGCTGCTCAAGCTCAAGGATAAGGGCTCGAAGATCATATACGATGATGAGTGTAACGCGCACGAAATCTACGAGCTCGAAGATGAAGCAGACTTCCGCGCGAGAGGCGAAGCTGAGGCACAGAGGAGGAAGTTTCTCGAGGAGGAGGCCGAGCGTGTCAAGATGGCTGATATCTCCGACAAAGCTCTGGCCAAGGAGAAGAAGAAGGCGAAGAGAGAAAAGAAGAAAGAACGGGAGAGGGCTGAGGCTGCAGGGGAAGACGGCGTGCAGTTGGAGGGCGAGGAAGATGGCTTTGAAAACTTCAAGCGGGATGCTGCAGGTCTTGGCTACAGCGACGAGGAGGATAGTGAAGTGGAAGAGAAGCCGTCGAAGAAGCAGAAGAAGTGGTTCCAAGAAGATGGCAAGAGGAAGGATTTGCATGAAGAGAAGGAGATTGAGACTCTCGGTGATCTCGAGGCTGAAGCAGCGAAGTTGCTGGGTTCATAGTAGTGCCGACCACTATGCGCATCATATTTGCTGGTAGGCAATTCGTGTCATTACTTTGATCATACTCTGTCTCAATCCGTTCCTGCAAAGCAAAGTCCCCCTCACATTATTCGTCCACCCCCGCCCCCTCCCCGGGAGCGGGGTGCCCAAGCTCCAACCTCACCTCACCTCAGCTTTCCCACCGAACCATCAACACGAGAACAATCTTCAGACAACCCCATCTAAAGCAAAGCACAATGGCCTCCAAACACCTCACCCAAGCCTCTATCTTCCTCGCCCCAGCCACCTCCCTCTTCATGGCCGGCTACTCCTTCGCGGCCTCCCAAAACACCCTCCCGCACCTGTTCGCCCTCCGGCCGCAAACCAGCATTCCCATCTTCACGCGCGTCTTCCACGACGGCGGCAAAATCGCCATCCCCGCATCCCTCATCTCCGGGCTCATGTCGCTGTACGTCGCGTTGTGGTGCACGTCGTCCCGGCAGAGGGTGCTGTTTACGCTGGCGGGGTTATGCGCGTGGGCGACGGCGCCTTGGACGGGGTTTGTGATGTGGCCTGGCATTAAGAGGTTGATGGAGATGGAGGGGGATGAGAGGGCGATGGAGAAGAGTGAGCAAACGTTGGAGCATGTGCAGTTGTTGAGGGCGTGGGTGAGGGGGAATTGGGTGCGGACGGGGGCGTATGCGGTTAGTGGGGGGTTAGGACTTTGGGCGGCGGTTTGGGGGTGAAAACAGATGGGAATGTTTCTTGAAGAATCGTAATGAAGACTTCTTGATGAGGTGGCCTGCTTGAAGACTATCCGTTACTTTGCATCAGCCACCCGCGGACGCCTCCCTCTCTGCATGCTCCTCATCCACATGCTATCCGGCCCGCATATTCCTACGTCCTTCGCATTCGGACGCCCAATGCTCTTCGATTTCATAATTGGGGCATTCTCCCCGACCACATTCGCAAAGCTCGAAAACGAAATAGTTCGTCTTGAAAACCCCGCGCCCCAGACTGATGCTGTTCTGCTCCCGCAAATCAGCGCTCGTGGAAAGGGCTTTTCGGAATGCGTATTTGCGTTCAGTCGCTTCTGAATACAGCGCTTCAATCGCCGGTAGAGCGCCGAATGTGAGCGAGCCGGACCTGTAGTCACCGCGAATGTCCGCCACCTTGGCTTGATGCTTGGCAGTGAGCGATTTCAGCCACCGGCTGGTAACAGAAAAGCAGCCGTAGTCTGCATCGCTGATCTTGAAGACGGACGTCGCGTAGTAGTGCTCCGCGATCTTCTCACGAGTAGCTCGATTGAAGTGGAGTTGCCATGGGGGCGTGTAACTGGTGGTGTTGATGGTGACTTCGCCCGGCTTGATGAAGAGGACGTGGTCGAGAATCTCATCTTGCACCTCCTGCGATGTTGTGTTAGCTCAAGCAGCACTTCCACTTCGCAAAGCGGACGCACCTGTGGTAGCGCTTGGATACGACGATCCAGTTCCTCGTCGGCGGACATGTTCACGGTTGGACCTTCGCACTTTGATGTTGAGGTCGAAGATGACGGACAAGCGGAGGTCGAAAAGTGCCAGCGAAGCGAACTTTAATGGTGGCGCCAAGGCGCTAGCTTCACTTTCACATGCGCTCATCAACCTGCCTTGTGATTGAAGTGGAATGCATGTCTTCAAGTGGCTTTTGCTCACAGGAAATCTTTGTTCGAGCTATTTTCAAGCAAGCAGCGATACAAAGACGAATCTGGTACTCTCGTTCTCGTTCCACGACAGTGATCTGATCGGTGAAAATACATTGTCAAACAGCAATAAAGTTGTACCATTTGGTCAGATAGAACAGACTGATACAAGTCGAATGGCGCGTGGGCCTCCATGGATTTTCGCAGCTACTTGTCTTTTGAGGATGTGCGATCCAGACTGACTTGCTCTCGAACCTCATCTCCTGGTCTGCCTGGCCAGGCTGATATCCCCTCTTCTTTTCAAAGTTCCTTCACCTCCTGCAACACCTTTTCCCAGCTCAAAAGTCCCAGCTCAAGCCAACTTTGCTATGTAGAAGGAAGATATTATGGTCGTTTCTCAAGCGCCAGATCACTCTAATCTTTGCGGCGACAGATCTCTCGCGACATGCGGATATCTCCTCCTCGTTCATGTCAAGACTCGTTTGTCCTGTTGCGAAGCCCACCCAGATGCGCTCAACTGTGTTGTAGAATTTCTCGTGAAGCAAGCTGACAAGCCATCGGACATACAGCCCATCGGATTCTCGGCCTCGTTGGTCAAGTTTGAAAGTCGTGCAGGCGTAGTACGCTTCGATGGCTTCGTTCGGATCGAGTGGTGCGGTTGATCTGGAGTTGCGGTGGTGGACGGTAGTGCTTGTTGGTTGCCACGGTTCCGGACGGCATGGTAAGGTAGTAGTCGAGAATCTCGTCTTGTCACTCCTGCGTCGACAAGTCAACATGTGCGATTTGGATTTGGCGGCAATGATGATGCTCACCTGCGGCAGACGCTGGATGCGATGCTCAAGCTCGACTTCGAGCGTCATGGCTGGACGGTGTGTTGTGATTTGGGTATGTCAGGTGCAGAAGCAGGAAGAGACTTGGAAGCCGAGCAAACAAGCAAGAGTCCCAAACACGCCAAGACGCTAGCTGCGTCATCACATGCGGTGGACACGGAACAGGAAGGAGCTTTACATTCGGTGGAATGAGAATGATAAGGACGTAAGGCAAATTCGCGGAAACGCAAGGTCATGGCCTGTGCTTCCATTCCGTAGTTTTCTAGCATGAACCAAGTCTTTCCTGTGTCCGAGACGCACCCCAGGCGACGGAAAAACACTCTTGCCTAGACATCCTCCTGCCACGTAGTTGCTATTCGCACACACCCATTCGCTGCTGTATCTAGCACGCCTCAGATGCTACACCTTCACCAGTTTCCTCCCCAGCTGGGATTTGAGCCACCAACGGGTATTCAGTCACAGGGAAGGCAGCCCACGGTGATGATTTCGGTCTCTTTGCCACAGCTCTTCATAAAAGCCAAGCTGAGCTTGAAGTTGTTCTTGTTGAGATTTAATGAGTGATTTTTCGTCAAATCCTCATAGATGCGGCTAGCGATTTTTCGTCCGCTGCGTTAGTAGTGTCCATTCCTAGCAGCAAAAACTAGAACACGCAGCTAGAAGTAAGCAGTGTCTATAACAAGTAAGTAACCTAACTAATGGACCTTATATCTTCTAATTAATAAGTAATATAACAATTGCTTAATAACTGCTTAATAAGTAAATAATTGCTTAATAAGTAAATAATTAATTAATTAACTACTAGCTAGTATTAGAATTAGTATATTAATTCTAGAATCTTACTTAGTACTAGTACTAAGCTTAAGCTCTTAGTTAGAGATTATTAAAGAAAAAGAGTTAATAGACTACTAATAATCTAGTAAAGTAGAAGTTTAGATATAATTATAAACTAAATAGTAAGATTAAATAGTAAGATTAAATAGTAAGTTAAATACTATTATATAAACTAAAATATTATTTCTATATAATAAAGAAGATTTGTTCCTTATTTAAGTAGTCTAAGTAGTTAAAGTACTTCATTAAACTTTAGCTTCTAATACTTAGTTTAAATTATATACTAGACTATACTAGTAGAATATATCTATAGTAGATATTAACTAAAATAATAAACTTAGTAATTTAGAATAGAGCTATTTCTATATATTTAATCTTCTCTTTTTAAACGCTATTTATTAAATATTTAATATTACTATAGCTATATATCTTCTTATTAGTATTTTAATACTATAACTAGAGTATATATAATACTATAAAGAGCTATTATTAAATAGAAAAATAGATTAATATAAAAAGTTAAAGTATATTTTATTCTTTTATAATATAAAATAAATTAAAGAAGTTTATAAATTACTATAGTTTTAGTATTTAAAATATCTTTCTAAAATATAAGATTTTTTAACTATATATATAAGTCTATATTATTAGTATAGACTAGTAGTTATTTTAAATTTATTATACTATAAATAATAAATAAAATAAACTTTTTAATAGTAGCTTTATTCTTTTAATACTTTATATTATTTATATATTAATAAGTAATATTTAGTATTACTATAAATAGCTTAAAAATACTTTATAGAAAATATATATTTTACTTTATTTAGATATTTTATATAAGTAAAGTAGTACTATAGAAGCTTTAAAGTAAATATACTTACTTTAATAGCTTTTCTACTTTATTTTTTATTATTTAGAAAGTTTAATATTAATATAATAGAGAGTTATAGTTATATATAGAACTCTAATAATCTAGTACTAGATTAAATATAGAATAAATATAAAGAAGAGTTATAGTAATATATAGAACTCTATTAATCTATCGCCTAATTAATAAAGAATAAACTCCTACCTTCTCTATCTTTATATACTACGAGCGTAATATACGTCTATATACGTTACGTAGATAGGTACTTACCTAACTCCTTAGTATCCCTATTCTAGGATCTTTAATAATTACCTCCTTCTCTTAAGAAGAGCTATTCCTAGCTCGATTTATAGTAAAGAACTCTAGTACGTTTAATATTTAAATTATAGGTAAACTATAAGAGGAGAAATATCTAGGAATATAGCCTATTAAAACTATAACTCTAGATTAGGTAATTTTTAAAGGGTACTATTTTTCTAAGTATATATATTCTATACGTCTTATATATATATTATATAGAAGGCTAGTTAAAAGTAGAGCTAAGTTCTAGGATTTAGGAGAAGTTCTAGCTCCTTCCTTTTTAGGTAATTATATAAAAGCTATAGTAAAGATATATATTTAACTAGGAATTTTCCTACTCTAGTAAATAGGGGTAATAGCCTAGTTAATAAGTATTTAAATTAAATATAAAAAGCGTTCTTTCCTAATCTAAATTCTAGCTTATTAATATTAATTATATTACTTAGAGTAATATAGCTATATAAAACTCTAGATATAGTATCGAGTACTTTTTATATTTAATATATACTCGAACTTCTTATAAACTAGTATAGTAGTAAGAACTTTACTAATACTATTAATATAGTTAAGTATAAAAGTACTACTACGCTCTCTATACTACTACTACTATCCTCTTACTATACTATACAGCTCCTATACTACTAGCGTTACCTCTACTATCTCTCTAATAGTAAGTATCCTCTTCCTCTTATATAAGATTCTTAGCTAACTTATATTCTAGCTAGCGTTATACCTTAGTATAGTACTATCTTTAGATAGCTTATAAAGAAGTATAACTACTATAGTAAGAATAGTTACTTTTACTTTAAAGTAACTTCTACTAATATAAAAGCTTACTAAGGTCGCGTTATATCTATACGTAACGCGCTTATAGCCTTATATAAAGAGAATACTAAGGTAGAGGATACTAATAATCCTCTCTATAGTAATAATAATAGTATATAGCCCTTTATTTACTTCTTATATCGTTCTTAGCTAACTTATATACTAGTCGCCGATACTTAAGCTAAGCTCTAAGTTACTATTACTACTATTAAGGCTAGCTTATGCTAGCTAGCTTCTAGTAATTTAGCGAAGCTAATTACTCCTTAGTCTATAAGTAGTCGCTTTATAAACGTCCTTAGTAAGAGCGAGAGTAAGAAGATTACCTACCTCTATAGTATCGCTACGTCTTTAGCTAGCTTTACTAAGTTTAGTTATTAGGTATATACTCTATTTAAGTTATATATAAGTCTCCTACTAATAAATTTTATAGTATATAGCTATAAATAATATAGATACTCCTACTATTTAGATAGTTATAGCTAAGATTAACAAGGAGCGTAAGGTCTTAGATTTTAATAAGTAGGTAGTTTATATATAGTTCTTCTATAGAACGCGTACGTACTCTTATTAGGCGTCTTTATAACGTCGCTTTAGATAGTAAAAATCGAGAGAGGTTTTTTAAAAGTTGTTAAGTTCTCCTTCTTTTCTTTTTTCTTATTTATCTTATATAATTCTCTTTTATCTAGTATACTTTAATTTCTATAGTCTTCTTCTTCTTCCTAGCTATTATATTCTTCTAACTATCTCTTCTACTTTACTAAATACTATTAAGTTCCTTTTCTTTTTTTATATCTAGTACTCTTTCTACTTCCTACTCGCTCTTTTTATCTACTAGTAGTATACTATCTATTTACTTTACTTTAGAACCTTTCTAAGGTTCTAATAAGGAGATATATAAAATATTATAAATCTTTATATTTACTAGTAGCGCTAGGTAGTATACTTACTTTCTAATAGTATCTAGTATCTTATATAGCCTAAAGTATTTTATACTAAGTTTCTTTTTTAGAACTATAAGGTAGAGGTTCTTTATACTTAAAAGTACTTAATCTCTAACTCTATATTTCTATACCTTATATTTCTTATTATAGTACTTAGCCTATATATTAGCTACGATCTTCTAGCGATCTATAAGCGTCTTTTATAGAGTTTTTATTTTCTCTACTAGCTCT